TTATAATCCTCCTAACTATTATATACAGCAGAGACTCTTTAATTAGATATTAACTATATATCTACTTGTAAGTCAGCTTTTATCTGCTTTTATTATATTAAGCTATTAATCTCTATTCCTGGCCATGATATAGAAAATAATAGTAGGAAAAGAAAGTAGCTAGTTTATTAGAAGCTTATATTATATTAACTTAATAAATTAGGAAATTAACAGGAATAAGAAGAGTATCAAGACTTTTTAATCAAGAATTTTATATAATCTTAACTTACCTGATCAGGAATTTCATGAGATCTTGACTTACTTAATTAGGAATTTTATGAGACAGCCCTCATCTTTAATCTCTTGACTTTGACACACTCTTATAGCTGCCACAGTGCCTCCAAAATTCTAGAAAAATATATATTATTCTCATAAGAGGCAGTGCTATCTACTAATATTAAATTCAAAACTATACCAAGTATTGGTAGGTGTTATGTTTACCTGGAATATGCCTATTAGAATATATATCTAACCCCCATCCTCTAAGCTCTCAAACTCAGGCCAGGGTGCCACGCTAAAGGTTTCCATTTTCCTTCGAGGCCACTCGAGCTCGAAAGTCAAAAGTAGTCTGTTCTCGATGGGGGGTGCACCAAAATATAGGCATTTTTTTAACTAATATATATTTCCAACCCCTATTCTCTAAGCTCCTAAACTCAAGCCGGGGTGCCATGCCAAAGGTTTCAGGGCTAATCCAGCTCGAAAGTCAAAAGTTATCTGTTCTCAATGGGGAGTGCACTAAAATATAGGTATTTTTCTAACTAATATTTCCTCCTAACCCCTATTCTCTAAGCTTCCATACTCAGGCTGGGATGCCATGCCAAAGGTTTCGGGGCTAATCCAGCTCGAAAGTCAAAAGTAGTCCGTTCTCGATGGGGAGTGCACCAAAATGTAGGCATTTTTTTACCTAATATATATATCCAACCCCTATCCTCTAAGCTCCTAAACTCAAGCCAGGATATTATACTAAAGATTTCTATTTTCTTTCAGGGCCACTCGAGGTTAAAACTTAAAAGTTATTTATTCTCAATGAGGAGTGCACTAAAATATAGGTATTTTTTTACCTAATATTTCCTCCTAACTCTTATTCTCTAAGCTCCTAAACTTAACTCAGGGTGCCATGCCAAAGGTTTTAGGACTAATCTAGCTTGAAAGTCAAAAGTAGTCTGTTATTAATAGAAAGTGTACTAAAATATAGGTATTTTTTTAACTAATATTTTCTCCTAACCCCTATTCTCTAACCTCCTAAACTCAGGCTGGGATGCTATACTAAAGATTTCTATTTTCTTTCAAGACTACTCAAGCTTGAATATTAAATCCTTATAAATTTAAGACAGCAGTATACTAAAATATAAATCTTTTTCTAACTAGTATTTCTTCCTTACTCTTATCTTTAAAGCTCTTATATTTATATTTCTAATCCTTCTTTATTTCAAGAGTTATATATTATTATTACTACTTTATAGTAGCTAGCTCTTCTTCTTCTCACCCCTGCTTTCTTAATCCTAGGGATACTTTAAATTCTAAAAATATATATTACTCACAGCTGATTTACTAGTATTATACCTGCTGGGTCTTAATATAGCCTGGTGCTTTTTATAACCCCCGTGTATATATAATTCCTGTGGCCTATGATCCATGACTAGCCTGCTTATTAATAATCTTATTCTTAGCTTTATAATCTTACTTAAAACTATTATACTTTAGATAAACCTGGGAGATTATAATTACTGTATACTATCAAGAAATTATATTAAGCTTAATCTACAGGTATATATATATCTTATATTATAATATTATCTGCAGCTGCCTGTTATCTTATACTTTCTAATCTTATAATTAGAGAAAGAGAGACTAGACCTGAATAGTATTATAAGCCAGAGCCTGCATAGCCTGTATAAAGAGTAGAATTAGCTATAAATAATAGACTACTAGCTTGCTTACCTTTACTAGCAGGTACTAGTAAATAATCTTAATTAAATTAGTTATACTATATCTCTTATAATATATAGTAACTAAGCTAACTATCTCATGCTCTAGAAAGAGATTATAATACTAGCTATATATAATATTATTATACTAAATACTAAGCAGCTTAGTAACTTATACAGGCTATCTAGTAATAAGATACAGGAATAAAAGTAACTACTCTAGAAACTAGTCTACCTGCTTTAGATATACCTTCATAGTTAAGATATATTATATTATCTAATAATCATGCGGCTAGACCTTAATCTATTCTATATATAACTAGTTAGTAGCTAATACCTAGTTTATAAGCTACTGCTCCCCTTGGATAGGTAGTATTATATAAGTATATTTATCTTTAAGAAAGTTCTAGCTATATTAATTAATAGTCAGGTTATTAGCAAGCTTTGCAAAAGCTAGATATAATATTATAGTCTCTTATATCTTCTCTAGATAGAGTAAAAATAGTCTCTTAAGCTCTAGCTGGGTCTTTTTAACCTGAATATAGATAAAATCTTATAAACTAGATATAATTAGTTATAGTTTCTTATAACTTAGGGTTTCCTAATTATCACTCTAATAAATATATCCTAGACTAGTAATAGTATTCTAAATCTACTTATCATAGGTATATAGTCATGTAATCTAATTAAAAGAGACTACTTTTTCTAGAAGTAAAAAGTAGTCTTATATATTATCTAAGGTATCTACTAGGTACTTAACTTATTTAGAATCTATTATTATCATAGCCTGCTAAACTACTAGTATCTAGATTATCTTAACTAGTCTAGATAAATAGCTAATAAAGCTATATAAGTCCTGGAATATTTTCTTACTTAGATCTATCTTAAGTATAGCTAGAAAGATTATTATTATATTTTTAAAGAGATCTCTCTTAAGTAAGTAATCTAGTAACTTAATAAATAGATCTAGGCAGGCCTAATCTAGCTGCTTATATATCTTACTAGTCTTAAATATCTTATATATTTTACATGACTTATATCTTTTATATGTCTTGTATATCTTACTAGTAAAATTAGATATTATCTCTTCTTATTATACTAGTCTAGTAGCTATCTCTATTATCTGATCTAATATAATAAGTTATAAGATAGTTAATTAGTAACCTAGTGCCACAGGACAGTCTAGCTAGCTAGTATAATAAATAAAATAAACTAGCTATATCTATCTTTAGTAATAAGTATAATAAATAGAGAGCTTAAGCTGGATCAGGATAAGCTAGTCTTATATTTATAATTATTATAAAAAGCTATTAATTTAGATCTAGTATTAAGTTTATAAAATTAGAATCTAGTTATATTCTAAGTATATATATAAAGTAAAGAGACTTTATAAATAAATTAAGTTATAAAATATAAGAGTCTTACCTGATCAAACTTATTAATCTATTATATTTTAATTAACTAGTAAGCTGTCTCTACTAGCTGTTTAATACTAGTTATAAAAATCTCTAGTAAGAACTCTTATACAGGGTCTAGTACTACTACTAGTAGAATAATAATTTTAAAGACATGCTCTTGCAGGAACTCAGGCTATTATATAAGCTCTAGCTAAGAAAATATCTCTATTATTATCTTAATATCTAGATCTAGTACTTACTCTATCCTGGTCTCTACTAAATAAGTATCTTATACTAGAGCTTTCTTTACCTATATAAAAATAATCTTAGTCTTACTTATAGTAACCACTTGAGATATATGTAAGGTAGATATAAATAAGATAATCTAAAAAAAACTATTATCTATCCTAGTTTTAAAAAAGTACTAGCAGCTTATAACCTGTAATAAGACTAGGAGATTCTTATTTCCTTTTTATAAGTACTCACAGGGCCAGTTATTCTAGTATATCTTATAATAATATTATAAGAGAATACTAGTAAATTATAAGATATAAAAATAATATAGGTAGTAATAACCCTGGTAGACTAGTAATTCAGAGATTAAAGGATTTTCTAGAGATAGTACTAGACAGGACTTGTAAACTAGATTAATCTATAAATACTATAATATAGATACTAGTATAGCCTTATAAAGAGATTTTATAGTAGTAGTAGGATAACAGGCATAATAATTAGTAAGATAAGTAAATAACTTAGTTAAATATATAGCCTGGTTATATAAGTAATAGATCTAAAGAGAGTAGGACTTTTTATAGATAAAGAGATCTATAATAATAATATAATAAACAGATAGATTAATAAGTTAATTAATTAATAAGTTAAGTAATATCAGGGATTTAGAGAGAAGGAAGAGAAGAAGAAAAAGAAAAAGAAATATTACTAGTATCTTGATTCTCTCACAGTCACTTAGAAGAAGTAAAGAAAAGAAGAAAGTAACTAAAAGTACCTAGGCAGGCAAGGCAGCGGTGTAGAGAGGATCCCGCGGGTGGAGCTACCCGCGGGCACGGGGGCGCGACCAATGAGAACATGAAGAAATGCAGCGTACGTAGACTGGATTACATACTAGGGTATAGGTGGTGTAAATCGATAATAAGGCGATATTTGCAATAAAAAATAACTAGTAGGGTTTGATCAGTGGAGCGATGACCTTGGGTAGGATAAAAGGTTTGATGGGTCATTTCCGCCTATGCGCCGCTCGGCTGATTTCAGAATACAGCTTGATGGGTTCTATGATTTATAAATCACGCAAGGGCTTAGATGAATAGATTCAGCTTACAATGATTTTAAACTCTAGCCAGCACCCACATTAAGGCAACTTAACTAAGCAGCCAGAGCCTTTAATGTTGCCACAATTTTCCAACATCACTTTGCATTCCGTCTGACGTGTGAAAAGTGGAAAATGGATAGGATGTGGAGCTGCGCACTGTGTTTAGTAGTTTGACCTGTTCACCCTTCACGTTCTTAAGATGAGTATAAGAATTAGAAGAAAAGTTGGCAAAGGCCATCTAGAAGGTCTAGCTGATCACTTCCCCCCTCTCAGATCTTAACTCGCAGTTTTAGTACTCGCACATCAGCTATGGATATGGATTATAAGTCTCGGAAGGAAGCATTTGTTTCGGGCCTGTCTGGTGGAAATATCATAGAAGTTGGCAATGTCCTTCTAATTCCCTTGGTCAGTATTCCCGATGCGAGTGCACTATCATTTCTTCTCACATGGTTTCGGGCATAGACTGCAATCCTCTTCTGGACTACTATTCATACTCGATTTTCTTCCTTTTCCAGATATCGCCCTGTCAGTGTCACAGTAGAATTCCTGTTGACTGTGGGGATACCACTTTGTGCTTTGACCGTCTGGTATCCATACGTGCCTGCATTAAACATCGGCCTGGTTCTTTGTTCTGCGCTCTTACTTCTCTGCTTGAAGCCATTCATGGGGGGCGGTCATGCCTTTACACCACCGTCAAATAAAAGAGCGGGCCGCCGGCACCAATATCTGTTCATCTCACATCATCGTGGAGCGCTGATGATGTTGGTCTGTCTTGCGATCTTGGCAGTTGATTTCCAAGTGTTCCCACGAAGTCTAGCAAAGACTGAGAACTGGGGTATATCCGTGATGGACTTCTTTGCTGGGAGCTTTGTGTTTTCATCGGGATTCATATCACACAAGTCCACCCGGAACAGAGCAAGGCGGTCTTTTTATCTCACAATATTTGGCCTCCTGCGGCTCGGCGCCCTCAATTTGTTTAATTACCAACAACATACCTCTGAATACGGGGTTCATTGGAATTTATTTTTTACGATCCCCGCCTTGACGGCTATTGTCGGCATATTCGACTGCATGACAGCTGTTATTCCCTTGCCAGACGAAGCACTTGCCATCGCGACCATGGTGGCAAGCGAAATCTGCTTGAGAACCACAAGTCTACAAGAGAACATTCTCAGTCTCGAAAGAGGAACCAGTTTAATTTCTCTCAATCAGGAGGGTCTTTTCTCCACCCTCGGATACGCGGCAATTTACTTAATTGGCCGCGCGGTCGGTTCTCATGTTTTCATGCTGTTGTCATTTCAGAAACGTCCGAATCTTGTCCTCTCCGAATTGGCAACACAGGCTTTTCTATGGGTTGGATGTTTTGTTCTCGCCTCGACAGATGTCGCTGGTTTTGGATGGCAGATTCCAGTTTCCCGCCGGCTCGCGAATGTATCCTATGTCTTCTGGGTGGCAGCGGTTAACAGTACCTGGCTGTTTCTATACTACTTGATTGATTGGGTCCACATAACTACAGGACAATGGTCAGACAAGCAACATGTCAGGAGTGATCAACAACATGCTATGAAGTTTGCGCGGAGTGATATAATTTCTGCATTTAATGAAGGTGGTCTTGCGGTCTTCATAATTGCAAACATTATTACTGGAGTTGTGAATTTGACTGTGAACACCTTGGATATGTCTGGGTCATCAGCAATGACTCTCTTGACTGGTTATGCTATTTTTCTTATTACTGTAACTTTACACTTGCAGTCATCTGAGAGAAAGCTTAGAGTATAGACAAACAAAATATACATATAGTAGGCTAATGCCAAAAGTTACAATTTACAAGGGGTTACTGATTGTATAATAGTTAGTTCTTGCTACAGCTATTCGTGGAATAATTTTGAATAACCATATATAGTTTATTCTATTATCCACATTCCAGGTAGACCTCAAGATGGGGCAGATCAGATCTAACTTTTGGATCCTGTGTGAAGAGTGATGACACTTTAATCCTGTGAAAGTTTTAATTTACAATAATTTATATTCTCTTGAATATACTATATGAAAAATAACCCAGAAGATTATGAATTAATAAGCATGTTCTTGTTATTAATTAACTAGTAATTAGTAGAATAAGAAGAAGTTATTTTTCTATTCTTGATTAAAGGCTATAAAATATAATAGGAAGTAGGGTTAAGCCCTAGCTCATGAACAGGCTGACCACCTCCAGGCGGCGGCTGGCAGAATCAGTAGTGGTAATAATCTAGCTCTATTAATTGTAGTTTATAAGAATTACTATATTCTTTACTTCTAAATTATACTTATTATTTATTATTAATATTATACTTATTAATTCTTATATTATTTTAATATCTATTACCTGACTAGTTTCTATACCTAATATCAAAATTGAATAACTTATTATTAATCTTAATTACTTATTGAATTATTTTACCAAGAGTTCCTGACTAGAGTGTCATCACCAAACCGAAAAATCCTCACCAAACCGCACCGAACCCGCAACAGTTCGGGTTTGGTGACAGGGAGTAGGAACCACAGTTTGGTCCCGACCCCCCTAGAACCCGCACGGAACCGAACCGAATGACACTCTAGGAAGTATAGAGAGCACTAGAGTTACTGCACTATTTTAATTATATGGAAGTTATATAAAAAGCTGCGTGTGCTACCAATCGATTTGAATACAGTCCTATGGTTTGACTAAACCAGGAGATCAATCGCCAAGTGGTACTTTCTATCCACCAAAACCCAGGTATTGTAAAGGGGTGCAGTTCCTGACCTCTTTTGTCGCTATCCGAGTCGCTAGTCCACCAGCGTGTTGTCGTCGGGTTGTTGTCTTACCAGTGGCTCATCTATATATATGATAGCCGACTGCCTATATAAATTTAATCTTATCAAGTATTCTTCTTCTCTTTTTTATCTCACAACTAGGTGTGTTTCTTCTCTTTCTAATAAACACAGTACTAAGTTATAGTAGGGTAGCTTAGACTATTATATCTCGAGTGTCATCACCAAACTGGAAAACCCTCAATGAACCGTACCGAACCCGTGTTCGGGGGGTAGAATGATTTAATCGCACCAAAGTCCAAAAAACTAAGTGCCTAGGTTTAGCCACCAAATTCGCAACAAGTTGGTTCCTACCCGCCCTGAATCCGCACTAAAGCACACCGAATAATACTCTGGTGCTGGTCTAAGACTTGTCAATGACGCAATAACCCTTTGAAGGAACAGCTAGTGCTGTGAACAGGGCCATTGTTTGTAGAATGTGTGCGAATGGTGATAGTACCAGCGACGTGATGGCATGGTAGCAAATAGATATAATGGAGATGTTTGCAACACTGAGATCTTGGAGAACTCCAGCCACAACTAACGCATGAATGGCTGTGGCGTCATTGAATAGCATCCAATACCAATACCAATGTGGCACAGTCACACGAATTCCGAACACTCCGATGAAAGGGCTGTGCTGCTACATCAGTACCTGGGAGAGATGAATTCAAATGTGAAAAGAAAAGACTCACAATATGAAAATCCCAACTCCACCCAATCCCGCTGCTATTAGAGCTAGACGTACAGTCATCCTGTTCAAACTCCAGATCCCCGTATACCACCGACGACGCTGCCTCCAAAAGTCCATCATGCTAACTGGTGGTTGTTCGCGGAACAGCGCGTGCACCCATTCGAATTTGAATCCGTGCTTGGCGGCCTTGAGCTTGTTTAGCTCTATGATTTTGGGTATGTGTGACATAATAGTGCAACTTACATGATAGCCAAACCAATAATCTTCGCAGACATTATCAGTATCCCACTTGATGGTGTTTTCGACTTCTCCATTAATTAACATCCATGATCCATGGATCCAGCCGAGTAATGGGCGACCGAATATCTTAAAAGGGAAGTGGAATCGTCCGTAATCCTCTGCCAGCCGAACAACCTCTGCTGCTGACAGGAATGTGTTCGTCCAATGGTTGACTGACGTGTAATAGATTGTACCCTGGGGCTGTAAGTGGGTTGGAGTTTCAAGCAGCCAAAAGACGACTTACATTTCCGAATTGAGCTGTACCTCGCTCAATGAAATTCAATGACTGTACCATGACATGTTCATCGATCTCAGATTCCTCGTCAAGATGCAGTACCCAGTCCTCTTTCGATAATTTATATTTTTGTCGGAAATGTTCCAATGCACGTGCTTTGTACATAGCCCTTTTGGAGGGTACATGCTTTGGTACCTGGTCTACCTGGATATATGAAGGTAGGTGTTGGCGAAACTCGTCGCCGTTGTCGTTGTCGACGAGTACATGGAATGTGACGGAAGGATGGTTGCGATGACTGAGGACATCCCAGCAGCGTGCAGAGTTAATCGCGGCCTATTGATATGGTAAACTCAATGAAATATCCTCTATTTCTAGGAAAAGGTCGAGAGAGTAGTCATCATACCTGTATGTTGGTTCCCTTCGTGACGAGGCAAACCCTCAAAGTGCCGAGTCGCCTTGTCTTCGGGCCCTTCGAATATTTGAAGGGCTGCATGGGTAGACACAGCCCTAGTGTATTGGCATATGGAGGGATTTGAAGAAAGAAAAACAGAGCAGTAATTGAAGCATGAATAGTTGCTGACCTGGTCCAACCGCCATCCGTTGCTTCGGCATAGTATCCAGTATAACTCACCAAGCTTCTAAGCCCTAATAAACTGGTCAGACAAGAATGATGGGCATGTATGGTATACTATACCAAAGAAAGTTAGTAATAGGGTACAGGGGAACACGATGTAGTTGAATCGAAGGATAGAATAGATGCGATTGGAATGCTTCCATGAAGGGTGCATCGCACTCTGGCCACACTTGTCAACAATCATGTTATCAGACTGTCTCTCGTGTTGGGATGGTACACATGAAGGAATTGACTTAGATTGAACCTGTTTAAACAAGCTAGTTGTGAACTTATCTACTGGTATTCTTCTAGCATCGGACGAGCTGTGGCCACATCACCAATAAAATCTTCTCTGTTGAGCTCACAAACTATAAATAGCGTAAAATGCACATCGCATCAGCCCACAATGCTATCGTCTTTCCTGTCGTTGTAGGTTATGCTGAAGCCGCCTAGCATGGGACATGTCATCTGCGCGAAGAAAACATGGTGGTTAACAATCCATGTAGCAGATGTATCTTTCCGTCGATCATGTACCCTCGCTTTACTGCGGGAAAACTCAGGGGATCCGCTATTGTACAGCTCGGCTGTTGGCACCACCCGTAACCATGGCCTTTTCATATAGATCACATACGAAGAAAGTCATCTGCCAAGTGGAGTACCCGTTCCAGCATTCGGGATCAAACGACCAATTCTGACAATCAGCCCTGGGCGTCGGAACATTTGGTTGTCGGGAGATTATAAAGCTCCCTTAACCACCATTTGGCACTTTTGAACTGCGTATCCAGGGCCTAGTAGTGGTCAATCAACAAATTGCGAAGATTTACCTCCATATACCCGAATAAAAACTCCACAATGATTCAAACTGTTACATGTATTGGGGCGGGATTTGTAGGTAAGGTCAACAATGGAATTTCCTTCATTATCTTCCTGCTGGTCAATACATTATCTAGTCCGTGCCCTGACACTTCTTCTACCAGGGGGCCCACTTGGAACCGTGATCGCGCACAATTGTCCTCATATCCATGTTACGGTCGCTGATATAAACGAATCTCGGATTCAATCTTGGACAGATGGGTCCCCATCCTTTTATGAACCCGGCCTCAATGAGATGCTTGGGACGGTTCAGCGTCGGGAGACGTCAGAGCAAAACCTTGAATTTGTTACTACAGTCGAAGATGCGATCCAACGGGCAGATCTCATCTTTCTCTGCGTCGACACTCCCACCAAGTCCTCTGGAATAGGTGAAGGATGCGCGGCGGACCTATCCAATATTCAGAAAATCGCTCGTACCATCGCCCAGGTTGCTACGGGAGAGAAGATCGTTGTAGAAAAATCTACGGTTCCATGCGGGACGGCCGATGTACTCCAAGAATTGGTGTGAAATACCCTTGTATCCCCCGTTTTTTTGATAGAAAAAATAAAACAAAATCAATTGACACACCTCTTCAGCTGACCACTTGCGGGTCTCCGAACGCACGATTTGAAGTTCTCTCAAATCCCGAGTTTCTTGCAGAAGGAACCGCCATAGAAAACCTGTTGAGGCCTAGTCGTGTCCTTATTGGCTCGCTGCAGACTCCTACTGGGAAGCGAGCAGCAACTCTCCTGGCGGATATGTATGCGACTTGGGTTCCTCGGGAACTGATCTTGCAAATGGATTCATGGTCATCGGAGCTGGCTAAATTAGCTGCGAACGCAATGCTCGCGCAGCGGATTAGCAGTATTAACTCCCTGGGCGCTATCTGCGAAGCTGCGGGTGCTACAGCGGACATTGATTCCGTGTCAGTGGCCTGCGGTTTGGATCCACGTATTGGTCCACACATGTTACGTGGGGGTATTGGCTGGGGGGGAAGCTGCTTCCAGAAGGATATTCTTGATCTCGTCTATATTGCTAGGAGCTTACATCTGCATGACGTGGCCACTTATTGGGAATCTGTGATTACCATGAACAATTCTCAAAAGGATAGATTTCTGCATCGTATCATCGCCTGCATGTACGGAAATATTGCGGGGCGCTCAATTGCAGTCTTGGGTTTTGCATTCAAAGAGAACACATCCGATACAAAGAACTCTCCAGCAATTACCGTGGTTCAAAGATTACTTCAAGAGGGCGCTAAAGTGTCGGTCTATGATCCCCGGGTTGCACCGGACAGGATTGCATCTGCAGTGGGAGAAGAAGTGGACAAAAGAAACCTCCACATCAGTCCATCACCGTATGAGACATGTTTTATGGCAGACGCCATTGTTCTCGTGACCGCATGGGAGGGATTTCGAACACCATCGGACAAGCCTTGTCCTGAAGCGAATAATGGCGCTCCGACTCGGCCGCATGAGAAGTTTGAGTATTTGGATTGGCCGCGCATTGCGCATTCCATGCAGAGCCCCAAATTTGTTTTTGACGGGCGAAACTTTCTGGACGGAACGTTTCTGGCCAATCAAGGCTGTCGACATGTGCGAATGGGCAACTCGACGATCCGGCACCCTAATTGAGATTTGTATCATAGAAAGATTGTACAAGTATTTGACTGTTAGGATAGTACCATGGACGTGCAAGATAGTAAGTAAAAACATGATATGTCATGTTGGACGCAATAATATGAATCTTAAATAGCTGGAACCCCTACTGTCATTTGGGGGTCAACCCTTGAACCTTCTCTTCCTCACTAACCTTATGAGTGACATGGTTTCTTCAACGTGCAAATCGGTCCTTGTGACAGGAGTGTGGCTCTCCAGTGATCTAGAATCCTAATTACCAAAACTTCTACTAACTTATTTACTTCCATCTCTTCTAGGCCGCCGGTTTTCTTGGTTCCAATATGGTGGATCACCTACTCCAGAACGGTTCAATGGTCATCGGAGTAGACAATTACCAGACAGGAGCTCAATCGAACATCCAACACTTGCAAAATAACCCTTGTTTTACAATGATCAAGTGCGTGAAAACCTTGATCAAGACCATGTTTGTCTGACATTACTAAGATCCCCTTTTATCACAATCCAGCCACAATATCCAAATCCCCTTGATCCAACTGCCACCGCTACAAGCCATTTATCATTTGGCTTGTCCCGCTAGCCCCCCTCAGTACCAGAAGGATCCGGTTGATACCTTAGACACAGCGTATCAAGGGACACGAAACCTTCTCTCCCTGGCACAACAGCATAAGTGCCGCATTCTAATTTCAAGCACCTCGGAGGTGTATGGATCACCGACGGTGCACCCCCAGCCAGAGACTTACTGGGGTCACGTCAACCCATTTGGACCCCGCGCCTGCTACGACGAGGGAAAACGCGCAGCAGAATCTCTGGCATGGGCATTCCAACAATCACCGCGCAGCGTTGATGTGCGCATCGCCCGCATATTCAACACTTATGGCCCTCGTCTAGCAGCCAGAGATGGTCGCGTTGTGTCAAACTTCGTGGCAGCCGCTCTCGACAACTCTCCCCTTGTCATCACAGGTGATGGCTCCGCAACACGGTCTTTCCAATTCGTCGATGATTGCATCCGCGGCCTCGTCATGCTTATGGAGGTTGAATTCGCTCCGGGACCGGTCAACATTGGAAACGATGTGGAGGTGACGCTAAACGAGCTGGCAATCATGGTAGGCCGCGTCGCGAAACAAATTACCGGATGTGAGGCACCACCTATTGAGTATCGGTTGACCCCGGCCGACGATCCACCGAAGAGACGGCCTGATGTGGCACTTGCAAAGCGCACGTTGGGATGGGCTCCTATTGTCTCATTGGAAGAGGGGCTGCGAAGAACAATCCAGTGGCAGTTGGCTGAGAGGTCTGCCACCATCCAAAAAGTTTGAAAGAATATTCACCAACAGAATTTTCTATTGAACCCCGATGTGATTCACCGGAATTTTTGTTTCATTCGATTGTTTGTGTATCTACTTAGGATTATTGATACCGGGATAAGTAGAGAATGTCAAGTCTCGACTCATAGACCTGTTACTGTAAGACACCAGCAACCGGGCAAAACGACTCATACATCTGTCTACTTTTCATACCATGTCAAGTTATGTCATGTCATTGAGCAGATATATCCTTACGCCCTAGGGGTCAAGAAGTGTTATCTTTAGGTATTACCCAATCCACCCATCAAGGTATCATAAAATCCAAAGATTGGTCGATCTTGTTTTTTGTGCTAGCTGAATTCTCTATCATAGCGGTCTAGTGAACCCAGCAGAATGGAAAGCAAGGAATAATTATTTGGCTGGGAATAGTGCCAAAAGAAGGACAATAATACATGAAGCGGGACATTTATGCGTGGAGAGATGTAAGATATTGGGATATCTGTTCTCCACAACTAGACTAAAAACACCAATTGGCGAGTGGTAGGGCCTTGCAAGTTGCAACTATTGATGTTCCAGCATCAGACAGATCCACACCAGGCCAATTTGTCAAAACAGATTACAATAATCCGACTTCTTCACCTCTTGCTATTGATACTTATTATGTGAACTAAGTTGATAATATAAATGTCTTCGTAATTCAACTCTCCAGCCGTCCAGGTAAGAGTGGAAATTACGCTCCATATTTTAATCCACCAACCACAATGGTTAGCTCGTAAAATACCAAGCCTATCATATTAGAGATGTCGCATGGAATTTCTTCTCAAACCCTTGCTCACAAGGATGACAGAGAGTCTGATTTGACTTTGGTAGCTGGCGGCTGCTTTTCCGTCTGTTCCAGGTGGATTCGCTCAGTACTCATATTGCCTACCTGTCTTTTGATGTGGCCCGGGCTATTTACTGGTCCAAATACGGAAGATCATCTTTATTCTGGGATTTGTGAAAGATACCTACCGTATCTGCCAGCGATTCCCGCATGTGACAATTCAGGTTGTACCAATTTGGAGCACGTAGCCGAAGGCCATTGATGGATTAGGTTAATTTCCAAGACCAGAGATGGATTCCACGCACTAATTTTGGGATGTCCTGAATAGTGTAACCAAGCCTGTATTACACGTCTAATCAATCTTCAGCGGCTTAGTTCAAGTGGTTTGTTTTGCTTCTATCCAAATGTTTATGATTTAATCAAGCTATTCTATCATGGGCAAAATATAAACAGACAACGCCTGCTTCACCGAAGTCAGTAGGTAAATTCCCAATCGCTCCCAGATCCTAAACAAACGTTTACTCTTACCATGCGGCCTTCCACCCTTTCTGCAATTATTTTATGCAGCATTCTGTCAGGAGTAACAGCGCTCCCAAAAGGCGGTATGATGCATCTTTCCATCGAGCATCATTCATTTCTAGAACTGACACAGTTTATACTAGGTTCAACAAGCGATGATGCCCCAATGTCTCACTGTGTGTCACAATGTGTATACAAGGGACCTGGTTCTTCCGATGATAGTAAAAATCAAAGCGAAGGCCAAGGAGGCGTAAACAATGTTCTTGGAGGAGGATTAACAGATGTTGTGGGTACAGTGACAGATCCTGTGAAGGGCGCTCTTGGTCAGTGAAAAGATAAAAAATTAAAGGTTGCCTGCCATTTAGTCTCATGCAGCAAGGGCCAGGAGGAGTCACTGATATATACACGACCTTGTGTTCCTATTGTCATGTCTATGGATCATGAGTGAGCATTATCAAGCTCCCTAAGTACTCACTTGTGTTTCATATAATTTAATCAATGTCATTACTATGCTGGCTTAGACCTTTAAATGGGGTGAATCTGTTCTGATCTGGATCCAGATCCACCCTAATCTACCTTCAGGGCAGATCAGGATCAAAGAATTAGATCCATAAGATAATTCTATAAGTCTTTAATCTACCCTGGACAGGTGTAAGCAGCGGTTTGGTTTGGTTTTTAGGGGTCGGGACCAAACTGTTGCGGTTTGAGTGGCTAACTCTAGGGACCAAACTGAACGCGGGTTCAGTGCGGTTTTAATGGCGAACATATACATATTCATGTTAGTATTTAAACTACCATGCATGTTTCGTATAAAATTCTCTAATTTATATATACCTCTATATATCATTAAATATAGATAAAATTCATGCATTTCTTATATAGAATATATAAAAATACCACTTAAATACCTAATATAAAGGGGTTAAATTTAGCTCACCCTAGGTTAGCTTCTATTCGGGGAACTGAAACCACTGTGGTTTCTATTCCTAGAGACCGAACCAAACTGCGGTTCCTATTCCCTGTCACCGCACCCGAACCGCTGCGGTTCGGTGCGGATATTTCGGTTTGGTGATGACACTCTAATCCTAACCCCCACCAAAATCGGCTCAGCGCCGCTTACAACTAAACCCGCGTTCAGTTCAGTCCCTAGAGTTGGCCACTAAAACCACAACAGTTTGGTCCCGACCCCTAAAAACCAAACCGAACCGCACAGAATGACACTCTAATCACGGGGGATCATGGGTAATTAGTATTATTAGTAACCATGGTATATTAGTCTTTTTATATCTGGTGGATAATCTTTAGAGTAGAAGTATCCTCACTATGACTCTTCTAGTCTATAGTTCTTATTTAGCCACAACCCTCTCCAAGCTAAAGCCTTCGTATGCCTGCGGGCCTTATTCGGCTCTCGTGGCTCACTGTTAGACAGCAGCCTCAGGCAGCCTGCCCGCCAAGACCTGCGGTTGCTGAGTCATCGAAGACATACCGCATAACAATCACAGCCTTGCTCTTTGTATCTGTTCCGCGTCAATGAGTTCGATCACAACAAAAGGATATCACAGGACTTGGTCCACCTAAAATACTAAATGTATCAACAAGGACTATTAATATAATCAAACGCCTTGAGCGCCCCTCTCATGAGGCATAATCATAAAATTGTTCCTGCTCGCCAAAAGGATTGCTTTCATGTGGCTGGATATCCTTGCGATGTGATTTGTGAGAGGAACATTCCATCATAAGTCAATGACGTCGTTTAATTTTTTCTTACATAACAACTTCACTAAGTTAAGCTTCTTTTAATCTAATATCTTAACGACAGTCTATGCTCTTGGATACATCTGTATTCTTGAAGCTATGGGAGATGGGAGCAGCAACGCTATAATTATCACCACTGCAGTTTTCTTCGGGGTTTCACTAGTCACTGTCTGTCTCCGCTCTTTTGTTCGATTGAAAGTTGTAAAGTCTTTTGGACCCGACGATGCGTTGATGATAGCGGCAGCAGTAAGTATTATTGAAAAAAGTGCATGTGAAGTACTCAATCATCAAACTAAGATGGATGCAGGCTTTTAATATGGCATTCGCTATATGCGGAATCGTGGGCGCCTTGTATGGGATGGGAAAGGCACCGGGGTTTTTAAGTCATAGACCAGACGACGTTCGCCGCGGCTTATTGGTAGGTGTTCGTAACAAGCATTCTTTGAAGTGTAGAGCTTGCTGACTGCTATGGCTGATAGTGTTGGTGGTTAGGACAGATTTTTTATATATTTACTTGCACCATTGCAAGACTATCTATTGCTACTACTCTTCTTCGTCTTGCGGTCAAGCGCATCCATTTGTGGATTTTTTACGGTATTATGGTGCTTTCGACAACAGTGGGTACCATTTTTCTTTTCTTCACAATCCTCCAATGTCTGCCAGTCGCATACTTTTGGAATCGATCAACAATCAAAGGCCGATGTCTTGACATAGACATACTTCTTGGTATTGTTTATATGTATAGTGGGGTGACGGCAGCATGCGATTTCACCCTTGGCTTCCTACCTGTTTCAATGATTTGGGGTCTCCAAATGAATCGTGGAAGGAAATTTGTTGTGTCGGCAATTTTGGGACTTGCTTGCATGTTCGTATGCTCTACTTGCTTTTCTGTTGTGGAGCTTAACTGATAATAGGCAGAGCTAGCTTGGCTGTCATAATCCGCATCCCATTTTTGCATTACGCAGGAAGACCAGACTTTCTTTGTGGGTGTATTCTATTATCCGATTCTGTCATCCGTCTAATTTGTTCGCAGACGAAACAACACAGATTTCCATATGGTCAAACGTAGAAGCCAGTCTAGGCATAGCTGCCGGTAGCCTAATGATGGTTCGGCCGTTGCTTCGGTTTTTAATCGCTTCTTTTCCCATGCTGAGCAGTTGGTCTAGTGGTGAAGAGCTTGGATCGCGTAGGAAACGCCGACTTCCTTCTCATCATTAATCCGCAGTCTCATCCTCTGTGCCGGCCGGCTCTTAGACTCAAGCCCGACCACTCCAGCCATAAGCCTGCATAAGCCTGCATAATTATATTCAAGTGGTTTGCCCTGGGTGCCCTGGATAGAGTGGTGAGCTGCCAATGCCCGAACCATGGGCGCTAGGTGCGCACCACCTTAGACATGCTGCTGTATGTTTTTACTTTTTATTTTATGATTTGTCGGATTTAGCAACCAGGCCATATCGGTTTCAGGGCTCTGATATCTAGGCTATTAAGCAGGCTTGAGGATGAAGATAATACATAGCTCTGCCAAGATTAGCGGTGCTGTTTAACTCAGTAACACTTTAGAGAAAAAACAGGAGCATGTAATCATATAATTTTCTAACACATATAGTAATCTTTCACAGTTAATATTTTCTATCTATTCTTTTAGAAGGTGACAGGATTATTTTATGAGCACGGGCTCTGGTATATAGTCACTTATGTCTGTTAACACTTTGTCAGGCTTCGCATGAGCTCACTGAGAAAGAATAGTGTTTCGGGTCAATTAATCATGTGCAAAGGGCCCGAATCTTCATATTCTCCCTCATGATGTCCGACCTAACCATCGGTGGAAATGAGTCGAGCTAGGGTCACCGGAATCTTGGTCATCGATTGGCCCTTGCAACCTAGTAACCAGAAAGAATATAATGTCTAGTTGGTAGAAAGGTGTCAGAAAACAATCGACGATCCAAGATTAGCTGAACTCTAGTCACTGTAGACATCTTCATACCACTCCAATTCAGCTTCATTATAGATCATATTCAGTTACGGAAATGGCGATGGCGCGCCGAAATTACCATGTGTTAATTAATTAAATGTATGTACAGTCTCGATTGGTATACATATCAGTTTACCTCCAATCTGGGGTAGGGTATCATATCAAGCGCGCACCGCGGAGTCAGGCCCAGTCGGGCCAACAACTTGGGTGCCCGGAAGTTCATGGTAGATGGGCTTGATTTGATTATCCTGGCCATCCAACTCCATACCACGGTCGTCGACACTCTGTTCATGCGTGACGCCGCTATTGCTCGTGTCGCCGTAGTTACTATCGCTGACAAGGGGCGCATCGGCGGACCAGAAAGGTGGCTGTGCTGCAAACTGACTAGTATGGGATGAGGAGTATCCCGGAGGCGCATTGTGAACTGGACCAGAAAGAACGGCTTGATCGGTTTCGGGCGGAGTCGCTTTGTTGGCCGCTTTCTGGCGGTGGCGACGGATGAAGAAGAAGAGCAGCGCAGCGAGGAGGACGGTGCCTACTACTGAGCCGACTGCGATACCTGCTACGGCGCCCTTGCTCAGGCCTGAAGAGCCGCTGGAACCCTCGCTGGGACTGCCATCCGAGGAGGAGTCTGCATTCTTGGATAGAATGTCGACCACGTTTTCTTCTGCGCCCTCGTCCCATTTACAGGAGGACACGTTGAAGGTGCGGCGCTCGTAGTCGGCGGAGAGATACCTAGGATGGGTTTAGCATATGTCTCAATGAGGGGGGATTTTTTTTTCCCACTCACGCTTCTTGCAGGAAAGATCGCCCCAGTGTGTACTGCGAGGAATTGGCCGCGCGCTTCAGAGGAAAGTAACGGCTGCTCTTCTTGACCAACGGAGGCTCTGCCTTCAGGGCGAAAGCGCTATAAGGTAAAGTGATAGTAACAGTTTCTCCGCCGGTCGACACGTCCGAAAGCCGAAAGGCCACCTCCGCGTTGGAATTGAGCAGCTCCGTGTTCTGTGTCTCATTCACCAAGTACAGACCCGACTCATCATCGAGAGTCAGCCCGAACTCCTTCTCGAAGGCGTCGCAGACCTTTTTGGGCAGCCAGAGACTTGGGTCCGTGGAGTCGACGAAGACAGAAATGGGATCGGAGAGCAGAATGGCGGAACTTTTCCCGCTGTAGCTGATGGACTGAACATAGAGAGAAAGGTCACGGGTCGTGTCGTCTTGCATGGTGAAGGACACTGAATTGGAGGTAAAGCGCGAGGTGTCGTAGCCGGAGAAGATGAGTTGGCCATTGACTTGTTTGAGTCCTAGGCCAAAGCAAAAGAAATACCAGGTTAGAGAAAGACTGCCTTTAGTCTGTCGCCCTAGGAAATATGAAATGATTGTCTACTCACGATATTTGGCGCCGGCCGTATAGCTCCAGCTGAGACTTGGTATGACGCCCTCATCTTTGAGGGATGTCACAAAGGAGGGGGATGAGAAATTTCCCAGGGAAGTGAAATTGACTGGCTGCGGGTTGAGACCAAAGACTCCGCTGTACGGATTCCCAGTCAGTCTCTCATTGATTGATTTTTCTGGGTCATGGAATTCATTTTACAGATAAAAGGGGTCTGGGGTTGCGATGCCCGCAACGGTCTGGTTCTTCAATCTCTCTCCGGTCAGACCAACGCCCACCGTGTCGAGGGCGAATTGCGCTCTTTGCGAATATCCCAGATTTGCCCCGAGACCAACGCCGTTCTGATTAATTCCATATAGCCCCAGGTCGTGATAAGAGGACGACTGGTTTGGGTTGAATAGACTCCCGCGGGAAACTGCGCAATCGGACGGCACCGAGTCCTTGAAGACGGATTTCGAGCAGCCGTACTGCGACAAGACGACCATCGACTCCGACGAGGCCGTCGAGACCAGCACGCGGACGGATTGTTGGGGGTTTCCAACTCGAAGATGAAAGGTGCTCCATGGTCCGTCGTTTCCCTCACTAAATAGTGCATTAGCCCCTGGCATCTATATCCTTGGAAGGAATATCCAATTCACAAGTATTCGCTGGCTGAGACCACAAGAGCCGAACGGGCCCGCCGAGTGAGGGAGGAGGTCGCGCATTTTGAGGCCCAGGAGACCACCAAAACCAGCTCTATCAAGACAATTGCAAGATTCATGAAGAGCTTAACCGCCAAAAAGGGGCATCAGAGAGAGAAACTGTAGTGCGGCAATGATGGCCGAGTCAACTGTCATGTTGAGTAGGGAGTTTCGCGACTGCAACGTGGACCTGCAGGCCATTGTTTCCCCTCGGAGTCAACTCGCTCTCTGTTTACTTCCTTCCTGCAGACCATGACGTTATTCCACGGGCCGTCTGCAGACCTCGCCACTAACCATAAATCGAATGGGCCGTTAGGCCCTTCAGTTCGACGCGGTTAGTCAAGCCAAGCCATTAGGGGCCACCAACGCACCACTTCCACACACGTTCAAGAGTCACCTAAAGCGCCAGTGGGGCGATCGGCCGGAACCAAAACAGGGTCAGAATCGGTGAAAAACCTGCTCCTTCGTCGGGCTTGGAACCGCCAATCCAGAGCCAGATATCTACTCCACAGGGTTGCCGTTCCTGGCTACCCGACTGCCTGTCATTGCCCTTCTGGTATACCGCCACTCGCTCTAGCATTATATCTGGATGACGGCATCAAGATGCAGGGCCCTTTTGATATACGAAGACACGAACGCTGACAGAAGGAAAATCACAATAACAATTTTGCCGGGTCAGTGGTCTTATATCGGGGGCGTTCCCGTAGTCAGATAGAGTGTTTTTGTTTACTTGCTCTTCTACTGCTTCTCCCCCAATCCCGACCGCGGCATCGCATTTTATACTAAGCTGTTCTTGATAGAGAGAAAGGGAACGTAATTATGTTGTCTGTCCTTCCGTTATGGACCGCGGCCGGGCTGCTGATCGCTGGAGGTGAAGCCTTTGATGGCCCAGGTATGCCGCTTGTCGCACAGAAACGAATTTGAACTGCTGCTAAGGACGCGAAGTTGGTCAAGCTCCCGACCCTCGGATTGACCGGCACAGTCCTTGGGACAGCAGTCCTGACCCCGAGCGGACCATCCTGTCGTCCACATCGGCCTCTTGGCATCGTGGTGTGAATGTCGCCGCCAGCACCCATGCGCTGGAGCAGACCGTGTCAACCAGCCCATCCACAGTGTGGAAGGGTTCCAGCACAATCCCTGCTCCTTTCTCCGAGACAGTCTCAACCGCTACAGGCACCTGTCCAACTGTCTCTGTCTCCTTTGTGACCATCAAAGAAACATTTTCGACGACCTTGTGGAACACTACCACTGCAACGGCTTATAAGGTCATAACTTCGACGAAGACTGCCACATCGCATGTCCCTACCCCTTCGCCGACGACGGAAACATCGCATGTCCCTACCCCTTCGCCGACGACGGAGACATCTTACGTGCCTACCCCTTCGCCGACGACGGAGACATCTTACGTGCCTACCCCTTCGCCGACGACGGAGACATCTTACGTGCCTACCCCTTCGCCGACGACGGAGACGTCTTATGTGCCTACCCCTTCGCCGACGACGGAGACATCTTATGTGCCTACCCCTTCGCCGACGACGGAGACATCTTACGTGCCTACCCCCTCGCCCACGACTGACACGTCTTACGCGCCAACAACAATCATCTCGCCAACGACTGCCATTTCCATCGTGCCGACTACCATCACCAAGGCACCAAACCCATGCCCAACAACATGCACCGCGTAAGTCGTCTCATCTTAAGAATCCATGAAAAAAACTGCCAATTGAATCATTAACGCTGCGAAAGCTCTGCCGGCACTGTGAACCTGTTCTATTGGCCAACCGACGGCCACAGTTACCCAACCACCTATGTCAACTCCCACCTTGACTACACATTGTAAGGCCTATCACACAGCCCCTTTCTCTCTATCCGCATAGATCTCATCTGAACTAACAACTATCGCACCCCAAAGCACCTCCCCGTCCGTGTACATGGTCGTCGACACGCTCGCCGGGTACAACACAGCCGGCCGCGCCGGGCCCAGCGGTACCAGCGTGGTTTTCGCATTGGACCTGACCGAAGTCTCGACCATCCAAGGATCCGCCACGCAACAGCTGACGCTGAGTGATCTGGGGACAGACTGCCCTAAGTCCGAGCATGCCTCATTCATCGCCACCGCGCCGCCCGACGGACGCTGCCGGCCCGTCCTGGCGGCTCCCCCGGCGGTCAAGTCGTGGGTCTCGCCATGCAACGGATGCGGTAACTTTGGTCTGTTCGATCCCCCTTATGCCGTCCCGACGCTCGAGGGAGGTCTGGTGCCGGCGCCCGTGACCACGTCCACGTCGGAGCCTGAGACCAAGACGGTGCCCACTGCTGCCCCGACCACCTCCTTGTCACCGGCAGAGGAGACGACAAGTTCTCCCTTCAGTGCGCCGTCGTCGACGGAGGAGGCAACATCTTCCGATCAACCAGCTCCCTTTACAACATCGAGTGCAGCGCCCACAACTAGCTCAAATACATCGTCCACGACCGCCTCTGGCCCGTCGTCTGCCAGCGGAAGCTCCATTTCGGCCTCTGCGCCCGCTTTCACCGGCTCCGCAGCCAGGGAGATGCCCGGGCTTGCATGGATGGTGATGGGCTTCCTTGCTTCGGCTTATTTGATTTGATGTGAAAGCGCCAGTATTATAAACTGAAAAGTGCCCGCACTTATTATGAATAGATAAGTAATTACTAGTAATGATCTAAAAGATGAATACGGACATGTGACATGCGTATACCATCGAGCTGCTTTTCCCCTCATTGCTTGTTGTCAAGCTTATTTTTAGTGGGTGCGCAATGGCGCAAGTTCATTCATCGAATGTATCATCATATGATCACGGCCCAGTCCTCGGTTCGTACAAGAAGTCGGAGTTCCCGCGCTTTTCCATCATATATTTGCGCGCTGTAATCGCCTCCCTTGGAAAAAATTATGAGGAATGGTCAGTGTCGAAATGTCAATAGGCGCCAAAAAATGTACGATTGAGAGCGATAGTGGAGAAAAATTAGACTCCACGCACAAACCCTGCCCACCCGAGATGTACAACATTCGTCCCCCCACAACCCTGCTCCTCGGGAGCAATACGCTTTCAGTGATCACCTCAAAACCTTTCCAAAGAGAGCCCTTGAGCCCTTTCTCTGTTTGCCAGATGGTTTTCGATCGGACTAGGGGCGCACGTCAAGTCGCAGTCGGACCCGTTCCTATCAGTCCTACTATCTCCTGCTAACGACCCCGCCTGCGACCCCTGCGACTTCTACGACCTCCAGATTCTAGATACTAGTGACCACTCGTATCGTTCGCACACAGTGTAGGTCAGTGCTGACGAAAAAAAAAAAGAGGGGGGTTTAAGGCTCATTGACAGTTGACTGTGCAGCCTACGTGGCTTAAGTCCGGCTAGTCGCGCGGTCGGGAAGCAGACCTGTTTCTCTATACCCTGTGGTCGTATCTACATACTAGAATAAATCAAGAAATATGTCTATGGCGACTGATAGTTTCGAGCATTTGGGAGGGGGAAGAAGTAGAAAAGAAAATACTAAAAGAAGAAAGGCACCTTATACTAGATCCTTGGCTAGCCTTCTAGAAGCCATGTTTGAGAAGGCCTTCGGTAAATTTAAGAGGGAGGCATACAGCGAGGAGGCCGATCCCTACGCAATCTACTCCTGGGAGGCTTGTGCACATGTCATCTCTCTTCTCATGGAGCGCTTGAAATCGACGGGCGAGTATGAGCTTGCCCTGAAAGTAGCGCGGCTGCCTTTTAATCCCAGCTTGGACAACCCGAAGCTCGGCCAGACCTGGCTCTTTCCACTATTCCGCGACTCGTTGATTCAATCAAGTGATTTGTCTAATTACTTCATCATGCGAGACGGCAAATTGACAGCTGCGGAGTGGGATATAAACCATGGCCTCATACACGCCGCGGCCCGTCAACGGCCTATCATATATATGAAATAGATTACTATCAAGTGTACCAAGATTCTCCTAGATGCTGGCGATGCTCTGTTTTACCAGAATATATTAGAGACATTGTCTCTTGCTCTTCAGCACTACATCAAGACCTCCTATATCTTTAGGGCTATTAGATAATAGATAAACTAAAGACCATGAACTTTTCACTACTAGTAATTGAAAAGAAAAGAGATACCAAGTCACTTCTGATATACGTTATAAGTTATTAATATATAGTTCAATAACTAGTACTAGAGAGTAGAATAATCTTAAAGTAAGAGACATTAAAGACTTTTAAGATCCTGTAGAATACTTATCAGATATATAAGAAGTAGCTAGACTTCTAAGTCTTATTAATTAGAGATAAGAGCTATAAGATGCTGGTATCTGGTAGTACTTAAAAAGGTATCCTGCAGGTTATTAAGATCTTAAGCAAAGACAACATCAAATATATTTAATAAGAATATGAAAATAAAGATAGCATAATACCCGTGGCGGTAACTCTCGAGGCAGTTAATACTAAATTTTTTACTAACCCCCATGTATTATTAAGAGCCTAGTCACTGGGAGTCAGGGTCTGAATATAGGTCCTAAGCTGATTATAAAAGGAACAAAAGAAATTATTTGAGAAATATGTATTATGTATTTAGAAGACCCAGCAAATTTAATAGCTACAAGGCTAATACTAGTAGACTAACCAGGCTAGCCGGGAGACTAAACTAGTTAAATAGCAGATCAAATTTTAGAAGCTATAGATAAAGCAGCATAAGAGTAAGATCTATGTTAAAGATATAGAGATTACCAATTCTACACAGGAGCAGGAGTAGTTACAGACTGAAAAGAGAGAGAGAGAGAGATTTGCGTTATCCTCAAATATATTGCTATTTCCGGGATGCTTCCGAGTCATTGATGGCCGGACGGCCCTAGCTAGAGACACCCTCGGGACGAGAATGTCTTTCTGTATCAGCCTGGAGATAGATGCTGGAAATTTATTCAAGATAGCTTGCTGTGTGGACTTTCCGGGACATTACTATAAACAGATCATCTCTATGTCTCCTGAAATTTCGTGTATCCTGAGGCCGTACGTCAGCCTCAACTGCACCTTAACCTTCACGGCACACTGGTATATGTATGGACATTTATATAGTGAGGAACGTGAAAGTTTGAGGTTATTATCATGGCGCTGGTCCAGAAGACAAACAAATCAGCATACACAGCATCATTGCATCCGACATCTCCGCCGTTGCTGAATTTGAACCACCGGTAGCCTGATCATAGAAGCTCTGGCGAGTCAACGTGTTAGGTTCACCATTACCGCCGTAGAGAAGAAGAGCCGGACGATTAGCGGAAAACGCCAGATCGCCTGCGGAAGCCGTCACAAAGCGGAAGTGCCCATGCTCCTCAGAATTCTGTTGAGCTTGGCTGATATCGATGGGGAGTTGGATTAGAGATTCATTCTCTTCCGATATGGCTGATGACACGTCCGCCTGGGTAGGATCAAACACTAGAGCTACCGCTTTGGATTCTTCTACAATAGCGAGTACTTGCTCTGCTTCAGGGGCATGCCCTTTTGTCATGATTAGTATAGAACAACAAATAATCGAAAAGAAAACCAACCCATTGGGACAATGACACCTCCCATCGAGAGAATCGCCAAGCTCGCCACAAAAAAAGGGTACTGGATTTCGGCTAGTACGGCGACGAAGCCAGCGCCATCTTTGAAGGACCCAGTTGCATCAAGCAGGCTGGAGGGAATGGCAGTTTGGATTTTTAGACGCAGCATCTGCACATCGTGTAGAAACTGGGAGTAGTTGAGTTTTAGGCCACGTGTACTGTCGTTGATGATGATTCCATCTTTGTTTTGATGGGCGGCGTTGATCAGACGTGTGAAGAAAGGGTCGGAGGGGAATTTCACTTCTTGAATAGGGCCTGTCTCTTCTTGATTGGCTATAGAGGCCGGTTCATGTTCATGTTTGTGTTGCTGTTTGCGTTGATGTTCGTTTTCATATTCAGGCTTATGCGCCTTATGGTCGTGGGGACAGGCGCACTCGCCATCAGAATCCAAATCCAAATCCGAGTCGCAGTCATAACCATCCACTGCAAGACCGGGAACACATTCTTGACACATTTCGTCGTTTGTTTGTCTTTTTTGTTTTGGTAAAATATCTATAGAATGGTAGGATTCTCATCCAGCACTTTCGGAGGTTAAAAAGTTCTCACGCGGGGCGGTTATGATTGGCCTGAATACTCAGGAAACCCACCCACCTCGTTCCCATCCCCTACCCAAAAACAATTAGTTTGTTTTCACAGGTTCTATATGATCATTTCTGTTCTCAACAATCCGAGTGAGACATATTTGCATAGTAGGCAACCCCTAGTGCATCCCAGCTATTGCAAATTTTGGTAGAACTGGTACTAGTTTTGTTCATATCTATACTTTTATCACCGTGATTGGCTTAGCACAGCTTGGGTGCCTAGGGAAATCCTTGCAGGCATCACGACCCGAAAGGTTGAGAAGTAGCCACTGCTGGGGCCGTTTTCCAGGCCTTGCCTTTCATCTCCTCCCGTAGAACCGATGCTCTTGTATGATTCATGTGCGATGGGTGATGTGTCTGCAAAGGAACGATTTATAAGCGAAGGCGCTAGATAGGCTCTTGGGACATCAGGAAGGTGGAGAAGTCGATGCTCCGGCTGAATCCCGAGACTGGGGATATGGACGATAAGACCCGGGTGGTGGACAGAGCGCTCCATTCGTGGCGACTGGACGGTATGGACCATGTGGAGCGCACGCTCGCCGAGACCATCCGAGTATGCCGCTCGCAGGTGGTGATTCTTCAAGGCGCGCCGGAATGGATTCCCGAAAATCTCTGTCCAGCGCATCTCAGCCCGCTACGTCTTCTCCGAGTCGGATGCAGCAGAGTGGTGGACCGTAGCCGCGCAGTTCCTTGCTGGGCGATGGCATCAAACGCACCCGCAGCACGCAGAGATCAAGGAGATCCTTCATCTCCAGCTGCAGCTCTTGTTCCAGGGTCATTATCGGCCATTGGTTTTGACTTCGTTGCTCTGATTGCCAAGCGAGGGCCGAACAAAGGCCAGGCGTAGGAACCTCGCCGATTTTATATTCTCAGACTGTCTGTGCATTGGCATACTGCTAAATACCTTCGAAATACGATCCACATTATCGGATCATCATGTCTTGACCGATAATGAGCTTTCCATGTGCTGTTTATGAGACTAATTCAAAACATGGGCTTCGTATGGAATGAAACAATACAACCAGTATCCCTAAAATGAAGCTAAGTGAAAGGAGAAAGGTATTCTATATGTAATCTACTGATGCAACCCAAAGCCTACCCGGTCCCTTCACTAAATTTCTAACAGGGTTCCTGTAGACTTTAAGTGAAAGAAGCGGCGCTAGTTGCGTCCCTGGTCTTCTTAATCTGCAGCTGTCTTCAATCTTCTTTTCTCATCATCAAGGTACCACTTTCCTCCATGGTGATCACTATGGTCAACCCTTCAGTTCCATCGTCACTAGCCACCAAGCTTCATACATCGCCTGATTTGGCTGGGAAAATCTCCGTGATATTCTCCCTTGGCATTTCCGGATAAGGAGATCAATCAATATGCAGAGATTAGTCTGCTAGAGCCCCTAAAAAGTTTTGCCCATTCAACAGTCTGGCAAAGCCTCAGTTATATTCTCAAATCCACTAGCGGGAAGTGATCTATGATTTATATCGAGGTGTTCAGACCTTTCCCACCAATATTAATCGGCGACTCGTGCTCCATTTTGGGAACTCTATTGTCATTGGGCGCTCTTATTACTTTACTTATAATCGGATCGTGTTATTACAGGCGTTGACTATGTAGCTAGTAGGACCTTCCTCTAGCTAGTCACGCGTAAAAACTTGGACCCTGATATCACGTAGGGCACCCCAAGATATCTGAGTAGATATCGTAGACGAATCAGAAGAATTAGGGCTTTGGTATAACTTATTTTTGGTCATGGGTGCTGGTGAGACATTGGTAGCTGGAGAAGGGAAAGCTAGGAAGCCCGAAATGTCAATGGATCGCCCGAGGTGGGCCGGGTGAAGCCGATGAGAACTGTACACAAGGGAGAATTGCGATTGGCTTCGTAGATAAAATCCAGATTAGGGAGAACAAAAGATAAGACCCAGAAATCTATCAAAAAAACAGAAACATACAACAGCATTAGTATGAACATGCCCACCCAGATGTGTTAGTATTAGCTTGTGGGTTTCTTACTGCTTTACACTTTACACAGGCCTTCGAAGTCTTCTTTAGATAACTGAATAATATTTACCTGAAGAATAAAATAGCACATTTTAATGGAATACACTTTCTTAAGTAATTTTTAGACTTGACTTTGTGAATAGCATGCCAGCTATCTTATTTTATCTTTACTCTTTTTCACCAAGCTCTCTGTGAAGTGCTTTTTTTATTGAGCCTTGAACTTCTGGCTTAAGTCTGTTTTCAAGGTCTATAATAGATAGATTACTATATTATCTTTACTAGAATATTACTTGTTGGAATCAAGGTATACTAAGTAATTATTTAATTAATTATAATTATTATAGTTTCTGTTCTGTGTAGTGTTGTTTTCGGGGCGGGTCGGGACGGATTCTTGGGGTTGTTCCCCCAAATCGTGGGGTATTACATAACCTCGTTGGGTTTCCGTAACAGACCGGCAGGACGGAGCGGAGTGTGACGTTAGGGACAAGGTAAAAAAATTATACCATACCTATCTGCACACTATGAGAACGCACTTTAGTATATTTACCTGCAAACGGATAATTTTTCCACTGCCTGGATCCTTCTTAGCCGTGGTCCAATTTCTACTTGGTTCATGTCAATGATACATACGACTGTAGTCGGACTAAACAAGCCCGCAAAAGCCACTATATAAACTAAGTCAGAAAGATCAGTGATGGTCTATGATAGAACGGAGAATATTACCACCATAATAAATTGTCGTCGCAGCCAATCGCATGAGAATGCCGTACCTCAAACTACGAGACGGGGCGGAGCTCTTCTACAAAGACTGGGGCAACCCGAGCGGCCAGATTGTGACCTTCTCCCATGGCTGGCCGTTGAGCAGCGACAACTGGGAGAACCAGATGGTCTTCCTGGCCGATCAAGGCTATCGAGTGATTGCCCATGACCGACGCGGTCACGGACGTTCGACCCAGACCTGGAACGGCGGCAACATGGATACTTTTGTGGACGACCTGAAGGAGCTTTTCGAGTACCTCGACATCAAGGGTGCAATGATGGTTGGCCACTCACATGGTGGCGGCGAAGTCACACATTTCCTGGGAAAACATGGCACGAGCCGTGCCAACAAGGCTGTTCTTGTGGGTGCTGTGCCACCCCTGATGGTCAAGACTCCGGCGAATCCGGAAGGGACGGATAAATCTGTTTTCGACTCGTTTCGGGAGGCAATGCACAAAGACCGCGCGCAGTTCTTCCTCGATGTACCAAGCGGCCCGTTCTTTAATTTCAACCAACCCGGAGCTAAGAAGAGTGAGGGCCAAATTCGCAGTTGGTGGCAGCAGGGAATGGCCTCCAGTTTTAAGACAACCTACGACTCTATAAAAGACTTTTCCGAGACCGACTTTACGGAGGACCTCAAGAGCATTAACATTCCGGTTCTGGTCCTCCACGGTGATGATGACCAGATTGTGCCTTTCCAAGCAGCAGGACAGAAGTCGGCGAAATTGTTGCCCCAGGGCAAGCTGAAGGTCTATCCAGGAGGTTCGCACGCTATTCATGTTATAAATATTGATGAGATGAATAAGGATCTTCTCAGCTTCCTACAGTCATAAGTTGATATAGATATACCTTCTACAATACACTTAGTGAACTGTGAATATAAGTAACAATCTATTAAGAATATTCCATTATCCTTGTTAACCAATTTCATACCTAATAAGTCAGTGGGTGAACATTATCCTAAGAAATGTCAAGGAGCGTTAGTATCTATAAGTTACATGTACATCCTTTAATAGGGCTGAATGGTATACACTAGGTCCGTGTAATATAGTAAGTGATGCTACCTTGAGCCCTATCTTTGTCCTTGTAATCATTATATTGTTCTGTCTCTGTTTCGGTCACAATGTATGAAGTCTCTATCCAGGCTGCCCTACTGCGTGGCCAGCGAGCTTATACCAAGCTGAACCGTCCCATATTTCCTACCGAAGCCTCACCGCTCATACAAATCTAGTAGGGCCAACAGTTCTGGCACCTGGCCGCAGGACATGAAGCCGAAAGGAAGTGGTCCAGAATAGCGGCCATATCAGGTCTTGAATAGAGTCGTTCGAATCGCTAGCTTTCAAATCTACTTCCTCGCTACAATTCAAAATAAGCGGTATTCCACACGCAATCTTACAAACACCAGCAATTTGACAGCTTGAAGCAGTCTGTTTAACAAAATATGGCATTCAAGTAAAAATTATTTTGTAGAGCGCTACGAGTACATACGACCATAGGGTGTGGAGAACAGGGCTTCCCGTCCGCTCAGCCGTACTTAAGCCACACGCCGGCCGGTTAGTAGTATGGTGGGTGACCACATGCGAATCCCGGCTGTTGTATGTTTTTGCTTTCTACAATTTTTGTTGTTCTATTCACATATGTTGTGCGTAGGTAGTAGGTGTGCTATGGGTGGTAAATAAACCAGTCATCTAGTGATTCATCCATGCATGATGATCATAGTTACCAGTGACATTCATATAATTAGATGATGACTGCAGCCTGTTTGATACTTGTATTTTAAGTAATTATGTCATTTTAATCCCCAAGAGAATATTCTGTTATTTGTAATGTCTTTCTTTCACTTGCCTCTTCTCTCTAATGTTACTTGTCCGCCCTTACTATTTACTAGATTTCTTATTGCTTAGATCTGGTCACAGTTTTCCTGACCATAAACTACATATGACTACTTCCAGAGCGCAACAGCGTTATGATATCTTTTGTACCCGAGGGGGATTCTATTTCGACGCCTTTTCAAAACATTTTGACTTGACACTAGCTTCAAGTTATCATCCTTATTAAACAGCAGCCTATGGTTTTAGCAAAGTTCACAACTCATCAGGAATCAGGCGCCGCATTCCGTATGAGACTTAATAAGTACGTCCATGAAATGAAGCTGATAACACTGTCTATTTCATGCGAAATCTTTCTGCTACCTACCTGTAGATGACAAGTGGAATCTCGCTTCGAATGTTAATGGATGCGAGATGAACCAGAACGTGCGCGAGCTGTGGCAGAATATTAATACTGGTATCTCAATTCTACCGTGTGCAAGAGAAGGCACGACTTCACCTGTATCCCCTCGCTTGGTGATCTAAGTCTCAGTGGAAAGTCTCCTCGCAGAAAACATGGAATCTATCTCCGCAAGGAGCCGTCCGCACTCCGACAGGGTTGCTTAGCTCGCGATGGACAGCGATGCGTCATTTACCAGATGTATACATTCAATCACAGACCGCGGAACAACTTCAATCACTGCCCCTGCAACATCATACATAGTACCGTGCTTTTATGCGTGCTTACAGCAACGACGATGAAGAATTCGAGACGCTTAAAACATGGATAACACTGTATCACTGCTTCTCTGTACTGTTATTTTATTCGAAACTCCGCTCATCAGATGTTGACCGTGTTGACAATGCTATGATGCTCTTAGCTCTGTTGCACACAGAATTTGCACATAGAATTCGGCAAATTCCATCTGTAAGCCTTACTATTCTTTGCTATTCCTTACCATTCTGTCTAAATGATTACCACCCTTTCAATTTCAGTGGATTTCAAACCTAGGGCCTCACAGATGGACTCGGTGCCTGTCTGGACTGGTTGTTGTCACGGCCGGTTCCAGCACGGTCTAAGCCTCACTTGCCATTGCCTGCCTAGGTTGATAGCCTAAGTAAAAAAACCTATCAAGCCCTTCTATTTATTCTTGGCACCACTCCTTTTAAGATTACTATAATACGAGATCGGAGTCAGCACAGCACGTGAGTAGAAGGCCCCGCACATGGCAGTCTATCCGGTGCCCAGCTGCTGATCGACGACATCGCAATTCTATCGTTTATCTAATAATTTGTCAAGTGAAAAACCTGCCGGCATCTCGTCGATAAGACTCCAGGTTCGGATGTTCATTACAAGACTGAATAGCCAAATTCACCGGGATAAAATGGACGACACAACGGTGTCCAAGACATCAGTGTACGAACAAGATGACTTGCAGCCCACCTCAGAACAGGAGGAGCAACTGGATCATATGGATAAACACATCGGAAACCTGCAGAAAGAGCATCCCGCATGGGATTTGAAAGCAAGCTCCCGCTGGTGGGCGCCTAGTATTGCTTTCGGCGCAGATCTCCAGGTATGGCTGGAGGTGACAAGACTTACACTCATGTTTGCTGACAGGTCTTGTCTTAGAAAACGCTTGACCAAGACACTCATGATAAGGTAAACCACTGCTTTGCGAAAATCTTTGAGCAGAACTTTGCTCCGCCTGCCGTGGAAGAATCCCACACCGAGATGAAGTCGATCTTGACTGGGCACCCCGATATTCTAAGACAGATGGAGGCTTCTTTTTTCGAGCGAGAGGGGGCGTTGGCTGAGATTTATCAATATACAACGTTGGATGCGGCTGCCGGAAAAGCGCTGAGTAGTTGTGCGGCAAAGGCCCGGTGAAGTCATAGTCATGGGTTTGTCGTCGAGTCTAGTCTAGTCTGTTCTTGTGCCCAGATGCGGGCATTTTCGTCTATAACGTGGCAGAAGGCGATCGATGTAATACCCACTACTATAGTGCAGGGACTGGTGCAAGAAAAGCTTAGTGCAGCAAGTAGTCTTCTTATTGTATTTTCGTATGAGCAAGCACGGAATACCGAAAACAACAGCGAGCACCGATTAGAAGCAGCATAGTTATCCAGACCGATGAGGCGCCCGTCGCGTCACCACTGTGTCTGACCCAGACGCCGTCCGGAACACGGAGGTCGACGAAGGCATCTCGTGAAGCGATACTGGCTGCGGTTCCCTGGTATGGTTCATTTTTGAATCCTTCTTCGCCCAAGGAATAAAATTATAAATGACCCCACAGATCATAATCCCAATCCACAAGGCAAGTTCGGTTCCATATATCACCATCGCCAGAATATCAATACGTGGTTCAAACACTTCTACTGTTTAGTTCCAGTTACTGGTTCTTGCAAAAGAGAAATCACGTACCGACAGATATCAGTGAAAACAAATCTCCCGCGGCATCGATGATCACAAACAGAAAGCTTATTCCCCGGACCGTTCGATGGGTATAGATATCCCAGTAGTGGGTCAGAACCCCGGCTGCAAGCAAGCAGGCGCTCAGAACGGCCATCAATACAAGAGGCCATCCCAGGTTGCGATCGTTCGCGGCTCGTAACGCAAAGACAAGCGCTACTTCAATCGCACCGAGTCCCACAAGTAGCGGGGCAACTACAGTGATACACGCCATGAACGAGCGCTTCTATCGAGATTAAGTATATTATTTCAAACAATCCTATCTCAGAGAGGAGACCCCACCTTGCCATAATAGAAGCACTGGGCCCATGTAACCAAACTTAGGAAAGTCAGAATTTGGGGCTGGATTCGCAATGCCACGTTCAAATTTTGCACAATATTATACACTCCAAGAGGAACGCCAGCAACAGCCCACAGAAGCATCATCGATGGTTGCAATCCTTCTGTATTGTGCCTTCGATAGTTGACGACGATTTGAGGTATAAGCTGGGGGGGTTAGCACACTGGGTGCGCTATGAAGTCTAGAGTTGCACATCTAACCTGTATAGACCAACACACCTACAACGGAGTTAGTGGACAGTCCAAAAAAGAGGGGAAGAAAACAAACAGCCCCTATCGTGCCAAGAATGTTCGCAGCCACTGGAATGTCCATCTTGAAGAATTGGAAGGTTGTTGATTGTTTGATATGCTCGGAGCGGGTAGAAAGCCCGTTGAGCACGTGATGTAACGGCTGATTAAGGTCATCTGATAAGATAAGCCCTATGACGTTTAACCGTTGTAGACGTGTCTGAGTGGACATGCCTCTAGCATCTACTCCTTGCCCACTTGAAGCTATTATTCATTCTATACAACATGAACTGCGCTCACATACATGATAACCAAGAATCACAGCTAACGCAAGACGCCAGATAGATCAAAATTATTTGGTTGCCCACACAATCAATGGATCACTCATGAACCTCTTCATTCCAGCATGTGTCATGGTAACATTCACCTCCCACGGGGCATCTGTACGGCCGCTGAAGCCATTCATATGCGTTGCACAAACAGCCCTGGGCATAACAATGCACACGTTCTCAAGCGGAATCATATGCATCTCAAAGCCACCAATGCGGCCCAGTGGCTCACCAAAGTCCATGCTGTATACACTCAGATGCCTCCAGCTGCTGATACTGGTGTCCGCCAATTTGACACTCAATGCACCCCAGTCTTTCTGCTCCTGCATAAAAGACAGTAAACTGTACACATGTTTTTCATCCACCGCCAACACGCCTTTTCGGATCTCCGCCGCCACGGCGGCCAGTTGCGCGATATCCTGACCATAGACAGCCGTCCCCGTCGGCGACGTAGTCTCCGCACAATTTATAGAGGCTCGAACCATCGCCACGGCATTCCCAAGGTAATTCTGGAAGTCAGCTTGGCGAAATCGCTTGCGTATATTAACTGCCATCTGAAGGTGGGCCCCGGAAGAACTGTGGGACTCGGCGTCGCGGGTCGGAGCCTCACGTTTGATGGAGGTGGCCAAAAGCGCATTGAGAATGTCGTTGGCAGAAAGCACGAGCTCTAAGCCAAGGGTATGCTGAACATAGACATTGCAGAAAGCCCTGAGCTCCTCGATTTTGGGTGCCGGGAAGGAGAACCTGCTAGTCACAAGGCTGGTGTTTAACGACGCCATCCGCGCCTCCTCTTCGCTAGCAGGCATGTCAGGGATTGTTGCCGACGTACCATACTTGCTCGTGTGATCCTGTTCCTCCACCACAACTGGCATTTCGTTGATCAGCGCGCGTAGCCTGACCTCGTTATCGGCGAACTCGGATGCCAGTGGCGCGGCATCGGAGCCCACCTTAAAGGCACGACAGCACTCGGCCAGCGCCTTGAGGACGAGTTCCGCACCCGTGCCATCGAAAACCGCATGATGAAAGCTCATTCCCAGGGCAACTCCGTCCGTCATCCGATTGGCTTGGAACTGAACGACGGACCGACGGCTGGTCCATGGGCTCAGCGGAGAGATGGGCACGAAGTCCACAACCGATGGACCGGCCTCATTGCCAGAAGCTTCGCTGGAAGCACCGCAGGGCGTGGGGGTGGGTAATCTTGACACCGGTAATAGATGGCTCTTTATTTTGAGGATGTCGTCCACTTGGGGCACGGTGTTCGATAGTTGGACTTGGTGAAAATTCCGGTGGCCATTCAACTCAGGGGTGCCGACAACCTCTCCGCCCAGGAACGGCAAGGTGGAAAGGAGTCGGGTCATCCCTTCGCGGAGGGTCTCCATACCGCGGTCCGGACTCGCGGTTTGGAACGCCAGCACATAGGACATGTAGATCATTGGCATGGTGTGATCAAGTGGAGAGAGGCTGAACAGGACGGTGGAATTTTGGCTGTCCATGTTGTCGGTGTCGGCCTGGAGCCTGGGTGCGATTGTGGTGAGGTTTTCGATGATGGGAAGCGGGAACAATGGCTAATGAGTGAGTAAGATGTGCGTGTAATATATGTATATTCGAGAGAATACGAAGCAATGAATCAACTAATGCGGCTCTCTCAACTATTCTCCGACCCTATCAGTCGTGGACGTTGTGATACACTAGGGGGTCCACTCCAAATAGGGGAGGGCATGACATTCGGTATAGTCACTATAGCGGCTCTTTAGGCCTTATCTAGTGGGTGCTGATCAGTGGTGATCTACACGGTCAACGCTTTGCCGCAGGCACGGCCATCCCACGGGTCAACCCATATGCCAATAAATGGATGCATGTTGCTGTCAGGGAATGTACAACCCGACAGATGCCAGACCGATGTAGAAGAACTATGCAACTCTAGAATTATAAGAAATGCCTTCTGTATGGCATCGGCCAGGATGGAGATGAACACTGCACTGATCAGCTACCTGTCAAGACTCTACTCTACGATCCTTACCAAACAGGGACTTACTTACATAGTGCTTCTAGCTAGTGTGTCTTGTGGGGATGGCACCAAAACAAGAAAAAAAGGACAAGAAGTCTTAGCCTCGCCTTGGGTTTATCTCAGGGTGTCCGATAGTGTCTGGCCTCTTGTCAAACAATCAAGAGAGGTTGGGCGAGAGGGAGGGGTGGTTTCTCAGTATTAAATAGGTGTTCAAACCCACTTGCATTTGTGCTGCGGCCCACACTGATATAATTTGTATCAGTCTCCTCAATGGCCTCAGTGTCATGTAACTCAGCAGCGCATGACTTGGCATGTCAAGGAGATTGAGAAGATGTGGCACAGACTATCCCGCGAGTCATACTCCAGACAGAGTTCCTACTACCATGACAAGAATGGCCCTATAGATCCACTTCTATCTATCGCTTTCATGTGCACTGTCGGGGTTTTTACAATGATGCAAGAATGATTGGCTCGCATGGAAAAGAGCGATATACCTCATGGAGAGTCAGATAAGTCTCATAACCCTAATACGAGCAGGGAGGCAGGGGTCGCTAACCCCAACAAAAGCGTTCCGTGGGAATATCAGCAGTGATGAGACAACCCTTCAATACGAGTTAGGAAAATATCCCTATAGAACAGTGGGCCTATGGAAGCGCTCCTTCATAAATAAGCCAAAGAAATTGTGTGGCGCCATATTGTACCAGTTTGACTATATCAGTGTCGCCCGTAACCCCCGGACATTCAATGCTATAGGTCAAATTCTCAATCCTCCTGGTTTTTTACCCTCCATTGTGCCATCTGGACCTTTCTTAGATTAGACTATAGTAAAATTAGCAGTGCCTCTTCCAGGGTTCGATATCTTCAATACTTAATCACGTAGATCCTCTTCTCCGCTTTTTATAAGGATAGAATCATAGCTTCTTGCTTTGGAGTGTACAGGTTGCTCCGCTGTCGGTGAACCAATCAAAACATACAATTATTGATCGAAACTGATAGTATTGCCAATTGGAAAGCTGGCAAGTTGCAGGTTGCATGGAATGTCAGCTGGAAATTCTGCGGTATTTGCAATAGAAGTTCCCTACATAGATAAACTACCGTGTGGACCTCAATGCAGTCACCGACTCCCCCTTGATAGTGTATTGAGTATTATACAGTACTTGGCTTTTAGTTCTGAGACTCGAGTAGACCTCTAGAGCGTACCTTAAATATATCACCACGTGGAAGCAACACAATCGGGTTATTACGCCAGCCTACTATGCGGTTACTGCAGATCCTGCAGATGCTAATTCTCATATAACCATGAATCATATTTCCCACTCTCAAGATTTATAGGGATCTTCGATTTTGTCATCTTTAACAGTCCATGTTAGTGTTTCCCAACACATATCGGCATGTGTAGGAAAGTCGGGCAAATTGGTGAGCGGTTGCTCAGGTCCATTGAATAGCCAGTGGGCCGGTATCAACTTCAGATGGCGAAGTATTCGCAGAATATGACAACAATCCCTTTTGGAATCGGAACCTTTGTGAACAGTCCTTTTCTCTTGTATTATTGTTGTCTAGATTAGCAAACACCAGCTCACGCCAAGCTGTGTAGCTGTCTAGCCAACTGCACCACCAAGAGCCAGTGAGCTCTGAACAAGCCTAAGATGTTTATCGATCGATCATGCTTGTATTCTAGCCCATGCAGGCTTTTAAGATACCGACAACGGCCAGCAAGTGACACTAATGAGCGATATCAATGTACTCGCTTTACCCGCTCTCGAGAATTCGATCAGCTACTGGCTCATGGTAAGCCATCTCCGTTGCCCGATACATCCTGCTAACCGCATATATGTTTTTCATGTCATGTGAGAAGCAAACCCTATATACCGCTATAACTTCGAAGTACACATACCCCTGTTGCAGCTCACATGTCGAACAATGATAATACACGTTCCCTAACAAGATAGTTCTCTCGTTACCTGGTGTGGCTCATCTTCCGACTACTCAAACATCCTTGACAAATTGCAAGGATCCTTGCATCGCAAGCTGGTTTCACGCCGACACTAGGGGCTTCCTAGATGAGGTTTTCAGCACGCAAGATGCTACGTCGGAGCACGATCTGCTCTCCCATAATATTGAGCGAACGGGTGGCACTGCACCTTACGCATCCCTGCAGGGGGGAGTCACCTGCCTCTGCTGGATGACCCGATGCACTGCCACTCTCCAACAAGCCACGGGGTTCTGAAAGAGTGGGTGATGGCAACGGAGGCCGGAGCCGGAATTTGTCCCGAACGTTTATCCTGGGCTCCACTAGCGGGGTGCTGGGTGCCCACTATGTTAAACTATTGCTGCTCCATATCGACTCGGTTTGGAATTTATGCGTGACCAGACGGGTTATCTCTAGGTCAACTCATATGGGGTCTCTGTCCCATGGTCGTTCAAATCTGGCGATTGAACATACCCCGCCAAGACCAATTTATCGTATACATACTATTTCTGCTGCAGAGAATCAAAATGACCTGACCCGTAACTACTAAACCGATCCGTCCACTTGCCCCGTTGCAGTTAGGTGACTCCTATGCAGAGCGTGGGGGCCGTACGGCCACCCGAATGCGAACAAGGATCGCCTAGACACTAGTCAATGACAGGACAATGCGCAGCGCTGGTATTGTCCGATCCCGGTCCATTTTCCGGTCTGCGCCGTCATGGGGTGGTTTTCTTCGTTAGAGTGGATATGGCGCTCCATCTGGCCAATTCTCCCATTGCAACCTCCAATGGCCGCGCCCCATGGACTCTTCAAGCCGGCTAAGGGATTCTGCGCCCGGTTGACTATCTGTAGCTACTATAGAAGCCTTGAGACAAAGTATTCTGGACGAACAATTTGCCTTCCCTGTGGCGTCGATCCCATCCTGCCACCGACCAGGGTTTGCACTTCTCCCTCCGTGTGCAAGGCCCGACTAGCAGCATGCAAAGTATAATTTTTGACTGCAGTCCCCTTTTCCCCCCTTTAACTTCACCGGGCTAGAAGCGTGTGTGACTCTACGTCAAGACAGTCAGCGATTTATACTCCGCACCCGTCTTGGAATTGAGCTTCGTCTGTCCAGCTTCAAGCACGGAACGCGCCCAACACGCTCATCATGTCACCGAGAGTAGAAGTCCGGTCCAACACGGGGACCCTACCCCACACAACAACTTTACCCATGATCGAAATCTACACCGCACCGTCAGTGTGCTCCTCGTCATGGACGTACGAGCCGCCCGAGGCTAACAATGTGTCGGAGGGTCTACTTCTGCAGAATGCTGCCCCTTCAGATGATACGAACAATGACTGCATGCCAACGGGATGGGGTAATCGTGGACGAGTGCCCCCCCAGCAGATCTACAGCCCCGGGTACTGTCCGCATGGCTACACCTCCGCCGATGTAGCCATCCAGCCGCCGGTAACCACCGCAATATGCTGCCCGTCGTATGCTCTTCTATAGCTCCCCAAGATCGGCTTGCAGTACTAATGCGCAGCCTCTAGAGACTACGAGTATACCACCAACCCTGCCAACACTCAGATGGGGTGCACGAGTATGTTTCCCGAAGGCGAGACAACAACCGTCAAGGTGCGGCAGGCAAACAACAAGCGGACGCGGATCGTGGGGCCAATCACCATGTACGCGCAACCCATTATTGTCGCCCAGGAGAAGCACGACTTGACGATGTTCGTAACATCGACAGACCCCGAGCCCTCGTCCACCGCCGCCGCGCCGACCTCCACCACAGCCGTGCCGACTGAAACGGACACCCCAACCGGCCCCACTGGCATCCACGACCACGTCGCGGGGGGCGAGAAGCCGGAGACAAGCGGTATGTCCACAGGCAGCGCGATCGGCGTAGGGGTTGGCGTGGGCGTGGGAGGTCTAGCGCTCCTTCTTGTCCTGGGACTCTTCATCCTGCGACGGAAGAAGCAAAGCAAGCGAAAGCAGGAGATCGACTTCTACAGCCAGACGGAGGGGCGGCGCGAAGCCGGACCTCTACCTGACAAGCCGAAGCCGACAGGTCGAGTTGGGCCGTCGGAACTGGCGACGAACCCCCATGGGGCTGGCACGGCGATCCACGAGATTGGCAGCTGATACTTTTTTTTTTCTCTACTTTTCTTGGTCCCTTTGTCTTTCCTTAGTCCCGTCTGTGCGAGACTTTTTTTTCATATATATATACCCTGATTTATCTCTGGACGATCGACCGACTTGTAAAAGCGCTGACGGCGGGTCGGGTAGTTGGGAGTCTGTACATATACGATGTGATTTTCATATTGATGTGTTGAGGCGTGGTGTGGTTGATATTGAGATTTACTTTAATTGTGGATAACAGTTTTGTATTCTAGCTTCTCCATTAAATAAACTCATTTACAATCTTTAAGATTGTGGCTTATCATTCAATACTATTCTTGATCAATAGATAATATAAGTCCTCCTCTGATAATATAGATATAAATAGCTTCTCTAGAGATACCAGCCACACTTATGTTAAATAATTTAAAGAAGAAGAGATATAGAGATAAGTGGCTACATGTGTAAAGAATATAAAGAAGAAGAGATATAGAGACAAGCAGCTATGTGGTTCAAACCATATTGGATAATCAGGCACATGCAGGTGCTTGAGAAGAGATACAAATCCAATCAGTTTCAATCTGTGGGGTGTGAAGGAGCTAGGTAGATTTCCAGCCTCGTTATTCCAGAGGTATATAGTTTACTCATTTCCCATGGACAAGAAGATGGCAAATGACGCGTGGATAGGTTTTCGTGGCGGCACCATGTCATCCATAATTTGTTGTTTAGTTATACCAGAAGGGTGAAAATGAAAGGGTGTCTTTGAAATGCTCTAGCATATACGAGGGCATTCATCATTATTATTAACATAGCCGATCATTGATAGCTTTGGCATTTCAGTTGATATTCTGAGTCTGTTCTTTTTACTGCTCCCTGTCAGCCCTGTCCATGTACTATTAGGTCGAATGTGTGGAGACGAGTCAACAAAGTGATGTATATCAGGGGTATAAACCAAGAGTTCGCGGGAAACGTAAAGATGTATCATCAACATTTCTCGCCTTCTAATTATGGCCATCAGGTACGAATTGATGGAAGCAGACTGTAAGACAAATTGGAAATCTACAAGAAACACGACCATTGGTGTAGTGGATTGTCTCTAGTCGCTTTTCATCACTATTGCAGACGGTAGCGGATGCGCCATGTAGCTTGAAGTTTTTTGATCACTATTCCGGTCCCTTGCCGGTCATTGATTTGAGGCTATCTCACGAACCCACAAACGAGCGTATGGCAAGAGATCAGCTACTAACTCAGATCGAAAATCTCAAGTGCGATCAGATTGGAAACAAAAACAACGGTACAAGATAACATTGACGCGACTGATGGTAATTAAACCCCCCTGTCTGCTACAATACGCAGTACCTAGAATCCGGTGTATAACCAGTGTTGGGAAATCTGTATGTTCCTTGCTATATTATCAGGGCTAGTAAAACACCATATCATCCTCCCTACCGCGATCCAGCTGATTTGCGGATGAGGCTCTGTACATCTATGTAAAACAATGATAGGTACATCAGAATCCATACAAATGAATAGTCAACAAGGATGGATCTGAATAGTTGTGGCCTTTCCCTCCTGGGCCGATCGGACCAGCAGATCAAACTCGCCCTCACTGCCTCGAAACACCAGCCGCTCAGGCTGGGAGGGAATGCGGCAAGAAAGCACATTGACGCGGGTCTCGGGATCGAAGACATGGCAGAAGTCCTGGACTTTGCCGAATAGCTGCTCTGAGGACTGGCACTCAGTCAGGGGAAAGGCCCGCGTGCGCATCGCTCCGTAGCGATGGAAGAGAATCTCGAACACCAGGTTGGGCGAGCGAGGATTCGAGGGGGGAGAATGTTGATTCGATGAGGAAGAAATTGTTGGGCCATCCGCACCAGACACGTCATCCTCAAGGAGTTGATAATTCTTTGGGACGGTGGGCCGGAGCTGACGGGACCATCGACGGGGCGACGGCGTGGAGTCTTCAGCGTCGAGAGAGATGACTGAATTGGACGAGCGTGACGCCCGCCTCAAGGCGGGTGAACTCGACCTATTGAGATTATCAATCCAATCGAACGCGCCGTCGGGGAAGTCAGCGTGATTGGAGCCGCGCATGAAGATACGCAGGGCGCAACACCGCGGGTCCAGACCGTCGCGTACACCGCGCCATTCGCGTAGGAAGGTGCCGTATTGGTTCTTGGTCGGATGGCAGACGGCGATTATTGGGATACTGCCAATGGGGTGTAGGACAAGGACGTCGTACGAGGCGGTTGTGGCGATGTTGACGCGGCGGAGCTGGACCTCACGGCCCAGGCGATCGAAGACGCGTGAGGGTAACTTCGGCTCGCGTCCGTAGCGGAATGAAGGTTTTCCGGTGCGGTGGACGTGATGCCATTCCTCTAGCTTGGTGACGATGGCACGGTGGACTGGAGCTTTGTCGCTGCAGCGGGCCGTGAGAGATTTTTTAGTGGGGAGTGACGGAGTAGTCGTCCAGCTGTCGTCGTCCGAGGAGGTGCAGGGAATGGCAGACGTGTTGGGAAGACTCGAGAACGGTCAGGTTGTTCAATTAGATTTTTGGGGGCACTAACATGTCCATGATGATTAGGTGGAAGAGCGGGAGAGACCTGTGAAGCTTCTTAAATGTGTCTAAGAGGGCTGACGGAAATTTCTGAGTGTCGATGGTGCTGATGTTGTAGCGGTGAAAAGGTTGCGAATAGTTGCAGACCATGAAACACCAAGACAACAAATATATGTGGGAAAACGCCGCAAGTCAGCTGACATGGTGCCCGATTGTTTGTCTCGACTATCACCACCCCCTCAATCAGGTAAACATAATACTTTTGAGGAATCTACGGCGTTTCACCCTCTGGTAGCCGCCAGTCCCTAGACACCGATATCGCCAAGAGGCTTCTTCGGCTCTCTGGGCGTTGAGGTGTGCCTCGCCGCTTCATACGTGCAATCTCTGTACTCTTTGCTGTTATTCTCTCTTCATGGGGATTCTTGAATAGGGGCAATCTCCCAATATCCAGTTCATGCAGGCGATATCTCCGCTTTCTGGAGGTAGATAAAGTCAACAGATCTGATTTGAACGTGGTCGACATATGAAGCTGTTCCGGATGGTCTGCCAGTCGGCTAAACGCGATTTTGATGGTCTGGACTTTGGAAATTCGTAGATGTGTTTCAAAAACGTCATCTTAGCAAGATGAGTTGTAAAATGAGTGGGAGTAGCTTCGAAAACAATACCACAGTAGCCGTGGATGGTCCGGGCTCATACTCTGTGAGCGAGTCATTGAAAACTATCAAGATATTAGTGCCATAGATAAAACTTGAGGCTATGAAAATGTTGTGGATTTATGCCATATTGTAGGAAACATGCAGCATTAGGTGTTAGTTGATATAGGAAAACACTGGCAGTCAAATAACACGTTGCCTACTCACATTTCTCATTGTTCAACATACATCAGTAGACGTTATATTTGCCCTGGTTATACAGAGAATATATGTGGAATAAAGCAGAATCAGCAGATATGTCGGCGAATTTATGGTGTTCCTATGTATCGAAAAGGTGGATGGTTGACTGTCAACCGTAACAGCTTAGACAGCTGAGCCAGCTGGCCCAGCTAACCCGCCTAGTCGTGGGTGGATAACCACATCCACCTTAACCACCCTAACTGTCTTAACCATAACAGAATACCAAGCATCTTCAACACCCCTTTCCTGGTAACTGTGCTTTTCAATAAAACCCATAAAAGAGTATTACTATGAGATTTATATATATTTGTTCAGGAGCTTTAAGATGTATATCACAAGAGAAATTAGTATTACCTAGACTGTTCACCATTAAGACAGACTTATATACTAAGAATAGTTTGTTAGTTAGTTACAAGGTTTCAATCTAATATTGGAAACTAATTTCTTATTGGTCAAGTGAAAATGATCTCCATAACCCAGTTAACTCCATCTATATACACAATATTTTGGCTCTTTATATTTCTTGTAACTTTTTCACAATCATTTTATATTTTGTTCTACTCTAGTTATATCATCTTGATAATAATTTACAATATAATTATAAATATACACATAACCAGGTGACAGGATGACTAGTTTAGTATTCCGGACGTGATATAGGCTAGATTACTAGAACACACATATACATAATGTGGACTGAGATGATTGACACAACTCACCTGCTCTTAACAAGGACAAGGAGCTGTGTTAATATTACTGGATATAGTAACCTAAGCCGCTCTGCTATAACCCATACCAATTACTATGATCAAGGAGAAAACAAGGACAAAGCTTGACGTGACTGATAGACTTCCAGGGCAAGGCTGACAGGGGAGAAGACTGCCACAGAGCTGGGCCACATTTTAACTGAAGTGTATTACTTGATTGTCTCTGTAATGATGTACCCAGAAGAGCCACAGACTTAGACTCTTAGGTTTTTGACTGGTAGACAAGTGACTGCTTTATTGATAATGAAAAGATCAGGGTTTACTCCCCTTCATAGTATAACTATACATTAACATATATTATATGGGATGTATTCACATCAATCAATAATCGAAAATATACTGTTTGATATTACTATTATAATAGGATTTATGAACACATATTTGATTCCATTATACTCTAATCATCAGTGTATCAGAGAGATACCTGGCATCTAGTCTTGAAGTAGTGAAGCCATAAAATTCACTAAGTTCTATCACTTATATTCTTCTTCACCTCTACAAACACTATGACTGTACAGAGGCCAGATTCAGGGTATAAATAGCCCATCTTCCCACCCTAATCTTGACTTCCTTTCTCCATCCTTCATACTCTCGCATTATCGTTCTCTATTCTACATCTACATCATCCTATCCAAAACGGACTGAATACGAACAACAATCATCAACAACCATCAATATGTTCTTCAAAATTATCCTTACCTACCTCACCGTCACCCTCACCCTCAACCTCATCACCCTCGGCGCAGCTATCGCCCTCCCCAGAAACATCAACACCGTCCTCGACAAGCTCACCGAACTCGGTACCCTCGAAGGCAAAGTCGATCAGGAGCTCCAGTCATGGACCGGCGAGCACAACGCCGCCATGCCCCTCCTCATGGCAATCCAAGCCTGGGGCGACGGCATGCAGGACACTACTGCAGCCGCTGATGAGATCCAGGGCCCATTCCACGAGGCGGACAGCAAGCAAGTCAAGGACATCACCGTGGGCATGGGCGACGCCATGCCCAAGACTTTTGCGCTGTTCATGAACAAGGTATGTTTATTTCTTTCTTCTTCCTTTCTTGTTCATTGAGGGATACGGAGGGATAGGTCTGGGAGTTATACTAACCAAAGTAGAAACAAGTTTTGGAGGAGGCCTATCTCCGCGGCGTGATTTATTTCCACCTGAAAAGTCTTCTGACTAGAACCGAGAGCCTGGCCGACGCCTTGGGAGAGAGAATGGCTGAGAAAGATAGAAAGGTTATGGACGGGGTTGTCGAGGACGTTGTTGATGGGTATGAGAACGTGATTGATGAGTTTGAGTATTGACGGGTTGACTGATTGACGGATTGATTTCACGATTTATGGTTTCATGGTTTATTGTTTGATGATTTGATGAGCTATTTAAGCATTGGGATTGGGACAGGCTGACTTATGGGTTGATTGGATATTCAAATATTCAGATGGAAGATGGAAGGTTGATTGTTTGGATGGATATGTTCCGCAAGTGTTGTTGTAATTTCGATGTTTTATTTCATCACCTACATGATAGGCAGATAGTACTTTCAATCCGATCGATGCAATTTTAACTATCTTGCCATGACTTTAGAGACTTACCTCTGATAAACAATTTAAATACCAGTCATATCAAGCCCGACCAACATAACGCTCGGTATTTTGGTGCAGTGGCTGACATGAACCGTCAAAAAACCCTAAGTATTTAGTACATTGCGAAGACTATGAGTGAAACCTACTAACAGCTAGTTTGTTTCTAGAATGTCTTGTCTAAATAAGATAGTTTTACTAGATCATACCGGTTAACTACCACTAGTGAAGATCTATCATATATATAACTCAAAATCAAGAATTGGCCTATGTATGGGGTAAACACGAGCAGCCTCAGTATATGATTTGAAGTAATGTAGGAAGACATAATACTACTGTGGATTATCTCAAGCAAACAAGACCTTACCCACCCACTTTGTACGTGGATATACATATAATCCGACAGACTAAGGTAGAACCCACATTCTACGTTGTGTTCTCATAACTCAATCAAGGTCAAGATATTTCATATTAGAAGATTACTAAATCTGACCCATGGAACACACTCAGGGGATGGATTGATTCGTCATCCCGTCCACTTCCGTCGAGACGTATTACCGTCTGTGGTGGCAATTCCAATAACCAAAAAGAAAACAAGACGGAAAACAAGAGGCAAAAGGCAAAAAGGCGAAAGAAAAAATGGGTCAAGTGGAAAAAAGGTCTGGTCAGGCAAATAGAATGATGGGGAGCAGATAAAATGGGGGAAAATGGGGCAATAACCAATTAACAACTATGTACTCAGAATACAATAAATCAGCGAGTACATGCAACCCCTAACGCCAAACACCACGTATCTCGTACAATGCAACCAACCCATCCAATTAGATCGTACCAAGTAAAATCTACTAATTCGGATCGTACCCATCTGCCAGCTTGTCGTTCTCCTTGGAGTAGCCGTAGCGGCGCCAGTTCTCGGTCACCCACCACTCAGTGACGTGGGCCGCGTCGCGCAGCCAGTCGACGGCATCCTTGCCGAAGCGTCGCTCCAGCGAGGCGGCCATGTCGACCAGGGCGAAGTGCTTGACGGGGTGCTCCTCGGCGGGATCCTCGCCAACGTGGGTGAAGCGCCATTCGAGGTCGTCGACGAGCGGGATGACCAACCGGTAGTCCGGGTGGGCGGCGGAGCGCACGGCGATGAGCGACCCGCCCGTGTTCATGACGGAGAACTGCCAGTCCTGGATGTGCTCCTTCTCGGGGACGAGGGGCCGGATCATCGACTGGCCCTCGTACTGGCCGCGTAGGTCGCGCGTGGCCTTGGTGCCCTCGGGGCCGAGCGAGCCCGACTCGACCAGCAGGTCGAGAACGGTGGGGACGATCTGGTCGCTGGTGACGGGAGCGTCCACGCGGACGGGGGGGAGCTTGGGGTGGGCCAGCACGATGGGGACGTGGAAGTTGCCAATGTGAGGGTTGTCGTAGGGGGTAACACCGCCGTCGTTGGGCAGGGAGAGGCCGCTGCACGGGTTAGCTTCAATTGCATACAAATTTGAACAAGAAGAGAACGAGGGGAAACATACTGGTCTCCGGCCATGACGATCAAAGTCTCATCGGCCACACCCTTCTCCTGGAGGATCTCCAGAACATCAGCCAACCAGGTATCGACGAAGCCGATGGTGTTGAGGTAGCGGTTGAAGTCGTCGTTGGAGCCCTTCATGAGCTCCTGGAACATGTCGTCCCGAGGCAAACCCCACGGATGGTGGCTGGTGCCGGTCAAATGGGTGAGGAAGAGACGCTCGTGGTTGCGCTCGGCATCGTCGATAGCGTCGCGCACGTACTCGTGCAGTTCCGTGTCGGCGAACCCGTAGTAGTTGACTTCGCGGGTCTTGGGCGGGTAATGCTTCGCCGCCGGATCATTGATGCGCTCCTTGGTGAGCACATCCTGGTAGCCCATGGTCGGGGTCAGCTTGTCCTGGTTGTCGTAGCTGTCGGTGACGGACTGCATCCAAGTGGAGTGCCAGGGCCAGGTGCGGAAATCGTCGGGCTTGCGGGTGGCGTCGGGCAGCTGGCCGAGGGCCCCAAAGACCTGGGCCAGGCACGGCTGGTAGATATGGTACTCATACTCGCGGTTGAAGTCAGCCACGAGCGGGGTGACGCCGCACAGACTGCCGACCACGCTCTTCAAGGTGTAGGTGCCCGTGGTGAAGGCGTTGCTGGCGCTGACGCCACCGTAGTTGCGGCCGCGAGGGTCGGGGGCCTGGCCGTAGCCCGGGTCGACGCCGGTCAGGTAGGAGGCCGTACGGGTGAGATTGCCCAAGCGGTCCTTGACCTCGTCAGGACTCTCGCCGCCCCAGGAACGGCCGATGTGCTTGTCGAGCCAGGAATCCTTGACCAGCGGGAACACGTCGTTGCGGGTACTCTCGAGCTTAAGGAAAAGAATATGCTTGATCTGGACGCTGCCGTTCTTCAGGCTCTCGCGCAGAGGCTCAAGCACCGGTAGCTGCAGGTTCGCAATGTGCAAGGGGTCGCTGGCGGGGGAATAGTGCTGGCGGGTGCCGTTGGAGCGGTCCCACCAGTCACGGAAGCCGGCGGGCTGGCCGGCCGGCAGCCAGGACCAGGCGGGTGGGTTGGCGAGGGAGTTGCCGTCCTCGAGGTAAGGATAGATGCCGGGCAGGCCCTCGGTGTCGACGGGCGAGGGGCGTTCGGTGTGGAGGAAGGGAGTGACGGGGAGGGTGCCGGCCAGGAAGACGAAGGCGGTGTCGGACGGCCGCAGGAAGCGCAAGGCGGTGAGCAGGAACAACCCGCCCCAGGTGACAATCTGCTTCCAGGCAGCAGGCTCGGAGGCGGCGGGGCCGCTGCGGCCATCCCGCCCGGCATAGCGCCGGCTAGGCCCCTCGCCAGAGCCCTGCAGGGGCACATCCTCGCCGTCGTCACTCTTGTCGTCGCGGTAGTCCTCCACGGGGATCTCCTCCTCGTCGCGGACGGGATCCTGCACGGGGCGGTAGCGTTGGCGGCGGGCCCGGACGCGGCCGACGATGGAGCGGTAGGGAGTCCCCAGAATGTGCAGGATGCCACCGACGAAGCGGTGGATGGGGCGGGACAGAACCCAGGCGGCGGCCACCAGGATCGCGGCGGTGATGAGGAAGCCGGCCAAGCCGGTCAGCAGCGTGGCGATGGCGGCGGCATCAGCGTGGAAGGTCCCGACCTGACGCCAGTGGATCTCGGCACCGGTCGTGACGAAGAAGGAGGTGTTGGCCGAGGCCATCGCCGTCATGCCCAGGGAGAAGGGAACGATGACGAGGGCGCAGAGGGCGGCCACCCAGCGGCGGGGGGCGCGGCGGGTGGCCAGGCGCATCAGCAGGATCACGATGACATCCTGGAAGAAAAAGGTGATGCCCCAGAGGGCCATCTTCGGGAGGGGCAGAGAAGTGATGTGGGCGAAGAGATGCATGATCTTGGCCTGCAGCAAAGAGAGCAGACCGAGGGTGAAGAAGACCCTCCGACCGACATCCCAGGCACCGTCCCAGTCCAAGGTGCTGGCGCGCGCCAGCACCTTCTGAAGGAAAGGCATCAACTTCATCCTTCAATGCGGTGGGGGGGGGGGAGGAGAAAAAGGAGGGGAGCGGAGAGAGGATGGAATGGACAGTGGCAGTCAAGTCCGCCACATGGCCTGGAGAAGGAGAAAGAATGAAGGAAGACAAACAATCGAACAAAATAAAAATGTTGTAGAAAAGGACAGAGAATGAAAAAGAGATGGCAGAATAAAAAGAAGAGGGAAGAATAAAAAAGGGGGAAGGGATTAATTTAGTGGAGGAGAAGCGTTAAGGCAAAACAGGTTAGGAGGGGAAAAAAGCCCAACCGTAATCATCCAGACGAGAGAATAGAGAGAGAGAGAGAGAGAGAGAGAGAAAGAGTGGAGGGGGGAGAGAAGACAGAGAGAAGAGAGAGGGAAGAAAAATGATGGGTGATAGGTGGGTGTGATGAGGCGATGAGGTTCGACTGGCAGAGTTGGTAGGCTGAAACATGGTTCTTTTTTTTTTTTTTCTTATTTTCTTTTTTTTTTTGTTTTATTTTTATTTTACGAGTTTTCTCTGGCTTTTCCTGATTGATCCTCTTGTCCTGGTCAATTTCTGGTCTATTCCTGGATGGGTCTAGAGGTCCCAGTGACCCCTGATTGGTGGAGGGGCCCCACCGCCAAGCCTTTGGGGCTGAGGATTGGTTCTGCCTAGGATTCCTCAGTCATTCTCAAGGGATTGATAATTGGATTGATAATGGCCTCACTTGGCCCTCACTTGGCCCTCACTTTTTCTCTACAAACAGTAGGAGGAAGTGAGAGTTATGTCAGAGTTAAGTAATGACAAGGTCAAAATAAGGTCAAATGAAGTAGAAGTCAAGTAAAAAGTCAGAATGAACCCCCCCCGTGACCAGTTGCCCAACAGGGCTGCCCCACTTCCCCCACTTAACTGGTCTGGTTGGGTCGGCCCCTGAAGGGTCACCGTGGCCTTTCAGCTTATCCTTTGCCTATCTCTCTTACTCAGACTCTTGACCTCGGGAAATCCATCTGGAGGTTCCCCTGAACGGACAATGTAACACCCCCCCATATTTTCCGTTACATGCGGGTGTGGCGCTGTGTCACTGAGATCATCACTACTTCTGTCTTGTATGGGGTATAGTAGAGGGTTATCCAGGTTCTGATTAGAATGGAGTACAGTGCCAGGCAGGAACTTCAAGAACCTTTCTGTTCCACCCGATCGCCCAGACGATCACGGAGCACTAGCCATGGCTGTGCTTATAGTGTATGTACTATATAGAGATTGTTGAACGGCCCCTTCTTAGACCCGTTTCTAGTCCAGAGTGTCAGATAACGATCATGCGCGGGAGAAATACCGTGTATACGACCACCATCCCACAACTCCCGCCCCCAACGCCATCGTCCACCACGACACCGGCCTCTCCTCCACCACCCGTCCAATCCGTGTCGGTCGTCTCCCTGCCACTTGATCCGACGCCGTCCCTGCCACCGCGTAGTCCGCCCATCGCACCGTCGCCAACTCCTTCTGATACTGTACCGCCGTCCCGGGCCAGTTGTTCGTGATCCGCCCATCGGCCGTCTTGTACCATGACCGGCACGTCGGATCGGCGAAACTGGTCTCTTGCAGCTGCGTCTGGATCTGCTCGTTGAGCGACCGCACCACCTCCGTCCGGGGCTGGAGGACCAGGGACTGGCCCTGGTCCCTTGCGCGCACCACCCGGTCGATCAGTGCGCTGAGATACCGCGATTGGGCCTCGATCATGAGGATGATGGAGTTGTGGCCTATTTATTAGTATCATCGATAGAAAAGAAAAATAAAAAAATAAAATAAAATAAACGAAAACAAGGGGGAGAAGGGATAGAAGGAGAAGAAGCAGGGGGAAACACACCCAGGTTGGTGTTCGGCCCGTACAACATGCCGAAATTCGGCATCTCCTCCACCGTCACCCCGTAGTACGCCGAGGCGCCCCCCGCCCACACCGAGTTCAGCGGACGACCACCCCGTCCGGTCACCTGCACCGGGTGCAAGAACTCGACCGTGCGAAAGCCCGTCGCGCACACGATTAAATCAACATCCCGCACCGCCCCGTCGGTCGTCTCAATTCCCGTCTCCGTCACGCGCGCCACCTCCCGCGTCTCCAGCGTCACATTCTCCCGCCCCAGCGTCTGGTAGTAGTTGTCCGACACCAGGACCCGCTTACACCCCAGCTGGTAGTCCGGCGTCAACGCCTCCCACAGATCCGGCCGCCCAGGGAGCGCCTGCTTCATACTCCCCAGCGCCCAATCACGCAGGTAGGTTACGGACGCCGACTTTGGATCCGTCACGAGTCCGTGCGACACCTCGCGCATCTGCATCATGACAGCGCGTTTGAGCCAGCGCGCGGGCGGCAGCGCGCCCAACAGCGTCTGTTCCGCGCCCGTAACGCGCCGGTCCATCCGCGGGATCACCCAATTGGGCGTGCGCTGGTAGACGGTCAGGTTGGCGGCGGCGGGGGCGATCTCGGGCGCGATCTGCAGCGCCGACGCCCCGTTGCCGATGATGGCGACGCGTTTGTCGGCCCAGTCGTAGGTCCAGTCCCAACGCGCCGAGTGCATCACTTTCCCTGTGAAGGCGTCCAGCCCCGGGAGGGAGGGCCACTGCGGCAGGTTGAGCTGCCCGACGGCCGAGACGAGGAAGTCAGACGTGAGCTCGTAGGATGACACGAACTGGCCGTCTTTCGCACCCCCAACGGAGACCTGCACGCGCCATGTTTCGGAGTCGTCATCCCAGCGCGCGGCGTCCACGGCCGAGTTGAACCGGATGTATCGGTAGAGACGGTACTTCTGCGCCACGTGGATGAGGTAGTCGAGCAGTTCCTCCTGGCCGGGGTATTCGCGCGACCAGTCGGCTTTTTGCTCGAATGAGAGGGAGTACAGGGCGCTCCATACTATATTATTAAAATCAACCAATTACGTGGATGTATAGTATAAAAGGTGTGGGGGGAGATGTACCGTCGCATGCACACCCGGGATACTTGTTATCGTTCCATGTCCCGCCCACTTGGCTACCCTGTTCGAGGATGACGAATTTACGACAGGGCGTCCGACGGAGGAGGTCAATCGCCATGCACAGACCTATTCTCGTCAGCACTGCCTCTTTCTTTCAGGCGCGATGTAAAGAAGGTAATACCCGAGATGCCCGCCCCAATGATCACGACCGTCGCGCGCGTAAAGTCGGTATTCCCGACATGGTCAGCCGGTTTGTATCCGCCAGGGTTGGTCATGGTAATCAATGCTCGGGGTCAATTACAGTCCGACAGATGGAGAGATGGATAGACAAGCAGAAATAGTACTAAGAATCCTACGGGAACCTCCTGTTTATGACGGGCGGATGATTGGATCGTCCAACCCCGCAGAGCATGGCCTACCTCGGCTACGGATTTGGGATGGATGATCGACGTTGAACCACAGGCTGAGCCGTCTTTCAGGTTTCTTGACCAATCTATCCGCCTTGATGGGCAACGATGGTCAGACTGGGCGAGGTGGAATCAGCTGTTCGTGCGGGGTTGCGGTCCTGGGTGTTGCAATAGTTGAACCCTAGGGGATGAAAGCTTGCAAGTTTACAAAATCTTGCAAATTCACAGGCCTGTGAGGAGCTGAAAAATCCTGCAGAATTTGCATGGAAATACTGGAATGATGCATGCTTCGACCCTTGGGAATTTACAGTGATTCATGCAGTGTCGGGTATTTAAAATGGCACATGCACGGATACGGTCTATCCTGACATCATACTGAAGATATATTTCCGCACATTCTTCTCTATAGACACCCGCAACCAGAACTCTCGGGATGGACTGGTGAAACTATTCGGAGCGATCGAATAATCATTAAGTGAACATGATCTTATTGCGAGTAAAACCAGACTTAAACTTGCGTTAGATATTATAATGCCCGTCAAATCAGCCCAGACAATAGCAGTCTAGACTCGACCATTGATGGAGTTTGCGGCGTCGAGAGCTCTATCAATTAGCGGACCTCGAACATGGGTTAGCAGTAAGCAAACCAGCATAAGTGTTAGTATCTGATCACCATATGCCAGCCATATCCGACATTGATAAAGCTGAGTCCTTCAACGAAAGCCACCAAGCTCGGTTGAGTACCTCCCTCCATTGGCGCAATTTCGCATCTTGCTCTCACGGGATCCCGCAGTTCATACTGCATGTGTCAAGTCTGATATCCCTGGCCGCGAGGCGTTCTGTCGCACCGGACTACTGATCCTTGCTCAAGTTGTTCTCTAGCGCGACTGATATTGGGCGAATCGGGGTTGATACCAGGAGCTGTCGTGTTCCCCGGGGCAGTGGCTTGGCTGACCGTCCTATCGGGCCCTTGCTGTCAATTACAGTGGATAGATGCGGAAGTGACAATATTTTATTACTAACAAGTCTGAAGATGTGGTCGTCGTTCCGTATCAGGCAGCTGTTCTCTGGTATCTGTTTGCAATATCCATACAGAGCATTATATGGGGGCCTATTGAGACATTCACCATGTGCATTGACCGAGTCATCCACTCCTATACGCAACTGTATGAAACGGCATTCTTCTAGATCAGCCCAGGCACTGCATATGAGAAATTCAGGGGAGCCAGTGGGAATTTTAATAATCGATGAAATTGACAGATGAGGTAGAGATGTGGATTTTCTCTTTCCTCTCTTTTTCGTCAGCATCGTTGAATGGAATTTACTACCATCCCTACGCCTTCAATTCAGCTTCTGCACCTCTCGACGCAGGATCTTCCCACTAGCATTCCGAGGAATAGCATCCACGAAGCATACACCCCCTCGCAATCGTTTATAGCCCACCACTTGATCCTGTACAAATCGGACGATCTCGTCTGCCGTTGACAAATCAGCATCGCATCCCGCAGTCACCACCACATACGCCCGCGGTAGCTCCGTCCCAACCACCCCGGACTTTTAGCCCGCCACAGCCACGTCAGCTACAACAGGATGTCTCAGCGAAATCGCTTCTAGCTCCGCCGGTGCCACCTGAAACCCATTGAACTTGATGAGCCCCTTGACGCGGCCCGTGATGTGTAGGCATCCGTCCGCGTCTTCGTATCCCACATCGCCGGTGTTATAGTATCCATCCTCGGTTCGGAACTCGGCGTTTGCGCTGGGGTTATTCAGATAACCCATAGTTACGTTGTGTCCTTTCACCCAGATCTCCGTGTTGTGACTGGGACAATCGTCGATGGGCAAATACTTGACGGTCATGTTGGGGACAAGAGAGCCAACAGAGGGGGCGCAGGTAGTCGCTTCGGACCACGTCTTCTTGACGTTAGACAAGAACGCAAGGAATAAATGGGTAATATCGATTCCCTAGAAGACGTACCTGGATGTGCGTACACGGAGAACACTCACTCAAGCCATACCCCTGGCGAACGCGCAGATTCAACTTCTCACCCAAAGTGCGGATCAGCTCTGGCGCCAGCGGCGCCGCACCGGACAACATCATGCGCAGCGACGAAAGGTCAAACTGAGCCGCACGGGGGTCGGAAACGAGTCCCAAGATAGTAGGGGGGACAACACATGTGTAGGCAATCTTCTGCTCCTAGGTGTCGAGCTGGAAACGCGACATGACAAATGCCGACAAACCGAGGTAGACAGTTTGGTTGAGAAGGAAGATCAGGCCTGTATAGTGTCAGTCTCGCTATGCCCTGATCCATTTCATGATGGTGTGGATTGGATAAATTAGGTTTGCAATCAGACGCACCCTAGATGTGGAAGAAATGAAGCAGCGCCAGAACGCGATCGCCTTCGCCCATGAGTCCCCGATCTCACGCCATGATACCATCGTCTACCGTCGTCACTTGCAGTAGATTGGCGATCATGTTTGTATGAGACAGCATAGCACCTTAGGTAGACCTGTCGTGCCGGAGGAGAACACCACAAACATGAGGTCCTTCGCCGGATGCGCAATGGGCGCCGCATGAGGGGCATCAAGAGTGGTGCCTGAATCTCGCTGGGAAAGCTCTGTGGCCAGCTCATCCAGGATCGGAACATCATTGGGAGAGATTTCCGCCCTGTGTGCTGCTTCATGGGCGACCTCCGCCTGGTCGCTTTGGGCGACTAGGACTCGTGTCCTAACATCTTCCAGTGGATGTATCAGCTCATCGACGCAATACTCGGGATGCAGCGGATAGACAACACTCCCGACCGAGGAAGTCCCCCAGATGACAGCAGGCAGATCAATCAAGTTGGGTGATAAAACCGCCACTACATCACCTGGGGTCCAGGCCCATTCGCGTTGCAGACGGCGCCCGAAAGCGAGCGCGCGACGACGGATCGGACTATAAGTGAGGCCGTAGCCGGTATGAACATTTGTAAATAAGACTGGGCTGTCAGTTTGGTTCGATTGGATAGAGAAGCGGAATGCCTTTTCCAGTGGGATACGGCCGATCGCATGGCTCAAAGAGAAAGCTCCAGAGATCGATGTCAGGGATATCGATATCTGGGAATGGGGATGCTTTGATCCTTGGATCGATAGTCATCATCAAGTATCGCCTGACAAGGAACAGAGATAACACAATCTCACGCACTGTAGTACGAGACAATCACAACAGAATCGCGGCCGGAATTGGACCCTGAGGGTGTCGGTCGATGTGCCATATCGCCAACGGACGGTGTCGCTTGCCTCAAGAAATTCACGTCCAGAGTGTGTCCACTGTATGGTCCACTGCAAGTTAAACCCAACGATATTATGGAAACAGAAATATTTCCGTTTGCGGGAAAAAAAAATATGGATGTCAGAATTACAGGAGTGGTGTTGTTCTTTGATCCGTACCCAGGACGCGTATATGAAGGTTTGGTCTCAATGGCCTCGGATTATATCTGTCGGCGGCCAAGAAACCAACATGTCTATGGATGGAGCAAGAAGGGAGGAATCTGGAGAACGGAAAAGGGCAAAAACGGAAGCATGAGCTCCAGGCAGCTGGATCCATGAACGATGACACATTCGTGTGCAGTCCTTGCCCGCGTGGATTGACGATCAACCATCATCCTCATCGGCTGTTTAGATGCAATATTTTCTACAACCAGCAAATGACAGGCATCGAGGCAGATCAACCAGCCTATGGTTAAGGTTCATACAACACTAGATTGACCAGGAAGACTCAGCTGACCCACAACCCGGTCTTCATGATGGTTGCATCCGAATGTCATTCCAATGTGATCGATCGATCGATCAGATCGGATAAAGCCAGTCCAGAAATCCAATGGAAACAGGAGGACTGATTATCCTTTCGCTATCGACCAATTGGATGCTTCATCTGCTGCTGATGTTGTTCGCGATTATAGTGTCTCGGAATCCCCTGCATTCTTCCAGGGATGATTCTGACGCCCCATTACTAATAGTACGGGCTTGGTCTCACCGAGAGTGATGAACTTATTTGCCTGAACTGGCTCTCTTGGCTATTGGAATAGTGTCAGTCGTAGCTACCTTCTGACAACTTCATCCACCGCAGCGGGTGTCTTCTGTCGTCACTGTCTCTGGCATACCAGTGTCGTGGAACCCTTGTCAGTAAGCTAGACCGTATCTTGGACCACTCTATTCTGCACTGCAGCATGCCTACTACTGCCCCACCTCACCTCGCGACGGCACTGCACACATGGTACCGTCTGCAGGAAATCAAGAAAAACAGGGATATCCAATTGGACGGCAACGGATTGGATATTGCCGCCGTCGTGGCTACTGCCTAGTAAGTTTCCTTATTACTGTGTCTATGACTTCCCACTCTGACCTACTAGCTATGGCTGTACCCCCCGGCTGTCCAATGATCCGAAGGTCGTCCAACGTATCACAGAAAGTGTCGATGTGCTGATGGACCATCTGGACCATGGATATTGCGTTTACGGTATTTCATAGTGGTTTCTTTGTTGCACTCAAGTCTAACGGCCAGTAGGCGTCAATACGGGCTTTGGGGGCAGCGCCGACTCGCGGACAGATCAAGCGACGGCCTTACAGGCTGCTCTACTGCAATTGACACAGGCGGGAGTGTTGGTCGCCGCGGACAAGGAGCCCGAACGCATGGACGACCTCTCCCCTGGACCCCACTCGATGCCCGCTGCCTGGGTGCGTGGTTCCATCGTTACGCGGGTAAACAGCAACGCCCGTGGACACTCGGCCGTGTCTGTTAGCGTGCTCAACGGTCTTCTTCAGCTGCTCCATCATCGAATCACTCCCATCGTTCCGCTACGTGGCTCGGTGTCCGCCTCCGGTGATCTGATACCCCTGTCCTACATTGCCGGTACTGTCGAGGGTAGTCCGGATATCTACGTTCAGGTCGAGGGCCCAGGGGGGCTGCGTATTATGACGGCTAAAGATGCCCTCGCGACGGCGGGGATTGCGCCTCGCACGATGGGCCCTAAGGAGGGCCTGGGTCTGATCAATGGAACCGCCGTCTCGGCCGCCGTGGCCTCGCTCGCCCTCCACGAGACGCACCAGCTTGCCCTTCTAGTCCAGGCACTGTCAGCCATGGGACTCGAGGCTCTCACAGGGACTGCCGAACCTTTCCGCCCCTTCGTCTCGGCCACGCGGCCCCACGACGGCCAGATCGAGTGCGCCGCTAATGTGCTCGCTCTGCTGCAGGGCAGCCAGCTGGCCGTGGGTATCAACAACCGACCGGACCGCACCCGCACCGGCCTTGTCCAGGATCGCTACGCATGGCGCAGCGTACCCCAATGGGTCGGGCCCCAGCTAGAGGACCTGATGCTGGCCCACCGGCAGGTCAGCACGGAGCTGAACTCATCGAGCGACAACCCTCTCATCGACACGACCAACGGGGACATCTACTCTGGCGCCAACTTCCAAGCCACATCAATCACATCCGCGATGGAAAAGACGCGGACGGCCTTGCAAATGCTGGGCAGACTCGTATTTGCGCAGGCAACGGAGCTCGTCGACCCGAACTACAACAACGGGCTCCCGACCAACCTCATCGCAGACGACCCGTGTCTTAGCTTTACCATGAAGGGCGTCGACATCTCCATGGCGGCCTACATGGCGGAGCTGGCTTATGTGTCACACCCGGTGAGCGCACACACTCAAACGGCCGAGATGCGCAACCAAGCCATCAACTCCCTGGCGCTGGTGTCTGCGCGGTATACCATGCATGCCGTCGAGCTGGCATCACTGCTTTGCGCTGCCTATTTATACATTATATGCCAGGCGCTGGACCTGCGCGCGCTGCACCAGCGGTTTTTAGCGATAGTGACGGGAAAGGTCGCGACCGTCACGCGGGAAATCATCATCGACTGCACCGCGACCACCGACGAAGAAGCGTCGTCAGTCTCCGCCGCTGTCTGCGCGACTCTAGCTAGTGCGTGGGCGAGCACGACACGGTGTGACCTATCCGAGCGGTGCGCGCAGACAGCCCAGGCAGCCGTGCCTGTATTATGCACAGCCGGGGCGTGCACCTCAACGCTGCGAGTAGCGGACGTGAACGCGTGGCAGGGGCGGGTAGCGACCACACTCCACGAGACATTCAACAAAGTCAAGGGTGACTTCCTGACGGCTCCACACACGGAATCTCTCCTGGGCGTGGGCGCGCGCGCCTTGTACCGCGCTGTGCGGATTGATCTGGGCGTGCCCTTTCATCAGGGGTTTGTGGAGCATCCGACGGCTGATAGTACTGAGTTAGATGGACGAGCGAAAAGAACGGTTGGATCGAGGGTGTCTGCTATTTATGAGAGTTTGCGGAGAGGTGAGTTGCAAGGGGGTTTCATGGAGGTTTTGGGCAGCCTTTGAGATTGGATGGTTTAGAGGGTAGTGATGTGTTGTTACTAGGAAGTTTGGCTCATTTTTAGTCTCAAGAGAGCCTGGTGTCGATATGGTATCGCTGTCGTGAGATCTATGTGTTTGTCATCTAATGCAATGGTATATATTCATCAGTAAAGATATTTAGAACGGTGTGGCTCTATCTATATCAGATAGATTCCTTCGTCAAGGTTACTATTGATTGACAGGGTTGCTTGGTGCACTCCCATCACATTGATTTGATACCCATTATTCTCTTCGTAAATAAAAACGGGTGCTGTATATACCACGCGTACGTTGTCATATTTTTGTTCTTATTATATCAGTCCGGATTTATATAACTCGAATCTGCATGATACAAGAACTTTAAATTGATACATACCCGACTGACGAAACTTCCACTGCATGTACATATCTCTTGCGTTGCTGACAGTCTGGACGGAACTGGTGCAGATGAATTTCTTGAGCTTACCCTAATATCGATTCCATGGTCTACTGACAAAACATAGCACTCTCACTACAGGTTACATTGCCGCGGATCAATATACAAGTGGGAAACTTCCTGCACCGGATTAAACGCTCTATTTGGTGCAATACCACAGTTAATGCTAGTGGAGTACTAGTGCCAAAGTAGTCTAAGGTGAGAAAACCGGGCGTGAAGCTGTTAGCGCTGTGTGCAGCTGACATGATGCCAAAACGAGTGAGCTGTACAATGTCTAGTGGTGGCAATTATTTAGTTAGTCATGCAGTAGTATTCCACTAATACCAACGAACGGCCCCCAAGATCGTTCGGCAAAATAGGGAGGAAGGATTATCGACTACATGAGACGGTAAGATCCAAGCACAGTTGCATCGCCACTCGTAGCGTCGTCTTCCCGAAGGACTAGGCGATCCTTTCCTTGCCTAGATGCGATCCTCGCCAGTCCTACCTAAAACAAAATGGGTGAGCTATACAAGTGCGACGATCCCAACACAAGGCTAGCCCAGTGGCGGCAAGCACCGAAATGATGACCTGTTCGGTTGGTGCCTGAAGGGCGGGCTGATAATCTTTGACTATCTCATCACTCTATTGCTGATGAGACGGACACAGTATGATGGGATCGCGTCGACGGCTGGTTCTCTGCGTCTGGCTGACGGCCGGCGCGCTGCTTGGCATCGGCACATGGGTCCTCTGGTTCGGGATGAACTCCGACGGGGATAACGTGCCGGCGATCGTGAACCAGTTGATCCCCGCGGGCCACTGCACCTGCAAGTCGGCCACGGTCTTCCACTGTGCCGAGTGCCTACACTGTCCCAGCGACGTGGCCGTGGCGGGCTCAGAGACGCGTCCGTACGACATAGCGCGCGACGCGCAGAATCGCACCCTGAGCGCCGCCCAGTGCCAGCGGTTCTTTCCCGGGCTAGTTGAAGATGTGAGGCGCGCGAAGGAGTACTGGACGAGTCGGGGCGGCGTGACCAGAGAGACGATCGACCAGATCGAGCTGGTGGATGGGATGGCGAGGGCCGCCATCGTGGACGGGCAGCTGTATGTGGGGGCCACGCGGGCCAAAGGCGAGGACCACCGGCGGAAGATCGTCGCGGTGCTGAGTGCGCTGCACCGCGCGCTGGTGTCCAACCCCGAGCAACAGCCGACGGGGGCGACGGAGTTTGTGTTCTCGATTGAGGACCGGCTCGACGACGTCGCCGGTCCCGATCATCCGCTGTGGATCCTGGCGCGCCGGCCCGCTGAGGAGGCCGTCTGGCTCATGCCGGACTTTGGGTACTGGGCGTGGGACAGCGGCAACGTGGACAGCCCGATCGGTCCGTACAGTCGCGTGGTGGAGTCCATCCGGCGGAAAGAGAATGGGACGTCGTGGGGTGACAAGGAGGCGAAGCTCGTCTGGCGGGGTAAGTTGAGCTTTGCGCCCAAGATGCGCCGCGCGCTGCTGGAGGCTGCGCGGGGACAGGCCTGGTCCGCTGTCAAGGAGCTAGATTGGCGGACCAAAGATCACTTCATGTCCATGGAGGACCATTGCCGATATCAGTTCATTGCGCATGTGGAAGGTATGTGCTTCGCTCCGTTGGCCGGTTATGGCACTCACTGCGATAGGGCGGTCCTATTCGGCGTCTTTGAAATACCGTCAAGCCTGCGAGTCAGTGGTCATCGCCCACCAGCTGCAATTTATCCAACATCATCACTACCTCCTCGTGAGCTCGGGTCCTGACCAGAACTATGTCGAGGTGCAACGCGACTTTGCCGATCTCCCAACAAAGATGCAAACATTGCTGGACGACCCCGTGTTTGCCGAGCGGATCGCCCGGAACAGCGCCAGCACGTTCAGGGACCGGTATTTGACCCCGGCGGCGGAGGCGTGCTACTGGCGGGCGCTGGTGCAGGGATGGATGGATGCCTCCCCGGAGCTCGGTGGGGACATCCTGTCGCAGGGCATGAAGGAGAAGGGGGTGCGATATGAATCGTTCTTATTGATGAGTAGCCAGGAGATGTTACATTTTACCAACGACTGGCAATAGTTGGTTTCTTCTGTCTCAGTATGGAGCGAGTGTTTCTTGCAGGTCTTTCTTAATACTGAATCTTGTCATTCGTATACCTCGCGACCTGTGTTACGCCCGATTGAAAGTCACATATGCAGAGCAACTCCGTAGACATTCGCACACCATGTGGCCTGGTGTGAGGTATAGCGAGGTGACTGGCTTGGACGTTGTATAAGCGTCCCTCATTATGGACAAACAAAGCGATAGTGGTAATAATGAACTTCTCGTACAAGCTACTTACGACGAATGGCGTCTCATGTCTCAAGAAATGGCTCAAATATCGTCGGACTGAGCCAGCATCAGCCCCTGTAAGGGGTTTGTCCGAAATCCCTCATCACGAAGAACAGACAAACAATAACGAAGTCGGCAATCGACGAACCGACCCTGGATTGGTTCGCCCAAACGATATAGGTCGACATTACTAGGCCAGCATTCACGCATTGTCATTCGATTAGACTGGATAGATCAATCCCCTATCAGGACTATCATAGACTCGCGTCTCAATCACTTTCCTCTGTAGGATCCTGGCCACCAACTTCACCAGTCTGGGCCTTATCGACACCGACACTGACGTGGACAGGAAGTGATGACAGTTGTAAGAATACTTCAGTGGGCAGTGTCGGAGACGATAGTCCCTTATGATGGTTTTCACTGACATGTAGCCTGTGGTCTGCGGATATGAGTCAATTAAGTTGACCAGATATGAGAATTGTGGGAGTAGAGAAATGAGGGAGGAAAATCCATCCAGTAATCCGGTGACTTTGTCAGGTGACGGATTATGTTGGCAGATTCTCTAGGTATACCACGACAAATATCGAGTTGTCTGTCACGAATCTGCATTGAGTCTATATGTCCATTCTGGAGACCAGGGCACTGTTTGGAAACGGACACTACAAGAAGAGAGCCAGACTATATCATGCTAGAGATCCTGGCTCGATAACAACATGTAATGACAAGAATCTGATCAAGTAAAATGCAAGTTCACAACTCACCAATACAGTTTGTTGGCATGTCACCAGGTGTTCACGTCAGATTATCTCATTATCCTATACGCTGTTGATCATCATGCCAATCGTCGCGTGAGTGGGTAAAACGCACATGTATACAAGGGTCAGTAGAGACGTACCTAATGTGTAGAGCATGGCACCGCAAGGTACTGGCTTGTGGCAGCAAGATATAAGGGTGTTCTCCCCAGACCGGCGGCGGATACTGGTATACTTGCAGATATTCGAAGTGAAACCAGATGACTTCGAAATGCCGACCAGATCAATCGACTTATCCGGCCTCATGCATTGTACTTTTGGCCAGTCCTTGTTTGGAACATGGCGACCACCTTTTGGTCCAGCGGCGTTCGGTTTCGGAGGTATAATTCTTCTAATCGCGGTGCATGCCGGATGATCAACTCCACCAGTGTCCCCGCTCGCTCCATGACGGTACTAAGATAATCAGATTGGGTCCGAAAGCGCGAATGACGCAACTTACGTTTCACCAGAGTAGTCCACGTTGGCTGCGTCAACGACGAAGAGCTTCAAGTTGGGAAACAAGGATGGCGGAATTTCGGACCAAACCTGGAGGTCGTAGGACCCGGGCATCTCGCACTCCACCAATCCCGGACACTTTCCCGCCAAGTCGATCAACGCCGCCACAGACAGGCTACAGTGGACATGGAATTCGAGGTGTTTGAGCTGATTCCAGCTGGCCCACAGCTTGGTGACGTCCTGGTCCGTCAGCGTGTGGGACCAAAGGTCTTCGAGCGAGTGGATCTTGAACGACTCGAGATACCTCAGCCCCCGCAGTGCGAGCAAGTCTTCTGGTGACACATTCACCTCCCTCTCAAACACGACTTCCAGCCACCGGACGTGGACGAGCGACCCGAGCCGTGGCAAAACGCTGTGATCGTTATCGCGGATCAAAAGAGTCAGGCTCCGAATGGATCCGACCGCTCCCGCCAATGGTCCCACGGCTTTCGAATCCACCACCAGGTCGAGCTTCACGACGTCAGGGAATGGGTGGGGTTCCTCCAATGCGGTGGTAAGATCCCCGTGGGTCAACGGCTTGCCGAGTTCCAACGACTTCAGTCCCGGGCGCCGGGCGAGATGGGCTATTAACTGGTCGTCGACGACGTCGGAGACCAGAGCCGGCAAGACAATGTCTGTCACCGAGTTTCGCTTGTCGAAAAATTCCAACAACCGAGCCCCATTCATACCGTCGATCGGGTAATTGATCACAAATCTCTGGAGGCGGTAACAAGACTCCAGACGGGTCAAAATATCCTCCTCTGGTTGGGCACCGTAGAAGGCAAAGTCCTCCAGCGCCGGCTGAATGTACTGGCCTACGCACAGTTCCTGGCGCCCGCGCGGCCGGAACAGGTCAATCGTGACGCGTTTCAATCGGGGAAAATCCAAGGCGCGAAAGTGGGCATGTTTCCGTCCATCGCTGTCGGCCTGGAAATCCAATTCGCGGATATGTCGCGCGTATCTCTGCCTGCAATCTGCCGTGACGGCTGCCAGGGCCGACACTGGGGGCTTCTCCCAGAGAATGCTGATTGCATGTTCGGCCCAGGTCTTATTCACCCGCATGGCAGATCGCAGCGAGACGGCATCATCGTACAGACACTCCACAATCTTGCGGAAAATCTCCGGTGGGAGCTGCGGTGCCATAAGCTATCTTCTTTCGTGATTGATGGAGAGGAAAGAACCCACCTTAAGGGGACTCAGGCAGAAGTGGTGTGGGGTGGTCACCTGACCGTCAGCTCATGAACTGCATGGTTGATGTGATGCATCTTTCTTCTTTCTCCTTCAAGATGGGTTGGAGATATCCAGGTCCATTCGATAGACAACATGACATCTATTGTCTCTGAATATTACCGGCCCGGTCCGTGATATCGACTGGGTCACTTACTATAGAGACAGGACCCCTGCTGATCCAATAGCGAATCTCCGTGGCGCCAATGAATCGAGGTTGCAACGGACATCTACCTGAAACCCGACGGCCAAGATCCACCCCTGTCTTTATCTGCGGGGTCTGTGAGACTATATAAGGAGGGCTCGATGGACAGAAACGCCAATCATCCCATCGCTGGTCGCGTTCTTCAACCTCCACCATGACCCCCCTTACGTGGCTGCTATTCCTGCTGCCCGTGACTCGAGCACAATGGGGAAACCCCCTCGCGCGGTCCTATCCCGCATGGCAGCAGCTGCTGGAGCAGCAACAGACGGCTGCCCTGCAGTCTGCGGAGTATCCTGAGCACCACCTGCGCGTCCCCATCGACCACTTCACGAATGAATCGCGTTACGAACCCCACGAGAACGGCACCTTCAATCTCCGCTATTGGTTCGACGACCAGTTCTACCAGCCCGGTGGCCCCGTCTTCGTGATCGCCGCTGGCGAAACTGGCGGGGAAGACCGGTTTCCTTTCCTCTCCCAGGGAATCGTCCGTGACCTCGCCCAGAAATACCACGGGATCGGGGTCATTCTCGAGCACCGGTACTACGGCAGCAGCTATCCGTTCGAGGAACTCACGACCGAGAACATCCGGTTCCTGACTACCGAGCAGGCCGTTGCTGACTATGCGTACTTTGCGCAGCATGTCCAGTTTCCCGGAGTGAAGGGACACAATCTGCGCCCATCCGCGACGCCCTGGATCGCGTATGGCGGGTCCTACGCGGGCGCCTTTGTCGCGTTTCTGCGCAAGCTCTACCCCGATACGTACTGGGGGGCGGTGTCGTCCTCGGGCGTGACGCAAGCCATTGAGGACTACTGGGCGTACTTCGAGGGGGTGCGGAATTTCGGACCGGCCGCGTGCATCGATGTCACGCAGACGGCGACGGACGTGGCAGATCGCATCATGATCGACCACGCGCAAAACAAGACCCTCAACAAACAGCTCAAGACTACCTTCGGCGCGTCGCCGGACCTGACCGACGACTTCTTCGCCAATCTCCTATCCTCCCCGCTGGGGTCATTCCAGTCCCGCAACTGGGACCAGGAGATCGGCAGCCCCATGTTCGGCCAATACTGCGGCAACATCACCAGCGCCGAGCTTCTCTTCCCCGATACCGAGCCCGTCAAACAGAGCATGGCGGAGCTGGCCGCCATCGCGGGGTATGACCCCAAGAACGCGACGCTAGTCACAAACCTACTCAACTTCGCGGGATACGTCAGCCAATCGGCCTTCTCCGCGCTGGGCCCCGACACCCCAGTGGACGGACAGACCAAGCTATTGGCCCAAGGCGGCTCCCTGCCCAAATCCACCGGCACGAGCTGGAACTACCAGGTATGCACGGAGTGGGGTTACTTCATCACGGGGAGCGGGGTACCGGCGGAGATCCGGCCGCTGACGTCGCGCGTGCTGGACGTCGCGGCGCTATCCCGCTTCTGCGGCGAGGACTACGGTATCCACGAGCGGCCCAACGTGACGCGCATCAACCAGCACGGGGGGTTCGACTTTTCGTACCCGCGGGTGGCCATCATCGACGGGTTGGCGGACCCGTGGCGCGCGGCGACGCCACATGCGGACGGGGCGCGCGAGAGAGAGTCCACCGATAGTGAACCGTTCCTGATGATCGATGTGCCGGAGACGGATGTGTGGGATGGGATGCGCGGCGGCGTCCACCACTGGGATCAGAACGGTCTGAGCGGGAAGGGAGACATCCCTGAGGGGGTGCGCAAGGCGCAGCAGGAGGTGGTGCGCTTTGTGGGGGTGTGGTTGGGGGAATGGAAGAGTAAAGTGAAGGGGGTTGAGTTGTAGGCTGTACGGAGTATAGAGGGTGTTATTATGGTCAACGCATCTACCGTGACGGGTGGATATAAGCCGGTCCGCATATTGTAATAAAGAAAATCACTACGCGACTACAAGACATTGTAACACTTCTGGCCGGCATACGCAGCCCTATGTCGGGGCGACATCGGTATAACCCATCAAGCGAGGACAGTCTCCTCAATTGTCCGGCCGAGAACCCACCATCCCAGCCATCTCCCCCGCAATCATCCCAATCAACCACCCCTTCCGCATGCCCTCTACCCACTCGCGCGGAACAGCCTCCATGGCGTAAAACGCGCCCGCCAGCCCGCCATAGACCGCGCCCGCCGTATCGGAATCGCCCCCCAGGTTCACGACCGCCAAGGCGCCCGCCGCCCAGTCGTCGCACACGAAGAACGCCCACAGCGCGAGCTCCAGCGTGTCCACCACCCACCCGGTACTGCGGAGCGTCTGCAACGACCGGTCCCGCCAGTCCTCTAGTCGCGTGTACGGGGCCAGGCGCTCTTTCAGCGCGGGATGGGTGAGGGGGAAGGCGGCGACGATGCGGGCTAGTCGCTCTTTGGTTTCACCTGGGGAGGTTAGCATCAGCCGAACTACGTCTCTTGATCGATAGCAACAAAAACAGTCAGGGAGGCACACCTCGCATAACAGCAACCACCAGCTCGGTGTAAAGCTCGCAGGCCTCGACACACGCCCTGGCAGGATGCGTCACCGCCCCTTGCTCGCGGGCGACGCGTCTCGCCGTGGACGCATCCCGCCACAGCATGACCCCGACGGGTGCCATGCGCATGAGACTGCCATTACCGCAGCGGCTGTCGCGATCGAGCTTGGCATCGACGGCGCGCTGGGCGTCTTCGGTCCGCAGCGACGACGACGCGTCCCAGAGGGAGAGGGCGAGACGGGTCGAGACCCCAACGTCCCAGGCGTAGTCGGTCGTTGAGAAAGCCCCCCGGTTCAGCCAGTCGAGGTAGTTCTGGATGGAGGCGCGATGGTCGTAGTGACCGTGGGCGTCGATGAAGGATTGCGCCAGGGCCAGGGTCATGGATCCGTCGTCCGAGTAGGATCTACCTGGCTCCTTTCGGTCTTAGATGGGGATTCTTTGGGATGATCGGGGGAGAAGGGAGGGGAGAGATCTTACCCAGCCGGTTCGTCAAACGGGCTGACGTGGCCAAGACCCGTGATGGCGGGGAAAGTGCCAGGTGTTTTGAATTGGACGGGTCCACCAAGAGCATCGGCAACGCAGACACCCCAGATGGCGCCTTTGGCTCGGGATGCGAGGGTGGGCATGACTGTTTCCAATGGGGGGAACTTGCTGATGGACTGTTCAAATGGCGGCTGGCGGAAGCGCTGGTCGATTCTTATACCATGGGGCGCGACCCCACTTTGAACGCAGCCTCATACGGAGAGCGGACTGATAAAGAGGAACAGACGGAAACTGCTAGATTGTAAAACTGGGGATACACCATCTCTACGGCGACGCTGGGAAAGAGAACGCCCGATCAAGTTCTCGTCTTGCCTCCCTTCCTCGTCTTGCCTTTCGGGGAGCTTTCCTTTCCATCAGCACTCTCGGCCCCTTCAGCCTCTGCCTTCTCCTTCTCCTCCCTCGCCTTCTTCTCCTCTCTGGCCCTCTTCTCTTCCCTGGCCTTCTTCCTTTCCGCCTTGGCCTTCCCCGGATCCCAATAATTAATGGGGGGACGCTTGCTGGGGTCATCCACAATCACTCTGCCCTTGCACATGACCCTATCTTTGCCAAAGTCCGCCCATGTGCCGGTCTTCCGGAGAACGGGAGTAACAACAGCGAGCACTCGTCGCCCGTTAAGTCTCCTCTCTTTCTCGAAGAGACCATGGCTGCTGACGGTTTCAATCTCAGGTGAGGTACGTTCGAATGTTGTGGGGACGTCTTTCAGAAGACGCCATTCCATGGCCGGTTGTGCTGCGGCGATTTTCACCGCTAGCTCAGCGTTCTCCTGATACAAGGAGATGAGACTCTCCTCTGTCATCGGACCACGCTCCGCGAGCAAGCATTGGAAGATCGTGTCGGCATATCTGGCCTGGGCGAACTCCTTGGCTTTGGCTTCTCGAAAGGCCAGGTTCTGGGCGTGGAAGGTGTTATCTAAGTAACGGTGCTTGACGCGTGTGTTGGCAAGGCGTACTGTCTGGGCCCGCCAGTGCTGTGCCAGCTTCAGATCCGCTGCGACACCATGTCCGGTTAGCATGGGGACGGTCCGTGGGTCTTGGGGGGCAGCTCACCTCTCCTAAACTCTTGGTAGACGCGGTAGGCATCTTTGCCGAACGGAGTCACTGGATCGAGGCCCGGTTCACTGCTTGGATCCGGTCTTAAATACCAAAACGGATTCTCCCAAAATAGGTGCCAGATATCCTTGAGTATGATGATCTCCATGAAGTACATCACCAACGTCGCGCGCGTAGCGGGAGGAACGCGCGACAGGATGCTGTCAAAACTTTCCTGAACCACCCATCCGTCCATGCTAAGAATCAATTGTTTCTTCTGCTCTTTGGACAGGATGCTATCATATCCCCCAGTGGGTTCCCTAAGGGCATAGTTGTAGCACCAGTTATCACACATGAAAAATAATATACCCACATCATTGCTCCAATGGTGAGCGCCGACCATGGTCCAGTGGCCGTAGAACCCATTCCTGTACATCTCATTGTTCCACAACACCATGCAGCTTTCAGACGCGACTTGAAGCTCTCTCTCCAGCTCTTCAACGTACTTGTCCAGATCGTTCTTTGTATCGTCCGCCGGCTTGACAGTGGAACCTTCCACGTTGGAACCCTGGATGTCTTCCTCCGAGGCACCGGTCTTGATTCTCCCTGGGTCAGGGGCTTGTGATCCCTCTGGAGGGTTGGGCGAGGCAGCCCGTTTTCGACCATTCTGCCATTGCGTCAAAGGCCGTCCCTTCAACGGCTGGATTGGATAGTACTTGCCTTGTTTTGGGCGTTTGCCGCCGTTGCCTTACGCTTCTTAGCGGGCATGGTGGGTAGCGTAGGTGGCTGTCAAAGAGCAAAAGAGATATTCCAATAGAGTGATGAAAAAATGGCGTGACAGCTGGAGGGAGGGATCACGTAGAAACCGGCGGTTGACCTCCTATATGTCTCTCCCAAGACAGGTCCCCCCCCCCCCCCCCCACCCCTTACGGAGAAGAAGTTTGGCGTTCGATCTGACGTCGAGTGGCATCAGTGGAGCGTTGCTGCATCTTTCCTTTGTTTCACTTCTTTTCCTGTACGGCTCTTTGTGTCACGTTCACGCGTGGATTTCTCCCACCGGAATCTGGACAAAGACGCTCCAACTATTCTTTGGGCACCCACGCTGGGGTCCTCCTTTGTCCAGCATCCGGACTGCAGGGGCACAGCCACTTGGATTATGTTTCTTTCTTCCTTTCTTCCTTTCTTCCTTCCTTCCTCCTTTTTTTTTTCTTTCTTTCGCTGTTTCTATTTTTTTAATCCCTCATTCCCTTTGACTCAGGTCCCTCTGCTGACGTCACCAGACACCTGGTGACATGAGTCTGGAAACGCCACCTCAGGGAAACCAAGAAGCCTCTGTGTTTATCACCGCCACTGAAAGAGGTCAGCTTCGTAGGATTGCAAGATCTTCATTCCGGTTTCGGGGCGTGTGTGTTATATGGACTCTAACAAACACATATACACACCTGTAGACTAAACGAACTTGTCAGAGCCTGAATCAATCCGATGGAAAGTCCATGTTTACCAGAGGAAAGTTGACGAACAATCAATAAGGTCCTGAGATCACGTGCAGCGACAGTATATGCTGTTAGGGATCTCAGTCAGGTTGAGCCCTAGATCAAACAGTGGTCAACATTTTGGCGTATCGGTTATGATTTGTTTATCCGACAATGACTTCCGATGTTGTTGACTTTGAACCACTACAACAATGCACACGAGAGCCATGTGGTGGTATCCGTCCCCACTCTCTGGGAAAGATGTCGCCATGGCCCGGATCATCGGCGAAACACCCCCCACCCCAAGACGGATAGCGACCACCTTGAACCGAGACAAGTGTCTGAGAGAGGATCAGAATGAGGAAGATGTGAACGGACAAGGGCCCATCGTGGTTTTTGTGCGGGGTGCTTCAGCGGAAGGTCGTTCTTTAAAAAGGGCCAACGCGTCGCGCCGTCTTGTGAGAGGGCAAGAATAGCGAGATCGATGATGGCGTCCAACAACAGCATGAACTCCATGGACAAATCGTCCCGGTCCTCCATGGATCAAACCCCAAATAGGATTATCGTCGGCATTGACTATGGGACCACAGCAACAAGTAGGTTTCGCGTCATGCGCAAGACAAGAAGACGGTGCGGTGTTCTAACAGCCTGGCCGATAGAGGTCAGCGTCTTTTCTGTCCAGGGTCAGGGTCGAGACAGTCTCTTTGACGTTAAGTTCATCGACACATGGTGGAAGGCTTCGGAAGCGCGCAAAGTCCCTTCCCGCATCGCATTTCAGTCCGACAATCTATCGTTTTCCATGCGCTCGCCATGCTGGGGGTTTGAGATCGAGCATGACATGAAGGCATACTCCTGGACAAAGCTTCTCCTGGATGACCATGTGGAACCTGCCAAGTTTGACGACGAGATTCTGAGGAGCACGGTTTCCGGGGGAATTGTTCGCCCGGGTCAGAAAGAGCCCGTCGACGTCGTTGCCGACTACCTAAAACACGTGCTGGACGAAGCGTGCCGCTTCATGCGTTTGCAAGTCCCGGGGTTTGGCCAAGTCCCCGTCGACGTTCGCTTTGCCATCCCCGCTACATGGTCCCAGAAAGCGCGAAAATTGAGCGAGCGCGCGATGACCCATGCCTGGGGTGACAGAGGACCACAGAGCACGCTGTCGCTTATGTCTGAGCCTGAGGCGGCTGCTGAAGTGATCTACAAGCAATTCAGGCCCCAGCTCAAGGCTGGAGACGGGATTTTGATCTGCGACTGCGGCGGTGGGACCGTGGTACGTAACCCACGCTGCTAGAATTCCGCCACGGATGGAGTTGCATTGGGGAAGGAGGTGCTGACTGTGCCTCGCAAGGATATTGCGGCCTATCTAGTGACCGATTGCTCCAATCTCAACTTGCTCAAGCTCACGAGCGTACAAGGTCAGTGGCAGATGTCGTAGCTTCAGCTTCGATGGCATGGTCCTGACATCTTGCAGGGGGGAAATGTGGCGGCACGGCCATCGACAGTCGACTCTATGATCTGATGAGGCAGCGGCTCCCCTACACATTTGATTCCTTAAACCACCTCATTGCCCCTGGGAGCAAGCTCATGAGCGCATTTGAACTTGTCAAACAGAAATTTGGTCAGGGTGTGCCCCGGAAGACTTATGGGTTGCCACTTGAGCCGAGAAAATCCAGGGAGGATTGCACGTTGCCATACTATGATCCTCAAACTAAGACATTTACTCTTTTCTCAAAGGACATCCAACATTTGTTTGACCCGGTTGTTGCTAAGATTACCGCCTTGATTAGCTCGCAGATCATGGCTGCAGATATAGCTTACGGCTCACCAGTGATTAATGTAGGTACACTACTAGTAAGTAAGTTTCAATGACTGGACTCACATCATGCGTCTAGAGAATCTTTCTTGTTGGTGGAGTAGCCTCCTCGCCGTACATTCAGAAAGCACTCCGCCAGTGTTTTGAAATGTCAGGGAAGTTGGCCGTGACTGTCCCTCGCGACCTAGATCCGTGAGTCCACCCTCTAGTCAGCAACCCAAGTCACTAACATTTTTTGTAGAGCACTCGCTGTCGCCACCGGGCTGGTACTACACGGCCTACGGACCCGCTCCCGGGATGTGTTCGACAGTCCTCGACATTATGGGCTCCGGTCTTGCCGGTCACCTAGCATGATGCCATGCGCTGATGGGAACGTGCAAGTGCGGGCCGAGGAAATGATATCGTGGGTGATCGCCAAGGTAAGCTTGCCCATTCTCGGCGCACGGATGCTAGGCTGACAGACATTGCATCAGGGTGAGGAAGTACAAGATGGAGAGACCCGGGTTCGAACCCTCTATCGGCCCTTCGCAGACCACGAAGCCGCGGTGATGACAATACACGTCTATTCTTGTGAGGAATGGCACCGGCCAGAGACTGCCCAGTTTGATGGTAAGAGGAAAGTGCTGCAGCTTTAAAAGACTTTCTAACCACTGACAGTGGTCGAACACGCCGGGTCCATCGTTGCGAATCTCTCGGCCCTTGATTTGAGCAGACTCTGTCGGGAGACAACTCAGGAAGGGACAGTCTACCTGCTGGAGCATCATGTCCAGACTACCTTTGACGCCAATAGCGGGGCCTTACACTTTACCGTGATGGCACTCGATACGATAATCGGTACTCTGTCTCTTCCAGTACGGCGGTGAGCTGGTCCAGATCGAGCAAACACGTCCCAGCGTGGGGAGCACGAGCATTCAGAGGGGTCGAAGTCTGGGGGAGCCCTGTTCTAGGGTGTTATGTTATGTTGATCGGTTGGTTTGCCTAGACGTTTGTATTTCTTCTCATCGATAGACGATAGACCACTATAGGATTTTCTTGGTGCCTGGTTCAAACGGCGGGTTGGACTCGTAGCTTTATAAAGTGGATCGAGGTCGGATGGCTGGTGAGTCCATTCCGATTCGTCATCGCATAACGTCTGAATTGACTTTCATTATGAGACATGCTCTTGAACAGGGTCTCATGCCACTACCAGGACTTCGGGTTGATGATGGAATGGCCAAAAAGATAATCGAGGTACGTGCTAACCTGTGTTTTTGACCTACCGTGATATAGATCTCCAGGGATGTGAGTCTTTCCAGGTCCTTGCTACTCCGTTCGATTACGTGTATTTATCGGAATATAAATGGTGATACCAGGCATCCCAAACCATTACATCTACGAATTCCCATCTATCCATTCCTCCAGCGTATCAGTCGAATAGACTCAGCACGTGTCAGATCACGAGCTACATAGCCCACATAGTGTCGAGTGGGAATACAAAGAAATATGCAGTATATGCGTGTCAGACCGGTTGTCTAGGGTATCGTGGCTTCTAATCTCAGTACATTCATCTTTCAGTTGTCACTACTGATATGTCTCATATCCAGGTAACAGGTAACTCGACCTGTGTCTGTATCAAGAGACAGAAGAAAGGAGGTCAGAAGATTAGCAGAACAAAGAGAAAAAGGAAGGCCTGGATCACCTTACCACCCTCTTTCGGGTCTCACTCTTTGTTCTTCAAGCACCTACTCTTGGGTCCACCCTTGTCGGGCATGGGGATTCCGAGGGCGCAGCCACTCGGGGTATAGGCAGAGTTAGGGGGATGTGTTCTTTCTTTCTTTCTCCGTTTTGGCTGTTTCTGTTTTGATCCCTCATTTCCTTTGACTGGGTTCTTTCTGCTGCTATCACCAGACACCTGGTGACTTGACTGAAAACGCCACCCTCAATGAAACAAAGATGACTCGGTATCATCCCCACTGAAGGGGATCAGCTCGATGGGATCTGAGGAATGCCGGCTTTGAAGTCCTGACCATCAGACTATGCTTGTTTATTGATCGGAGTACATAAGTAGGTCTTCCTCCTGCCCTCTGATCCCATTCTCTATCACCCATCCTCTTCTCTACCTCTACATGTCCCACTTTCTATACTCTATGCTCACCATATCTTACACATTCTATATCCTTACATCACTTGCTTGTTATCACCATGTCACTTCAACTGCTCATACAGAATGATGCACTGCCTGAAATCTAGATACTCAGCAAAAAACACATGCTTTTATAAAAACCATATTATACCTGCGAATGCTGCACATGACTTGGTGTCCTGTTCATGGTTGCAATAAATACCTATTCAAGATATCTTCTGGGGTACAACCGCGCATGCTGGCTGGTTGCCACCATGGCTGCGCCTGTTAATGCAGTTTGGGTATCTATTGCGACCATGAACAGGATACCAGTTCGTGGCGCAACTTCTGCAGGCTGTTAAATGGTCTTCATAAAAGCATGTATTTTTTGCTGAGTATCTAGATTTCAGGCAGTGCATCATTTCGGATGCCCAAGGTATTCTAATGTCGTCTTCCAGATCTCACGCCGCTTGAGCTACCATGGTCGCGGTGCCGGACTTTGCACTTTCGGTGTTGACTGCGACCAAGAAGATCACACCACTTCTTGTTGCACGATGTGCAACACTTTACGTGCCCTTGGTGGGGGCATGTATTGTTTGATGGGTGTCTACCTCTCGAACGGTATCTCATTTTGGATAGTGAAGAAGATGATATAGAAGGGTATGAAATATGCATGATAGCAAGTCTAGGGAAATGAAAAACGGGGTATGAAGGATGAGTTGAGCAGAGACGATGGAAAATAAGACCATAACAGGGGGGAGGGCCTATTTATATGTTTATGGATGGACAAGGACTCTGATGATGGGAGCAGACAATCCAGTATTCTTGACTCTATTGTCTGTCTAGTGTTGGCAAGCTGTGAACATGGTGTGAATCTAGATGCTTTGTCTATAAAGATGGGTGCATGGAGTAGACAAAGTCATTCTATGTGATAGAAGAAATTAGAACATCATCCATTGAGATCACTTTGTTGCTAGGTTGGATGGAGAGTGGCGTGTTTGAAATTGAGACTGTACAATAGCCAATATATATTGACAAAGACTAACCAATTGGGTTTGATGCAATCTGCAGTCCGAGTCTTCATGTTTCTTTATATTCTAAAGGGTATAATGGTAGATATACAACAGTATCATGGAGCTATAGACCCACAATAACCATGATATAAAGATACAGATAATGATATAATATGAAGAGATGGATTGGTATAACTAGGGCTAGACCAATCACGAGCCACCACATCAGTATCAGTATAAGGTATGACCTTTATGGTATATCAGGTACCTATTGCTATTCCTTTACTCTACTTGGGTTATTGAATACTGTCTTTACTTCTACTCTACTCTCTACCTACACATCTAGATATCACCATGAGATCCATCCTCGCCTTCCTCGCAGCAGGAGCAGCAGCAGCAACAGCTGCTATAACAGCAACAGCAACAGCTCTCACCCTCAAGAAACGACCTTCCAAACAGCCTAGACCCGTCCTCATTTACCCAACGCGCACCCACAGCCGCTACATGAACAGTTTCAACAACAACAACAACAACATTGCCACCAAGAACAATAATACCTTCTACATCCTCAAAGACCCAATCCACCCATCCCGCGACACAACCTGCCTCGTCACATTCGACCTTCTTTCAGGACAGACGTACCAGTTAGATTTCCACCTCAGCAGCAGCAATAGCAAGACGAGCCCTATCTCAACAGGCTCGCAAACTCTCGATGTTTTTTCCACGGTGGAGTCTTCTTCTTCCACCCCATCCAGAGACCGCCATCTTACGCGGTTGGTAGTCAGAGAGGGGGGGACGGAGTGGGTTGGGATGGGTGTGGATAGTGGTGAACCGCCCATCTTTAAAGTGCAGGAAAACAACAAACCCATTGTGTTGGAGTTTGTTGGGGTAGGCGATGCAGTTGAGGTTTGTTGGACGGGGGTGGATATGGATGTTGGGCCTTTTATGAGGGATGTGACTAGTTAGTCTTCTTTTTTTTGTTCTTTGGGATAAGGTAGATTATTTCTCCATGATATGCTGTGTTATTGAGTTGAATATCTACTGAATGCTATATGCAATGCGAAAATCTATAAGTCATATCATATTATCTTATATCTTAATAAGAGTTATAAATATCAATTAAGTATGTACATCGATAATCTATCATAACGAGCCCAACCAAAGTAGCTAGCTGCAAGAGGACAGTGATAACGTATGAATCCGTATAATATAATGAGAAAGCTTGGGTATGAACTTTGAAAAGGGGATAAATAGGGTGGGGGAGGTAGGTATGGAATAAGTCTGTCAAGACCATCCGTAGCGATCTGAAGAGAGGGAAGAGAATCAACGAAATCAGGAAGGGGGAAAACATGATCCAAACTGAGCCATACACGGCATTCTCACCCTCAGAACGGTGTGTTAGACGCTGTCAGATGCTCCTTGAGTTTTGAGGTGCGGTCGTCGAGACTGGATCAAAGACTGGCAGGTGCACGCTCGATGTCCACTCAAAGATATGGCCATCGCTTCTTACATTAGCCAGGGTGAGGATAATCCCGACCAGTGCAACAACACAGACGACGTCAACCTGTTTTAGAAAAAGAGAAGTATACAGGGAAAAAGGGGGAAGATCATCTCTCTCCCGGCCTATTCCCCTCCAACTCCATCGGCTCCCTCATCTGAACAACATGTACCCCCGGCTGCATCTGCTGCTGCATCGGCTGCTGCATCTGACCGAACTGACTGCCCTCCCAGCTCCAATGCGGGGGCGGGCTCTGCGGATGCATCGGCATCTGCATGCTTTGCATCGATGTATGTCCGAACCCACCTCCGTGACCCATCTCAGGACTCCCCATGGGCACGGGCTGATACTCGGGTGCACCACCCATACCGCCGTGGGGACCCATGGGCGAAGCGCTCGACAGGGGCTCGCTCTTCCCGTTCGAGCGGGTCGCCGCAGACTGCGTGGTCGGGCCGCCGTGGAAGAAGGCCCAGCGGGCGGTTCGTTCCGCGCGGTCGTCGCCGACGGCTGAAGAGCGCATCCACTGGCGGTAGACGCCGAGGCGGCCGAGGACGAAGAAGAGGGCAATGAGGATTATGACGAAGGCGGCGGCGCCGACGGCGATGCCTGCTATGGCGCCTTTGCTGAGGACGGTGCCGGAGGTAGATTCGCCTGGGGAGGGCGAGGAGGAGGAGGAAGGGGGGAGGTCTCCTTCGGCGGGCATGGGCTCGCCTGGGACGAGCATGTAGGGGTAGGATTTGGCTCTTTTGTTTTGGGTTTCCCATGTCATGGATTTATTCTATCTTGTTAGTGGTGGTTCTGGGGGGATGATTTTGGGGGATCAGGGCGAAGGCATACCGGGTTGATGGCGCCGACCATGCCATTTTTTATGCAGGAGTCGATGGCGGTGCAGTAGTAGAAAATTGGCTGAATGGTTAGACGAAAGGATAGAAGGAGATCAACGAAGAGATGGAATCAGAGCATACCTCGGTGTCATTGATGGTCAATTCCCATGTCGGAGGCTGCAGTCGTCAGCATAAGACCACTTCGGTTGAAAACCCACCCAGGAGGAAGAAAAGAAGACATACACCCCCCTGCAACTGCCCATCAACCTCATTGAACTTATCGAACGCGCCCGAATAGAACAGTCCCTTGTCGGAAGGCACACAGGGCGCTTTATATTCGGCCCTGACGACGGAGTGATTGCGCGGATAGAACTCGAAGGAAATGACATCGCCTGGGGCGGCGACGACGGTGTGAGGGTCGAACTGATGGGGATCTTCTCTTGCTCCGACCTTGACGACGTGGGTTTCTTTTTCCCGGGGGGAGGCGGCTGATGATTTTGTCGCTTCCCTGGATGATAATGATGGAGAACCCATTTTGGAATCTATAACTATAACAGACAGGAAATCATCCGATGAACAGCGGAGAAGAAGAATCAACGAAGACAGACGACAGAACCAGAAGCAGACAGAAAGCGGGAAACAAAAGAAAACCAGACAGCCGGCCGGCCTTTCATTCCAACAAACCCACGATCAGGCTGAGCAAATGAAACACACAAAGGCTGCGTTGGTGCCGTTGCAGTGGTGGCGTGTCAGCTTGACTCTCATTCATCGAGACGAGGCCGGAAAGAGTCTAGTCGAGTCAGATCGGGGCTGATACGAGCATTAGGCTTGTCAGGCTAAGATCGGGCTTGCCAGGCTGTGTAGAGACGGCGTCCTTCCTGGACTGGTCTTGCGTTGGTCGTGTCTTTGCTGCGGTGGATCTGGATTGATTCGATTTGGGGGCGGATGTGGTGAGGTTGCATTTATAAATAGACTAATTTTATTTAATCTAATTAGATAGGTAGATGGAGGGGGATTTTATTCAGAGATGGTTAGTCTCCAGAGACCTTGACATATGTCGGTATATTATGGGAGGATATTATAACAGACTATTACTATTGAAACCGTATAATGGAGTACCCAGAATCAGAGTAGACTATGGAGTGGATATGTCCAGACGCATGATCTGCATACCTCTACAATGTCGGATACAGTCACGAACGACCCTTAACCATACTGTCAGTCGAACGAACCAGTCTGTCAATCACTAAAAATACCGTCATACTGAAACATATATACAACGCACACACCGGGTATCCTCCCAATGATTACACCTGATGGTTAACAATATCAAACCAAAATAATAATATAAAAAGAAAGGGCCATCATGAAAGCGGCCGCTCCTGCAGCCGTCGCGCCTGCGCCTCCAACGACCGTGCCATCAACCCCGTCACCGGCCACACCCTCGCCCGCTCGAGCAGTCCCGCCGTCGCTACCAGAATCTGCGGCCCGTATCCTCCCGCCACCCGGGGGAGCCCCGATCCCTGGGCCTCGATCCGCGCCAGGATCGTGCCGATCGTCGCCACCAGCGTGCGGTCCTCCTCTTCCAGCCCCGGGTCCGGCGTCAACGCCCGCCCCTCCACCGCCGCTAACCACTCCGCCAGCACCTGTGCGCAGTCAAACGCGCACAGCGCCGACTGGATCGGCAGGTCCCGGCACGGTGACGCCGCGAACGTCGTTCCCAGCCGCTGCGACATGGCGATCGAGTCCGCCGCGTAAAAGGCCGCCCGCCGGAGGTGCCGCTCGCGCGGCGACGGCATCCCCACGCTCCCCGCACCCGCGTCCGGCGGGCGCATCGACGGGTCCAGCACCGCCGTCGGCAGCGCGTCGGGGGCATCGTCGCCACCCGCCGCGTCGGGCGACCCTGCCGGCAAGGAAGTCTCGTCGGGCGCCCAAAACATCGCCCGCCGGCGGCCGAGGTCGACGTACAGCCGCACGTACGCCAGGTCCAGCAGCGGGATACTGTCCGCCGACAGCGGGCCGGCGCCGAACGGGTTCGGGTACTCGAGGCTGTGGGCTGGGTGGCGCGCCCACGCCGTCTGCCACGCCCGCAGCGCCGGCTCGAGATGCGCCTGCATCGCGTCCGTCTCGCGCGCCGTCCACGGCCGGCCCCGGTGCCGCTGCCGCGTCTCCCAAATGTAGTTGTGCAGCGCGTAGATCAGCACCAGGCAGCCGAACGTGCTGGGCCGCAGGTCGTCCGGCGGGGGCGCCACCCCGCGCTGGCTGGCCGTCAGCAGCGTCGTCAGCGCCGTCGCGAAGGACACCCGGTCGGCCCGCGCCGGGGGGCCCCCGCCGCGCTGCGCCCACGCCTGTGGGGACTCGGCCGTCCAGAGGGCCTCCTCGCACGGCAGGTCGAGGCGGAGCTCCGAGTTGGTCAGCACCGGCGCCTGGTGATAGGCGGCGACGAGGAAAGCGGAGAGCACGAAGAGGGCCGACAGCGTCCGCGTCCGCTCCTCGCCCGCCTTCCAGATCAGCCAGGCCCGCCGTGCCGCGGGCGGGTCGGACCCCGGTGCGGCAGCGGGGTGGGGGTCCGGCGGCCGGTCGTCCGCAGCCCCGTGCAACTCGAGGGCGCGCGCCAGACGCACGAGGGTGGCGCAATGGGGGCGCGCGCGGTCGGCCGCCGCGGGGTCATCGCCGGTGTGACTGTGGAGAACGATGAGCAGCAGAGCCTGCACCAGCCACAGCGGCGGGGGCGACGCGACCCGGCGGTGCTCGTCGAGGGGTCGTTGGGTCATCGTCTGGGCAGCGGCGAACAGGTCCTGCGCGGCAGCGGAATCGCCCGCGAAGCGCGCGCCGAGGGCGGCCATGGCCAGGAGGAGGCCCCCGCCGGGGGCGGGGCCGGAGCGCGGGGTGTACTCGGGGGCCTGGAAGTCGAGGGTGGGGGGGTGGAGGAAGGGCAGGTGCGGGTGAAAGTCAGTGAGATAGGCGGTGAGGTAGCGCTGCAGGTCGGGGGTGCGGGGCAGCGGGTCGCCGCCGCCGCCGCCCGCGACGGGCGGGGCGAGGCCGGCTAATAGAGCCTGTCGGGTGGCGTCGGTAACGGTATCCGGGGCGGAACGGTGGGGAGCTCGTAGGGCACTATGCGCGAACGCCAGGTTGCGAGGATTAGGAGAGTCTCCGCGAGGTGCCATGGAGGATGGAAACATACTCTGCGCGTGATGACCACCCAGCAGGGGCGGGCCCACGGCCGTCATGGAGGGGGGCGTGGCGTACGTCTCGGCGAAGGGGTTGTGGGTCTGCGCCATGAGGGACTTGGGGGAGACGGTCTCCGGGGGCGCCCCACCGAGGGGATCGGGTCCCGGACCCCCGCTGCCGGCCCCGAAGTCGACGGGGGCGCTCGGGAGGCCGTGGTGGCCGGTCGGGAAGGGATTGTGCCAGCTGGCGGCGGGCATGGGGAAGCGGGCGGTGCCGTCCAGCAGGGCCTCGCTGATGCCGCTCTGGCTCCCGGTGCTCATGGCCGAGGGGGACGAGCCATCGAAGGCGGACTCGTGCGGATGGGCGCCGACCGGGGCCGCGGGGTCGTAGCCGTTCAGCCAGTCAAAGCTGAACTCGTCCTCGAGCATGGGGTCGGTGGGGGGCGGCGGCGCCATGGCGGGGCCGCCGTGGCCGTAAGGCGACGTGGGGGTGTCGAAGGGAGGCGGGGGGGAGCCGCCGAAATGCAGCTGGGCGGGATTGACGGTGCTCCCGTGGCCCATGAACAGCTCCCCCAGGCCGCCGTCGACGCTCCCGTAGACGGGCGCGGTGCGCAGGCCGCCGCCCAGATCGAGGGAGAGACCGTGGGTGTCGAGCTTGGCCAAGCCGGGCGCGCCGGCGCCAAAGCCGCGGTAGTCCAGGTGGGAGCCGACGGGGGCGGACCCCAGGCTGGGGTGGTAGGCGTGGCCGTGGCCGTGGGGGTGGGGGGTGGGGGCGGTGGTGGCGAGGGGGGCGGAGCCGAGGCCCAGAGCGGCGCCGTCGACGTGGCTGATGGTGTTGGCGCGCGGGCGCATGGTGCCGGGGGCCTGGGCGCCGACAATGGAGTTCTTGCGCACGCGGTGGGTGCTGGCGGTGCTGGCGCCGCCCGTGCTCTCGCGACGGCCGTTGCGGGGGCGGGCGGCGGGGGTGGTGGTCATATGCAGCTTCTGCTGGTGTCGCAGCAGCAAATCGCGGCGCGCAAAGCAGCGGGAACAGTCGGGACACTCAAAAGGCTTCTCCTTGGTATGGGAGCGCTCATGGCGCTTCAAGTGCTCGAGGCGCGCGAACGAGCGGCCGCAGGTGGTGCAGCCGTGGGGGCGGGGTTTATCAGTCTTGGGTGGCGGGATTGCGGGGGCGCCCGCGTCCGACGACTTCACACTGTCTTTGTTCGGGGCGGCTGTGGGGGGCAGACGGTTAGGAAGGAGGCGTGGAGGAACGGCGCGCCAGATGGACACTCACCGGAGACATCCCCGGGGACCTCCCTGATGCTGGCGAGATCGTTGCCATTGGGGCTTGGGCCCAGATCTTGAGCCACCATGGTGTCGACTAGCATCCTATGACGGAGCAATAGAGATAGAATAGGTTGATTGAAGAGGGGACTGAGAGAGGGATGGAGAGACAGAGAGAGAGAGAGAGAGCGAGAGAGAGATAGAGAGAAGGATGAGGATTCGAAGGAAATCACGCGAGGCGACTCGACATTGACCCTGGCCCATGTAACGGCGTTAGTGGACTGTTTGATTGGGAGAGGACAACCCCGAGAAGTCAAAAAGAGCCAGAGAAGGGTTCAAGATGACGCCAGGGGGGACGGAGATGTCGGGAACGCACGTCGACAGGTAGAGGGAACGAACCGCGGGGACCGTCGGTAACGTTGGGGAGCGACGAAGCGGCAGTGGACGGGAATGTCAACAGCCACGCGGGCAAGTGGGTTGGTTGGGGTGGCGAGACGGGTTCCTGAGGGGGAAGAAGATCCACCGTATGAGCTGGGGAATAAAGTTTGGGCCCGAGGAAAAGAAAAAGAGCGAGGAGATGACAACCACGGACGGGCAATCGACTGGAACCAGACTCACCAGGGGACGAGTGGGCAGAGGAGGGGAATTGGATGGATGGGAAAGCCGGAGAAGCGAGAGTGGTTCCCAGAGGGGAGATAACCGAGGGCAATTCCAGAGTGGATCAGTCTGGGGGAAGAAGATAAGAGGGATGAAGTTTGACAGATGAGCGGTAGAGAAAGGTGAAGTAGAGATGGAGTGGATAGGTGAGAGAAGAGGTAGAAGTGAGGTGGAAGAGAGAGGAAGAGAGAGAGTGTGAGAGAGAGTGAAGTGAGAAGGAAGAGGTGAAGTTGGAGCCTCGTGGGAAAAGAAAGAGAGAGAGAGAGAGAGAGAGAGAGAGAGAGAGAGAGGCGGGTGAGGTACCTGGGATTAAGCTGGGGGCCCCATAGTCAGTGCAGGTACTCGCACGGTGACTGGCCGTTCCACTGGCGAGTGGGTCTCTGTATTGTACTATCATGTATTGCTCTGTACTGTACTGTATTGTTCTCTACGTTCTGTCTTGATTTATTCTCCTTTCTTTATTTTTTTTTATTTTTTTTTGTTTTATTATTTCTGACAATTGACATCTATACTATCGTATGTCAATTATATACATATCTCTATCTATATCTGTATATATAGATATATCTGTCGATAGAGAGATGTTATCATACGGGGATAACCGATGCAACGTGATCCGACCCCGGATTGGCCAGATCACGAGTGGGTCTGGTATCTCCTAGTATCTAGTCGACGATATGTAGAGATATAATAGTAGGTACATATATCGATATCAATATACGGAGGATATATGTGTCTAGATAGAGGTAGATATACCTCTCGATCTATATCTCGATCGTGGTCCTCGCGGTAGAATAGTAGTATCAAGTAGGTGGATGTCGGTGGAGAACCCCAGACCTCGTGACGGTCCGTCTCCGCTATACCGATATACAATACATGTCGAGAGTATGTAATCAGATATATACATATATATAAATATATAAATATATATATAATATGTATAAATATATATATAATATGTATAAATATATACGGAATAATATCATATTAGCCATTCCGTTCCATCCGTGACCCATACCAGACTACGCCAGAGTACTAAGGTCGACTAGGCAAGAGCAGGATCGAACGGAATCATTCCATCCCTCCTGGTCCGTCCCCACAAGACGCAAGACAGGATACGAGGCCACTCCTATCCACCCACTGACGCCAGACCAGACCCACTTCACCTGCTACGACTTTCTTCCCCACATCTGATCCCGACCCAGCAAATCATGCCCCATCGGGTCAACGACTTCCCACCACTCCAACCGCTGCCATCCAGTGCCCGCCACCCGTCGTCTCAGGGGCCAGGCCAGTCGCCCTCGGGCCTGGTGACTCTCGCACTGCTCAGTGGTTGCTTCTCATCCACTGAAGACTTGGCACCGCCACGGTTGAATTGGGGATTCAGGTCTGTGTCCGTGGTTATTGATTAATAATTCCTCCTTAATTATTTGACTGTGGATGATACTGTATATTTATATATAGGTTGAGTTCAAGATGTAATCTATATAAGATAGGATCCGTGCAGTCAATCATACATCGACAGCTCCTGACAGTGCATTCTTCCCTCTGACTAGGTAGATTATGGTTAGCTATATTAGAGGAATAATACTATATACAGTATGCACGGCCCTCGGATTAATACCGCAGTCCTGCAGCATTAATAATAGCGGATATGGCGCTTCTGCATGTCAACTACATGACTGTATATCTGCGGAGTACCGAGTCTCTCATTCCTACCGACCTACCTGTCGCGAGATCGATCTGGTTGTCTATATCGATCAGGACAGTTAGACAATCAAAATACAAAGTGATCGATTCTACATAACAACCACATACCATCTCCGACCGGATAATACCAAACTGCCGTATCCTCTAGTATAACTAGACCGAGTCCGTGCTCAGCGATCGGGTCAATGCATGAGGTCATTCCACTGCCATGCACCTCGCCAGCATTGGCAAATCAGATACTGGACCCACTGGACCTGTATTGTATCTGTGTATGCTATGACCACGGAGTCATGATCCATGTGGTACGTGAGTTATATATATGTCTCTGTGTCTTCATCATCTTATATATATTTCTATCGATACATATCCATATCTATACATGTCCATCTACACACACACACACACATATATAGATCAAGATGCATATTCGAATCATTGACAATACAACTATATAACAGAATCCAGATCCCTGTCTTTACTCTAGTCTCCTCTAGTGCCATCTAAGGACTAGTCTACCGAGGTCTCACTAGCAGGCGTCGGCGTTGCAACGGTAGAATGTGCTCCGTCTGTTGCTGGACCAACAGACTAATGGACGGAATACCTCCCTAGGTAGTGTTATCTATTTCTCAGGATAGAATAAGTATACCTGTCGACACACCCTAGACACATCCGAGACATATACAGAATAATAAACAGTAGATAAATAATATACGTAAAGGATCGGTCGAAAGTATGGAAAGAATCTACACGACCAACCGCTCGAACGAATACTTCCCCGCCGCCTTCCGCCGCAGATATCCCATCTCGCGATTGCTGCGCGTCCGCACCTCGCCCGTCGACCGCTCCACCTTCGTCCGGCTCACCTCCGTCGACGCCGCCTTCTGCGACAGCGGGAGCATCCGCCCCGCCCCCTCGCCCTCCTCCCCGTTCACCCCCGTCTCGAACACCATCAGCTGCGCCCCGTTCAGCGTGTCGTGCCGCACCAGCGCCGCCGCCGCCGCCGCCGCCGCCGACGACGCAGCCGCATCACCAGCGCCACCAGCGGGCGAGGTCTTCGTCTGGCGCACGCTCTCCGCAAAGCGCAGATAAGGCCGCAGGATCCCCGACAGGTAAGACGCCTCCTCCACGCCCGCCAGCGCCGCCGAGATCTCCGACTTCAGATCCGCGATGAGATCCACCTCCGCCGCGGCCGACGACACCCCCGCGTCGTCGTCCACCGCCGAGATCCACCCCGACGGGCCGATCGCGTCCACCGCCGCGTTCAGCAGGTCCGTGATCGCCGACAGGCTCAGCGCCGGCGTCGTCTGCCCCGCGGTCAGCGGCGTGGGCGGCGCCTCGCTGAACCGCGTCGTGTAGCCGCCGGTCGCGAGCGAGATGCGCAGGTGGTGGATCATGGCGAGGAGGTCCGCCCGGGAGAGCGTCGTGCGCAGGGCGCCGGTCCGCGCGGCCGACGGGTGGCAGTGGAGGTTCTGGAGGGTGGTGTTGAGGGCTTCGAAGATGGCCCGCACGGAGCGGGACTCCTCCTCGGTGTCCTCGTCGGATAGCGGCCGTGACCGCGCTAGGTTGAGGACCGTCTTCAGCGCGTGGGCGAGCTCGTCGGCTGGGAAGACGATCGGGCCCTGGAGGACGTCGATCAGTCGGCGCAGGGAGGGGGAGGAGGAGGAGGACGAGTCCGACGCGATCAGCGCGTGCACGAAGGAGCCGGCGGGCAGGGCGGGCAGAATGCGCGGTTTCAGCGCCCGGCGCAGCGCCATCGCTACGTTGTCTTGCGACAGGTGGCCGAGGGCGATGAGCCACTGGGTGGTCTGTGCGGGCCACAGGTCGACTGCCAGGGCTGGGGGCTCGCCGTCGCGGAGCGAGAAGAGCAGCGAGACGAGGAAGAGCGTCAGCTCTGGGTTGACGTATTGCGGGGGCGAAGGGAGGACCGAGTCGTCTCCGAAGTAGCCCACCACGGCGCGGTCGAAGGCCGCTGCGTCGTGGGCCTGCGCTGCTTGGCGCAGTTCCTGCGTCAGTTTGTTCCATTGGTCGGCTTGGTCGGGCGGCAGGCACAGCCAGCGGAGGTCCTCGGTGCGGTGCTTCTTGGAGACCTGCCACTGCGTGGCCGGCGAACCGATGCCGCGCCCGATCGCGTCGATGAGGAGGCCGTCGCGCGGCCGCTTGAGGGACGACCCGGACGGGATCTGCGACGAGCTGAGGTCGAAGGCGAGCAGCGTGTTGCCGCGGGTGGCGACCGCGATGCCCAGCTTAGCGTAGTAGCCGATGAAGGTCGTGCGCCCGCTGTCTGCGGAGCGGAGGTCGTCCGTCGAGATGCTCCGTTGGATGGACTGGTATTGCGTGTCGTAGATGGCGATGGTCGACTTGCCCGCGCCGATGACCGACTGCGGCGACAGACGCATCAAGGACGAAAACTCCTCATCTTCCAGGATGAACTTGGTCGTCACGGTCGGCGTGTACTGCGAGATGTCGAAGTTGACGAACCCCTTGGCGAACGACAGGTTGAGCCCCGCCGACCCCGCGTGGAAGTCCCAGTCGGGGCCCTCACTGCCGAGCGGCGACAGGCCCTCCACGTCGGGGAGGCTCGCCGTGAGCAAGTGGCGCAGCTTCTGGCTCTCGTCCAGGGATCCCTGCGACGGGACCGCCGTCGGGACCGAGAACATGTGCACCTGGACGTCCCCGAGTTTCATCTGCGCCGCACCCGCCGGGTGTGTGACGAGGAGCAGCACCATCGGCTCGTCGACCCCGCTTCCGACGAGGTCTCCCATGGCGAGCGACGCCAGGTCCTGCCGCCGCTTGAGCAGCGACCGCTTCGCATCGTCGAATTCCACCAGGAAGCTGGCCTGGACCGGATGTGTCGCCGCCTGTTTTGCGATCGCGCTGTGTTGGATGCTCCACCGCTGCGAGCCGAGATCGGCTGCCAGCCGCCTCACCCGACCGTCCTTGTGTACGGCGAGGATATCAAACGGATCTTCCTTCTCGCCCGCCGCCGTGGGGACGATCCCGACAAACATCGTGGGACTCTTCGAATCCTTCACGTCGAACGACGACGACGTAATGGTCGGCGCCGTTGACCCGGGGGCGCCCCCTTCCTCCACAAACGACTTGATCTGCCGTTGCGGGTTCACGGCGACATACGTCTGGCGTTTGGTGGCGGACTTATTGGGGACCTTTCTGCGCACCGAGCACGGCTGGCAGGAGAATGAAGATTTGGGCGGCACGGCGTAGGATGTGACTAGTTTCGGCGTTTGAATCTGACACGAGCACAATGCTTAGCGACTCTATTTCCCGAGTTAGGCAGTACGAGTAAACCCACATTGTAAATATTGACGGCTTCACCGTCCACTGCGACCGCGACTTCATACCGCTTGCGCTTTTTCGACTCGGCCAGACTGTAGACCTCTCCGATCTGAGTTTTCCCCTTGGAGGCGTGCAGGGGGCGAGGCAATTGAGCCAGCACCGACGGCGACTGTAGATCCATGGTCAAATCCTGAATAATCCAACCCGAATGACCGTTGTTGGAGAAGAAGTTGACTGGATCGAGAAAGTCCTTCCAATCTGTAACTATTTTGCGGCATCGAAAAATTGTCCGGCATTACATTGTGCCGATCTCCGACCGTCCGTCCCAATCGAGTTTAGCGCCGTACCGTAAAGTGAACGACCAGCGCGGCCACACGCGCCTCGCGTCCCATCGTTAATTAAAGGGTTGATGAAGTCGTCTTGACAACTTCTCTGGATTGAGGCTCTTGTCGACCACTTTTCTTGTTTATGTGCATTTGTCTAGCCAGCGAGAACGAGGATATATTGAACTAGGCGATGGCTATCGGCCCATAGGATATAGATGCTCCGAGCACATCGCCATGGAGCAAGGCGAACAACGCATCCATCCTTTCTTCCAAAGAGGTACTCCTGTCGATCGTCGGGTTATGAGTTTGTCTGATTGATATTCCGAGTACAGGCGATGTCCCTCCGGCAATTGGTTTCCCCCACAATCTTCACCATGACCAGTCACGCTACGAGAGCCACGGGTGTATAGGAGACCCGATCGACACGAACACCGATGGCGCCGCCGCCTCCTCCCCCAACGCCTTTGTCGCCATGCTAGACCACGATCCAAATGAGAGCCGGAGGAAAAGGCGCAAGACGGACACGCCGTCGGGCGACGGTCCTACTGCGGGTTCCACCGCGACTCACGATCCCCAGAATGCGCAGCCGTCACGGAACGGGAATAACCTCGTGTCTGAACCACCGTCCGCTGGAAATGGCGATCCAAACACCACAAAGCCCGAGAATGGATCCACGCCCGCTCACACCTCCAGTGGAGCACCAACGAACTCGCCGAAGCGGAAGATGGTCAAATTGAACCCTAATGGGAAGCTTCTCAGCTCGCCAAAGGGTCCAACAGGTCCAACAGGTCCAACAGGTCCAAAGGGGGCCGATGACAAGTCGAAGAAGAGAAGGGCCAGCGCGCGTGTTAAACCCGTTCCCAAGACGAAGGTGGTGGTTTTGAAATATGAGAATCAGATTGGGAAGCTAGTGGACGACATCATCGCCGGTCGAACGAAGTACGCCGCAAAACCGATTCCTAGTATTCCTAAAAAGGAGCACCCGCCTCAACCTCCGAAACCCACGCACCCGTTCTTCATGAAAAAGCCTGTACGAAAGGCAGATACCCCCGAGACTCTTGCTCCTCAAGATTCCACTCCAGTGCCGTCCGATCGGTCCCAGGTCACCCGGTTGGGCTCGTCAAATAATACGCCGTTCGTCACCTTCAGGCCACGTCCTAAGTTTCCTGATGCAATCCATCCCATTTGGCCGCCGCGGGATCTGGCCCACGTGAGAGGGTTTCAAGGTGTGCCTGATCGAACTCACGATGACACCACTACTCTCCGCCGGGACGAGCGCAAAGCCAAATCGGCGGCCGTGAGCATCTCGGACCACGAGAGCGTACTCGTGTCTCCCTTGAGGAGCCCTATCCATGATCCAAAACAGATCCTCCGCGTCCCCGACCGACATCTTGCAAGCGGCCCCACGCTACAAAAAGCAGTTGCCAGACAGCTGTCGAGTATGCCTGGGAAAACCGGCCATCACGCCATCACGAGCCTCCACTCCTCCATCCCGACTTCCTTAAACGCGTTCGATCGGGGAGACTACGAAAGCAGCCTCTGGGCGCACAAGTATGCCCCCACCACCGCCGAGCAGGTATTGCAGGTCAGCAGCGAAGTCACCATGCTCCGAGACTGGCTCAAACACCTGATGGTTTCCACCGTCGACACAGGAAAGCCGTCGCAAGACAACAGGGCCAAGAAAGAGGAGAAGAAGCGGAAGAAGCAGAAGAAGCCGGATAAAATGGATGGGTTTATCGTGTCGAGTGGCGACGAGGCATCCGAGATGGACGAAGTCGCGGCCGAATCAGACGATGAATTGGCCGGCGATGTGACTGTCTCTGCCAAACGAACCGTCGTACGGATGGGTGATCGGACTCCAAGCTCGAAGGTGGGCGACAAGGGCCGTCTGTCCAACGCGATATTATTGAGCGGACCCCCGGGATGTGGGAAGACCGCTTCTGTCTACGCGGTAGCCAAAGAGCTCGACTTTGAAGTCTTCGAGTTGAACCCCGGGAGCAGACGCAGTGCGCGAGATATCGTGGAGCGTGTGGGCGACATGACTCGAAATCACCTGGTCCATCACTTGAGCGGAGGTGATGACAAGTCCCGATCTCAGTCGCCCGATCCCAGCCTGGATGCTACGGACGAGAACAAGCAGAATAAGTTGATGGGGTTCTTTAAGCCCAAGTCGACCACCCAGCCAAGTAAGGAGTCTAAGGTCAAGGAACCGGATACCAACAAGGAGCCAGATCCGAAGCGTGGTCGGACTCAAAAACAATCGCTCATCCTTCTCGAGGAGGCCGACCTTCTGTTCGAGGACGATAAGCAGTTCTGGTCCGGCGTGCTCACCCTAATCACTCAGTCCAAGCGCCCGATCATCATCACCTGCAACGAGGAAAGCCTCATCCCGGTTGCCGACATCTCCCTTCACGCTATCCTGCGTTACCGACCACCTCCTCCGAACGTGGCGGCCGACTATCTCCTCCTTTTGGCGTCCAACGAGGGCCACATGGTGCGACGAGAGGCCGTGGTAGATCTCTACCTCAGCACGGGCCGAGACCTGCGGAGGACGATCATGGAGCTGGACTTCTGGTGCCAGATGGCCCTCGGGAGCGAGAAATCGGGGATTGATTGGCTGATTGACCGGTGGCCTCAGGGCGCCGATCTGGACCCGAACGGAGATCCGCTGCGCGTGGTCAGTCTGAACACGTACCATCGCTACATGGGGTGGTTCAGTCGCGACATGTTGATGGACCAGAGCTTGGACGGGGAGGTGGAGACTCAGCAGGAAGCGCTCTCCTGGTGGAGACTCAGCGCACAGGATTCGGAGATCATGGAAATGCATCGCGACCGGTCACGCGCTGCTCCCGTTTCTACACGAGCGGAACAGCACGAACAGCTCCGAAACTTTTCGGAGATGGCGGACATGAGGAGCGTGATGGACCTCTTGAGCACCGATTGTCCGCTCGACCCGAAGATGGTCTGTATCCCCTGTTACTCGCTCTTGATCGAACCACCGCTGACCCCAATAGGATGCCATCGACACCTCGTCTCCGCCTCCGTCGGAGAAACAACGACCGAACTACATCGACGGCTATCCGTTGCTGAACGCCGAGCTCGTCCCGGACTACTCCTCTTTGCAAGTCGCCATCGGCAGCACATTCGAGGTCCTCCTCGGACGAGTATCCCGGGGTGAGTCGCTGGACGTGGAGTCCTCGCGGGCCGCTCACGTCCTGGCAAATATGGCCCAATCTCCCGTCGCCGGCCGGCCCCAGGCCCCGTTCCTCGCCGCGTTTCAACCCATTCTACGCGCCAACTACGTCTTCCCCATCCCCACGGGGCGATTAGCGCCGTCCTTTGACAATGGCATCAGTCCGATCGCCGAGGACCTCGCCCCGTATATCCGGGCGATCATGGCGTTTGACCTCCGCCTCGAGCGATACCGTCTGCAACTGAGCGGAGTTCTGTCTCACGGCAACGATGAGACGAAACGAATCCGGACAACCAGGGCCAGTCGGGCGGCTCTGGAGGGCGGGAGCAAGTCCGACACCCGGCGGGAGAGGTGGTTCCCTATGGATGCCAACCCGGGGTTGATCCAGTCGACGGGCGGACAGGGGTGGCAGGACCTCCTCGTCCAGCAGGGGCATTTTCCCGTCCATCCGAGGAGGGAATCGGAGGGACCGACGGATCGCAGTGAACCTGCTTCGGAGAGTTCCAGCGAGGGTGGAATCTGATATAGCCCGGACTACCCTTGGTTATCGAGGGATTCTTTGTAGAGGTCACTTATATAGGACCGCATGTATAAAGACTATTTTGGATAATTTATAGCATTGGCATTATTATTTCTCTTTCCTTCTCTTATCATCTCTTCTACACTTCTCTTATCCCAAACAATGTCCTCTATAAAATCGATGGTATATTGTATAGGAGTATCACGTAATCCACCTGACTTATCGCCCAGCCGGAGCTCCCTTTCTTATCAACCAACCTCGCCATCGTCACCTGGGAGGAAAAGCAGGTCTTTTTCTCTTGTTGGCTGTCTTGATCTTCTTCTACCTCATCTCTAGTCATTGAGGTTGACTCTATTGTATCTCATATAATTCCTCTTTCCCTACTTATCTCACCATCTGGCAATCTCCGACCGGACTCCGCTGTTGGATCGCCAGTATCCCCTCCGCCATTGCGCACGAGCCTCATTCGAGCCACTCCCATCGCTTCCATCCTCATTGTCACCGACCATGTCGTTATTCGGCACGTCCCCCGAGGAATCGCCCGGCGGCAATTCCGCCCAACGGTCCAAATCCTCCCTGTTCGCGGACGATCCGTCCTCGGGCGGCGGGGGCGGTCCCATGGGCTCCTCGTCTCTCTTCGCGGATGACGACGAGGGCGCCGGTGGCGGGTCTCCCTGGGGTACCCACGCGTCTAAACGGACAGGTCGCCATGAGCTCGTCAAGACTTTACTTCCTGAATCGGACGTGCCCGACAGCTACATCGACTCGTACGACCTGGTGCTCAGCGTCGGAGACCGCGTGGGCAGTGGGGTTGGCTTGACCTCGGTACGGGAGATCCTGTCCGGCAGCGGACTCACGGCCACGGACCAGGCGAAGATCCTCAACCTGGTGGTGTCTGGGGAGGTCGATAGCTCTACTGGCCTCGGGCGCAGCGAGTTCAACGTGCTGTTGGCGCTGGTGGGCCTGGCGCAGGAAGGGGAGGATCTGACGCTGGACATGGTCGACGACCGACGCAAGAGTGAGTCTTGTTTACTTTACATGGGCCATGCGTTTCTTACTTCCAGTCTGTTAACCAGTTGATTGTATATTCTAGAGCTCCCCACCCCACATAGCTCCTACTTCGATTCGCTGCGCGCGAAGCAGGAACCGCCGGAGTCGGGTCAGTCGCAGGATCGGCCGACCACGCCGCCTCCGCCGCACATCCAGGAACCAGAACCCTCGCCGGCCCAGTCTCGCCGCGAGCGACCCACGTCCATGGGCGGGCTGGAGTCCGACCCCTGGGGCAGTCCTGACATGCATCGCGGCCACACCCACACGCAGGCCGAGTCGGAGAACCCCGTGCTGAACGGCTACGGCAGTGCGCGGTCGGCGACCAACGCCTGGTCAACTAAACCGGGCGGATCGCTCAATGGCGGCCGTGGCCACGGGCGGATGGAGAGCGCGCCATCTTCCGGGGGGTCTGGATTCGGTTGGGGCGAGAGCTTTGGCGCTCCGGCAGGCGGGGGCTCCCGGGCGGGGCTTGGCGGCTTTGGACCGCCGTCCAGCGACGCCGACGAGTCGAACCCGCGCCGGCGATCGCTGGGGATGGGAGGGATCGCGAGCCCGCTCCTGGAGGAGCTGGTGACGATCACGCTGCTGCCGGAGAAGGAGGGGATGTTCATGTTCCAGCACCGGAACTACGAGGTGAAATCGGCGCGGCGCGGGAGCACGGTGGTCCGGCGATACAGCGACTTCGTCTGGCTCTTGGATTGTCTACAGAAGCGATACCCTTTTCGACAGCTTCCTCTGCTTCCACCGAAGCGACTGGCAGGTACGTTTTCCCCGGAGGAAGGCTTGCTCCGAAAAGCTCTACTTACCTTGTTTTGTCTGTTCCGCAATCTAAGTCAATGGCACTTACCTCGCAGCGGATTCGACCTCATTTCTTGAAAAGCGGCGGCGCGGGCTGGTGCGGTTCACCAACGCGCTGGTACGGCACCCGGTGCTGAGCCAGGAGCAGCTGGTCATTATGTTTTTGACCGTGCCGACGGTATGCCCCCTCCCTCTCCCGCCTACGTATATGGATGACGGCTGGCTAACTCGACGCAGGAACTGTCGGTGTGGCGAAAGCAAGCGACGATCTCGGTGCAGGATGAGTTCAGCGGGCGGGCGCTCCCACCGGACTTGGAAGAGTCACTGCCGGCGAACCTGACGGAACTGTTTGACACAGTGCGAAACGGGGTGAAGCGGTCGGCCGAGGTGTACATCCAGCTGTGCACGCTGCTGGAGCGACTAGCGAAGCGCAACGAGGGCCTGGCGGCGGACCAGCTGCGGTTCTCGCTGGCACTGCAGTCGCTGACGGAGGTGACGCGGGAGACGTATGCGGTGGACACGAACGACGTGCCGCTGTTGAACGAAGGAATCAAAGCGACAGCGCGACACCTGACAGCCAGCCAGAGCCTGCTGGAAGACGAGGCGCGGGCGTGGGAGGCGGGAATGCTAGAGGACCTGAAGCGCCAGCGGGACTGTCTGGTGAGTGTGCGGGATTTGTTTGACCGGCGCGACCGGTACGCGCGCAACAATATCCCGCAGCTGGAGCGACGGATTGAGGGACACGAACGGCGACTGCAGGAGCTGCGGGCGGGGGGGACGGGGAAGCCGGGGGAGATTGAAAAAGTGGAGGACGCTATCTTCAAGGTAAGCTTCTTTTCTTCTTCTTTTTTTTTTTTTTTTTTCCTCTTCTTCTTCTTCTTCTTCTTTTTCCCCCTTTCGTTTGTTTGGTTCTTCTGGTTAATCTCGATTTACAGGACAAAGAGTCCATTGTGCAACAGCATGCACGCGGGGTATTTATCCGGGAGTGCGTGCGCGATGAGCTGGTCTACTTCCAGCAGAGTCAGTATCACATCAGCCGGCTGCATCAAGACTGGAGTCAGGAACGTGTCAAATACGCAGAGCTGCAGGCGGATAACTGGCGGTCGTTGAGTGACCAGGTGGAGGGGATGCCATTGGGGGATTGATCTTTCTTTTCTTTTCCTTTCATTCTACCTGTTGTATGTTGGTAGGTCTGTATGTAGCGGGTGATATCGGAATCCATCTCTCTTCTATCCTAATATCCCTCGATCCTGAAATCTGACATGCCAAGAAAACAAATAAACAATCAATAATAATCCAACCAACTAAGCAACACCCTCAACGAAACAAGCGAAAAGAAGAGAAAACAAAGGATGAGACAGTCCCACAGCGGACCCCGCCAGCGCCAATAGGAACAGACTTGGCAGCCTTGCAGGGCTGGGCAGTGGGGCCCACCCTTCCAGTACGAACGAGTGGCTGGCGCGGTCGAGGAATGTCCGGCCTCTCCGGTGGTCGGGAGGTCTTGCATTCTATTTATTCTATTTATGATTGCGTCGCGAGTGGTCAATTCCGTCGGTTGGGAGCTATTAATATATCAATATTGTCCGGGATTCCGGCCATGTGGACGGATGCAGCTGCAGTGATAGATCTGCCTATTCTTCTTGTACTGATTCTTCTACCGAATAATAGAAGATAATACAAGATAATACAAGATAATATAAATCACTCGAGTATAATACAATATAATATCATAATATTATGTTACAATCTCATCACAGATAATAAGAGATAAGTCCGCCGCCAAGACTCCCGCCAAGACCGCCGAGTCCGCGACCGACCGTGGATCCCCGCCCAATCTTTTCACTGCTTCCTCTTCTTCTTCTCTTCCAACTTCCAACTTCCTTCTCTCCTCCACTTCATCCACTCCACTCTCCCACTCCACTCTGCTTCCTCTCCCTGTTCTCACCCACTCACATACTCTTCCACTTCCACTGCCAAGCTCCTACTCATCTGCCTAGCCCGAGCGAACCAAAAGAAGAAAGTAGAATGCCCGTCCGCTGGGTCTCGCCCCTCCTGTCCTAAATCTTCGTTCCCTCGTCTCTCTTTCTCTCCCCCTCGTTTACCGAATACTATCGGGACTATCTCTCCACTATTGCTTCAGACCGGATCGCACCTGGTCCGCTTGCCCCTTCTGGTAAGTTGATCGCACTCGGACCACCTGCCCTCCTCTCCCTTTTTTTCCTTCCTCTCCTTTTCTTCGTCTCTTCTGCTGTCACTGCTCCTCCCCATTGCATGCGCCTGCGCCTATCCCGTTCTGACGCGCAGTCTACCTAGATTCTCCTCCACGTCGACCCTCAAGGAATGCCGACAACGCCCCTCCCTATACGTCTGGCGGAATTTCACGGTTTAATTGCGGGTCACCCGCTCAATCGACCTTTCGGATTGCTTCGTTGATCGAAGCTTGTGTTGATATCGGTCCAGTGATATTCGGGACTTGGCGGACAAAATGGCGTGGGATCACCTCGACATCGATAAGCCGCATCTGGCCTACATGATCCTTGGCGGTTTCACCGGCCTGTTCATGCTCTGCTCCCTCTTCGTCAAGGAGAAACTCTACATCGGCGAAGCTACCGTCGCCACTCTCTGTGGCATCATCTTCGGTCCCCATGCCGCAAACCTCTTCAACCCCCTCTCCTGGGGCAACGTCGACAAGATCACCCTCGAGTGCTCCCGCATCGTCCTCGTCGTCCAATGTTTCGCCGTCGGCGTCGAGTTGCCCAAGGCCTACATGGAGCGCCACTGGAAGTCCGTCATCATGCTCCTCGTTCCCGTCATGACCTGGGGCTGGTTGATCACCAGTCTCTTTATCTGGTGGATGGCCGAGCCGCTGAGCTGGGTTGAGAGTCTCGTCTGCGCCGCCTGCGTCACCGCCACCGACCCCGTCCTCGCCTCCTCCGTCGTCGGTAAGGGCAAGTTCGCCAAGCGTGTGCCCAAGCATCTGCGTGACCTCCTCTCCGCCGAGTCCGGCTGCAACGACGGCATGGCGTTCCCCTTCATCTACCTCTCCTTCTACATCCTCCGCTACGCCTCCCATCCCAGCGAGCTCGCCCTCCACTGGTTCTGCATCTCCATCCTCTACGAGTGCGTCGTCGGCGCCATCTTCGGGCTTTCCATCGGCTATCTCGCCCGTCACGCCATTCGCCTCGCCGAGCGCAAGGGCCTCATCGACCGCGAGAGTTTCCTCGTCTTCTACTTCGTCCTCGCCGTCTTCTGCGCCGGCTCCGGCAGCCTTCTCGGCATGGACGATTTGCTCATCGGCTTCTGCGCCGGTGTCGGCTTCAGTAACGACGGCTGGTTCACCGAGAAGACCGAGGAGTCCCACGTCTCCAACGTCATCGATCTCCTTCTCAATCTGGCCTACTTCGTCTACTTCGGCTCCATCATCCCCTGGGAGGACTACAACAACCACGCCATCGGCCTCACCCCCTGGCGCCTCGTGGTCATCGCCCTGCTCGTCATCTTCTTCCGCCGCCTGCCCATCATGATGCTGCTGAAACCCGCCATCCCCGACGTCAAAACCTGGCGCGAGGCTCTCTTCGCCGGCCATTTCGGCCCCATCGGCGTCGGCGCCATCTTCGCCGCTATCCTCGCCCGCGCCGAGCTCGAAAACGACAGCACCCAACCCCTGTCCGAGGCCGAGCTCCCCAAGGCCGGCACCAAGGACTACTTCGTCGTCCAGCTCATCTGGCCCATCACTACCTTCCTGGTCATCTCCTCCATCTTGGTCCACGGCTCCTCCATCGCCGTCTTCACCCTCGGCAAGCGCATCAACACCCTGACCGTCACCCTGTCCTACACCCAGGCCAACGAGGAGGGTCCCTCGTGGATGAACCGTTTGCCCCGCGTCCAGTCGCTCGCCAAGGGCTCCATGTCCTTCCGCAAGACCGACGAGGTTGAAGACTCCACCACCGAGCCCGAGTACCCGCCCGGCACCCTGCCCCCGATCGGCATGCCCGGTAACTTCCTCCGCCGCCAACGCGACGAGGACGACTCGCCCCCCGGCCGCACCCCGAGTCGCTCCGCTCGTCGCCGCCGCCGCCACCGCGGGCGCTCCTCCGACGGCGCCGGTGGTCCCATCAGCCAGTCTGCCATCCACCCCCAGCGACCCTCCGACACCGGTCTGGACGAGAAGCAGGACAGCAACGCCGAGCAGGCCGGCGGCTTCCACCGCGTGCCCGTCATGGAGGTCTACCTCGAGGGTCACAACATGATCATGGAGGACGAGGACGGCAACGTCCTCCAGACCAAGGACATCAGCCACATGTCGCCCGAGGAGCGCGACCGCCACATCGAGGAGCAGCGGGCGAAGCTGGTGCGCGAGCGCCCCGTCGAGGGCGCAGTCGAGACCGACGCAGCCCCGACTCCAGCCGACGGCGCGGAGACCCCGGCCCCGGCTGCAGAGGAGACGCCCGCCGGTCCGGTTGCCTCGATGCGCCGGCGTTTCGCCCGGTTCGTGGGCATGGACCGCTCTCCCGTGTCCGCGCCAGAGACCCCTGACACCGCCACCCCGGCCGGCCCATCGTCGCCCGCGGCAGCCGCCCCGCGCGCCTCCGCGCCCAAGCCCAAGGGCAAGGCGCGTTCTGCCCACGCCTACCAATTCGGCAACACCATCATCGTGGAAGATGAAGACGGCGAGGTGCTCAAGAAGTATTCGATCCCGTCGTCGTCGTCCGAGCGTCCCGAGGGCGCCGCCCCCGTGCGGCGCGGCCTCACCCGCATGGGCACCTGGTTTGGCATGGAAGAAAAGGACGAGACGGCGCAGCAGCAGAAGCAGACCGCCAAGAACCGGCAAGCCGCCCGGGACGAGTGGATGGCGGACGACGGCCTGCGGTTCACCATCGCCGCGGACGACACCGTCGGCCGCCGCGGCGTCGGCCACAAGGGCACGCGCATGACCAAGCACCAGTTCGCGGAGCAGCTGCGCAACCTGGGGCCGCGGGCGCGTCACACCTTCGTCGAGGAGTCGGACGCGCCCGAGCGGGTCAAGGACGCCGCGCGGTCGCACGCGGAGGCGGCGGAGGAGCGCCAGAGTCAGCAGCCGTCCCGACGACAGTCCGACCCGGGCGTGACCCCGCGTGCCGATGGCATCGCGCGCGATCCCATCGAAGCCGCCGGCCGCGCCGCAGCCGAGGAAGACCTGACGTCGTCGAGCGAAGTCAGCGACGAGCCAGACCAAGCGGCGGGACGAGCCGGCCACGGCAAGGACGTCGCGGCGTCGCTGGCGCGTGTCACCCACGGCAGCGCCGCCCAAGCCCGCCGCAGCAACCTCAACCCGTCGCAGCTGCGAGCACGACGAGACTCGGAAGACGACGGCACGGACCGAGTGCCCCCGTCGGAGCTCCGACAGGCTGCGGGGCTGGATCGGCCCCCGCAGGAGGCCGACCTAGGCGATACGGGCGAGACGCCGGCCGAACGACGCCGTCGTCTTGCCGCCTTGGGCGAGCTAGGCTCGGACTCTGACTCTGCCTCTGAAGACGACGACGACGACGAGGCGATCGAGTCCGGGAGTGAAGACGGGGACGAAGACCGCCGGGGTAAGCCCGGACGAGGCGAGTCAAGTTCGTCCGAGTCGGCACAACGGCATCGGACGAAGATCTCGTGGGGGGGTGAGAAGGGGCGGTGATTGATGATCACGTAGTATTATTATGCTGATTGATTGGTTATATTGATTGATGATAGTTATTGATTGGTCGATTGATGTTGATTAGATTGATTGACTGATTGATGGTTGATGATTGATTGATGATTGATTGATTGATTGATTGATTGATTGATTGATTGATTGTATAGGAAGGGCAAAGGAAAGGACATAGGATAATAGATATACATACAGATACAATAAGATCAACCTATTACTTAGATCGGGGAGTACTCCGTTCGTAGTAGAGTAGAACAGCCGGTGGTAGAGTACTACTAGTGGGAGATATAACTAGGTAGTAAAACAGCTAGATGGACAAATGGTTTCAAAAAAGAGATAAGTTATAATGTCCTCCCTTTGTTCCACCTATCTATCTATTATCCATCCATCCATCTAGGTGAAGGAAATATAGTATTCGTAGTATGGCAGTATAGTTTCATCCAAATGGAGTATCTGTCCATTTGAATAGGTTATATCTCGGTAGAGAAGGTATCTTGTCTATCTGTATCTTGACCGTAGTATCTCTGTATTATACTACATGTGTAGCCAATGCCTATCTAGGTGTTATCTGTCGACCTACATAAATAGCTATCTAAGTACTGAATCTAAAGCAGTCCTTACTAGAAAATATCTCCAAGATGAATTAAATCACTTGATTTAAATCAATAGAATAAATATGTAAATGTAAGTAAATAAGTAAATAAATAAGGGAAGAATAAGGATGAGAAGAATGAAAGAAAGAATGAAAGGAAGAATGAATAGATCGCTGCTTTTCCTTCCCTAACACCAACAACACCAACACCAACACCTAACACCTCCATGACGAAAGATAATCAATCCTCGGAATTCAATGCTGACTCGACTTCATCACGGGTATCAATCATATCAACTCCGACACGTTCACTATAGAACTCCAAAGAGGCTGACTATAGTACCCCAGGCTATAGCAGTTATAGCACCCCCCCAGGCAGGTTAATCTGCCCCTGACGACCTTCAAACCCCGCGCTGTTAGGCGCCGACCCCCCACCCGTGTAAGGCGCCCCCTCCGCAGCGTGGATCTGCCTGCGCAGCATGAACATGGGCTTCCGCCCTTCCTTTTCCAGCTGCTTGAACAGGATCAGCGGTTTCTCCTCGAGTCCCAGACATCGCTCCTGGTCGCCGTAGACGATGTACAGCGCGTACTGCTTCCAGTCTGCGTTGATTTGGTATTTCTTCAGCGCGGCTGGTAGTACCCGGTAGCATGGGTCGTCCATGGATACCCGGAATGATTTGAAGATCTCCACGCTTGGTGGATCCCCGCCGCCGCTGCTGCCGCCGCCGCCGCCGCTGCCCGCGGTGCCGGCGCCCGCGCGGGAGTCGGATCGTGAGGGGAGGTCGGGTCGTGTGGCTTGGGTGGGTGTGGGTTGGAGGCGGTCGGATCGGGAGGGCGGCGGGTCGTCGTGGGGGTCGTGTCGACTGTTCGGTTGCGTGTACGACCGTGAGCCGAGGATCTGCGAGGCCGTGTAGTGGTTGCCGGGGGAGGTTGGCGACGGGATGCCGGGCGATAGCTGGGCTTTGCCGTTGTTCATCGAGCTCAGGTGGGAGGCGCCCGGGAGCCCGCCCGCGGTGGACGGGTCTAACCCGTCGTGGTAGGATCGGACTTCGTGGATGGAAGGAGGAATGTGCGTGGGGGAGTTGTTCTTGGGGGTGGTGCCGCCGGCGCGCTTGGAAAAGGATCGGGAGATGCCGGACGCGGCGCGGTCAAGGAGGGTGATGCCTGAGGGGGAGGTGAGCGTCTGGCTGTCGTGATAGCCCTCGATGGTGGTACCGGATAAGGTGGAGGGCGGGGGGAGCGGCTGCGAGCGGTCCTTGGCCATTTTAAAGACGGGGAGGAGTTCCTCTCGCAGCCGCCGATAGTCCTCGGCCATGCGGCGCAGCTCCGACTCGACCGTGACGATGCGTTCATCGCGTAATCGGATCGACTGGATCAGACGGGCGACGTCCTCTTGCGAGGCGTTTTCATTCATACTCTGATCGGCGGCTGTACCGGTTAGTTGAATTCCAGACGAGGAGGCAAGGGAAACGTACAGAGTGGGATGTAGTGATCGGCATCCAGCGGGATGTCTTGTTTGACCTTGGTTTCGTAGACGCTTTTCAGGATGGTCAGACGATGACCCACGCTGGCGATGCCCATTTCTTTCAACTCGTCATGTTTGAGGGCGATGAGGGCTTCGCCAACGATTTCATTTTCTGAGGGTAACGGTTAGCATAGTCTTTACAATCGTCTCTTCTCTGTCTGTCTCCCACACACACACACACACACACACACACACACACACACACACACAAACAGTATATAACGACATACCCAGAAAAGCATTGCGATACTGGCGCAGACCCAAGGCCGCCAGAAAGCCCGCACACTCATCGACCGTCCACTCGGTAATCACGGTCGTCGGCCACTGGGCGCTCTCATCGGCATTGGCAAAAGTGGTCGGGGTATGTTGAGCGGAAGGGAATTCCGAAACCAAGGGGGAGGCTTCGGAGTCGGAGGCCAGGTGGGGGGAGGTGACGACGCTGCGTTCGTACTCGTCGTCGGCGTCCGAGTCGGCGTGGTAGGAGGTGGGTTGGAGGGTGATGGGAGGCATTTGGGCGGGAGATCACGGGGCCTGGAAGTTGGACCCGGGGGTGATCTCGAGGGAGGGACTGTCGAGCCGACGGGGGGAGAGGCAGCCCAGCACCGCCCATGGATCGGGGGCGGGTCTGGGGGTGGTGGTGGTGGGAGACTGTCAGGAGACCGTCAGGAGGGAACAGCGAGCGAGGCAGTGACGCAGTGAGGCAGTGACGCAGTGACGCAGCGGTCGACGGGGAAGGTTGGTTGCAGAAAGACGAGGAGTGTTGTTCGGTCAAGCAGCGAGAGGAGAAGACGAGAGAGGTGGAGTGATGGAGCCAAGGTCGGATGGGGATGCTAGAAAAATACAAGTCGAAAGGATAGCCAGTCATCCAGCCAGAGCGGGGAAGAAGCTCGGGCAGGGCGGATCTTGTCCTGAACGGGAAGTGAGGGAGGATGGAGTCGACGATGATGACAGGGGAGAAGAGAGAATCGACAATCGAAAGAGAGGACCGAGCGAAGGATGGAGATTGATCGAGGAGAGGAGGAATCGAGGAGACGACGAACCGCGAGGGGGAGGAAGAGCGAAAGAGAAAAGGAAGAAATGAAGTCGAAGTCGAAGCGCCGGTGGGGCACGTGATGGTCCAGACTGATATAAATAGGATACCACATTTGATATAGATAGGATAGATAGAATAATTATAGAACAGACAATCGATATAATAAATAGTGTAGAATAGAATAGAGAATAGAATAGAGAATAGAATAGAGAATAGAATAGAGAATAGAATTTAGAATAGAATATAGAATCATATCAGATTGAGGAGAATCCGGAGGCATGAGAATCGCAAAGTACATCGGATTCAACATGGATCTGCCTATTTATATTTAAATAAGTCTACTGAATATAGAATATTAAATCAATCCATTCTAATATTCAATCATCCAGATACTCATAGGGAGAGTGCCCATCTCCTGTCAATCCGTCTTCATACCGCCGCACTTCTCCATCTCTCCATCTCCCCGTCTTGTCTCCGTCCAAGAATCCAATCCAATCCTCAACAACCACCGCCACACCACAACCAGCAAACAATCTCAATCCAAGAACAACCCCTACCTCCAAAGCAAGGCACAAAAGAAAATCCCAAGAAACAACCCAAATAGACAAGCCCAAGAAAAAGAAAGAAAGAAAATGCCCTCCTCCCCACACCCCCCCCAAACAACGACCACCACCACCCTCGAATCCGACCTCCTCACCCACCTCGCAAGCACGACCGCCCTCGAAGACATCCACTCCACCCTCCTCTCCACCCTCCAAAGAACAGGCTGGACCGAACGCATCCGCAAACTCGCCACGGAGCTCCTCCGCGCCGGCCGCTGCGAGCGCTTCGACGAAGTCGTCGACGCGGTCGTCGCTACCGCCGAGGGCCGGATAGCGTCGTCGTCGTCACTTTTCCTCGATCAGCAAGATTACGCCCATAACCATAAATACGACCATGATCATGATACGGAGAATGGAGGAGGTGAGGATATCGACGTGCGCATCCCGTCTGCTGTCGTTGAGCAGGGCGTGCGCGCGATCAAGGAAGTTCTTCGCGAGGTCGCTGTCCGAGACGACGAGTCAGATCTACTAGATGGGTCGGAGGATGGGTCGGAGGGGTCGGAGCCGTCGGGCAAGGTGAAGCGCGAGGATACGTCTGGTAGAGGGAATGGGAGTGGCAATGGGAGTGCGTTTGAGGGGGGCACGTCGGCGAAGGAGAAGAAGAAGGGGAAGGGGGGGAAGAGTGGGAGGTAATTCTTCTTCTTTTTCTTCCTCTCTTCTCTTCTTTCTGACTTATTTTATTTTATTTATTTTATTTTACGATTTTAATACTGGTTGTACTGTATATTACTTCATATCTCTGAGAAGGAATTCATTGAAATGATCAACCTCTACCTAACGACTCAATAAACTAAAACAAACCCAATTTAATCATAAAGACTGTCGTCATTCCCCGCGTCGCCGAACGTATTGCCGTCCGCGCCCTCGCCCCCACTCGGGAATCGGAAGAAGCTGCTGCCCCCCGAGTTCTTCATGCTCTGCGCAAACGCCTCGTAGCGTCGGATCTCCACGTCACTGACCGACTTGCGCGCCGACTTCATCGCCTCCTCGAAGTGCGCCCGCGTCAGCTCCGGCACCGGGTCCTCCTCGTCCGCCGCGTCGTCCTCCTCCATCTTCACGTCCTCGCCGTTGGCCTCGCGCTGCTTCTGGCGCTCAATGTCCGCCGAGATCGCCTGCTTGATCGCCAGCTTGACCGCCCGCTGCGTCACGAACCCGAGATCGGCACCCGAGAATCCGTGCGTCTTGCTGGCGATGAAGCTCATGTCGACGTCCGGCGCCACCGGAGTCTTGCGCAGCTGCGCCTTGAGGATACCCTCACGGGAAGCCTGGTCGGGCAGCGGCACGTACACCAGGGTGTCGAGACGGCCGGGACGGACCAGGGCCGCATCCAGCTGCTCCGGTCGGTTGGTCGCACCGATGACGAACACGTTCTTCTTCGACGTCATGCCGTCCATTTCTAACAATCATTAGCATGTCGTTTACACGATAGAGGATAAAAGAGGGGAAATACCGGTCAGAAGCTGGTTAACGACACGGTCGGACGCACCGCCGGCATCGCCGACGGAGCCACCACGCGACTTCGCAATCGAGTCCAACTCGTCCAGGAACACCACGCACGGCGCGGCCGCACGGGCCTTGTCGAAGATGTCGCGGATGTTGCTCTCGGACTCGCCGAACCACATGCTCAGCAGCTCCGGGCCCTTGACGGAGATGAAGTTGGCCGCACACTCGTTGGCCACGGCCTTGGCCAGCATCGTCTTACCCGTACCGGGCGGGCCGTAGAACAGGACGCCACGCGAGGGCGACAGTCCGAACTTCTGGAACATCTCGGGGTGGTCGACCGGGTACTGCACGCTCTCGATGAGCTCGCGCTTGACCTCCTCGAGACCACCGATGTCGTCCCAGCGCACGTTGGGCACCTCGACCACGGCGACCTCGCGCAGGGCCGACGGGTTGGACACGCCCAGGGCGTAGCGGAAGTTCTCCATGGTGACGCCCAGCGAGTCGAGCACCTCGGCCTCGATGGTGTCCTCGTCCAGGTCGATGAGGTCCATCTTCTCGCGGATCTGCTGCATGGCGGCCTCAGAGCACAGCGAGGCGAGATCGGAGCCGACGTAGCCGTGCGTCTCGGCGGCGATGGTCTCCAGGTCGACGTCGTCGCCGAGCTTCATGTTCTTGGTGTGGATCGACAGGATCTCCAGACGGCCGGTGGGGTCGGGGATGCCGATGTCGACTTCGCGGTCGAAGCGACCGAACCGGCGGAGGGCGGGATCGATGGAGTTGGGGCGGTTGGTGGCGGCCATGACGACCACGTTGGAGCGGGCCTTCATGCCGTCCATCAGGGTCAGGAGCTGCGAGACGACGCGGCGCTCGACCTCGCCGTTGGTCTTCTCACGCTTGGGCGCGATCGAGTCGATCTCGTCGATGAAGATGATGGCGGGCGAGTTCTTCTCGGCCTCCTCGAACGCCTTGCGCAGGTTCGACTCGGACTCACCGGCCATCTTGGACATGATCTCGGGGCCGTTGATGAGGAAGAAGAAGGCGCCGGTCTCGTTGGCCACGGCACGGGCCATCAGGGTCTTACCCGTACCGGGCGGGCCGTACATGAGGATACCGCGGGGGGGCTTGATACCGATGGACTTGAACAGCTGGGGGTGGCGCAGGGGCAGTTCGACCAGTTCGCGGATCTGGGCCATCTGCTTCCGGCAGCCGCCGATGTCATCGTATCCGACCTCGTTGAGGTTGCCCTCCTCATCCTCGCGCTGGATCGGCTCACCCTCGCAGTGGATGATGGTATCCTGGGCCACGATGCCGTACTCGGGGGGGTCCACCTCGACCACCTTGAACTCGACCTGTCTCATGCCGCCTCGTACGGTGAACAGATCACCCTGTCGGACGGGACGGTAGGCTTCGCGGAAGTAGGGGGCCAGGTAGACATCGAACAGGGAACCGGTCAGACCCTCGACGGTGTCGGCGATGGGGAGGACAGCAATGCGTTTGGCCTGGAAGCATCGAGTTAGACTGATTACTTCTCACGACGGGAAGAGGGGAATGGGGAAGCGTACATATTTGATGTCGGGGCACGGGTGAACGGTGACGATGTCGCCGTGCTTGACGCGAAGGTTGTGTCTGACGACACGGTTGAGACGAACACTGCCGTCATCGAGATCATCATCCGCCAACACGATCAGGACGGTATCCTTGCGCTTCTTGCCCTTGACGAGGACAGTGTCACCTCGGAAGAGCTGCAGGGTATCCATAGTGTTGTTGGAGAGGGCGATGACGGAGTTATCATCGTTGACGGCATCGGTGACGCTGTGGGGGTTAGCTTCGTCCACGTGTCACCCATCACGTCACTCCGGATTGGGACTCACATCAGGGAGTTGGGCTTCTTCTTCTTCTTCAAGATGGCTGTCGAGGTATCCAGCTCCTGGAGAGATAGGGTCAGTGGATGTCAGAGGAGTTGTCGCCACGATGGGAGATGCGTACATCTTTCTTCTCGGCGCCCGAGGGGTCACTGGAGGGGTTAGCCGGTGGTTTCTGGTGGAAGGCAGTAGATAATAGAGGCATACTTGAGATTGACTCTCTTCTTGTCGTGCGTGTGATCCGGTTCGGCGCTCATTTTGGGCGAGCGAGTTGTCAACTGATAGATAGGTGGACAGAAGCCGCGGTGACGCAGGGTTCAATGCGGCCAAGGGAGGAGGAAAATCCGGCAAGCAAGAAAGCCAGACAAAGAGACCAAGAAAAGAGAAAAAGAAAGAGAAAAGGAAAAGAAGATGGACGGGATGAAAGGGGGGATAGAAGGGGGGACGATGAGGGTGAAATCAACAGGGTTATGGAGAGGATGAGGAGGAAGAGAGATGGAGGAGAATTGGTTGTTGGCAGAAGCAGCTCCGGTTAAGAGAGTGACGATAGAGACCGGCTGCCTGAGGATGACTTAAGCTGTTCATTCACCACCGCCACCGCAGAAGCCAATGGAAGGGGATGGTATCATATTGAATCCATGGTTATAGTGATCTATGTATCTATGTATATATATATTTATGTCTATTATATTACATTGATATAGTTACTAGTGAATTTAAAATGGAATAATAAGTGATCTTGTCCTGGATTCTTTCGTCATGGCAACAATGCATTTTCTGCCTCAGGCATACACCATCACGCTGCGAGCATCATGAGAATTAATAATCTGTACAGCCTCTGGAATGTATACTTGCCACCGATCAGAGGTACTGGTCACTCAGGTACTGGTAACTCAGGTACTGTACTGGTGATATCGGACCTTACAGTATACCGTATATAGTGCTGTGTTCCAAGCCATCCAAGACCACATACAGCCTACAAGCATATTGAAAACAGGTCATAATCCAACAGTCTATAACAAACACCCAGGTATACCTCATCTATCCCACAAACAAACAGAAAACAAGGATATCAAATATACAATATATACAAATCAATCAAACCCCCTCCCGCCCGACTAAGCAGTCGCCTTCCACAGATCAAACACCCCCCACGCACCCGCCATAAAGCTAACCACCCCCGTCAGACTGGCGGGGAAACCCAGCCCCTCCTCAGCACACCAGTGCAGACACAGCGGCGTCCAGCAAACATTGTTCACCAGACTCTTCGTCCACGCGCGCGTCTCAGCCGCCTCACTCTCCGCGTCAACCGCCTTCTTCTCACCCCCAGCAGCAGCAGCAGCCGCTCTCCGTGCCGCACGCAGCACCCGTAGCCGCCACAGGACGAAAAACTGCAAGAAGATATGGCCGAACCAGGCCCGGGTACTCCACAGATACCACTTATCGATGCCGCCCCAGCGGTCGAGGAACTTCTTCGAGATGATGCCCTTGGCGGCGAGGAAGCCCGCGTTCTCGAGCGCCTGGTACAGCACGTTGGAGACGACCTGCAGCAGGGTGAGGATGTGGATGGCGCGGTCGGGGTGCGGTGACTTGAGCTCGCCTGAGCCCCAGGTCCAGAGCGGGACGAGGCCGAGCAGACGGAGGGTGTAGCGGGTTTCGGTCATGAGGGCGGAGAGGGCGAGGAGGCGGGAGGCGGGGGCCGCGGCGGCGGGCTTGGAGGTGGCCGCGGTCTTGTTGGGAGAGGCGCGCAGGCGGGCCAGGAGGCCGAGACGGGCTTGGAGGGCGATCCAGGGCGCGGAGTCGAGGAGGTGGTAGAGGGCGTGCGAGAGGTAGCCGGTGACGGCGAAGACGCGTTCTTGGCCGTATGCGGAGGCCATTAATCTAGATAGTCAGTACATGATAATATACATACATGAGTGTATGTAAGTTTAACTCACTTATCAAGACGCCCCGCCGTCACATCTGCGACCCGGAGAGCTGCCTGCAGCTGGCGTCGAGCGACCTCCGTCGACGACGGTCCGGCCGCGGGGCCGACCGATGACGACCCCTCCGGCACTCCATGGGAGGTCGCGGGGCGGTTGGAAGGCTTTGAGTCAGCCATGATACTATCTGGGGAGAGATATAAAGAGAAAAAAAATGAGAGTGTGTGGTTTGTACAGCGACGTGGTGGTTCAGGGGAATGTGAATTAATAAAAAAGATGATAGTCTGCAGCTGCACCTGACACGGGAGCCGAGGCTCGGGATGATGGATGTCGCTCGGAATAGTTAGTCAGGGCCGTGATTTGATCCCTGTATTTAAGATTCTGAACGGCATGGATGTTACTGCACCATCATTGATTATATGAAGATGATTGTCTTAAAACAACGTGTTGGATTTCAGAGAGTTTACTATCAATCACGATTTCCACTGACCGCCACCATAACGCCGATATGGAACCACATGCTCGTTATTCGTACCACTCGTGTCATCCCGGCACTGGACTAGGTCATTAGAGAATTTGTGACTACTAAATCACAGCGCTCAAGTCTCTATGAGTGATGCGACGCATCGCTATCTGCATCACCCCCATGTTCCCACTCTGCGACAGCCAGGAGCTCACGCACCGCCGAAAACACATCGACTGGTTGGCCTGGCGTCTCCACAGGTGCAGCGCCGGTTGGCCCCGCGGTAGACGGCGTGGATGACTCTACAGCCTCCGCAATCGAACTAGATGCGAAATCCCCACGAACAAAGGCAGAGGTGGCGTCGATAGAGGACTCCGGATCCCGTGTCTCGGGGGCCGTGCGCTCGCTGCTCTCTGCATCTGCGTTGGAACGGACAGCGCGGGGAAGACGAACAATGGGCGTGTGTCGCGGATGAGGTCGAGCTGTTCCGGGGAAATGGTCGCTCTCTGACAGACTATAGATCGACGGAGACGCCGAATGGGTCACAGTTGATCGCATGCCCAATGTGCGGACGATGCGAGTGTCGGACATGGGCCTCTCGTGAAAGTCCCACTCGGTAAAGGGTTTGATCTCCGGGTCGGTGCATATGGCGTCGATGCTCAGCCAGCAGCGCTGGTGCAGCGCGGGGTTACAGTGGTGACAGGCGTGGTGTGTGCACGGGGGGCGCGGGATGGCGTGGACCCTCGTCCGCGTCGACGGCGATGAGCGCGAGCTGTCCTGATTGACGTCCTCCACCCAGACTTGGCGGTCGTCGTCATCATCGTCGTCCGGCCGCTCCTGATCTACTTCCGTGGCGTGAGGTGACGAGCGGGTTTGTCGCAACTTCTCCGCCATCTCGAGGACCTCCAGCTTCTGGCGGAACAGGACGTTGAGCTCCTCGTCGGTGTAGTGGCCGTCCAGGGCCGCTTTGGCCATCCAGGGACTGAGGATGGGACGGTCCGGGTTGAAGGGTTCAGTGAAGGCAGAGGTGTCCACGATACACCGGTAGAACCAGTTCAGGAAAGGGACCCTCCCACACACGTTGCACTGTTCGAAGTCATCGACACAGTATTGGCGGTCGATGACGCTGTGGAAGCAACTGTCTGGACGGGAAGATCGCTGGCGGGCATGAAGATCGACCGTTGGGACTGGGGTGATCTGCGCCTGGGGGATCTCGAGGGCGTCTCGCGAGTCGATGGAATCGGCCTGGTGGGGTTGATCGGGGGAGATGCCCTCCAGGACGGGGATGTGGTCTGTATTGTCTTCGACTTGATTCATTTTGGGGTGGGGATGTGAAGATGGACTGGAGAGGTCAGAGAGGTGAAGTTGGATGTGGAGGATGGTGTCTTGTAGGTCTGTAGGTCCGGATAGTCTAGAGTGAGAGACTGTAGAGACTGGAGGTGTAGGACTCTGTGACAGACACTCCCTGGTGAGCAGGTTTACTATTCACTCATTGATGCATCCATTGAGAGATAATTGTTATGCTGGTAGAAAGATGGTTAGTCCTAATCAAGGAAATGTATACTGTGATTCATTGTCGATGCAGCTGTGGTATGATATATCCTATGCATATTCTGTTTACTATAATACTATGGTAGTGGGTGGGTTCTTTGAGGAAAGTAGATACAATATAGATGTGTACTATGTACTTGTATAGTCAGCTGTACAGGGGGATAACTATGGATAGCTTCATGTTGCCAGTAGATAGATAAGTAATATCAAGTATAATATATAGAGTACAATTATAGAATAGAATAGATAAATAAGTATGGCAGAGTATAAGAAATAGGATAGAAGGAATAGAATCAAGTAGATAGAATAGTTGATCTAATAGTGATCTGATAAATAGAATCAATATAGAGTGGGATAGAATAAAGAATACCTCTGAGCATAATAATAACCAAGCCAAGCAATAATTAGATAGAACTGAACAGGTAAAATAATACAATAATATAATAATCAAAAATTAATAATTAATAAAAAATCTCGGAATGTGCCAGATCGGAGGTGACCGACGGGGATGCCTGAATCTCCAGGTGTGCCGCCATCTGCCGCTTTTCGTGCCATTTTTTCCTCATTTTCTTTCATTCCTCTGACTGGTTTGATATCTCTAATTGATTCAAAAAATTTGACATCTCATTCTACATTGTCTGGTATTCCGCAAATATTCTATCAGGGATCATTCAGGTACGGAGTACATCGATCCCTCTAGATATCCGGCTAGATCTCCATCCTCGGCAACTACAGTAGGTAAATCCTCTGGATTGTTATGTTGTCCAGCCACTTGATTCACATAAACAAACACTCCCAGCCCCCATCTTTCTCTCTCTCTCTCTCTCTCTTCCCCTCTTCTTCCTTTCGACTTTCTTCCTGTTCTGACCGCCACATCCCTTTCAGATCCATTGATTGTTTTACCTGGGATTGATCATACTTCTCTCCATCCATCCATCTATCTGTATGTACTCCCCAATCCATACCCCCAGTCAATCAATCAATCGGGCTGACCGCTTTCTGACATCCAGCATTCTTCCCCCGTGATTTGTCCTTATCGTTCCCCACGACACGTTCCTCTCTCTCTCACGTACACGTCTCCACCCTCCCCCCACCATGTCCGTCAAGTTCCAAGACAAGGCCCAGGATGAGGCTGCAAAGTCTATCCGCAAAGAGACCAAGGAATTGGCCCATCATGTCGGCGAGCGATTGACCGGCGGCAACCCCCAGACGGGGTACCTCGCTGTATGTTGCTACCCTCCCAATGGCCCCTCCCATTCAATAACTAATCCAAACAGCTCTATCTCAAGCATCTGCAATCCAACCCGTTGCGCACCAAGATGTTGACCTCCGGAGTCCTCTCCGGCCTCCAGGAGTTCCTCGCCTCCTGGATCGCCCACGACGTCAGCAAACACGGCCACTACTTTAGCGCGCGCGTCCCCAAGATGCTCCTCTACGGCATGTTCATCAGCGCCCCGCTGGGCCATCTCCTCGTCGGCATCCTGCAGAAGATCTTTGCCGGCCGCACCAGTCTCAAGGCCAAGGTCCTGCAGATCCTCGTCAGCAACCTGCTCGTCTCCCCCATCCAAAACGGCGTCTACCTCTCCTCCATGGCCGTCATCGCCGGCGCGCGCACCGTCCACCAGGTCCGCGCCACCGTCAAGGCCGGCTTCATGCCCGTCATGAAGGTCAGCTGGGTCACCTCCCCGCTGGCGCTGGCGTTTGCCCAGAAGTTCCTGCCTGAGCACACCTGGGTTCCGTTCTTCAACATCATCGGTTTCTTCATTGGGACCTATGTCAACACCCATACGAAGAAGAAGCGTCTGGAAGCGCTGCGGAAGGTTAGTCTACTATCTTCCTCAAATTAATCACTACTGACGTTTTCTTTCCAGCGCTACGACCAGCGCCGCAGTGGCCCCGGCAGCGAATACGACAAGGAATACCGGTAGATTCATCTTGTCCGTGAGCCTTTGATACCCTACTCTACTCTTGACTCTCGACCAAATCAATAAGAAAGACATCACTGCCATGAACGACAGTGATGAAATCCCCCCCCCTGTACGTGCTCCGATTAATGCTGTATCTTCTATGTTCTATGTTTCGATCTATCTGTGTTTTGGCGTGGATAGAGATGCTGTAATGATTTATTCTTTATTTTTGCTTGTTGATATGATGCAATACACTACTTTATATTATGTTAGATACCTTGGTACCTGTATGTCGTACATGTAGGAGGTAGGTAAGACGTAAACTTGGTACATGCTAGTAGATCGACTATAACCATCTACCATCAACGAACGCAGCTGAAACAAAGATGAAAAGAAAGTGAATATAAGATAAGATGATATAGATGCGAATGAATAACAAACAAAAGAAAGCTATAAAAATCACCCCCTCTTCTCCTGCACCCACGCCACAAAATCATCCAACGCCCCCGGCCACGCCCCATCCGCACTCCACCACCCAAAGCGCTCATCCTCGCGCGTCTTCCGCATAAACACCTCCAGCTGCTCCCACAGATCCTTATTCACGGGCTTCCGGCCGCGCTCCTCCAGGAACGCAATCCACCACTCCAGCCACGGCGTCGTGGGCGTATCCCACTGCACGCCGCCGTTGTCGGCCGTGAAGAACAGCGTCCACTGTTCGCTGGCGATCTCGAATTGCAGGTTGCGCTGCCCTTGCATGCGGCAGAGCGGGAACGTGTAGCGGTAGATGCGGCGGAAGAGGTCTGGTTCGGTGGGGATGCGGGTGCGGAGGGAGTTTGCGTAGGCGATCATTTTGTCGAGGGTGTCGCATCTTTATGATATTAGCCTTTCTTCTTTATCATAGGTAATGGAAAGGAAGGGGAGGAGGGAAGGAAATACCCCACTGCTCTCCACCCCGCTAGGAAGTTCTCGCGCGTAAACTCCCCCATAGACGGCGACTTGAGCAGCTCGGCAATACCAAGACAGGTGATCTCGTCGAGCTGGACGTGGATATCGCCGAGGTATTTCATCGCGCCGTCGATGCCGATCCCGTCGGGGTTATCTTGGGGGTCATCTGCTTCTGTTAGTGTACCTTGTCCCTGGTGTGGTGTGGGGATGTGCGCACCGCGATAGCTGTCGAAGATCTTGCCTAGGGATGATGTGTTGGCCCCCCCTGTGCCTTGGGGGCTTTGGAAGTAGCTATATAGTATGAGGTTAGATAGGTTGTTATTGCTTGCGCAGACAGTCTAGTCTGACGCTGGCTGGGGCTTCTGCTGTCGCCTGTAACCACTCTGTTGCGCAGGTGGGCTGCTATTACGCCCGGCACATCAATTACAATGCCTAGAACGACGCATCGGCTGGTTGGATGCCATCTATAAGTGTACTATAGTTGAGTAAAGGGTGACCGTTGAGCCCTGACAACCCACCATCCGATCGACCAGAAGCCCCAGCGATATACATGGACAGATATCAGAAAACAGTGTCTACTCACGCATCGACGGCTTCTTCTACATTCCACCGAGCCGCCCTTAAGAACTACACACGTCAGTCGGTGCCTCTGTGGTCTGCAGTGTGCCATGAAACCGCGCGCGAGCCAGAGGCTAAGTGACTCACTTTAGCAGCCACCGTGTCCTTGGCTTGTGTGAAGTTGATAAACTGGGTGATTTGCTGTTTCTGCTGACTCGAGTATGGCGGCATAGTGGGGGGTGCGAGTCGGCGGGTGGCAGTGGCCCTGCGGGTACGTGCGGTTGAGGGGTCGAGGATCGGGGGTCGAGGAGGTGAGGGGGTGAGGCGGGGTGACGTGGGTGTCTCTTCTGTTAGACAGAGAGGAGGAGATTATAAGACAAGGTGAGAATCAGACGAACAAGTGGTATTGGTCTGTAGGCTAGACTGTTCATGAGGTTCAGAGGGGAGTTGAGTACTGCGATTGCTGACTGATCTGACGATGGCGGCACGTGCCCGGAATTGCCTGATTGGGAATCTACCAAGTAGTAGTAGTAGTAGTAGTAGTAGTAGTAGTAGTAGTAGTAGTAGTAGTAGTAGTAGTAGTAGTAGTAGTAGTAGTAGTAGTAGTAGTGTAGCAGGAAGGAATATACAGAAGATTACGATGGCTACATTCTATTTGGACATAATACGCATGGGATATAATATGAGATTAACTTTTAAACCAATGGACGACTCCAGAACTCCTGCGAGAATCCCGAGGTATCGAACATCTAACCACGAATGATCCCCCGTATGCAATCGATTATGTCGTGAAGAGCGAATCTTCCTGTAAGCAGTGAGCGTGTGGTCATCCCGCGATCGAGAACGAGACTTACCTCGCGGAGGAATTCTCCCGTATCGGCTTGTCGGAAGACCTATCCCAGTTAGTCACGACCAACATATCCAACACCCAGAAGTCTTACAGCGATAGCAGTGGGTTCCACCCGACGCAGTTCGGTCGTGGATTTAGCGACCACTCCAAAGCCCTGTCCTTGTCAGCCTATCCATCATCCCCCGGAACAGACCGTGTACATACCACCGGCGTATCCGACGAGTCAAACACCACCACCCCCGAATGCTCGGGAATATCTTCGCTCCACCGTCCCACATGTGCCTTGACAACGTTGCCACCGTAGAGGAAAGGAAGGAGTCCGTTCTCCTTGATCCAGACCTTGTATCGTGCGTGGGGGGCGATCACATCGAGTGCTTCCATGGTCAGCGATGAACAGAATGACTCGGCAAAGAACATACCAGTAATGTGTACACGGAACTTGCCCGTCTTGGTCAACTTTCCAATACAAACACCCAGCGACAGCAGGTTCGCGCGAGGCACCGACGTCGCCCAGTTGGCGATAGACAGGCGCAGATAGTAGACTCGACTGCCGTGAAGTCGGAACACATACTGCTCGCCTTCGCCGTCCGACGCCGTAACAAGGTTGTTCAACGAGCGACCGCAGTAGACGGCCAACTTGGAGAAGACCGACTTACTCTCTTCCTCAGTTAATTGACGCATTGTGATGGAAGGTGGAAGAGTTGGATGGAGGATGAATTTTCTCCCTCTCTTTGTCTCTTGCGAAAGAATGAAAGCTCCGCGGGCAAAAACTCTAGATCAAGTGGAGCAACAGTCGGTCTTAGCGTGCGGATGGCTTGGCGCGGGAGAAATGAGAAAAAAAAAAAAAAAAAAAAAAAACCGGGAAAAAAAGTTCGGACCCGCGTTGAACACTAAGGTTGTGAACACCACTCTTCAGTCTCCATTGCACTTCCCATCTCCTCCCCAGATATATCATTGAGAATGGCCCCCGGTCGGACGACAAAAAGAAGACGGGTCAGTCCCCCAGGCGATGAGGACACTTCCTCGCGTGCAACCCGCGCCCAGACCGATTTCGTCAACAACGCCGCAGAATGGGACCTCGAGCAGGATTACGAGCGTCGACCGCGCAAGGTGGGAAAGAAAGACAAGGAGGTCACTCGATTGCCGATTAAGACAGACGAAGGGTTTCAGGCGGTGGAGGAATCTGAACAAGAGGCAGACGAGTCGGATAGTTTCCTCGGGACCGACGATGAGGACGAGGGCTTCGAGGGCATCGAGGAGGAGCCCCAGCCAGAGGAACCCAAGATTCCATTGAAGCTCCAGATCATCCAGGCGAAGGAAGAGATTGCCCGAGTCGCGATGCTGATCAACGAAGATCCGGAGGACCACATCTCGTCGCTCAGAAGTATAGCCGACATGGCCAGCGATCGGAGACATGTCACCATCCAGAAGCTGGCCCTGGCGTCGCAGGCCGCCATCTACAAGGACATCATCCCCGGGTATCGCATCCGTCCTCTCACCGAGTCGGACATGACCGCCAAGGTCTCCAAGGACGTGCGCAAGGTGCGGAACTACGAGCAGGCGCTGCTGACGGGGTACAAGAACTACGTGAACCGACTGGTGCACCTGACCAAGACGACGAAGGGAGACGCACCGGTCGATCCGAGCCTGAAGAGCGTGGCGATCAACTGCGTGTGCAGTCTCCTCCTGGGGGTGCCGCATTTCAACTGCCGCCCGGACCTGACCAAGGTCCTGGTCAACCGGTTGGCCAGACGGCAGGCGGACGCCGACTTTATCAAGTGCCGGGAGACGATGGAGGAGGTGTTCGCCAAGGACGAAGACGGGATCGTCTCGCTGGAGGCCGTCCGGCTGCTCTCCAAGATGATCAAGGGCAAGGAGTTCCGCGTCAACGAAAGCCTGCTGGACACGTTCCTCCACCTGCGCCTCCTGTCGGAGTTCTCGTCCAAGGCCTCGCGGGACCGCGTCGACCGGCCGTCCGACGAGACGTTCGGCAAGAAGAACCAGAAGAAGGAGTTCCGCACCAAGCGCGAGCGCAAGGTCCAGCGGGAGCGCAAGGTCGTCGAGAAGGACATGAAGGAGGCCGACGCGCTGGTCTCGCACGAAGAGCGCGACAAGAACCAGGCCGAGACGCTGAAGCTGGTCTTTGGGGTTTACTTCCGCATCCTCAAGCAGCGCATCCCGAAACTGATGGGTCCCGTGCTGGAGGGTCTGGCCAAGTACGCCCACCTCATCAACCAGGACTTCTTCGGCGACCTGCTGGAAGCCATGAAGGATCTGATCGGCCACGCGGACGAGGTGGAGATGGCGGAAGACGACGAAGAGGAAGCGGAGGAGGAGGAGGACCAGACGACGCGCGACACGCAGCGCGAGGCGCTCCTCTGCAACGTCACCGCATTCGCCCTGCTCGACGGCCAAGACGCCAGCAAAGCAGCCGGAGCCCTCCACCTCGACCTGACCTTCTTCGTCAAGCATCTCTACCGCTCGCTGTACCCGATGTGCATCAACCCGGACGTGGAATACAACCCCAACAGCGCGCTACGCCTCCCCGACCCCAACCACCCCGGGCGGCCCGCACCCCGCAAGAAAGTCGACTTCCAGACGCCCACCGTCCTCCTCCTCCGCTGCCTGCAGTCCGCCCTGCTGTCTCGCTCGCACGGCACCCCGCCCCCCTCCCGCCTCGGCAGCTTCACCAAGCGACTCATGACAAGCTCGCTCCAGCTCCCCGAGAAGTCCGCCATCGCAACACTCTCCCTCCTCAACCAGGTCGCCAAGTACCACTCGCGCCGGATCTCATCCCTCTGGCACAGCGAAGAGCGCAAGGGCGATGGCGTGTTCAACCCTTATGCCGCGGACGTCGAGGGGACGAACGTGTTTGCGGGGACTGTCTGGGAGGGTGAACTGCTGCGGTTGCATTATTGTCCTGAGGTGAGAGCGGGGGCTTTGGATATGGAGAAGATGATTTCTGTACGGAAGTAGCCTTCTTTATGGATTTCTTTGATATATGGTTTTTTTCTCTCTTTTTTCAATGAGGTTTTGATTAGCGATTGAAGTTGCTTTTGTTGGAGAGTGTATACACAGATTTAGTCCGTTGAATTTATACTTGTTTGATTTGTCTTTTCATGCCTTACAGGCTGCTTTCTATGAAAACACCATGGTCGATTGGAAATGTAGTAGCTACCTTAGTGTACATTCCGAGTGCATTCCATTGCAAGTATCTTCTTGATATCTCCCGTCCTGTTCTCTATCCTATCCTCCTTTCATCTGTCCTGCTATCATACTCCTATCTCATCCTGTGATCCTATCCTCCAATTTCATTATTCTGTCCTATCCTTCTGTCCTATCCTTCTGTCCTAATCTCCTGTCACGTCTTCCAAATTCATCCTCCTTTCTATCCTCCTATTCCATCCTGTCAATCTACCCTCCTAGCCATTCCAAGCACAAACCGAGTATCAATAAACCAGTTATGAACCCAACATGTAACCCAACCGTCCTACCACGCGCCATACGCCAGGCCCTGCTCCTGTCCATAATACCACGACATCCCATGACCATTCCCATAGCTATAGCCATTCCATCCACCAGCATATTGCATATGAGGTGTATTAGGGACAGTAGGTCCAGGTCCAGACCCAGGACGACCACACTGCATCCCTGCACCACCTCTTCCATGATTACCACCACCACCACCACCACCACCACTAACAGAAGGGTACTGAGGCCCCGACCCAGGAACTCTATACGGCTGATAAGTCGCCTGAGCAGGAGCGTAAGGGTTACCGACGTTGAAGTTCTGGAGCGAGACCGAGCCGCGTAGGTTGCGTCTCTGTGGGGTTGCGGACGCAGCAGCAGGGATCGGAATCGGAGCGTGGTTGGCGTTGTGCTCGTTGAGACGGTGCTCGCTGGCGATGGACATGGGCGACAGAGGGGAGGTTTCTTTGGTCTCGGTGTCGGACTGGGTTGTAATTGTTCCTGCTGCTGCAGCATTGTTCGGGGTGGTGTCTTTGGTGGTGTCTGCCGCTTTGGTGGCCCCAGAGTCTGTCCTTGCCTCGTTGCAAGACCCCTTGTCGGATCGTTTGGGGTAGTTGGGTCGGGTGCGCAGGTAGTATTTGTCTTTTGTGCCGTCTTTGCGCTTGTTATTTTCTTCGTTGGCGTCCTTGGTGTTGTTCGGCTCAATCTGGGCGTTGGAGTCCTGGATGAACGAAGGAATGGGCGTACGGAACGCAGCAACTGGAGTTGGGACGTTATCGCCAATATCACTAGTCTCGCGCTCCGCAGAAGAAGCAACAGTAGAAGAACGGTTGTCTCTCCTGTTGGTGGTTCTACGGCCAGCAGGCGTAGGACCCTTTCTCGCCTGCTGATTCCTTCCCCTAGGCTTTCCCTCTCCCCCATTCTCCCTTCTAGAGGCATCTCTCTGCAGAGTGTCCACCCCACTAACAAGCAGCGAGAGACTCTGATTGACATGGAACATCTGGTCCTGCATGACAGCAACCTGGTAGCGGAACTGGCCCATCGCATGGTTCAACTCCCTAATTCTTGCAGCCTCGCTATTCCAGCCGCGAATCGCATCAGTGATGCTCTCCAGCTGGGGCATGATCTGGTCCAGTGTGCGGCTGTGCGTGCTATCGAAGGTCTTGTTGATCTTGGTGATGGCCCCCGTTATGTGGTGGTGCAGAGAGTTGACATTGTCGGTGAGCTGCTGCTCCAGCGACATGGTGTTCTGGTAGCCCGGGACAGGAGGCGGCGGCGCGTACCCGCCGTAGCTGGTGTAGGCGTAGGGGGCGTACTGCTCGTGGGCGGAGAGGGCATGCTGGTGCCACCAGGTTTGGTTGGGGTCGTAGACTGCGGCGGTGGACATGGATGCCTGGTGGTCGAACGCCATCGGGATGGGGGCATTTTCAGCGGGGGTGGCAGTGAAAGGGGTGTTTTCATAGTGAGATGCGGTCGTAGGGACGTTCGTCTGAGGCGGCCTTGGGTCGGATGACACGATGAATGGATAGGTGTAGTCGGTCTTGGGTATGGTCGCTAGGGCAGCCAGAGTCTCCGCGACTTTCTTCTGGGTGGCGGTGGCATCCGGGCCTGCTTTGGTTGTATTGGCCTTGGGTTCAGTAGATGGAGCAGGAGTATCAATGGCTTTCCGCTCAGTGGTGTCATCCTGATCTGCCTGGTCTGCATTGGCGTTGGTAGCTGAAGCAGGAGCATCGATGTCTTTCTGCTCAGCAGTGCCAACTTGTCCTGGCTTGGGGGGCTCCGCCTCGGTGTCCTCGCCAGGCGAGTGCGGCCTAGCAATACGATCGTCCTCGTACAAAGACGGAGAGTAGCAAACAGCAGGCAGCTGAGCCACACTCTCTGGGGTGCTAGGCGGGGCCTTGGGCGTATCAAACGAATCCGGGGCATTCTTGTTGAGCTTCGCTGCGCGGTTGGCAGCGGGCGACTCCTCGAAGAGGGAACTGTCGGTGCCCTTCAATCCTGTTAAAACATCTCTACACACCTCATACATATATATAGCATCGAGACATACCTTTGCAGACACGTACTCCGGAATCTGCACCCCCGCCGAACGAAGGGGGGTAGTCTCATCCGGAGAAAGAAGCGGTCTCGGCTCACAGTTGGACGTCAGCTTCGCAGGCGCCGACATGGGATGCACGCCGGTATCCTCCAATTTGGGAACATAGAGACGGGTCTTCTGGATATCATGAGTGACAGAGACGACCGTCTTAGGAGTCTGTTCGTCATCGCTGCCGCCCTCGCTCCCACTGTGGGGGATAGCCGGCAAGCTGGTCAGGGGACCATCCTTACGGAGATCCTTTCCGATATCCTTGAGGGAGAATTTGGATTTGAGGGCTGCGACGCGCGATTTCTTCTTCTCTTTCTCTTTATCCTTATCTCTCTCCTTGTCCTTGTCGTCTCTCTCGTCCATGGTATTTCCAGGACTACCACGCTTGTGCAGTTTATGCGCGGTGGGTTTGGGCTCCGGGGTCGCGGGGGGTACCTTGTCGGATTGACCACGAGGGGGCGGCTTGGGCATAGGCAGAGCCAGTTCCTGGTCGTAGTTCAGGCCAGAGAATTTGCGGTAATCGCCGGCTGGCTTGGGGGGTGGCTTTGGCATGACGGGGCCTTTGAGGGGGATGGCGACTGTTGATGTTAGCTTTACTTTACTTTTAGGGTATACAGACTGAAGAGGATATTCAGACAAGAAGGGTAGATCGATCAATTATAATAGTAGATACCTTTTTCCAGAGCCTGCTGCTTCTTCTGCAGCTTCTCCTTGGCTTTCATCTGAGCCCAGGCATTGCCATTCTCCAGAGACATCTGAATACTCGCCGGAGGGAGCAAGACGCGAGGGACGGGGATGCGGTTGTCAGGGGTGAAGAGGTTATTGACGAGGGCAGAGGTTGGAGTAGTTGGGGTTGTAGAAGGGGGGTTGTTCGAGGTCATCTTCGAGTGTATTAGATCACACTGTGAGTAGGGTTGTAGGAGTTGATGAAGATCGATGGTTATGATACTGGCTTGGTTCGAGTAGAGTAGTTGATGAGGATACAAAGGAGAGATCGATCGAAGATGAGATATGTTTTATAGACTTCAGAGTCAGTTGGAAATGTAAACAAGTGAATGTACATAGTGTAGTGAGTGCTTAATCTGTCAGTAGGTGCGTGGTTTACAGAGTAGAGCAGTGATAGCTTCAAGTGAATGGCTGTGCAGTGCAGTGCACGCCAGAACGTGTATATCTTCATGATCATACCATACTATTGCTCAGCAGAGTAGATCATACCACAGGCTACTGATTGTCGAGTGATTGCTATGAGAAGAGATCACTATATGATAGAACACAAGACTTAGGGCTCGAGGTGGATGGGTTGAAGGACAATACAATCTTTCATCTGAAAGCTACATGTACAGAAAGTAAGATAGATAGGTATACTCCAATCTCATTATCATCAATCATAATCAGTAAATCATTACATCGCAGTACCCATAGATCATATCCTTCCAAGACGACAGACCGTAGCCTCCAAGCAGGAACATGCTGGAAAAATCAACAGGTGTATCATATTCACAATCTGAGCATAACAGTAATGGAAGAAAAGAAGAAAAAAAGAAGAGAAATGACAATATCAAATACAGGGGAATCAAACAAACACGCCCAAATCAAATGAATGTCACGTTTTGGTTTTGTTTTGGTTTTGCGTTGGTTCGCAGTCTGGTCAGATCATATGGGTATGTAGACAACATACCAGATCAGCCAGACTGTATCAACCTCAGGCTCATGCCCCAGTCTATTTACTGCCTACCACGACGGCGGAAGGGCGAGAAGATCACCCCGAAAAAGTCCACAAACACCACGCGGAAGAAGCTCTTCAGCCAGCTTTCGCCCTGCTGGTTGTGGAGCGACACGGCGCCCACGGATCGGTTCTGGCTGGTCGCGCGAGAGGTCTGTCCGCTCTTGGCCGCGGCCTCAGGAGACAGTTTCGTCGAGTCGGACGGCTCAGCCGGAGTCTCCACGGTGGGCTGCTGCGGCTTGTCGGCTTGGGCGTCCTTGGCGTCGTCCTTGACGGCAACCGGGGGCAGCCGTTCGGAAGACGGAGAGCCCAGCTGCTGAAGGAGAGCCTCACGGTCCCCGGCCAGCGCCACAAGAGCCGGATCGGCTTCGGGCTCGGGGGTGGGCGGTTCATTGGCCGCAGGCTGGGCAGGGGCGGAAAGCTTGTCTTCGTTGGTTGACTTCTCGGATGCCGCAGCGGCGACTGCACCCGCTGCCACACCGACCGCGGCGGCACCAGTGGCAGCAGCGACTTCGGGAGCGATGTCTTTGGAGGCAGACTCGGGGGCTTCATCCTTGACAGGTTCTTCAACAACAGGCTCCTTGACAGGCTCCTCGACAGTAGGCTCCTCCTTGGAGGGTTCCTCCTTGACGGGCTCCTCAACGCGAGGCTCTTCCTTGGCAGACTCCTCGACGGGCTCCTCAACCTTAGTCGCGACGGGCTCCTCAGGAACTTGTTCGACAGCAGATTCAGCAGGCTTAACCTCCTCAGCAGGTTGAACCTCAATAGGCTTGCTTTCCTCCACGGGAGCAACCTCCTCGGCAGGCTGAACCTCTTCGGTAGGCTTAGCCTCCTCAACAGGCTTCACTTCTTCAGCAACCGGAACTTCTTCGGGCTTGGTCTCCTCCACCGGCTTGACTTCTTCGGCGGGTTGAACCTCTTCGGAAGGCTTGGCTTCCTCGACAGGCTTGACCTCCTCGGGAGCCGGGACCTCCTCGGCAGGCTTGGTCTCCTCCACGGGCTTGACCTCCTCAGCAACCGGGACCTCTTCCGTAGGCTTGGCTTCCTCGACAGGAGGCACCTCCTCAGCAACGGGGACCTCCTCAGCAGGCTTAGTCTCCTCCACCGGCTTGACCTCCTCGGCGATGGGTGCCTCCACTGCGGCCTTGGTCTCTTCGACAGGCTTGACTTCCTCAGGAACCTGAACCTCCTCGGCAGGCTTGGCTTCTTCGACAGGCTTCACCTCTTCAGGAACCTGAACTTCCTCGACGGCCTTGGTCTCTTCGACAGGTTTGACTTCCTCAGGAACCTGAACCTCTTCGGCAGGCTTGGCTTCTTCGACAGGCTTCACCTCTTCGGCGACGGGGACCTCTTCAGCAGGCTTGGCTTCTTCGATAGGCTTGACCTCTTCAGGAACCTGAACTGCCTCGGCGGGTTTAGTCTCCTCCACCACAGACTTAACCTCCTCGGCGACCGAAACCTCCTCTGCGGGTTTGGTTTCCTCAACAGGCTTAACCTCCTCAGGAACTTGAACCTCCTGGGCAGGCTTGGCCTCCTCGATAGGCTTCACCTCTTCAGCGACGGGCACTTCCTCTGACTTGGTCTCCTCTACAGGTTTAACCTCCTCGGCGACGGGAACTTCCTCAGCAGCCTTGATCTCCTCGATAGGCTTAACCTCCTCGGGAACCTGAGCTTCTTCAGGCTTGGTTTCCTCAACAGGCTTCACCTCCTCGGCGGCGGGAACCTCTTCCAGCTTGGTTTCCTCTACAGGCTTGACCTCTTCAGGAACCGGAACCTTATCAGCCGCCTTGGTTTCCTCCACAGGTGCCACTTCTTGAGCAACCAGGACCTCTTCAGCCTTAGCCTCTTCCACGGGCTTCACTTCTTCCGCAGGCTGAATTTCCTCCTTAGATTCCTCCACGGGCTTGAGTTCTTCGGCAGCCGGGGTTTCTTCCGGCTTAGCCTCTTCAACGGGCTTAACCTCTTCGGCAACTGGAGCTTCCTCAACCTTGGTCTCCTCCACAGGCTTCACCTCTTCAGCGATGGGAGCTTCTTCAAGCTTAGTCTCTTCAACAGGCTTGACCTCTTCGGCGACGGGAGTTTCCTCAACCTTGATTTCTTCGAGGGGCTTCACTTCCTCAGCAACCAGAGTTTCTTCCGGCTTGGCCTCCTCCACAGGCTTGACCTCTTCGGCGACGGGAGTTTCCTCAACCTTGGCCTCCTCCACAGGCTTCACTTCCTCAGCGATGGGAGCTTCTTCAAGCTTAGCCTCTTCAACAGGCTTGACCTCTTCAGCGACGGGAGTTTCCTCGGCCTTAATTTCCTCAACAGGCTTGACCTCCTCGGCGACCGGTACTTCCTCGGCCTTGGCTTCCTCCACAGGCTTCACCTCTTCGGCGATGGGAGTTTCCTCAACCTTGGCCTCCTCCACAGGCTTCACTTCCTCAGCGACGGGAGCTGCCTCGGCCTTGATTTCCTCCACAGGCTTGACCTCTTCGGCAATGGGAGCTTCTTCAAGCTTAGCCTCTTCAGCAGGCTTGACCTCTTCGGCGACAGGAACTTCCTCAGCCTTGACTTCTTCGACGGGCTTAACCTCCTCAGCAACCGGAGTTTCCTCCAGCTTAGCCTCTTCAACAGGCTTCACTTCCTCAGCGACAGGAGTTTCCTCAGCCTTGACCTCCTCGGCAGGTGTCACCTCGGCAGCCTTCTCGGGTTCCTGAGTCTCTTCGACCGGAGCGACGGCCGGCTCAGCAGCGGGTTCCTCGGGCTTGGACTCTTCGACGGGGGCCTCAACGGGGGCCTCGACAGGCTGCTCGGGAGTAGGTTCGGGCTTGGCCTCGACGATGGGTTCATCCAGCTGAACGGCCGGGGCCTTGACGGGAGCGGATTCCTCGATCGGAGCGGATTCCTCGACGGGAGCGGACTCCTCAACCGGGGCAGGAGCCTCAGGCTCCTGCACAGCCGGCGCCTTCACGGAGTCGTCGGCCTCGGGAGCGGAAACGGGAGCGGCAGCATCCGGGAGTTCCGACACACCATTTTCTTTAGAGACGGCGGCATCGGCGACATCGGGAGCAGGCGCCGAGACGGACTTGTTATTCTTCTTCTTCTTCTTGTTCTTGTTCTTCTTTTTGGCGGCTGCGGAGGGGCCGGTTGATTGTGTAGGGGAAGCGAGGCCGTTTTCGATGGGGGCATCGAGGGGGGCTTTTATTTACACATTAGCTTCTTTTCTTCTTTTTCTATATATATATACATATAAATGTATATTATAGGGAAGAAAATGGGGACAAACCAGATACTGCCTCAACGGTGGCCATTATGGAAGCACCAGATCGTAACGTCGTTAAATAAAAGAAAGAAAATGATAATGACGAAACCGGTCAAGGTAGACGGATGATAATATACAGCGATCCCGGCTCAGCAGGGATCGTGGGGAGAGGGAAAGAGGAATTGAGGATGAGGAAAAGAAGGGAAGATGAGGGGAGGAGAGGATAAGTAAAATAGAGTCAGATTCAAGAACCAAACAAACAGAGAGCAAGAGGAAGGAAGAGAAAGAGGGGAAGAGAGAGAGAAGCAGGAAGAAAAAAAAAAAGAGCGAGAGAGAAAAAGATAGTGTGCCGTGATAGGCAAGTCAAGTGGGTTGATGGGCGTTAGTTCGGGGGATCTAAACCATCATGGATCATTCCTACTTAGGGATTCATCGGGATAGACTCATCGTGGTCTGAGGATCAGCGTTGGCCCAGCAATGACTCTGCTTTCTACGCGGCCGATCATCGTGCCATTCCTCCTCTAACTTCAAATCGGACTTCCCCTCTTACTCTTCTTTCCATCCTACAGGACGAAAAACACTAAACCTTCAGGATGAGCCGGAAAATGCGGTGAACGGCGACTCGGAGGATCCACCGTCTCCACCTTGACCGCGCTGATTCGGTCGTCGGCGGATGCTGCATCCTCTGCTGCGTCCTATCACTTTTTTGGCTCGTCTGATTGGCATGGAGATATGCTGTGATGGCTCCAATCATCCGTTCTTTCCATCTCTCTTATCTAGAGATGGACTCGATATGTTCTCCGATCTGATATCAACATCAGACTTGATCACTGTGACTGGTGGTATATAGACTGATATTGCTAATCTCGACATTGCGAACTAGCCAATATTGCCAATATTAGTTAATTGATTGCTATTATTGATGATGGATATCCTCGCTAATTCCCCATGCATACTCCGTATAACCCATCACATCCATCAAAACAAAAGAACAAAAGGGTCAAAAAATCTCCAAATCTTCAAACTCCACCACCAATCCCTCCGTTTCCCCTCCATGCATCGTCCACATGGCTTCATCCCTCCCCGCCACCCCATTCGGTCGACTCGCGTACACCCCCACGTGCACAAACTTCTCCTCCACCCCGTAAAAGAACCAGGTCACCTCGCGCAGCTTCTTCCACGTGCTACTAACCGCCCCGGGCGTCCTCGTCATGGCCGTCGGGACCGCCGACGGAACCTGGTACCAGATCCAGAGCGCATGTCCGATCCGCTCCAGCTTGATCCGCAGCGACTGCATCCGTCTGCCACCCCCCCGCGGCTCCGGCACGCAAAGCGGTGAAAGGCACCAGTCGGCGCCGTCGGCGGTGGCGCTCACCGACGAGGCGTGGACGGTGCCCGAGCAGAACTCCATCCCGGCTTTGACCCATTTGCCGGGGCGTGCCATCCCTCCGCCGCCTAGCCGGGGGGTGGTCCGCCCCGTCGCATCCGACGAGAACGATCGAGGGGCCGCCCCCGCAAAGATCACCAGTCCCCCTTGGTCCCACTCCATCTCCCAGTCGGCGCTGACGGTCACCTCGGCTAGCACGAAGGCGCGGCGCAGCGAGGTGAACACGATGGGTGCGGTCGACACATCCCCGTTGGGTGGCTTGCGCCAGAGGTCGGTGTTGGGTCCGGCGGTGAGCGTAAAGTACTCTAGACAGGGGGGGAGGGTGAATGTGGGAGGTAGGTTTAATGGGGTGAACGATGCGCCTGCTGGTGGCATATCTTCTGTCCTCTTTCTTTTCCTTGATTGCACGTTTGGATTGATGTTGGCAGGAGGTATGGAATGTTGATTAAGGGTTTTGATGGGCGAGAATAGTCGGGTGAAGATGAATAGAGATTCCCTCAGCTAATCAGTGTAGTCGAAGAAAGGGCAATTCCAAGAAGAGGTATGCCAAGCGCGAAGCAAGGAGTATCTTTTTCGATCTCTCAGCGACACCGGTGCAGGCGAACAGGTTTGATGACAGAGTAGAAATCCCCAACAGAAGATATGTAGACACGTCTGGGTATGATAAGTAAATAAATAGATACACCACAAATACAACAAACAAAGATAACCAGTCAACAACAACCATACCACCCAAAAAACCCAGTAACCCCTGAAAGAAAGAACCAGCTGAAAGAAGAGATGTGATGTGATCAGACAGACCATCGCCAAACACCCTGGCAAAGACTCTGTCCAACCGAACGAGCGAACCACTCCGCTGGAACGGACGGTCATTTGTTCTGACGAACCCATCCCCTGGTCTGTGGATTCTGGGCTCTGACGACTGGTGGATATTTCAGTTTTTCGGGGGTTCGTGATTTAGTTGACCCATGCTGGGGTTGTGATTTGTGGGTTGCATGGGCTTTCTCCTGTGGCGGAACGGGGGGGGTGAATTGGGGTGCATTGTATGGTGTTATTGGAGGGATCATTGTGGAGGATGGCTGGTTTTTTTGGAGGATAGCTGGTGGTTCTTGAACGGATTGGATGGAGGAAGGAGGGTTAGAAGCGAGGGAGCTGAAGTGATATTGCCACTCGGATATAGGCCACTACTCAATTTAAATATTTGATTCGGGTATCTTATTGATTGTCTCTATATCGTACTATATTGGACCATGCTATACTTTACTTGTACTTCATACTATACCTTATTCTATCTGTTTACTATTTACTATCTAGACTATCTTTGTATTCTGTTTATACTATTTGATATTCTATAAATCAAGTAAATAATCCATCATCCTTCCCTCCAGTTGGCTAGAAAGGGTGTCATCTGTCACGCAGGGCACTTTGTCACTTCATCACATCTATTTTATTATGAGAGCTAAAAATATCTTCTACCACTATATCTATTCTACATCATACTTTTTAAACTACATTTTCTGTATCTAATTTTGTATGTTTCTCACTACTATGCATTCAATCTCATAATATTACATTATAAAACAGCTCTGGTATCAGTGGTATACATGGCAGCCTCGGGCAGACATGCGTCACCTCCGGGTTGTTTCTGTTCTTTTTTTTTAACCTCATGATACTCTTCGACCCTGGAAATAGTACTTATCTTTCATGGTGAGGAGGGTCATACAATCTCCTCGCAGTCTCTACTGTTCCCCTCGTCAAGCCTCATTTCCTATATATCAAACTGGCATTCAGCGCTTTCCTGGCTTGCCAAGTACGCGCACACGCCGCAGTCACCTCCTCACGATGGACATCGCCCCCCAAACAGTTTCCCACTTCTGGATTCGACTTGGTTTGACTCTTCTGTACAGATCGAAGAACAAAATCTCCCAAATTACTACCCTGATGGGTACTACCTAGTGCGACTAGGAGGGGTCCTCAATCATAGGTACCAAATACTTGCCAAGTTGGGCTATGGAGTGACATCGACTGTTTGGTTTGGGAGGGATTTATAGTGAGTGCAGTCCTCTCATCTAGCATGATCAGTAGATTTAATGCAGGTGCAGTACTTCCAAATAAGTTGTTTTGAAGGTATACGTAACAGGGCAAGAAACAAACCACGAGCTGAAGATCTACGAACGTATAAACACCGCTTCAACAACCCATCCCGGTAAACTATTCACTCGCAAGCTCCTCGACCATTTCTCCATCTAAGATGCGCATGGTCGTCACACGGGCCTTGTTCACGAGCCCGCTTGGGATCAGTTCTAGCAAACCTATGCAGTGGATTCCTGGCCAGGCGATGACCCTCGAAGATTTAAAACCGTGTATCCGCCAGCTGCTTGTCATATTGGACTTTCTGCACTCCGAGGCCAATGTGATCCACACAGGTACTTCTTCTGTTACACTTGGTAACGCACATCTAATTGAACCAGATCTTCAACTCAAAAATCTCCTTCTCCCGGTACCTGACCAACAGACGCTGTCCTCTTTTGAAGAGGCAGCACTAAAAGCACCAGCCGCTAGGAAGGTTCTACACGATCGAACAATATACACGTCCTCAAGATTTCCACCCAGTAACGGTATCCCACTGAAGCTCGATTTGGCGATGAGGAGCACGATGAAGATATTATGCCGAATGTTTATCGCTCTCCCGAGGTTATACTCAAGATGAAGTGGGCTACAAAGTTGATATATGGAATATTGCCATGGTTGTACGTGTTTCAGTAAATTCCTGCTATGTTTCTCTACCAACTCGTCTTAGGCATGGGATATCGTCTGCCCTCATACTCTCTTCGACGGTAGAAATTTTGACGGCATCTTCAATGACCGCGTCCATCTAGCAGAGTTAATTGCGCTTCCAGGCCCTCCACCACATGAATTTTGCCAAAAGAGCAAAGTCAGTTCGGTTTTCTGGAACGAGCCTGGTATGACTGCTTATTTCCAATTACACCTTCAAATAAGCCGAGTCACTAATTAATCCCGCAGGAAACTGGACTCAGTCAGTACCTCTCCCTAATACAAGCCTAGAATGCCTAGCTGTCAAAGTCCGGGGGGCCTACAAGCGGGGCTTCTTGCGATGGCTTCGCACAGCTTTGCAGCGGAATCCAGCAGATAGACCTACAGCTTTGGAGTTCATTTACGGTGAGTGGATGATGAAGGAGCTTAACCTACGGGGTTCCAAGCCAGTCAAAGAAAGGGACAACTAAGGGTATACATTTCGAACATTATCAGGTCCTATTCTTTGTGAGACTTGCCATCCCATTGCTCAGTACAACCAACCCCGCTACGCGACGACGACCAAAGGGTATCGCTGCAGCTAGAGGCCCACTTGTCTCGCAACAAGAACAGTATATCATAGAGCTGAGAAATGAGAGATACGCGTAACTTAACAAGCACCAGTTATCCTAGCAGAAAGAAGGGCACCCTCTAGGCAGCTTATCGTAAGGAACTGGAGTGCTTCCCGAGCCGATTCTCCTGGAGTATGCAGCGTGCTTCCAGTTCACCACGAAAACGTTAAAAGGATGGGCAATTTTCAATTTCAAAATCCCGTCCGATGAAGGAGCTAAGATCACGTGCTACCCCTACCTACGAGGTAAAAGAACCGTCGAATAAAATTAATGTTACCCACATCAGTTACAATGACGGGTGCGGGTGGCCTCCTCTTCGCATTTCGGCTCATAGAAACCAGGCACTTCGAATGGATGACTCGAATCTTCAGTTGCTTGGGAGATGGCTGTAGCCGATCTCCGGTACGGCCTCAAGGTCATCCTCTGACGGCCATACTGTCTTTCTTCCTTGCTGCCTTTTAGCCGAGTCCGCCTTCTCTCCCGCATGAGTTGCGCGCACAAATCCAAGGTTGTCCCTCCCAGTAACATAGCCATGGCTTGCGACGTGAGTCCCACGCAAGAGCTGATCCTCGTCTTTGTAGCAAAGAGTCACGTGTGGACCCAGAGGATCCTTCAGGTGTACGCCATTGAAGCTGGTCGTTTCATGGATCTCGGATCTGCAAAGTCATCGAGCGTCAGTTAGCACTTCGTAGGGCCCTTAGGGAACAGAATGCCATCGAACCCCAGATCGCGGCCATACCTTATAAGAACCGCCTTTGGATGGAGCTTTCTGTCTCTCGCTGTCTGATATGCCAAAGCCACAAATTGGCGCAGGCGATCTTTATCCTTCGGGACCATACCCCTGTAGAAATAATATTTCACCATGTTGACCGTGGACATGTTTGCTTGGATGAGATCCCGAGTGCGGTTTGTCGGCGCGGAGGTAATGTCGTAAAACTTCCGAAGTGAGGAATCTCTGTGAGGTGCAACTGTACAGCATTCCATCCTCGGTTGTATCTCCTTATTTATAAAGCCCGGGTCTGTCTCCTGCGACAATATCATCATTGGCAATGGCCAGGGCCCTGCATGGGCAATCCTATCCAAGGGCGCGTAAAGGCCATCGAGTAACAATGTAGACGATCGGCAGTGACCCGATTGAAAATTCCGGGCGCCAAATATATATGTTGTATAGTAGCCATACTATGGAATTCTGGCGGCTGTTGGGGGTGATGAACGATTGTGTCTGCTGCGTCGTCGTCCGATGTTTCAATGCGCGCGCGACTTGGGGTCTCTATCGGCCAATGGATAAGCGCTGTGCCCGGACATTCTCGCATGCGGCTCCACTTACCTGACCTATCTACACATCTGCCTCCTCCGTACCTACTCAGCACATGAGATATTCTAAGATCCTTTCCCAAGAGTCTGGTGGTAGAGCGATGATTAGACTGTTGTCTTCAGCCATCCGGTCATTGCACCCACATGGTTTACAGTCCAAGATCGATCGTTCTGCCCTCTGTAAAGCGCACTTGCCACCGCCCCAGCACACCCAACCTCGCTACGCGTTGACTACCACCGCGTTCACCCCAATGGCGGCCAACGACGAACTGAGTGCCCGCTGCCTATACGAGCCTCTCGAGGGAGTCGAGAGGTTAGAGAACTATCGGCCCGGCGGCTACCATCCCGTACAAATCGGAGATCGCTTTCAGGGCCGATATCGCGTGGTTCATAAGCTGGGATATGGCAGCTATTCAACGACGTGGCTCGCCCGTGATGAACAATTGAATACATACGTTGCGGTGAAAGTCTGTACGGCAAACTCAAACCCAAAAGAAGCGGACATTATATCCACTCTCACACGGTCACCCTGCTCTCCGGCCCATGATCTTGGACGGGCAATGATTCCGTCCATTCTAGACCGGTTCACCATCCACGGCCCAAATGGCACCCATGCTTGCTACGTGAACGCACCGGCAAGGACTAGCCTCTCTGGCCTCAAAGATGGTTCGTGGATCCGCTTATTCCAGCTCGAGGTCGCCCGGTCCTTGGCGGCGCAACTCGTTCTTGCGGTAGATTTTGTACACACTCAAGGGTTTGTCCATGGCGACCTTCACCTAGGCAATATTCTTCTCAAAGTCCCACCAGGCTTTGACCGTCTCTCCCCCGAGCAATTATATGAAAAATACGGACAACCGGAACTAGACCCCGTCGTCCATCTAGACGGGGACCCGCTTCCACCTGGCGTGCCATCCCACGGCATTACGTCGATATGGCTAGGGGAAGCCAGCGAGGCAATCACACCCGCAGAGGCCAGGATCCTACTTTCCGACTTTGGTGAAGCCTTCTCGTGCTCAACCGACGCCAAATACGAGTCTCACACGCCGCTCGTCATCCGGCCCCCGGAGGCTCGGTTCGAGCCGGAAACGCCTCTGTCTTTTCCATCCGATATATGGACCCTCGCCTGTACCATATGGTCTATTATCGCCCAGCGACCGCTGTTTGAAGGGTTTCTCGCCACGGAGGACGACATGACGTGCGAGCAGGTCGACGCTCTTGGTATCTTGCCTGCTGAATGGTGGACGAGGTGGGAGGGGCGCCGACAACGGTTCACCGAGGACGGGAAGCCACTCAGGCGCAATCCTTACCGATCGTGGGCGGATCGATTCGAGGATAGTGTGCAGCAGCCTAGAGGGGAGAGTGGGATGGCGCTAGTTGATGCTCGAGAGAGGGATGCTCTGTTTGATATGCTACGGTCGATGCTCTCGTTTCGGCCTGGGGATCGTCCTACGACGGGGCAGATTCTCCGGTCCGAGTGGATGGTACGATGGGCTTTGCCTGAATATAGTAAGATCCAAGTGTGAGTTAGATCGGCTGCTCCAGATCCGGCCCTGGGGGCTGGTTATAAGGTAAGGATAGAGGAGGGATACTCAAAGAGTCCCAGAGCCTGATAACTAAACTCGTTAATGACAAAACTATCCTTAATCAAGATTCACATTCCACAGGTTTATTGTATAGATTCATTCACAACGCGGTAAGAAGTATAGGTAATCAATAAAAATGCCTACCACTAGATGGCATACGTGCTGTCAACCATCCAGACATTGTTGAGGGTGAGGCATTACGGAAACCATGACAAGCCTTATGTCTACTTTTACAATAGGGCTGATTAGTGGTATATGATATAGAATCACTTATTTCATGTACTGTGTAAATAAATATATAAATCGGTATCTATATAAATCATGAATAAACCAATTGAACAAGGTTACGGCATCCCATAAAACCCACCCCGCAACATACATCATCTCTGCTACTCTCTTCTCCTCTATTCCTCCTACCACCCACGATAACTCCACTACATCTATCAATCACTAACCTCAAACAACAACATACCCATTTCAACAGAAAAACAAATCATAAGAAACATATCAAGAAAAAGAAAGGAAGATGGTCTGCTCCAAATGCGCCAAAAAGCTCAAATCCACCCAACTCGCCACTCCGGACGTCAAGCGCCGGAGCGAGATGTATTATGGGAGTAGCAGCACCAACACCGGTAGTAATGACAAGACCAAGGGGAAGGCTACGCTGGGGAGTACTGGCATTGGAAAGGTTTGTTCCCTATTTCATCTTCATTCGTTCATTCGTTCTTTCGTTCTTTCGTCCTTTTCTGTGTTTTGGGTTGTTTACCTTATCTTCTGCCTGTTCTATACTACCTACCTCACTATATCCGGACTGGTGTATAGCATAACATATACGATTGATCGTTGGATACCTCATATGATAATCACATACTAACAAAGACAGAACAAACTCCTCTCCGCCAAAGCCAAAAACCCCTACGCGGCATACGCCTCGTCCTGCTCTCAGTGCAAGACCAAGACCGAACAGGGGAGGAAGTTTTGTCAGCGGTGTGCATATCAGAAGAATGGTGTTTCTTCCTATCTCCAGTATTAAATGGATCTATCGCTAACATATGACAGCCTGCCCTATGTGTGGAAAAAGTCTAGCTGAGAAGGCTGCGACTGCTACGGCTAAAGGGCAGAAGCCGGTTGTTCAGGGGCAGAAATTCAATCTGAGTTGACATTTTTTTTATTCTTTGGTTGATGTTGATTCTTTCTTGACTATTTTCCTTTGGTTAATGCTGTTACCTGTCTATCAAAGCACGGCGTTAGGTTCTAAAACGGATAAAACAATAGATAGCTAGCTAGTTATACATGGCATGTAGTATATGCAGTCAAGACTCCTCTCCTCGCCTCTCTACTCAGTACCGATCCTACCGATCAGCAAGCATATTCTTGACACTGCTGTAATAGTGATCCACCACATGCTGTCCAATCTCCTCCTTGGACAACCACCGGAAATCCTGCAGCTCCTGGTTGTTGCCCGACAGGTCGGCCTGTCCGCCCATGATACGGCCCTTCATGAAGAAGGTCTTGGCGCCCTGCAGGCCCGTGTCCGTCGGCCGGCGGTAGGTCTTGACGTGGTGTCCGACCGGGTGGTATCCCACCATCCAGGTGTTGATGTTGACGCCGGCCGTTTGGGTCAGGGTACGTTCAGCGGCCTGATAACACACATTAGAGACAGAGAGAAAGAAAAAAAGATATGGGATATGGGGAGAGAATTACCAATCGCAAAGTCTCGTCCTGCTCAACAGGCGAGCGAGGAAACCTCCAATGTCCAAACTTATCCCGCACAACGAAATACAGCGTCCGCTGCAGCGCGCGGTTCAAGCTACGGAAATCACCCTTCTCGTCCGCCTCCGTCACACGCGGATAAGGACGCGGGATCTCCTCGCGCTTGCTCGTATCCTGCGACGTAGCATTGACGGTCTCCTCGGCGTCGCGGATGAGCATCTCCGCCTGATAAGCAGGGTCCGACTCGGCAGCGCCAACGAGCAACTCGTCGTTCCACGCGTCGGGCGAGTAAGCGTTGTAGTTGCCGATGTCCCGCGCGGGGGTGTGACGCTCCTTGATCTTGCGCTTCCAGTCTTCGTCGGCGGGCGTCCCCCGCTTGAAGTAGAAGTACTTGGTGAAGGGCAGGGCGAGGCGCTCGTTCAGCCGGCGCTGGTAGAAGTGGTAGGCTTTTTCGAACGGGTGCAGGTCGCGCGTGATCTGCGGGGGGCGGGACAGCACCACGCCGGCGTTGATCGTGTACGTCGGTTTCACGACGGGGTAGACGGGCGCGGCTGTGTCGGGGGAGGGCGTCGTCGCCGTGGCGTAGCTGCGGCGGACCAGCGTCGTCTCTTTTTGTTGGCAGCTTTTGCACACGGGTCCTACATCAAGCATGGGCAATTAGTTCTGGTCTGTCTGGAATGGTCAGAGATCACGTACGCAGTGCCGACGCAATGCGCCGCGCTCCATTGGGACCGGAAGACATCTCGGGCGTGTGGACAGCTTGCTGGGACTTGAGATAGAAGACTGATTGATCCGATACGGGCAAGAAAAGTTGGCGGTCACCTGTTTGGAGGTTGAACTGTATCTAACCGGGTCGGGTTAGATCCACACGTGACCATTATTTTTCTGTCGTTTATATTTCCCGCCGATTTTTCCCTTTCCCTTTTCTTCTTTTCTCTCCACAGCACCTTCTTATCATCACTGCGTTATGTTATCCACGACCAGTTGATCATTTACTGGTGCTCAGAGTGAGTGCTTTGTACTCGCGGCCTTTTTTCGCTAGCGGTACCTTCTTAATCAAGGTGTACGGTTAGATAGTCGCTGCGGACAGATTTTTAACTATTTTATATGATAGTGCCGGTTTAGGCTATGGTAGAAATTCATATCATTCATATCAGTCATGTTACGGATAATACGAACAGAGTATTAATTTAAGTCCACTGTCATGAACTATCCCAAATAGCACATTCTCTCGCGAGTGCCAAACACTCGCAGCCGGTTGCTATAACGCTCCCAGAAATGTGCTCCCGGACGTGGGATCAGTTCGCCCTTGTCCACCTTGGCATGGGCATCCGAGCAGTCGGTCAATTGCGGTGACCGACTCGGTCGCCCGTAGCCAAAGGACTCCTCCATGCGGAGACTAGTGGCGAACATGTGGTGCAACTCCTCCGATGACGTTCTGGGCTTCGTGTCTCGAAAGTGGACGGAGAGTTTGAGGAAGACCTGCGCCGTCAGCAAGCTATCATAGCCCGCTTCGTGCTCTGCTGGCGCTCTGCAGTACTTCCGGTAGTATTCGTGCAACACTGCGCCCATCAGCTTGGGTCGGGTCTCAACGAGGTTCCAACATACCAATCATAGGCGTCCCGATGTGGAGGAGATCTTGATGAACTTCGCCGAGCGAGGACGGCGGATTGAGGTCGCCGCAGCTATGCGTCGCCAGGTATTTGGTGTCAATCACCCGGGGAAATAGGCTCCGTGCCATCAACTGAAAGTCCGCCACACTGTCTGGCAATGGGCCAACAAAGCATCTACAGAAGTAGACCAAATCCACGAACAAGTTATGGCCGACCACCAGAAACTGGTTGGTGCGCAAATCCTGCTTCACCACGTCCGCAGCCTTTCTTACTTTAGCCAAAGAACGGCCAACTCCCATGTCACTCTGGAAACAGCTCGGGTCGAGATCGGACAGGTCCCCGCCAACTAACGCCTCGGCCAGCCACCCGAATCCTTTGGATTTGCAGATTCGCTGCATCTTTTCCGTCGTTCGGTTTGCATGTTGGGCTGCCTCCTGGTTCTCGTCGCGCTGACAGATCTGAATAAATGGACCCATAGTGGTTGCGGTCAGGCATGGGTACTCCATCTCGATCAGCCCATGGACCAGCTTCTTCTGATGTCGGCTGAGTACCCGCGGCATGGGGCTGGATTCGGTAAGGTATGTAGCGGACCAGGGGGGTGGAATATCGAGGTATTGGTCACGCCGGCTGAGTTCCCCCAGCATGAGGCTGGATTCGCCGAGGTATGTAGAGGGCCTGGAGGGCGGGATATTGAGGTATCGGTCACGCCGGTTGAGTTCCCCCGGCATGGGGCTGATTTCGGCGAGGTATGTAGCGGACCAGGGGGGCGGGATATTGAGGTATGTGTCACATGGCTAATTTGCGATTAGGGAGGTCTGACGGGGGCCGGAGATGGACGTACATGCACATTGCTATCACCAACCCATTGGTCCACCAGAGTCCGTACCGTATTCAGAAAGGCGATGGATTCCGGTTCGCTGTCATCAACCTTCAGCATCTGGCGTGTCGCGGCAAGACCATCCTTTTGCGCGGCTCTGGCCACGGCTTGATTGACTTCCTCGGGTGAGAGATAGCCAACTCCCCGGTCGAATACCGAGCTCATGGAGAAATTCTGCTTGAAGAGGAAGCGCATTGCTGGATCGGTCAGCTTCCAGACAACCAGGGAATCCGAACCACCCACCGTTGCTTTGAAGGGTGAAGTCTCTCTGTAGATCCAGCCCGCTGTTGACGATTGGATTCAAGTATAAATGGTATGGTCTCAGAATGTACTGTCCTTTCTCCGCATCCTCATGGCCGATGGTCAGACCGACTTGGAGGATCTGGTATTTCTCGGCACATTGCTTGAGTTCCTCATACCGCTCCTGCAGCGACTGTTTTTTGTTACTTTTTCTGGGCGCGATCGGGATCCCGGAGAATTCCAAGTCCAGGGCGACAAAACAGCAATCGGACAGTCGGGACAGGATTTCCGGTAGGAGGTCGTAGAATGAAGAGGCAGTGACATCCATGGCGATAAAGATAATTAATATGAGCGGGGGTATGAGAAATAGATCAAGCCTTCAGACCGGTTGAAGTGAGTTGTCATGGTTAGTGTCAGTGTCAGTCAAGTACTGAGTGAAGAGACCAAAACATGAGACAGGCTGTTTGTCGGAGGAAGGGTAAGCCTGGAGTGACTTCTGTTTCTGTGGCTAGGACTGTAACTGAGGTTGCGTGACATTCTGAGTAATTGGCTGTCCTCGTATAGAAATTCTATAGTCACTTCATGTAGAAATGCCGCCAGTATACTGGATATGTATCAGATCCCTAGAGAAGTGTTGTAGAGTTGATCCTATAGATATGCCGATCCCGTGACTGCCCCGGACTGTGTATTAATAGAGCCTGAGGTACTCCATCGCGCTAACCGCATTCGGCCCAGGCCGGTCAGCCCCCGAGCCGAGGGACAACGAACCCCGACTGGAGGATTCACAGGTACTAAACTAGCAGCTTTCATCTCGACACCAACCACCTCTATCATCTATCATTCTATTTTACATATTTGTCCCTTTGTCATTTCTTACGGATTGACCTCGTGAACTCCCCGAACTCGACAGATCGATGCTCCGGCGGTGAACAATGGCCGATTCATCCCACATGTCGGCTTCCCAGCTCTCCTCCTCCTCTCTCTCCCCCTCCAAGCTCTGCTCAAAAACATACAAGAAAGCCTCACAGCTCTACCTCACGCGTCGACTGCAAGAATCACTGACGGCTCTGGAACCCGTCATTACACCGACTACGTCGGACGATCACTACAATGGCGACGAGTCAACACCGCCTATCGCAACGGTGTCGGCAACCTGGCGCATCAAAGTGTGGAATCTCTACATTACACTCCTGAGTGCCATTGTCGAATTGGGGCCGGAAGAAGGGAAACAATCGTTTGGACAGAAAGAATGGAAGGCCATCTCGTCCAGCGTGCGCGAGGGCGGCATCTGGGAGACGGTCGTGCAGACGGGCTATCAAGGATTGGAGGGATCGGTTGATGCGGAGGTTGTGTATAATCTGTATGTGGATAGATCAAAGACCGCGACTTCACATCACCTACTAACCATGTCCCCTCCAGAGCCACCCTCCTCCTCAACCACTCCCCCTCGCAAGCCCTCAACCAGCAGCGTCTCGAGACCTACCTGTCCTCATACGGCCAACCCAATCTCGACGTCGCCGAACACATCCGCAACTCTCCCTCGCAACGAGGGAAATTCCGCGTCAACGGTGGCACCGACACCCCGAAGGATCTGGAGGCGCGGGTCCGCATCATCGAGCTCTTCACGCTGCACGTGCTGCCACGCAACGACGAGTGGGAGTATGCGCAGGAATTCATCAACCTCAGCGAGGTGCTCGACGAGGAGAACAAAGAAGTCTTCCTGCAGACGCTCGAGGGTTTGAAGGAAGAGCGCGAGCAAGGCGAACTGCGCGCCGCGGCGCTGCAACGCGAGAAAGACGCCCAGATGGAGCGGGAAGCGCAGGTAGAAGAGCGTCGACGGGCTGACGAGCTCGCAGCCGCCGAGCGGGCGCATCACAACAACAACAATAAGGCATCCAGCCGTCCTAAAGGGGAAGCGGAGAAGTCGCGCCCGAACGGCAGCAGCCTGCGGGGCAAGAAAGCCGGGGATAAATCGGCGGGCAGCAAGTCCGGTTCGTCTGCGGGACGGACGGCATTCTCGCCGCCAGGGGCAAAGAGCGTCAAGAAGCCGGAGAAGCCCGAGCGGGCGCGATCGACGCAGGCGCTGTCGCAGGCACTACGCAATCTGTACCAGTACATCGTGCGGACGGTGGCGGGCAACCCTCTGTCATTTGCGCGGACGCTGCTGTTCCTGCTGGGGATTGTTGTGGCGTTGAGCCGGCAGAATGTGCGGGAGCGGATCCGCCGGTTGACCGGGTCGGGATGGCAAAAGGTGAAAGGGACGGTGGGGATGGGGGTGAAAGTGAGTTATATCTAACTCTACTGTTTGATAGTGTTTTCCTTTGTTCAGGATGATCCGATGAATGGAGTGTTGTGTATAGCCTTATGATTGCAGAATCAATACTTTGATATATGTATATGCACCAAAATTATCTTTGGTATATCGTATCTAGTACTGACTCTGAGAGTGCCATATGTACTGAATATGATACCGTATACAAGTAGATGGGTATAGTAATCAAAGACCACCGGTCAGACAAATTAAACAAGACCACTCATACATCCCATATATTTGCCATATATTTCCCATATCAACTCCAGTAGAATTGGGTCATGATAAATCAACAATTAACCACGTAACAATAAAACAGTAAACAAAATCCATATTTGCTAGTATAATCGCACCTACCTACGGAGTATCCGTACAAGCATTCCATATCAGAAGCAGGACGATCATCATGTGCTTCTGCGGAATTTCCATGTGATGTCTGCATTCTTTCTGATTATGCATGGTGTATGCAGCAGTGCTGTACTCCGTACACGGAGTATTTCCGATAGTACCCAGGTAGTAGAATCTATACTGTATCTACAATAGTATACAATAAACAGTATACTACCTCCATCTAATTCATTCGATATGAAGATAGTAGAGTATACAACTGAATTCAACAGCGGAATCCACCCGCGGGTAAACTGGGTAAAATGGGTAAACCTTGAACCGCACAGTCGGGACCGTCAACCCGGGCCGATACCTACTATCTATCTGTCTTCCGGACGGAGTACTAGGTAGGAATAAGGTTATCGGCTGGGCTCTTGGAAGACTGATTTCTATATCCATAGTATATAAGTACTGCAGTGTTCAAGAGAATATACATGATCGATCATCTATCAATCATCCCCATATAGTCCGTACTCCAGTCTCCAGACTTATCAGATGGTGACGGACCTCGGCTCAGTCGGTCTTGGCCCGGCCGAGATCCCCCGCTGTATGCCTGAGGCATCTACTATTCTCCAGGACCAATAGTTCACAAACACTCCTAGTATTGATAGGGTTTCGTATGTGTCTTGTACTTCTGTCAAGTGATTCCATCAGTCCTAGCATAATACAGCATGTGAATCAGTGGATCGATGAGGTCACGGGAGTGGCGGCTGGAGGCGGATATGATGATGACATCCACTGACTAAGCCGAGGGTTCTCCGAAGCCGAGGTTTATTTTTCTATCTCTTGAATCTGGGAGTTGAGTACGGAGTACAGTACGGAGTATGGAGTATAGCTACTATAATATTCGTCTCTATTTTATATACAATCTTGATATAGTTTACGTATCGACAAGCAAAGTTAACTACCTGAAAAATAAGACATACTGTGTAGACTGATATAGACTTCCGCTCGTCCAGAACCGCTCCATCATCCTCCGCTTCCCCGTCTCCAACCACTCCCTCTAAGACTCTGGAACCAACTCTGGACCCCGGAGGGGCAACTGAATGGATAATATTGAAATTGGGTGCTCCATAATGGAGTCGGGAGTCCACAATGGAGACAGCAAAATGATGTAGTGGATATTTCCGCCGGCGCCCCGTCCTCCGATGGTTTTTTTTTTACCTATTTCCCATTCCCTTTCGCAAGTACCTCGGTGGACAGCCGAGGTGAATTCCCTCTCTGCATTTCCATACTTCCGTGTCTCCCCGTTTTTGGACCATTCCCTAAGATCCGATATCGTCGTCTTTTTGGTCAAGTGATTCATTGTCGATCCGTGGATTAATTGTCCAATTGACTCGTTTTTCCTTTAATTTTCCTCTCTTCGCTTCTTTTTGTTCTTTACTTCTTTTCCTCTTCTCTTCACTCTTCGACTTCTTCTCCTCTACCTCTTCCTCTATCTTCCTCTACATCCTTCCCCCCTCTCCCCTCTATCTCCACTCAACATCATGTCCGCAAAAGGAGGCAATGGCAAGAAGCCCGCTTCTCCCGCCGTCAACCTCATCGGTATGCCCTCAATCCCAGCACAACCTCCCCCCGGAGGAAGCTCAACAGCAAGCTAATGAGAACAGCCGGTGGTGGTGCCGGTATGATGGAGGCTCTCGTCTGCCACCCCCTCGACACCATCAAGGTCCGCATGCAACTGTCGCGCCGCGCCGCCGCTGGGAAGCCCCGCGGCTTCGTCACCACCGGTGTCGACATCGTCAAGAAGGAGACCGCTCTCGGTCTGTACAAGGGTCTGGGAGCCGTCCTGGGTGGTATCATCCCGAAGATGGCTATCCGGTTCACCTCGTATGAGTACTACAAGCAGCTCTTGGCCAACAAGGAGACTGGAGCTGTGAGCAGCAAGGGTACTTTCCTTGGTATGTTCTCTCTTTTCCCCCCTTTATGATTAAAAAAAAAAAAAAAAGAGAACAAAGACTAATAAGATCAGCCGGTCTCGCCGCTGGTGTCACCGAGGCCGTCGCCATCGTCAACCCCATGGAAGTGGTCAAGATCCGTCTGCAAGCGCAGCACCACAGTCTGGCGGATCCCCTCGACGCCCCCAAGTACCGCAGCGCGCCGCACGCGCTCTTCACCATCATCCGCGAGGAGGGCTTCAGCGTCCTCTACCGCGGTGTCTCCCTGACGGCCCTCCGCCAGGGTACCAACCAGGCGGCCAACTTCACGGCCTACACGGAGCTCAAGGCCGCCCTGCAGAGCTACCAGCCCGAGTACGCCAACACCCAGCTGCCCTCGTACCAGACGACCCTCATCGGTCTGATCTCCGGTGCCGTCGGCCCCTTCTCCAACGCCCCCATCGACACCATCAAGACCCGTCTGCAGAAGACCCGCGCCGAGCCCGGCCAGTCCGCCGTCTCCCGCATCGTCGTCATCGCCCGCGACATGTTCAAGACCGAGGGTACCCGCGCCTTCTACAAGGGTATCACCCCGCGTGTGATGCGTGTCGCTCCCGGTCAGGCCGTCACCTTCACCGTGTACGAGTACCTCAAGGGTAAGCTGGAAGCTTCCAACTGGAAGTTTGTCGGCGGCTCTTTCGAGGAATAAACGCCATCCCACTGGGTTAGTGTTCTCGGAGGGGTAAGAAGTTAAGAAGTTGAGAAGTGAGAAGTCGAGAAGTCGAGCATGTGATACCGATCTGATACCATGGAGCATGGTGGCGTTGCCCGTGTCGTGATGTCCCTTGCATCATTTTGTATATTCCTCTATTGTTTCCTTGTCTTTGTGTCTGTCAAGGTGTTATTCCGCCATTTAGCGGCTGGTTGTATATATTTATCTTTTCCTTTTTTTTTTTTTACTTCTTCCCGCCCTATATATTCCATGGGCGATGGTCATTGGCATTGGATAGAGACAAAAAAACAGCACTATATCGAATACAATACCACAAGATCAATCTACTTTTTCCCATATAATATATCAACATAGAAACAGGGAGGAGGATATGATTCGACGGTGGATGGAAAGCTGCATGTGCCGTGCAGCGCCAAGTGCGTTCTAACCTTGTTGGGGTTTCACATGCATAGCTGAGCTGAGCTGAGGCACCTGACCACGTTCTTTTCACATGTCATGAAGGACTTACCTGTATAGTCAGGTATAGACACCTGAGGCAAAATTCTGTGTGCAAGCAAAGTCTGGGGTGGAGAGAAATAGTACACATTACACCAGCTACTCACCTTATCCTGGTATCTGTCTCTATCGAGAGCACGGGTCTTGTAGTAGCTGCTTGGAGTAGCCCGTTCTTCAAGGCTCCATTCCGCATTCTGTCACAAATGCAATGAACATCTGTTTGTCTCGTCTTGGATGTTAGATAACGAATTCTCGAAATCACACTCGGCCAATCTAGACTATAACACATACCGTAACCCTAGGCTCCATACATCACTATATGAAAGCCCACGATCTACCTTCACCCCAGGCGCCGATAGATATCTACCTGACACATCCAGTATTCGGGCGGTCCCTAGATACGATAGCTGTGACTGGGCCATAATTTATGTAGTAAAGATGGTAGAGAGTCCATATTTGATACTTCAGTCTCACATTGGACACTAGTTTAAGGGATTCTATTCCCCCAAGCTAAGAACTGAGTGACCAGTTCAACCTGTATACTGTTAAACAGGAGATCAATACCACCGAAATGCCAATAGAAGCCTTGAAGAACAAGTTAGCGCAACACTAAGAGGTGTTTGGTGGGGCAAATCCGAGCTTCTTTCGAACATCTTGTCTCCTGTATGGAGTATGGAGTATGGGTTCAAGATTGAGAGAGAAGTAAGTCTCTGCGATGCTATTTGCTAAAGGCTTTGTGAAGGCGGGTGTTTTCTCCATTTAATGAGGGATAGTCACTGAGAGGGGGAAGTGAAGTAGCTGGAGTATGTCTAGTCGGAATATATATCTGACAGTTACAGTACTGTAGGACATTCATTCTCTCTATATATTTTGAATAGTCAACCCACTATCTATATCATTTTTCACTAATTTTTCAGAAAGAAGACTAAATAAATGATCACAGGATGGTAATAGAAATTCAAGTGTTATTATAGGATGAGTGGAGACATGGAATCTATATACAGATACCAGTTGATTATTCAGGGGTTGACCCAAAGATACAATAGGCTATATCCAGGGTAACATACATTCCTATCTTTCTTTGATAAAATCAGTAGTATCAGTTCATAATTAAAAAACTTGATTGTATATCATAGTTCTACTTCGTAGATAGTTAGTACACGCCCCTATATACTCCGTCAGCACGCCGACCAAAATAGAAAGCAACCCCGCTCATCACACCGCTCTCCATAGTCCATACCCCTCTCAGTCTCTCAACAACAACTACAACACATCCCTCCACCACCCTTGGACAACATACTTGCAAGATCAGACCACTCTCCCAGGCTGGTCTCGTCAAGATGCAGTCCGGAATCTCAGGTGAGCCATCCATCATTACAGTCCATCTATCATTCCCTCCCTCACGTCCAGCCATACCCCCATTATCTGTTGATTCCACCATCCAATATCCAACACCACCATTTGGTCGAAGGAAATGCATAAATAAATAACTAATGTGAGATAGTCTCCCCCGAACTCCACAATGCCTTCACATCCTTCACCTCGGACGACTCCATCTTCTGCCTCCCCGTCACAATCACCACCGAGAGTCTCCAACCCCTGACCCCCATTCCCTTCTCCACCCCCAACGACTTCTACGCCTCCCTCCCCAAGTTGGCCTCGATCCTCGAGCCCAAAACCCCCCTCTACCTCCTCCTCCGTCGTCCCTCGTCCTCGGCCGCCCCCGCCCTCATCGCCCTCACCTACATCCCATCCAATGCCCCCGTCCGAGCCAAGACCCTCTTCGCCTCGACCCGCGCCACCCTAGCCCGCGAACTCGGCACCGAGAAATTCGGCGCCACCATCTTCGCGACGGAGGAGGACGAGGTCGTCGGCGAGGAAGCCTGGCGCGAGAGAGATGCCGAGACCGACGGGTCGACCGGCGTGGCCGCCGCCCAGCGCGAGCAGCTAATGGGTGACAAGGAGCGCGAGCTGGACGCTGTCCGTCGCGCCGAGGACGAGGCCCGCTCCGGTACCCCTGGTCGGGATATCGGCATCGGGGGCTCGTTCAACCGTGCGGGTGGGCCGTCTGGGATGCGTGTGTCGATGCCTGTTGAGGAGGATGCTAAGGAGGCGCTTGCTGGGCTGCAGCAGGGTGGGTTGGTGCAATTGGTGAGTTTCTACTCGTTTCTACTTTCTTCTTTTTTTTTTTTTTTACCCTACTCGCTTTTCGATTTCCTTTCTTTTTTTGTAGATAGTTAAGTGATGTTGATTAACGTATCAGGCTATCGACATCCCCCGGGAAACGTTCACGCTGGCTGCCTCCGACGCCGGCGTCAACGCCGGCTCCGTGCAGTCGCACATCTCGCCCTCGGCTCCCCAGTACACGTTCTACCACTATCCCGACTCGGACGTCGTCATCTTCGTGTACACCTGTCCGTCCGGGTCGTCGATCAAGGAGCGCATGCTGTACGCCAGCTCCCGGATGTCTGCGCTGCAGCTGGCCCAGCAGCAGGGGCTCAACATTTCGAAGAAGGTATGTCGGGATTGATCCCTCTCGCGTTTTGAATTCATCCTAACGGCAGCAGATCGAAGCGTCGTCGCCCGACGAGATCACCGAGGAGAGATTGCACGAGGAGGTGCACCCGCCGCGCAACGACGGCATCAACCGGGGATTCGCGCGACCGAGAAGACCGGGCCGGTAAACGGGTCTGGATTCGATTAGACCAGTGGTAGTAGCATAGCATATAGCATAGAAGTCTGCCTGCAAGATTTCCGGTCGTACACCGCCTCCCGCCACCCACCCAGGATCCCCACAAACAAAGTAAAGTAAAGTAGATAGAAAGAAAAAGACAGAGAAGGAGGCAGAAGAAGGCCAAGGTCAATGATTCCGAAAACTCTTCTTCTGGTAAAACAGATCCGTCCTCGAACTCCCCAAATTGATAATCTTCGGACACCCATCCCGGTCCTTCTCGAGCCGGGTACACTCAAAGCAGTAGAAGGCATCACTGATGCCCTCCCCGCCACACACGATGCACTTATTCTGGTAGTTGCCGAAGGAGCACTCGTCGCAGATGCGGACGAGGGTGGTCGGGCGCACGTAGGAATCGCACACGGGGCATTTGCCGTCGCATTTGTCGCACAGGCGGCCGATGGAGATGCCGGGTTGTTTGCGGCACATGACGAGGTCGGGGTGATGGCGGGACATCTTGATTTCTTTGGGGTGGGGTGATTTATTGAGTGTAGTGTAGGTAGGTAATAGAGAAGGTGTGGTGGGTTGACGAGAGGTGTCAATGAAAGCGTGGTAAAAGTAGAAGAAGGAGAGGGAGGGAAGCTGTCGAAAGCGCTGGAAAGAAGAATCACCCGTGGTTGAGTTAGTTAGTGGTGGCGGTCCGTGCACGGCTAGTTGAGGAGCATTGCATAACTTGGTTCAACTTCAATACCACACCGGTCAGACGGACACTCGACTGGCGCGTCGACTTGGATTAATCTAGTTCAGTACTTCTATTCTTCTACTCACAGATCTACCGAGTATACTTTCAACTTTCAACCTGACGCGACGACACCCAGCAGCACCGCCACAACACCAATGACACAACCGTGCTGATTACTGAAGCATCCATACAATCCACCGTTTCCAAATCCACCGTTCACCTACATACCATCCCAATGGACGGATCCAGATCGCTCGCGTCGGCAGTCGCCATCCCCGACCAAGACGACGCCAGCGCCCTCCCCACGCGATCCCCCCCAGACCCCACCCTCAAGCGCCGAAAATCCTCCATCTCCAGCCCCCCACCACCCTCCCCAGACAACAAGCGTCGCCGACTGAGCGCCGACCAGCGACAGCCATCTCCAACATCCGCAGAAAAAGCAGAGCGAGCGCCGAGAAGACCACCCGGGAAACGCGACGACGAGCGCCGGCGCGGGCAGCGCTTATTCGGGGCGTTACTGGGGACGCTATCGCAGGGGTCGTCGAACTCCGCGGCGCAGCGACGACGCGCGGATATCGAGCGCAAACAGCAGGATAAGCTCAAGGTGCAGGATGAGGAGTATGGGGAGTTGAAGAAGAAGAGGCGGGAGGAGAGGATTGGGTTGCGGAAGAAGGAGAAGGGGGTTTATGAGGAGGAGGTGGTGTGTTTTTCCTTTCTTTTTTACTGGCTGTTTTTTTGGTGGTAGAGGAGATGGCTAATATGGACAGATGCGCACGCGCCATTCGAACCTCCTGGCTACGGCACGGTTCCTCAAGACGAGGTTGGAGCCTGTACTGGTATGTTTTTCTTTTCTTGAACGGGTGTTCGTGTTCGTATCTGACCATGTAGTACTACAAACCGTGGCAACTCCGGTCGCGCGATGAACGGATCATACAGGAACAGATTGAGGAGGCGGAAGAGACGGTGGAGAGAGAGAAGGCCGAGTTCGATGCGCGTCCTCGAGATGTGGAGAACACGCAGGAGACTGGAGAGCGAGATGATGGGGAGCAGAAACCGCAGACTGCAGCCGAAGAGAACGGAACCGAAAATACCGCCGAGAAGCCCGAGAACAAGCCCGAGAATGCATCTGAAGAGCACAAACCTGAAGAGAGCAAATCTGAAGAGAACAAAAAAGCAGAAGAACCCCAGAAAGAGTCAGAAACAAGCGTCGACTCTCACCATCACGGTGACATTCCTGAGACTGGTGCAGGCCATGATGCGGATATCCATCGGGGCGCGGAGGATGACGGAGGAGAGGTGGTTGAGGATCAGGAGGATACGGTGATCTACTAGCATGCCATATGATGAATGTGTTATGTGTGTATTGTGTATTGACTACCAAATTTGTTTGAGCGTCTGATGTTGCGATGTATCAACATTGTTCTATACGTCTTATCTGCATCATGGATGTGCTTGAATGGCTCATGTCGACTCGAATTTACCTCTAGACATCTGTTGCTGAGAAGTATAAGACTGATGACACCGTTATCTGCTCTCATCCATCTCCACCTGTCTCACCAGTACGAGTAGTATAGATCCACTCAGCACTCATCCATAGTGGCTTACAACTCCAACTGGTCAGATTATTAATACAGAATCAAATGAATATCAAACCACCGAAGCCTCGGCCCATCCGTCTCCCCTCTCCACCCACCAATCACCACCAGCACAACCAAGCAGATCAACAAGACCATTGCACGATCCCACCGCAAAGCGCAAGCCCAGCAGGATCAACCGTCCTCTAACCTGGAAGCTGAAGCGGGGGAGGACAAGGAAACCACCTGGATCGGCTCCACGTGACCGCCAGACCAAAATGCGGGGATGAGAATGGAGAGTCTCCGCATTTCCAGTCAACGGCGTGAACGCGATTACAACTCTTTTTGACTGATTCGTCTCGTCTTCTGGTTATATACTATATTCTTTGTGTTGGTGTAACTGGCTTTCTGATGGCTGTCGACAAGATCAATGTGGCGGGTGATGACCGCGTCCAGTATCGCTCTGCCGATGTCAATGGGATCCGATATGGTTAGTATTGTTGTGAACAAAGGACACGTCTGTGTCACAGCGTAGGTGGGATAGGCTAGCTAACACAGTTAGGATACCTCTACGCTGAGCCCCCGTCGGGGCAATATAAAGCTACTGTCTTTCTTGTATGTATTATATACTATCGTCAACTATACCGATGAACTATACTAATCCTCCAGATCCACGGATTCCCCGACCTCTCCATTGGATGGCGCTACCAGATCCCCATGCTCCTTGATAAAGGCTTGCGCGTGGTAGCTCCGGATTGTCTGGGCTATGGGCAGACTGTACGTCTTTCTATATGATAACCTACCGGTAGTGGTGGTAGTATTGATAATAGTATAGGATGCCCCTGAGGACCTCGAGCGCTACGCTCATAAGCGCCACGCAGACGATATAAAAGCGCTGGCTGCCCAACTCGGCGAATCAAAGATCATCGTCGGAGGCCATGACTGGTATGTTCCCAGACATATATATATATATAAACACGTATTACAGTTGTTAATACTATCAAGGGGCGCCTCCCTCGCCTACCGCGTCGCCCTCTGGCACCCCGATCTCGTCTCCCACGTCTTTACAGTCTGCGTGCCGTACGCATCGCCGACACCGCGCTTCGCTACGATAGCGGAGATGGTCGCGCACTCCGCGCCGCACTTCGCCTACCAGTTGCAGTTTATCAGCGGCGAGGTGGAGCGCGCTTTTACCTCGCGCGAGCAGATCAAGGCGTTCTTGAACACGCTTTATGGGGGACGCACGGCTGAGAAGGAGGTTGCGTTTGATGTTCAGAAGGGGGTGCTTATGGATAAGGTGTTTGATGTGGGAAGGTCGAGGTTGTTGAGTGAGGAGGTATTTCCCCTTCCTTCTCCCCCCGGCCTCTGGTTCATTCATACTGTTATTGAATATGGTGTACTGACGAAACAGGAACTCGACTACTACGTCTCGCAATACGCCCGCAACGGTCTTCACGGTCCATGTAAGTTCCCATACATAAATACAATATATACCCCATATATATGTACAACCCCTCAAAACAACAATACTAACAATCAACGATGAAGTAAACTGGTACCGCACGCGCCAAAAAAACCACACCGACGAACTCACCCTCCTAAACCGCACAATAACCGCGCCCGTCCTCTTCATCCAGGCCCTCCGCGACAGCGCCCTCCCGCCCCACCTCGGCCGCAACATGGCGAGCAAACTGCCCAGTCTGACCGTTGAAACGGTCGACTCGACACACTGGGCGCTGTGGGAGAAGCCGGCGGAGGTGAATGCTTTTGTGGGGAGGTGGTTGGAGGAGGTTGTTTTTAGGGATTTGGAGACGTTTGCTGCTAGGATTTAGCCTACTTTGCTTACTTGGTCTTTACTTTGAGTGGGAACCTTGGGTTTTGTTGTTGGTTGTGTTTGGGTGGATGATGGGACTGGTAGTGGTAGTGGTAGTGGTATTGTGTACGTGTACTACATCTGTAGCGTGCTAGAGTAGATGGTAGAACGCGTGGTTCAATATAACTAGGTCGTACCGACACGTATCCCAATTCCAACAGGACCTCAAAGAATCAAATTAATAGAACAGAAAAACAAAACAGCCCAGAATAACTGGGTAAGGGGAAATAAAGAGAAAGCAGAAATCAATAAATCACGACGCAAACACCTGCGTCTCAAACTGACACCCCGCCACCTCCAACCGATCAATATACTCCTGGCCCAGCGACGCAGGCGTGACGATCCCGCCCCGCGACACCCGCCGCACCTTGTCCTCATTCTGGAGAATAGTCATGGCCGCCTCGGCGACCAGCACGGCCGTGAACACGTACAGGTGGCCCTCGTACTTCATCTTGCCGAGGACGCGGGCCGGATGGCGCGCGGGCTGGTCGGCCGTGGCGACGGCGCGGTACTCGACGCGGTCGTTGAGCGAGTCTTCCATGGCCGGCCCACTGCCCGGGGCGTAGACGAGCTGCTTCAGCAGCCAGCGGACGGGCGGGAGTAACAGGAGCAGGAGGGCGACGCAGAGGGCGACGTGCACGAAGACGGCGACGAGGGCGTTGCGCACGCGCAGATACTGCTGGAAGTGGAAGCGGGGGCCGTAGAACTCGGGCATCAGGGTGCTGCTGCGGTGGACGATCGCCGCGTCGGTGATGCCCGTTGGGGAGGTCGTCAGCGTGCCCATGTCGGGGACGGAGCGCACGCCGAGGAGCCTGCTGGTGAGGGGCGCGCGCGTGATGTCCTTGGGGGGTGTTGCGGCGACGAGCGCGAAGGGGTTCATGGCTTTGGACATGTCGGATAGGGAGGTGGTGTCGAGGGATGTGAGGATTGTGCTGAGGGTGCCGCCGCTTGCGCCGGAGCTTCTGTATCGTTGTTAGTGTGGAAGATGGATTTATAGATATGGAGGTCAAATGAGTACTTCAGCTCTTCAATGGCGCAGATCACATCCCGGGTATGACAGGAGAGCTCCTCGCGCACGCGCTTGACCACGCGCCAGGCCAGCATGTCGGCTGGGGCGCTTTCCACGCCGACGGACGGGATGATCTGTATGTGTTAACAGATACATATACACATATCGATGCTTGAGGAAGAACCCACAATCGCATCGTTCGATTTGGCGGTCTCGTGGTACTTTCCAATGATGCTCTTCACCCACGGGGTCTCTCCCGTTCTACGCCATTAGCATTTACATCGAGAGACAGAGGGATCAAACTCACACATCAACATAATGCGTTCCACTGCTGGCGCATGCCTCCACCACCGGAGTCGAGTACAAATGATAAGGACCCACAGCGTTGATGATGAGTCGCGTTCGCTGGGCCAGCGCCTGCAGCTCCGGGCCGTTGAGCTGGACAGCCAACACCGCTGGAAGAGTCAGCACAGCACACACACTCCCCGCGTCAAGTCAAAAAAGGCATACCCGGCTCGTCACGATCCGGATTGAGCTCCTTCAGCTCCCGGGCAATTTGCTCAACCTTGGAGAGCGAACGGCCAGCCAAGGCCCACTTGAAGTTCGTGGGGAAATGTTTGACAATATGCTGGGCGGTTAATTTGCCCGTGTAGCCCGTTGGGCCGTGAAGGACCAAATCGAATTCCCTGGACATAGTGGCTGGTGTTTAAAATGAACGGTAAATAAAGTCAGTATAGCAGTGGATCTGGTGCTTGAGACAATGATGTAAGTGCGCGTAACTCGCCGGATGCCTCAGTCCTCCACCGCATGCGGACACCAGTCAGGTGATCTGTCAGACTTAGTACGGAGTACAGACTATGAGGACGGAGTACGGAGTAGGGAGTGGTACGGAGGATTCAATGAAGAATATTTACAGAGGACTCCGTCGAAAGAATAGATACTGTACACTGTAATCATCATGATCGAGATCTACTGCTTTTATTGGTGTACTTGAGTTATAGTCTTGGCAGCAGCAGTATTACAAGGTAGTCCATAGTATGGACTTGCAGGCAGCCAGGCACTGACAGGTACGTGTACAACGGGCTCATGATGACGATTACTAATTGTGGATTATGCAGCTGACATCATCGGCCCTAGTGCGAACAGTGCCGTGCATCACCTGACCGCCAAGGACGGAGCCCTAAGCGAGCCCACCCACAATCGGAACTCTCTTGAAAGCCTCACGCTCACTTTTGACTGTCCGCTTTGTATCTCTTCTTCGACCTCATCAGCCTTAGCCAAGATGACGAAGCGCACCAAGAGTAAGTCTTTCCTTTGCTATCCTTGCATCCAAAGATTCGGATTATCGCGAGAAAAAAAGAAACCGCAAAACGCAAAGAATGAAAGAACAATGCTAACCATCCGCAGAGGTCGGAATCACGGGTAAATATGGTACCAGGTAGGATTTGACGCCCTTCCCTTTGGAAATCTCGACTGCGATTCTCGAGCGACAAGTTCCCGATCTCGAATGATTCCGTTGAATGATCCAACCCGCCCGAACATGTCATTAACGCGCTTCACCACAGATACGGTGCCTCCCTGCGTAAGCAGGTGAAGAAGATGGAAATCTCCCAGCATGCCCGCTACGTCTGCACCTTCTGCGGTAAGAACACCGTCAAGCGCAAGGCCGTCGGTATCTGGGAGTGCAAGGGTTGCAACAAGGTCGTTGCCGGTGGCGCCTACGCTGTCTCGTAAGTTCTCAATTGTCTAGGTTTCTCGTTGTCTTGACCTGTCCCGGTTTGACGGCCTCGGTCGTGGGTCCGTCAAGACGACGAGTTGGCCATGCGAGTGACACGTACTGACTCCAACTGTTTCACAGCACCCCCGCTGCCGCTGCCACCCGTTCCACCATCCGCCGTCTCAGAGAAATCGCGGAGGTTTAAATGTGATGATGGGATTCCTTTACTGTTACGTTTGAAATAAAAAAAAGACCAATTTTTTTTTCACAAGATCTCGAAAAGCTTTCCGTAACGAATGTGCCATTCGCTTCTTTTTTCCCTTTTCCTTATTCGACCGATCCAGAGCCCTGCCTCGGCCACCTCGGTTTCTACCAATAGACTCGACACGTCGGTGACTTCGTATTCCAGATCGTCCTATGGATCGGGCACATGACCCTGCAAGTGCATTTTCTTTTGATCTCGGCATTCTGTCAACACGTGAAACTGTCGTCTGATAGGATCCGGGTGGTTGGTGTGTCCCGTGCGATCAACCTCAGGGGATAATGTGTCGCTCCAAGAATTCCTCGTTCGACTTGCGCTTTGACGCATGAAATCTTCTACCACCTCACTACCACCGAGGGTACGATCTCTCATTTTTCACGCTGTCTATCAACTCCACCCGACGGTATGGTTACCACTTTGGACTGGCTAGTGTTGTAATACTACGTAGGAATCTTGTAGTCGGTGGTTCATGCGATGTCCACCCTGGAGATTCTGATTCTGATTGTAAGCTTTCTCCCTGTTCAACCGGTAAGGTTGGTGCGACAGACTACTACGAAAGAGGGGGTTCGAGTTCATCTGCAAGGGCACATTCACTCACATATTCCACCTATTTTTTCTTTGCTTAAGAAACTTGTAAAATTTCTATTTCTCCTTTCCTCTCCTCCTGCCTATTTCTCTACCTATTTCTCTACTATCTATCTACCTATCTATCTGCCTATTTCATCACAGGTGGTGTCCACTGATTTGTTCTGATGATGGCGGTCACGTTGGTCGCCCAGACTGTTTTGCGTTAGACTGGATTACCAGATCCACCTTCAAAAGGCCGCCGGCTTGCTTTCTCCCCACATCACTTCTCCCTTCTCTCTCTCTTTCTCTCTCTCTCTCTCTTCCCTAGTCCTCTACTCACCTCTCTTCTCGACTGCCTGTTGCTCTTCATGCCTTCTTACACTTCTCTTGCTGACAACCCTGGCACCTCCTTTTCCGTTGATGTCCGACACCTGTATTGTGTGCTTAGGAGACCTTGGCGAAGGCGCCAGCGATCCTCGTGCCGTCGTCCCCGTTCCCGCGCCAAGACCTGACCTGGCTGTTGATGGCAAGTCCAGTGTCCCTTCGTCCAAGGCTGATGACGTGGATGGCTCCGAGGATGCTGGTCAGATCGCCCAGTTACTCCCCTGTGGTCATATCTTACATAACAATTGCTTGAAGCCGTGGGTCGAGCGAGCCAACAGCTGTCCGATATGTCGCCGCAGCTTCAATCTCGTCGAGCTGAGCGAGAGGCTTGGAGGTATTCTAATATTCATCGTTTCCCTGATCGGAGCATTCGCTAACTGTCCATGTGGTAGGCCCCGTTCTTTCGTCCTATGCCGTGCAGGACCGTGTCCAAGTGGCCGAGGTCGATCCCTCGATGATCATGGAGTTCGTTGAGGATGACCTCGCCGAATACCAACCGTGTCCCGTCTGTGGCGATGCCGACAATGAGGAGCTGCTGCTACTCTGCGATCGGTGCGATGCCCCTTATCACACCTACTGCGTGGGCCTCGACGAGGTACCGTCGGGGCCGTGGTACTGCGCTCGGTGTGAGGCCCAGCGGGCTTCAGGCCCGGCTCCCCTCGCCACCGACAGTGCGGCTCGCCCCCAGGAACGGCGGGGTCGTCGCACTCGGGCGCAGCAGCGCCGGATACAGAACCGGAGCCAGCTGAACTCCCTTCACTGGGCCCAGGTGTGGCAATCCGTCTGGGATCATCTCAACATCGACTTGGACTTCCCCTTCGATGATGACCGGGCCGCGGAGCGTGTTCGGCAGCAACAACGACGCGAGCAGGCGAACCAGCGGGAGTTCCGTGCCTGGCAGCGGCGCTTTGAAGTGGCGGAGCGCCAGGGAGCGCCCCACCGTTTTCGGGACGCCGCCGCTTTGCTCGACATCGAAGCCCCCCGTCCGTCGCGGCCCCGTGCCCCTCGGGAACCGACTCCAGAGCCCGAATCCCTGGAGGAGATGCGGGCGTGGAACGCCTTTGAGCGGGCCCGGGAGATTGAAAATGAGCCGGGCGCGTCGAGGAAACGAAAAGAGCCGACCATGTCACCATCACCCGAGCCGGCAGAGCCGCAGCGGAAGCTCAAACGCCCGCGGACCCGCAGAGCCCAGGATCTCGCCGTTCTGGCCTCGCAGAATGGGGAGTCATCGCGAGCGGCCGGTGCCCAGATGTCGGCCCGCATCAACGCGGAGCCTTCGACCGAGCCGAGTTTCCTTCAGTCCCTCTTGAAGGAAGTTGAGGACGCGTCAACCTCGGGGGAGCCTCACTCCCATGTCCCTTCTGCCGCCCCGACCGACCATGCGACCCCCGGGCTGTCCTCCCCGTCGATTTCTCCCGCACCGTCTAACCACTCCTCCCCTCACCTCTCCTCCACGACGCCCCCTCCGCCCCACTCCCGCAGCCGGGCCATCTCTCCATTGCGTCTCTCGTCGCCCGTCGACCCGCCCTCTCCACCCTTCTCGCCGGACGTGTCACCGTCTGGCTCTCGTCAGCAGTCCCGAGGCTCACCGCCCCTCCCAACCGACGGTGCACGGCGTCGGGTCCCTCGCTCTGCATCGCGTTTGTTCGCGGGCCGGGCAAACGACAGTTCACCCACCCGACCGGGCCCCGCCTTGGAGGTCAAATCCGACATTCAGAAACTGGTGGGAACCGCACTGAAACCGTACTATCGCTCCAAGATCATCAGCAAACCGGAGTACACCGAGATCAACCGCACCATCTCGCGAAAATTCTACGAGCGCGTGGGCGACGTGGAGACACTAGATCCGGAAGCGAGGGCGAACCTCGAGCGATCCGCCAAGGACGAAGTCGACCAGGCGGTCGACAACGCGCGACAAGCGAAACAGCAGACTGACGGCATCGTCTCTGCCGATGATCATACTTCTTGACGTGTCTTTCTTGCTTTTTCTCCTCTTTTTTTCTTGCTAGCGTTTCAGCGATCTGGTCGGGTTTGGATAGGCCTTGGCGTTCGATAACGAATTGATGTCCGGGAATCGTGTAGGATAGGTATGGATCTGGATATAGGATACCCAATGGGAATCTGGACGGTTGTTCCATCTTGGTGACTGTATAGTTGCCTTGAGATGTTTTATTACTATTCATGATTCCATTCCCCTTTCAGCTTGTGGCTGTAGACCATTATCTTTGTATAGGCAGTAGAGTGTTTCCCTTCTGCATCGGGCAGGATAACCACAATCCTTTGTTAGACTACACCTGGGTCCTCGATGATAGCGCGCCTGGTAGTCTGGTAGCCTGAGCCTGGTTGCCTGACAGCCTGGCACTTGACACTTGACAGCCCAGGAAGTCACCACCTTAGACAAGTTCCACCATCATCGAGTTCTCCATCCATCCATCGTTTAGACACTTCTCCCTATACTGCCTGCCTTCCTGGAAAGTTATCTCGCCAACCATATTGCCAACCATATTAAAACATAGACAAAGCTGCGTCACGTACACTACCTGGGTCCATCCCTGCCTGCCTGCCTGCGAGTCACAGCGCTAAACAGTGCGCAATCCAGGATACGACATGCCCCAAAGCTGGTGTGCCATGTCTGATGGATAGTGTCCTAGTATCGGTTCGGCGACAGAACGGGTGCGTTATAGATACGACAAGCTGAATCTTTACATCAAATTGATTCAGAGGTTAAGACCCCTGCCTATGGCCCAACCTGATCGGGAGCGAGACCTCTCCATCTGCCGATAGACCCAGTCACGCCGGAAAGAGAAAGAATGGCCAAAAAAAAAAAAAGCCAAGTCAACGGGAAGAGTGGAGACAGACCCAGACTATCATAACCCAGCTGGAAATCACTAAGAGCGAGCTGCCGATCGGGCTCGGACTTTGCTAAGAGCGAGGCTGCAGCCTTCCATGGCAATTGTTACTTTATTCGTCTGGGTGCGTTTACTTCCAGGTGGTGTTATGATGTGATTATCCAGCTTGCGCCGTTCATAAGTCCGATATACGGAGATATGCCTCGCACTGTCTCGCCAATGTTCGGACAACCAGGTTCTCGGAATTAACCGTCTCGTAGGTCCGCCCGAAGCACCTTGAATGTCTTGATTAATCATTGGATTTCTCTAGTTCATCGCCGTTTTGGGGCGATAGGCCGATGGATGGGAGAGCGGAATCGGGATATTCCCTCTTCTGGGGTGTCTGCTTGACTAATGCTTTATCTATGGATATTGGTTTCGATTTTACAGCTCCACCCTGGAAAGCTTGTCAATATATAAGTGTTTGGAGGTCCTGGCTGAGTACAAAAATGATCCACGCTACTGATTGAACTGTTTTCTTATAATAATCTTGTCCGACAGTCTAACACGGTGTGCGATGGCTGAACAACACCCCGCTGGACACAGCCCGGGGGACCTCCCCAGACAGAACATGCCCACCCAGGCATCAGAAACCACCCTCAGCGCAGCCCCTAACGACCCGGCAGGGGCAGGGGAAAATCGGGACATGGAAAAGGGAGCTCCAGACTCGGATGCCCCCGCGAAAGACCCCAATTTGGTGGAATGGGAGGGCCCTGACGACCCCGAGAACCCGCAGAACATGCCGGCCTGGCGGAAATGGGTCTTGACCATGACTCTCTCGTCCATGACCATGTGGATCACCTTCGCCAGCAGTGTCTTCTCGACGGCCACGGTCGTCACGTCCAAGGAATACAACGTCTCGACCGAGGTCATGACCCTGGGGACCAGTCTCGTGGTGTTTGGCTTCGCGCTGGGCCCGCTGGTCTGGTCGCCGCTCTCGGAGCTCTACGGACGCAAGCTGCCGCTGTTCCTCGGATACGCCGTGTTTGCCATCTTCCAGATCCCTGTGGCCGTGGCGCAGAACCTCTACACCATCATGATCTGCCGCTTCCTGATGGGCGTGTTCGGCTGCTCGCCGCTGGCCGTCGTCGGCGGCGCCATGGCTGATTTCTGGGACCCCGTCGACCGCGCCGTGGCGATCGCCATGTTCTCATCGGCGACCTTCGTCGGACCGGTGCTGGGCCCCATCGTGGGCGGGTTCCTGACGGATTCATACCTGGGATGGCGGTGGACGGCCTGGATCACGCTGATCGCGTCGGCCTCGTTCGGCCTGCTGGCCCTGTTCATCGTTCCGGAGACCTATGCCCCGGTCCTTCTCCAGCGGCGCGCGGCTCGTCTCCGCCGCGAGACCGGCAACTGGGCGTACCACTCCTTCCTCGACGAGCACCGGCCGACGGCCTCGGAGATCGTCAACAAGTACCTCCTGCGACCGATCCAGATGCTCTTCCTCGAGCCCATCCTCCTCCTGATCACCATCTACCTTGCCCTGATCTACGGCATCCTCTACCTCTTCTTCGAGGCCTACCCGGTCTCATTCCAGGAGCAGCGCGGCTGGACCAACGGGGGCATCGCGGGGCTGCCCTTCATCGGCATCATGGTCGGGGTCCTCTGCGGCGCGGCCCTCATCATCTACCAGACCAAGACGCGCTTCGCGCGCCAGCTGGTCAAAAACGGCCACGTGGTGCCCGAGGAGCGACTGATCCCGATGATGATCGCGTCGGTGCTCCTCCCGGCGGGACTGTTCTGGTTCGGCTGGACCTCCGACCGCAACATCTCGTGGGTGCCGCAGGTGATCGCGGGCGTGCCCATCGGCATGGGCATCCTGGTGATCTTCATGCAAGGGCTGAACTACATCATTGACGTGTACATGATGTTCGCCAACTCGGCCATCGCGGCCAACACGCTCGTCCGGAGTGCTCTGGGTGGGGCGTTCCCGCTCTTCGCCGTCCAGATGTATCACCGGTTGGGGGTGAACTGGGCGTCGAGTCTGCTGGGATTCATCACCATCGCGATGATTCCGATCCCGATTGTGTTTTATGTGTATGGGAAAAGGATCCGAGCTATGAGCAAGTTTAGCCCGAAGTTCTAGGGGTTTGCATTGCATCGTAAGGGCATCATGGCGTTTCTCACTTCTACCCTGTTCTGGAATTAGCATATAGTCATAATATAGATCAATAATGCACTTCTTGTTGTAACAAGAAACGGTCGACACGATAATCCCGATAACACACGCGACGCGTCCCGAAGCGGAGGCGGTCAGTCCGAATCATCATAACCAATAATCAAGCATCGTCTTCTTCTTCCACATCTCCATCTCCGTTCCAATTCCCTCGATCTTTCCCTCTTTCTCTTTTTTTTTTCTTACTTTTCCCTATCTCTCGCGTATCTGTCTGTCGACTGATGCGTTGACGGCGAGTTCATCTCCCAGTCTTGGCGTCCCCTGTCGATTCCCCGAGTCGTTCAAACCCCTCTCCATCACCCACCACCACATGCTACTTTAAGTCAAATCGATCCCTCCCCTTTTCGTACGATGCCTTCGCGCACTCGTCAAAGCGCCTCGAACACGGAGGTCGCGGAGCCCGATGACCCCTCCGCGCTTCGTCACCTCAAATTCAACGAACCGCTGACCTGGCGCGTCGGACGTCAGGCCATTCCCATTGCCGATCTGCTGCAACGTCTGCAGACGCTGTCGCAGGAGCTTCGCAAGCTGGAACAGGAAGAGGTGGAGAAGGACTCGCTGAAAAAGGTCTCGCAGGAACTGGCGACCGCACAGCTGTTGGCACATAAGGATAAGGGCGTCCGCGCCTGGGTGGCTTGCTGTGTTGTGGATGTCTTGCGACTGTGCGCTCCGGACGCGCCGTTTACCGCGAATCAGTTGAAGGTATTCTCTTTCCTTACAATTGGGGCTGTTATGCGAGTACTGACCGTGTAGGATCTCTTCACCTGCATCGTCACCTTCATCATCCCCACCCTGGGTGACCCCTCCAACACCTACAATGCGCAGCATATCTACGTGTTGAACTCCCTCGCGGAGGTCAAGAGTGTCGTCTTGATGACCGACCTGGACCAGCCCGACTCATTGATCATTCCGCTGTTCACCACCTGCTTTGACATCGTCTCCGGCTCCTCGAAAGCCTCGACCGGCGAGGAGATCGCCAAGAACGTCGAATTCGACATGACCCGGCTGCTGGTCACCGTCATCGACGAGACCCCCGTTCTGGCCCCCGAGGTGGTCGACGTGATCGTGGCCCAGTTCCTGCGCGTCGATCCCCGCGTCGTGGACAACCCCAGCCGCCGACCGCGGCGCGGCGATGCACCAGTCGATACAAAGCAGGGGACCCTGCTTTTGAAGGATTACCCGCCCGCCTATAACATGGCCAAGGCCATCTGCCAGGCGTGCCCAGAGCGCATGACCAGCCACATCAGCCAGTATTTCAACAACGTCATCATCGACGCCTCGGCTTCCGTCAAGTCCGGTTCCAACGGCATGTCCAAAGGCGCCCAGCGCCGACCCAACCTCGACGAGTCCGACGAAGAGGGCGAGGACATCAAGGAACTGAGCAAGGCCCACCGTCTGATTCGGGAGCTGTGGCGCGCCTGTCCGGACGTGCTGCAGAACGTCGTCCCCCAGCTGGAGGCCGAGCTGTCGGCGGAGTCCATCTCCCTGCGCCTGCTGGCGACGCAGACCATCGGCGACCTGACAGCGGGCATCGGGGTTGCCGGTCCACCCCCGCCCCCGCCAATGGACCCAGCCGCCTACCCGCCGGTGACGCTGGCAGACTACGCGCAGACCATCCCACCGCCGAACATCCTCGTCTCCCCCTTCTCCCCCAAGCCGTTCTCCCAAGCACACAGCTCCACCTACGAGAGCTTCCTTAGTCGCCGCCTGGACCGGTCCGCCTCCATCCGCGCCGCCTGGGTCACAGTCGTCGGCCGCATCCTCATGACCTCAGCCGGCGGCGCAGGCCTCAGCGACTCCGAGGAGCAGATGCTCATCGGACACCTGGCGTCAATGCTGCGGGACGCAGACGAGAAAGTGCGAGTCGCCGCCGTCGACGCCGTCAGCACATTCGGCCTCACCCACATCGTCAACAAGCTCGGCGCCAGTGGCGGCTTCTCCGACGCGGACTCACCACTCTTCATCCTCGCCGAGCGCGTCAAAGACCGCAAGCCGCAAGTGCGCGAGCACGCCATGAAAACACTCGCCCAAGCGTGGGCCGTCGCAGCAGGTGAAATCGAGCAAGACCACGAGCAGGTAACGGCACTCCTCAAGGACGGACCGTCCAAGATATTCGACGCCTTCTACACCAACGACCCCGACATCCACGTGTCCATCGACCGCGTCCTCCACGAGATCCTCCTCCCGCTCAACTATCCCCCTATCAAGGGCAAGCTGTCGCGCAGCAGCTCGACGCAGTCTTCGCTTAAGGGCAAGGAGCCGGACGGGGATGCTGAGGTTGATGTTGATATGATCCGGGTCCGGCGGATCCTTACGCTTCTGAAGGGTCTGGATGATAAGGCGAAGAAGGTTTTCTTTGCGCTGCAGGCGAGGCAGATCTCAATGAGGACTGCTTTGACCATTTACTTGCAGGCTTGTGAGGATTATAACGTACGTACATCCAGATCTCGACTCTCATTCCCCTTTATTTCTTTGTCATGATCTATGTCGACTTCTACGTCAAAATCTATGTCATCTATGAATCTACGTGCTAACAGACGCAGGGTGGCGTCATCGAGAAAGACGAACAGCAGATCAAGGCCCAGCTCACGCGAGTCATCGACACCCTGTCCAAAACCCTCCCCGATCCGTCGCGCACGTCGGCCGACCTCTGGAAGTTCGCCAAGGTGCACGATCGACGCAGCTACCAGCTGATGCGGTTTGCGATGGCCGCCATCAGCGACCACCGCACGGTGGTCAAGGCGATCAAGGAGCTCTCGCGACGAATTCAAAGCGCCAACAACTCGCCGCTGCTGGAGTCCCTCACTCCCCTGCTGTACCGCGCCGGCTCCCTGATCTTCAACAAGAGCCACATCCCGGCCATCATCAGCCTGTCGCGCACGGGCCAGCACGGGCTGGCGAACCCCGCCCACGAGATGCTGCAGGAGATCTCGTCGCGCAACCCGGAGGTGCTGGAAGCACAGGTGCAGGAGATGTGCAAGGACCTTGAGTCGCAGGCGCCCAAGGCGGCCACGACCAACGCCTCCGGCACGGAAGAGATTCTCAAGGCATGCTCCGGGTTTGCCAAGAAGCTGCCGTCCAAGCTCCCCAAGGAACGGCGGTTCTACCAGGCGCTCGTGGCCTACGCGCTGTACAGCCCGTCGCCGCGGGCCGCCAAGCACGCCGTCACGATCCTCATGGCCACGGCCGACAAGCGCGAGATGTACGCGCGGGACCTGGTGCACAAGTGCGTCGCGAAGTGGAAGTACGGGGCAGACCGGTTCCTGACCAAGTTGGCCACCCTGTCCCAGCTGAACCTGCTGGCGCCGCAGGAGGCGGACGAGGAGAGCGACGCGATCGTCTCGATCGCGGTGAACCAGGTGCTGCTGACGAATCGATCGCCGCAGCCGGACGCGGGGTACTCGTGGGCGGAGACGACGGACGACGAGACGGCGGCCAAGGAATGGGCGCTGCGGATCATCGTCAACCGGCTGCGGGCGAAGGGGGGATCAGACGGGGAGGCCGACTTCCGCGCGCACGCCGAGCCCGTGTACGACACGCTGAACAAGCTCGTCGCGGGAGAGGGCGAGCTGTCGAAGAAGAAGGACACGCCGGCGGGGCAAAAGTCCCGACTGCGCCTGCTGGCAGCCAAGTCGCTGCTCAAGCTGTGCGCGTCCAGCACGCTGTGCGACCAGCTGCTCACGCCGGCGCACTTCAACGCGATCGCGCTAGTAGCGCAGGACCCGCTGCCCCCCGTGCGGACGGGCTTCATCGGACAGCTGAAGACAAAGCTAGCTCAGAAGTCGCACCTCAGCCACCGGTGGTACACTATCGCGTTCCTCCTAGCGTTTGAGCCGGAGCCGAGCCTGAAGGGCAGCACGCTGACGTGGCTGCGCTCGCGGGCAGCCTTCTTCCAGGGCGGCGGCAACAGCAGCAACAAGAAGAACGAGCCGGTGATGGAGTCGATCTTCTCACGCCTGCTGTCGCTCCTCGCCTACCACCCTGATTACCCACCCGCGGGTCTAGACGCCGCAACGCAGCTGACCGACCTGGTCGACTTCGCGCGGTACATCCTATTCTACCTGCAAGCGGTGGCAAACGAGCACAACCTGTCTCTGATCTTCCACGCCGCGCAGCGGGTCAAGCAAGCGCGCGACGGGATCACCAAGTCCGACGAGGTCTCAACGCGGCTGCACACGCTGTCCGACCTGGCGCAGGCGACGATCCGCCGGTTTGCGGACGTCTACGCGCAGCAGCGGCGGCTGGGCGGCGCTTCGGGCGGGGCTAGTATCCTCGAGGCGTATCCGGGGAAGATGGGGATCCCGAGCTCGATCTTCGCGCCGATGGGCAGTCATCGGGAGGCGCAGGAGGTTGCGGATAAGAGCTTTCTGCCGGAGGATGCGGATGATCTGCTGGATCGGATGGTGCGGTCTGTCATGAAGTCTGGGGTGAGCAAGAAGCGGAAGACGGATGAGATGGGTGGGGGGGGGACAGGGACGGGGAGGTCGAGGGGGTCGAATCAGTCGAGGGGGTCGAAGCGGGTGCGTGTGGAGGGGAAGAAAGAGTCGAAGGCGAGTGGGCGAGTGAAGAGAAAGACGGATGAGGATGATTATGAGGAGGGTGGAGCCAGGGGAATTGCTGGGGGGAGTCGACGTCGAAGTAACCGGGGGGGATCTCGACGGGTGAGTTATGCGGAGGATAGTGACGCGATGGATGAGGATGAGGAGCCGGAAGAAGAGGACGAGAACGAATCCAGTCAAGAAGAAGAAGAGGAGGAAGAGGAGGAGGAAGAAGAAGAAAAAGAAGAAGAACAGCCCCAACCACGCACGAAAGCGAAAGCGAAAGCGAAAGCAAAAGAAAGTGAAGAGAAAGAAACGCTCGACTCCGACAACGACAGCGACCTGACTCCCCCGCCAGAGTCTCCAGCATCATCATCCCCATCACCACCGCCAGCATCGCCGCCACGACGAACCCCCCAACGAACACCACAGAGTGGAAGGGGGAAGAAGAAGACGACGCCGAGCAGTCTACCGACGAGGCGATCGTCACGGCGATAGTCATATGCACCTCTGGCTTTCTGGCTTTGAAGGATGTGTGTGTATGTGTTGTGTTGCTCTTCTCTGTACTTTTCTTATTCTTTTTTTCTATTTCGAGGTTCCATGTTCGATTCTTGTCTATCCTTATTTTCTTTATTTCCCTTATTTCCCTTGTGTTTTGTTTTCTCCTGTCTGTCTACTATCATGTTGTTACGTATGTAGTTGATTGTGATTGTGTTGATTGTTCAATGTGAAATTGTATACCCATTTTACTATTTATTCAGTTGCATTTATTATTGTGCATTTATTGATCATAAATGGATGAATGGATGAAGATATAGTGCGTCTACCTGAGCTGCAGTAGTAAAGTAGTAACCTAGTAGCCTCCTTATAGCCAGCTATAGCTACAGCTATAGACAGCTACACTACAGCTATGACTAGATAGAATCTCAATAGTTCAATGGTTCAGGCTCGATAGCTCGATAGCATGATCATGATACCTACTTCAAACAGCTAGCGATTCAAGCAAAAGCAAAAGCAAAAGCAAGTCAAGCAAGTCAAGCAAGTCAAGCAAGTCAAGCAAGTCAATCAAGTCAATCAAGTCAAGCAAGTCAAGCAAGTCAAGCAAGTCAAGCAAGTCAATCAAAAACTACAACAGAACCTAAAAAAAGCCACCGCAAAAACAAGCAAGGCAAGACAAATCAAACCCAAGCACGCAAAACCCAGCAACACCCCCCAAACCCCCACAAATGCAGCCCATCCCAGGACGAAAAAGACAAAGCAGCAAAAGAATCCCCACCAGCCGTTTCTCATCATGTTGATACTTCCTAGCTCCCTCCTAGCACGCTTGCTTGGGAAGACAGCGTCTAGATCACCGGGGTGGCTTTCCAAGACGGTTTCTCTATCCTTCCACACAGGTGGGATGAACACACACCGTAGAGGGATCCAGCAGGACCAGGCTACTAGGGTTAGGAGGTTGGTGATTGGGGGGTAGAGGATTGTTGTCTTTAGGTCGATTTGGGCGCCTGGTGAGAGAATGGAGTAGGCTGTGCCGATTAGGAGGAGGATGAGACTGGTCAGGTGGAGGGTGATGATGGGTGGGATATTGTGGAAATGGTGTTTTGGGGAGTGGTTCCAGGTGTTGTAGAGGGAGCCTGTTACGGATGATTTGGTTTTGTTTCTGCTTTCAGGTTTGTTTCTGCGTGTGAGTTCTGAGAAGAGGACGTGTATGGAGGAGACGAGGTTTCCTGCGAACTTAGTACATTGCATCAACAGTAAAATAGAGAAGAGGAAGACATACCCCCCGCCAACCAAACGCCCTCAAAATGCGCAAAAACACCCACTCGAAATCCCGCCCCTGCAACTCTCATTCCCTCCAGCAACCACATCAGGGCTAATACCCAACACGCTAACACCGTTTGCGCGCGTACTGCTACCCCCGGGACTAGGGCCTTCCCCGAGCACACAGCCAACGGCACACCCAGCAGCGCCACGACACGGTAGAAGTGACTCCACAGATGGCGAAAGCCTTGAAAGGCGATGCGGGGACGGAGAGTATCAGGGAGGTTGTTACGGGGTCCGTCCCGCAAGGCGAGTAGGCCGGCAGCCAGACCAGACGCCCAGCGGGATTGCTGGAAGGCGTATCCTTTGAGCGAAGGCGGGGCGAGTCCGTACTGGATGACTTCCGGGAGGACAAGCACGTGGTAGTCTGCGTGGTGGAGGGCGCAGGAGAGCATGATGTCTTCTGTGGAGGTGAGGTTCGAGAAGCCGTTTATGGTGGTTAGGGCGGAACGGCGGACGACGAAGCCTGACCCCGTGGCCATTGCTAGACCGTAGGCGTTGAGACTGGGGGTGAGGAGCTGGACGTACCAGGTGAAGCTTTGGTGGAGGGGGTCTCCTGGGGGGATGTTGTAGTAGTGCTGGGGGGAGCCGACGAGGGCGACGCGCGGGTTGGTGAGGAGGTGGGGGAGGGTGGCGCGGAGGAAGTCCGGGTGGGCGAGGGTGTCTGCGTCGAGGACGGCGATGAAGGGGCGGGCTTGGGGAGGGTGGAGAGGGCGTGGTTGAGGTTGCCGGCTTTGTCGAAGTCGGTGGTGTTTGTCTTTGGGCCGCGCGTGTGGTAGTGGATGTTGCGATGGTTGGGAAGGTTGAGTGTGGCTATGGCGGTGCGGAGGACGGGTGAGTTGGTGTCGTCTAGCAGGACGATGCGGGCGTGGGAGGAGGGATAGTGGATGGCGCGGGCAGTGCGGACGGTCTCGATGATGATGTCGTCGGCTTCGCCGCAGCAGGGGATGAGGATGTCGATGGTGGGGAGGTCAGCCTGGTTCGCATTGGTGATGTTGAGACGGAGCTTCTTGGGGGATGCGATAGGGGGGCGATGGACGGCGCGGGCATAGAGCCAGCCTGGGTCTTGAAGGGATTCAGCTGTAAATATTAGTATGTAGACAGAGATGGAGATATAGACATGGAAGTACGGTTTTAGAGATAACAAGAAAGGAAGTACCTAGAAAAACACACTCCAACCCCCAAACCAACCACATCCAACCGTTCGTCTTCGCGAGTAGCAGACAGACTAGACGCGTGAAGAGATAGACAGCCGCCATGGACAGGGCAGCTTTGAGAGTCCGGCCTGCGTTGTTCAGGGCGAAGCGAGTGAGAAGGGGATGGTGAGTTCTTTTGGGGAGTTCATCTGATTTCCAATTTGTGGTGGAAGACATGTTGATAGGGAGTGTGCTGTAGATAGTACTGTAGATAATACTGTAGATAGTACTGTAGATAGTTATGCGTAGACCGTTGATGTAGTGTGTCGAGGATGTAGATATTGTCGATGGATAGAAGGTATATGGAGAGAAGATATGGGTGTCCAGGAATAGGAAGAGACAGATGTGTACAAGAGATAGAGAGACAGAAGGAAGAGATAGAGAGAAGAATACGAAAAGATCAGGACCTCAGTTGGAAGCCATATCATATCTAATTCTATTCACTCATCTACATACCAACAAGGACATCCGGAATCACAGTTGCCATCCACGGATTGTCCACTTCTCATAAGGCCTGTGAATCCTAACCACTGGACCAGACTAGGCTGACAGAAGCAAACTATACTGACAGCACTAACAAATCAAGTAACATATCTGAATGACTACATTAGATCAAGTCAAGAGTTGAGAGAGGAAGTCAGGATAGATAGACAGATAGGCACGATAAGTAGATCTAGACCTCATAGTTTGATATCTACCAGATTATACACGTCTTGCAGTGTTGGCGAGTAACAGTACCATACTATACTACACTATACTAACAGAAGAGTAAATGATATACTATTCACTGGCCATCTCTATCTCATGGTGTGTGGATATCAACTGCGGGATTAGACTAGACAAGATCAGGCTAGACTTACAGCATTACACTAGACTGCACACACTGCATAGCAGTGACAGACCAGCAAGTGATATATCAATCACTCTTGAGCCCAGTTCCATGTCACAACAAGACAAGGATCAAGAGACCAGGGCACCGTCTATCACGTGACATACAGGTCATGAGGATGGATTCAGCAGTACTAACCACAGCAACCACAGCTAACCAACAGAAACACAAAAAAGTAATGATAAGAAACAAGAAGGAAAAATAGATCATGAAACGCTCTATCAAACAACTAACAAAACTATACAACGAGCTTAGCTCCCGCCCCTCGCCAACCGCTCCTCCACCCGCTCCTTATGCTGCCGATTCCGCAAATGCACCTCAAAGTTATCCACCGTCGTCGCCGGGCCAGGCGTGTAGAGTTTGCCCGGGCAGTCGTGGCAGCGGATGCGCGGCAGGTACTGGTATTTGAGCTTGTGGCCGGATGGGTTGTTGGCGTTGGCTACGGGGAGCATGGTCTCTGTGTCGACTGCTGTGTAGCGCATTACGCCTTCGAAGGAGTCATTGGGGTAGGATCGTTTCAGTTTTGCCAGTCCGGCAGCGAGCCAGTTTGGGGGTGGGGGCTATCTGGGTTAGTCTAGCACTTTGAATATGAAATAGAATGGGGGAAGGGAAAATGAATGGTTAAATAAAGGAAAAAAAGGGGAGAGATGACTCACCCCTGGCACCCCCGGCTGGGGAGGCTGTGTCGCATCAATCGCCCCAATCTGATGCGCCGGGATCGGTCGTTGCTGGAGTTGTCCCTCTAAATGCGGCGTGGCCACTGCTGCTGATAACCCCTGCGACGGAGTCGGCGGCAGCGGCGTGCTCTGCTGGGACGACGGCGCAGCGGTAGTGGTCGGCGCGGCGGGCTGCGTCAGGAGCTGCCGGAATCGTTCCCGCGGCACCTTCAGCGTCACTACCAGTCGGTCTGGCTCGTCCACGCTCTCCTCCCGGATCGTCTGTCGGCGGGACGACGCCCGGCTCTCGTGGTGCGGTTCGGGCGTGGCCGACTGGTGGAGATTGGCGCGCAGGGCGGCATGCGCGGCGGTGGCTGCTCCTCGCATCCCGCGCGTGCGCGCCGTGCCCTGCGCCAGGTTGGGCCCGATGGCCGGCGACCCCACCATCGACGATTCGTCGCTGTCCGACTCGTCGGACTCGTCGGCGCCGTCCCGCAGCCCGACCGCGGCGCGCCGCGACCGGCTCGACCCCAGCCGCTTGAACACGTTGCTCTCGTCCATCGACGCCACCGTGTTGGGGATCACCGTCGACACCAGCATCGTCCGGATCGTCCGCTGTCGGTCCTTGAGGTCTGGCAGCGCCGGCCCCCCGCGTCGGTTGACCGACCGCTTCTGTCGCCGCTGGTCGCGCGAGATGGACACCTCGGTGCGTTCGAGTTCCGCCTCGTTCAGCTCGTACAGGTACGGCGTGAACTCCTTGGCCGCTTGGAAGGGCCGGAAGGACGAGTGCAGCGGCGTCGGCAGGAAGGCCGTCTTGAGATCCGGGTCGTCGATCGGGCGCCCGTCGAACGGGTGCGACAGGATGTAAAGAGACTTGGTGAAGAGCTGCGACTGCTCGCGGATCGAGTGGGCGATGGCCGTGGCGAACTCGCCCGACAGCGACAGGTCCTCGGTCATGCGCGCGGCGAACTCCTCGGGCGAGTTGTGCAGGTCGTTGATGTCCCACTCGAACTGGTCGATCAGCGTGTGCTGCCCGATGGTGATGTTGAGCTTGACCAGGATGCGCATCTCGTCGTTCTTGTACGCGCTGTAGGGGAGGTGCGGGTCGAGCGGCTCCTCCTCCATGTGCATCTGCGGGTAGTAGTCGCAGAGCTGCTCCTGGATCTGCTGCGTGATCATCCGCACCAGCGGGCCCGACGCCTCGAGGGCCAGGCCCAGGTCCTCCACCAGCTTCTCCGCGAACAGATCCGGCGGGACAACGCGGTCGTGCAGGTTCCACGTGAACGTGTCTCGGATCTTGATCTTCTCCCAGTCTATGTCGAGCCGGACGGGCACCAGGTCCTCGATCTGCTCGTTCTGCGTCTTGAGGTCCTTGCGCGACACCCGCAGTTCGCGGGTTCGCCGGCTCCCCGGCCGCCGCCGGTTGGACGGATACAGGAGCTGAGGGTGTGGGTTTCGCAGATCGGTGCGGGGGTTTCCGATCCCTTGGTAGCCGATGCCATACAAGGCGGCGGGATTCAGGTGGTGGTCCCGTCGAACGGACAGCAGGTAGTCTCGCTCGGCGCGCTTCTCCTGCACGAGCGTCTGGCTCGGGTTGTGCCAGGCGGTCAGCGCCGAGTGGTGGAATTCCCGGTTGACGTAGTCCTCCAGCAGGATCTTCTCCGCCGGAGTCTCGCGCACGCGCACGGGCAAGGACCGGGTGGACCCGTCGTGTGACCGCTTCTTGGAGACGCCGTTGCCGGAATCCGAATGGCCGTTCGACGCGTCCTCGTTCAACGGCACCCCGGAGGCAGCCAGCGTGGCTTTGGCCTGCTGTTTCCCCTCGACGATCGCGTCACCGTTAGCGCCTTGATCCGGCAAGGCCGCGGGCGCGCCCGAGCCATTAGAATTCTCGTGGAGGTCGGTCGGCGGCGGGCGCGTATGCGAAAGGTCGGGGGACGGCATGATGAGTGGACGGCGGGGATGATGGGTTCAGGCGATTCGAGTTCCCCAGGATATACCTTGCACAGGAATACCCAAATAACGATGGTCAGCGAGAAAGGGAGGCGATCAGGATCGCATCCTTATCGGGGATCTGGAGCGGAGTTCTGGTTAGCCAGACTTGAACCGTGCAGCCCAGACGCGCCGGCGCACGAGGCGCGACCAGCGTCGGGGAGGCAAACAGCGACACCTCCCGACCTCTCGATCATTTGCGCCAGCTCGGTAGGAAGAGACAGAAGAAGAACCCAGGGGGACAGAAATTGACGATGGATGAAAGTGTCGACAGGGAGTAGAACGTACCACCACGCCTATGAGGAAGGCCAGGAAGGCCAGGAGAGTCAAGCACAGGGGAGAAAAGGAGAGGCAATGACAAGCAAATGGAAAAGCAAGCGATGAAGAAACAATTCCGATCAAGAAAAGAAATCCACAATTAAAAATACAGTCGAATGAGAGGGGACAGAAGAATCATGATAATGAATCCCAAGGATGGAGAGAGAGAAGCGGCAGTGTTGGTACCTGAGGTTCTGGATGGTCTGGGTCTGTCTTTTTCCTGTATCTTTCTTACCTGGTTTTTTTTTCCCCTTTGCGAGGAGGCAAAGGACGTAACGACAACACGTCGGATGAGGCGAATCAACCACTGTTGGACTTTGAAGGAACGGTGATTAGTCGGATCCACGAGCAGAGTTGGATGGATTGCTTGATATGGATGATAAACGATATGGTCTGGAGAGAGAGAGAGGAGAGGAGAAAAGACAGAGAGAAAGACAGAGAGAGAAAGAGTCATTGTTACAAGTGTGGTCGTGCCCGCAAAGGAAGACAGGCCAGAAGGTTCAAGGCCACCCGCAGCACCATTCAAGAGTCCTCGACTCGAGCAATTATTTGATCACTTTTGGATCATCCTGAAGCTATCGCGATACTTCTTGACTTGTTGAACTTCTGGTGGACGTGCTGGAATTACCACTTAGAGTGTGACGTTTCGTCTGGTATTACGGTGCTGGTTTCGATACCGTATTTGCGCCATACCATGGACCATGCCCGATTCGGCCACACACGTGATACGCATTATACTCGATATGGTAAGGTCCATACCACTAGTCGATTGGCGTCACCGGTGGATACGAGACTTGTAACATCTTCCATACGATATCTCTCCATGTCCAGCATAGCTATATCATCCCAGGTGAACATCCACCACCACAGGCCGATGATCCGATATCAACACCCCATCGTCAAACCCATTCGCCAACACCGCATACCCATCCACCGTCCACCCTCGCCCCAAAAACACATAGTCCAACACCGCCGGTTCTTCCACCTCACTTCCAAACCCCGTCCAAGTAATCCGATTCCCGTGGTGCTCCGCCACCGGCACCATCTTGGCCGCATCCACCAGCTCCGATTCGCCTTTCTGACCCTCCGTCGTGAACGCCACGTACGCCTCCTGGTGCTCCTCGCTGTTCATGTCCCCAGCGACAAACACCCCACTGATACTCTCCGCGCATACGCCCCCTTCACCACCACGGCATGTGCTCACCGTGCGGAGAATGAGCCGCGCGCCTTCAACCCGCGCACGACTGCCCTGATCGTCGAGATGCGTGTTCACAGCAAGGACACTCCGTCCCGAGGCGCGGTGATGCAGCACCGCGATGGTCGCCAGTCGGATCGAGTCCGCGTCCCATCCCTTAGACGGCACGCCGGGTGTCTCAGACAACCAGATCGTCTTCGTGAACCGGGGCGTCCACTGCGACGCGCGGTAGAAGATGGGCGAGTACTCGCCCGCTTGGTGGCCGTCGTCGCGGCCGACGCCGATGTAGCTCCATGGGTCGGAGGTGTTGGCGTTGATCCCTGCGACGATGTCGTCGAGTTGGTTGTGGAAGACTTCCTGCAGGCAGACGATGGCGTCGGCGTGGCCGTGCGTGATGTGGCGGAGTTGGTTGATCAGGGGCTGGGCGCGGTCTTTCCAGGGGAGTTCGCCTTTGAAGGGGGCGGGGGTGTAGTGTCTGATGTTGTAGGTGAGGATGCGGAGGGGGAGGTCTGGCATTTTGGGTTATTGTGGTGATTCGTGTAGAAGTAGATAGTAGATAGTAGATAGTAGATAGTAGATAGTGGATAGTAGACAGTAGACAGTAGACAGGTAGGTCAGTACTCCGTAGACAATTAGTCAATCAGACAAGTAGACAGTCGTAGTCGTCGTCAACTCATATAACAACATACTTCGTTCAGACGGACGGCGGGGTTGGCGGAATGCGGAGAAGCTGTCTGTCTACACCCATGATTGGATGATGGACACTACTGTTGCATTGATATACATGTTGACTTCTTGGTAAAATGGTTACCTGGTTTACCTGGTTTATCCGGTTCTATAGCATATGCGGTTCTATAACACGTTGGTAGTTCTATATACGGGTCTACTCCAGTTATATGTTTCCGTTATACTACCCGTGAGCAACAGCATATCTTAGTTGAGCAGACATCCACACAACAGTCCAGAGACATTCAGAAGATAATACTGGTTTTTGCAAGCATTCTACGGCCAGTACTCCGTAGTACCAATTACTGTAACCCAGACGGAGGGGTTCTAATCCATGTCGACCTTGACGGACTAACAGCATCACGGTTCATACGTGGCAAAGGAAGAATGGTCATGTTAGACTAGTTTGTAATAGGAGGTATTGCCGATTATGACAGGTCTGTCAGAATCGCTGGCGGATTGAAGCTACAAACTGGGTGTGCTCATAGTACGACGACGCATGTACCTGGTGCATATCGTGATACTTTGATATGTATGCACCTTGTCGGATAATTGTATTCTACTTACTACTTTTCACATCCCGTTCATGACATTTAATATCTATCTGACTATATCGAACGAAGCCATCAATCCAGACATCAATTCAGCAATGATTGCCATGCTGATGATAGTGTGATGTCATACACTATATCCACTCTGTCCTCCAGTTATGCCTTCGGTTATGCTCTCTCCGTGTACCTTTGTCTGTCCTTATTGACAGCTGGACTTATACTGAAGCAAAAGTAGCAGAAATAATGAGAAACGAGATCAGGGTGCATATTTCCTACCTTGTTTACCACCGATGATGGACGTAAGATGAAGGGTAATAATGGTAATTTATTGGTCACAATCGGTAACAGCCTCCAAGCCCTACCTCCGTCCGACACAAAAAGCGACCAACTCCCTGCCAAACCTCGACCCCACCCGACAAAAATACCCCACCACCGCGGTAATACGCCGTATGGATGATTCCCATTAATCATACAGTCCAACCTTCCCCTCTCTGTCGCTTCTTCTCTCTCTTCTTCCTCCTCTTCCACCTCAATCCCAATTCTGAAAAGCTTCCAAGTCACCGTTCGGTTTGTAGCTTTTTCCTCGCTCCCTCGCGAGGTTATATCCTTTATTCACCATGGCTGAGACCACCCAGGCTCAACCCCAAACCCAGGAGGTTGGTAAGTAATAGTTACATCACTGTTCTTTTCCCCGTCAATTTGAAAATGCTTGCCCGCTGTTTTGTGGGTTTCCTGCCCGCTTGCTCGGCCGGCGTCATCGCTCCGGTGGGTTGGAGCTACCTGGAGAGCTTCGTTTCGAAAAGAGGAAAATGGAAGAAAACAATAAAATAAAAAACAAATGAGAGAGACGGAAAAAAAAAAAAAAAGAAAGAACAAAGTCAAAGCATTGAAGAAGCTCCAGATTACTTGATTTAGTGTTTCGCAACTGACCTTCCGACCTATAGACTACACCCTCAACAACCCCGACACCTTGACCAAGTACAAGACTGCCGCTACCATCTCGCACAAGGTTCTCGAGGCCGTTGGATGTACGTATCCTCCGTCGATTGTCCAATTCCTCCATTTCTGACCTCCATTTTAGCATGGTGTGTGGAAGGTGCCAAGATCCTGGAGCTCTGCCAGAAGGGTGATAAGCTGCTCGACGAGGAGCTCGCCAAGGTCTACAAGGGCAAGAAGATCCAAAAGGGTGCGTCAGCTATCTTCTTCCAAAGACGGAAAATCCTCGGTGTTAATATGACGGATTAAAAAGGCATCGCTCACCCCACCACCGTCTCCCCCGACTCCTACGTGACCCCGTACACTCCCCTGGTCTCGGAAGCCGAGGAGGCTGAGGTCGCCCTCAAGGCCGGCGAGGTCGCCAAGATCCAGCTCGGTGCCCAGATCGATGGCTTCGGTACCATCGTTTGCGACATGGTCATTGTCGCCGACAAGAGCGCTTCCGATGAGGTGACCGGCCGCACCGCCGACCTGATCCACGCCACCTACTACGCCAACGAGCTTCTGCTCCGTTTGATGGTCCCCCCCGGCCTCCTGGCCAGCGGCACCGACGAGGAGAAGCAGAAGGCCGCCGCCAAGAAGGCCCCCTCCCAGGCGTACATGTCCTCCCTGATCGAGAAGATCGCCAAGATCTACGGCTGCAACGTCGTCGAGAACACCACCACCTGGCAGTTCGAGCGCAACGAGATTGAAGCCGAGAAGAAGATCATCCTCTCCCCCAACAACGGCGTGCGCGGCGACGGTATCCCCGACGTCGGTGAGGTCTGGGGTGTCGAGATGGGCCTGTCCCTGGGCTCCGGCAAGGTCAAGAACCTGCCCCTCCGCGCCACCCTGCACCGCCGCACCACCACCACCTACGGCCTGAAGCGTCCCAGCTCGCGACAGACCCTGTCCGAGGTCGTCAAGAAGTTCGGCCACTTCCCCTTCAGCTTGCGCCAGCTGGATGACGAGAAGGCCGCCAAGGTCGGCATTCTCGAGTGTGTTCGTGGCGGTGTCCTGCGCCAGTACGAGCCCGCCGGTGAAGCCGACAACTCCCCGGTCTCCCGTTTGCTCACCACCGTTGGTACGTACCTTATTTCAACTGTCCCCTTAATAATCGGGGGATCACCCGTATACTAATATCTCCCAGCCATCACCAAGAACGGTATCACCAAGCTCGCCGCCCCCGCCGACCCCGATCTCTCCAAGTTCAAGACGGACAAGAAGATCGAGGACGAGGAGATCCTCGAGATCCTCAGCCGCCCGCTGAACAAGTCGACCGGCAACAAGAAGAACAAGAGCAAGAAGAAGAAGGCCGCCGGTGCCCAGGAATAAGGGGTTCAATAGGCCGAGCCACCCTCGATCCGAGCCCGGATCGTCGGAAAGGGATGTTCGCCATTCCCCCCAGCGCTTTTTCCCCGGGGTGAATAAACTGTGGAGGGAAGCCGATGAATCCTGGTGTCTTCAACCTCCGGACCCAGGCAGAGAGCTAGCTTCTGGAGGATTCCTGGTGTGGGAGGAAATGAAGCATACATATGAAACCCTTGTCTTTTTTTCTACCACGCCATCCTGTAGGAGTGAGTGCCTTTACATAATTATGTCCGAAAGGGAAATATATCCTCCTGTATGAAGTGGACATGAAAACCAAAGCAAAAAAAATGAATCTACATGAATATTGATTACGTATGCTTAGAATTGTTCTCTGATATAAGATTTGATATTGTGTTTTCTCTGTCCTTTTGTTCTTTGGATGTGGTTGATTTGCGAACGTGTAGGGTGTAATGTACAGAGTATAGACTTGGTTGTTGATCATTCATTGCCTGTTTCATGCTCTCCATGGCTGTCATGTCTGTCTTCATGCCTGTGTCACTCATGTATAATCACTGCCTCTCTTCATGGCTATCTTCACAGCTGCCCTCATGGCTGTCCTCCTGGTATTCCTGCCTGTCTCACCCATGCACATTCACTACCTGTCTTCACTGCTCAAGTCTTCATACCATTTCTTTCCTGGTTACGTGCAAGTATAGTTTAGGACACTCCCGTGTGACAGTCTTGCATCTTCACTTGCTCTTGTTTTTCTCTGAGCCATTGGGATAGTATTATTTGAAGCTACATCTCTGGTAATAGCCTAGGCTGGTGGTTACTTATCCCAAGCCCTGTAGGTCTTTCAGCCCCTTCCCTCTGAACGAGGGTATTCAGTAGTTGCAGTTCCCGTAGTCTTCAAGACTGAATCCTACGTAGTCGGTCTGTTTCCATCAAAACCATTGACTCTGCAGGATGTTAGGCAGAGAAGGGTCTAGTGGCTGAAAGAGTGAACGAGGAAGTAGGGAGGTCTACAGTGAATATCCCAACCAGGCGACCGATCCGATGAAGTAGAGAAATCTCAATCGTGTAACTTCTTATTCACTGTAGTCTGCCATATTGGTGGATGGCTGATGAGGACGAGTCCAGTGAATGAGGGCGAGAGAGTTGAATTGGGCCGATTGATTCCTCCCAAGCTGCAGTATTTAATCCTCCTCTTTCCCTCCTTCTCTTCCTCTTCTTCTTCTCTTCTCTCCCAACCATCTCTTCCCTTTCCCATTCTCACCTGCTTTTTACTCTGTCAGAAGCTTCAAAACCATCAGATTCCACCACTCTCGTTCGTTGCTACTTCCGTTGTGGCTCGTTCCTTTCTGCTGCCTTCGTTGCTTACACAGACTCGGATCGTCTTGGCCTCTGGGCTTCACTCACTTCTTTTCTCTCGATCAGACGCTTCGATCGCATTGATTCCTATCTCGGTCCTTGAAAGACTACTTCATTCTTTTCTCCAGCCTAGTGGCTTTTCTTCTGAGGACTTCTGAATAGCCTCTTCCACGCGAAGGTGCAGCTATCACAAACTGCCCCTCGTATCCTCACTTGCTCGTTTGATACAAGATCAAGAGCTGTAATCAAGAGTCTCTCTCTCTCTATTTTACATCACTCACTTCTCCTTCCTCGTTATTCATTTCTAAGGGGTATTTGAATCTCTCCGACCTATCAATACATAAATCTCTCGTCCGTCCGGTCTCACAGATTCCTGTCTCTCTTGACCCCTTTCTCTACACATCTACTCATCTCTCTTTCATCGCGACTCACCATCCTCCATACTTCAATCTTGACTATCTTGTCACATATCTCTGTAGAGACCATCACCCATTGCCTTCTTCTCGTCATCTCTTCCATCACTTCTTGAGAGCTTGAGCCACGTTGGAAATCAACTCTTCATATCACATCATCTCTTCCATCATCTTTCCTCATCACATCACGCGTCAATCACCAAGTCAAAAGACTACGACGTGTTTCTCGTCATCAATCTCTTCTTCTGTCTTCTACACTTAGCAACCTCACTCAGAGATCCACGCTGGAGATCGCTTCTTGAAACCCACCTCCGACATCATATCTCTCTCTCCAAGCAACAGCACAAGTGCTGCTCACTACTCATCACAAAATCTTTCATCCCGAAACCACAGAGTCCTTTTCTTCACTAAAGTGAGTCCCTCGCTCTTGTCTTGCAGCTGCTCTTCCTTGTGCAACATCTCCTCCATCCACCTGCCAGACCCAGGCAGAAGTTGTACCTCGATATCCTCAGCGACGCACATGATCATCTTCCCACCGTGTTTTTGTTTATGTATTTGTCGATCACTTCCTCTACATTCGGCCCCTTTGTAATGCTCATCTGTGCTTTTGTACTTGTGACTGGTATCTTCCTGTCGGAGCTCAAGACGACATGCTGACCAAGACAAAGAACACGACTCGTTAAAGAACGAGAACATCCAGACAGCAAGCTCTACGAAGGGTTTGCCTGCAAAATACAATTCTCCCAATCCAGAGGTGTTCTCATCGCCCTCTGAACCTTTGACTCATCTACGTTGCAGTCCTTCTGCTTCCATATCTTCGTCGCAACGACCCTCGAGGTGTACGACGAAATCATCAAGTAAGACTCCCCATCCTACAGAAAAAATAGGACAAGAGAAAAAAGAAATAGAAACAGACACGACTATTGAGAAAACCCATATTCTAACGCGTTCCTGAAGTCCAGGTGTGCAGGTCTCGTGGTTGTGGCAGTCTCCGCGGTCAACCCCCTAGGTGGTGTGTGATTGGGACAGTCGCCCTCGAAAACTCCCGTCTTTGCACCTCCGCAACCTCTCTTTCTCCCTTCATCCCGCAGACAGCGCGCGCGCTGGCCACGATTCTCACCAGCAACGCTGGGCGAACTCGTTGCTTACTTTGAATTCTTCTAGCCAGTAAGTGTTGGTTTTCTTATTACGATCCCTAAAAATACATTCTTTGCCGTTTACCAAGCTAACCCGACCTGTCGCAGCTGTTGTAACTTTTCGAGCCCTGCTCTCGCAACAATGGCCCCGAACCTCCGTTCTTCTTCTCACGCCACCAATTCGCGCCCCTCTACTCCTTCTGGCGCCCCGGCGTCCAACACTGCTCCCGCCTTTACCGATTCCGCCAGACCTCGCAAACAGCGCCGTACCGATAGACGCAGTCGCGTGGCCACCGATCCGCCTCACGGTGATGCTTCGCAGGGACACGCCGAGGCAGGCGCCGGCGACAGCCTGAGCGAATCTCATTTGACCGGAAGATCTGCTGAATGGATCGAGCCTCCCCTGAGAGAGCCTGTGCCCAGCTACGCCGACACCCCGTGGTCCGGAGTGTCCACCGACCTCAACCCTGTGCTGGCAACCATGCGTCCGCTGGGAGCCATGCCATCCGCCGCCGACTTGCGCAAAGTGGGACTGGTCCCGAAGGCCAACCCCCCCAGCGTTCCGGCCCAGAAAGAACTTCAGGCGTTCACGCCGGACGGTCCATCCTCAACCCCCTTGTCTTTCGCGGAAGAACAGGCCCCCGAGCCCGAGGCTGAGCCCGAGCCCGAGCCCCAGCCTCTGAAGATCAACACCCCGGACTATGTCGCTACGTTTACTACTCTGCCTGTGCCCACTTCTACCAACGTGGACGTGGAGAAGCTGAAGGAGGCCGTTGAGAATGCCCTCGCCCTTGCCGCAGAAACCGGCAACCGCCCCGTCATGTGCGGCCTCATGCGCCTGTGGGAAAAGTGCAGTGACGACCCATTCTCCTTATCTATCTTGGATGCGATCTGTCAGGAAAACCCGAGCCGCCGGGAGAGATCGGCTTTCCAGACCGTGATGCGCAGCGCCTGGAGGGAGGTCCGCCTGGAGGAAGAAGCTGCAATTCTTGGCGAGGAAGCCCCTGCAGGTGCAGGAGTGACTACGGGCCGTCCTCGCTCGGCAAGTTCACTTTCATCTCTCTCCTCGGCCAAGTCCCTCGACGTTGAGACGTTCGCCCCCGGAATGGCGCCCGGGACGGGCAAGGCTCGCACTCGCGCTAAGGGCAAACAGGCCAAGGCGGCTACCGCGCAGAAAACCAAACAAGCCGACCCGCCAAGAACGCGCCAGTCAGCCTTCCCAACCAACGAGTCAGTCCTGGAAAGAAAGCATGCCTTGGAAGAGGACCCAGAATTTTCCGAGGAGGCTTTGAACGCGAAGCGGACCCGCCTGCAGAAATCGCTTCCGAACATCGTGGCGACGTCAAGTGAGCTGCGCTCGTCACTGACTGCCAACCCCGCTTCGGACATCTCACCCGCGGCTCCCACCCGGCCCTCACGCTCCAATACCGGCCCTGATGGCGCCGCGATTAATCGCAGAGACCGGTCAGAAAGCGTGGCGAGCAGCGACGCTCCCGACAATCGGCGCCTGTCGCCTACCATGCATGACGAGGATGGCGAACAGGAGGAGATTGACAATAGCGACATTTGCGGTGAATGCGGAACTCCCGGAGATCTCCTGTGCTGCGACGGGTGTGACCGCTCCTACCACCTCACCTGTCTGGACCCACCCCTGAATGAAGTTCCATCGGGGTCGTGGTATTGCTCCAAGTGTAGCGTGAGGCGGCCCGTGGGCACATTGCTATCCAATCTCGACAATCTCAAGCAGAAGGATTTTGCTTTACCCCAGGGTATTCGTGACCATTACACCGGCGTCCGTACCGGTGAACGCGGGAGGTACGAAGAGACCCTGCCTTTGCCGAGACTCCAGCCTCGGACTGTCCGGGGGAGTCGCACTGGCGCATACGATGACCCCGTTCTACTGCGAGAAAGGGACACCAAGGGGAACTTGATCTTTTGCCATGGGTGTGGGCGCACCACCGGCGGCACCAAGCCCATCATCCAGTGCGATTATTGTCCTCTTGCCTTCCATCTCGACTGTCTCGACCCTCCTCTGTCCAATCCTCCCGTTCAAATTCGCAGTGAGCGTCCGCACCAAGCCTGGATGTGCCCGAACCACACCTATCACGATCTGTACTACCTCGTCAAGGACGAGGAGGGATACGACACCCAGAGGCGCATTCGCCGTCCTAAACGGCCCCGCTTGATCGACATTGACGTCCTCCTCGAGGACTCCGAAGCCGAGCAGATCGAAGACAACGAGGAGCAAGGTGTCATGTATCGGGTCTCCGAAAAGGGGGTAAAGCTTGACTTTGTCAAGCGGGTCAAAGAGTTAGTATCCTATATTTCATTCATCCCCTACAATCCTTGCTGATCCCAAGCAGGGAAATCTTTGAGATGGAAGTTAAGAAGGCTGTTGCGCATAGGTTTTTGGACCACGCCAAAAATGAGTTTGACAAACTCAACAAGGGCGCCAGGGAATTTTACGATTCCCAACAGTGCCCTGCTGCGGCGGAGGCAACAACGGCGGGGGCCCCCACCCGCACCGCGGCGGAGCAGGAGGCCGCCACCAACCTGATTGCCTTCGCCCGGCAGGGCACTGTTAAACCTCCCCTTGAGGAGGGCAAAATTGCCCTCCTCATCGACCAACTACGGGCACATGCGCCCGTAGATCTGCCTTCGGCAGATACAGAGGTTGCGTCCCTGGAGTCCCTCCAGGAGCTGATCGGGCAGCGCATCAAGTCGCTGCAAGAAGAAGCCGCCCGATCGGCTCCAGAGGGGGACTCTGGGGACGTTATGGAGGTGGATTAGTTTTTCTTTTTTTTGTTTTTTGTTTTTTTGGGTTTCCTTTTTTTTTTTCTAAACAAAAAAAACCTGTTCCGCGTTTGGTCGCGATTGGCGCATGGGAGGGGCCAGGCATATGGGCAAGCAAGAGCCAACAGCATTTCGGTGTTTGTGAGAAATACATCTGGCGCATGTATGGGATTTCAGCGTTCAAGTTCAATGTTCTTGCATTGGAACCCGGGTCATTTACTGCTTTGTTCATTTTCATTTCTTTTGCCTTCATTCCTCACTTTCATTGTTCGTGTGTTACTTCCTCTGGCTGCACCACTTGGCGAGGCTAGACCTCTCTCCTTGCCGTACCCATTCTTTTGAATAGGGGCCGGGGGAGAAGAAGGTCGGTCTCGCCAAAGTCTGGGTCAGTCAGAGGTAAGTATACTACACACATCTGTATCTAACGCTGCGATGACCATTGCAACCCCGACCCATGTCATTCCATTCGTCATCTAGCGGACTTTCGCAGAGACCTCCTACCTTTCCTCCCTTGCGGGGAGGGTGGGTAGTGATCGGGCCTGGTTGGTCCCTGATGCCGGATGAGGATAGACGGGTGGGGTGTATTCATTATTCATTATCTACATGTACAATAGAGATTGCTTTTCTTTTCCTACGCTGTCAATTGGGAGTCATTATTTATCTTTCATTATCTCTACTGCTCGTTTAGTGTAAATCCGATGCCCCAAGCTGATGGAGATGGCGAGGGAGGAGAGTAAATGAATGACTACATACCTATCCTCCTCGCTCATTTTCTAACAGGTAGGTAGTAGGTAGTAAGTACATATACAAAAACGAAACGAAACGAAACGAAACGAAACGAAACGAAACGAAACGCCAATAGCAACCACGACAATACAATGTTAGATAACATATCTAGTCAGTGTGATAGAGGGAGTCTTTCCAAGACTAGGTTAGGCAGGTAGGTGGTATGTCTCGCTTGCCTCCTTTATCCATGCTGATAGAGAATGGGTTGGTGATGTGAGGTATGGAGGTATGGAGAGGTGAGGTGGTAGATCAAGGTTAAGTTTCTCGAGGTATGGGATGAGATAGGTATGTATGATACGATTGGTTGGTGATAACTAAAGAAACTTCTTGGGCATGCTCGCGCGACGACGCTTGTAAACAATGTACGACACGGCTAGGACGGCCTGGGCGCCGACGATGACGAAGATGAAGAAGCCCATGCGGGGGGCGGACGCGGTGACAACTGTGAATGTTATTAGGTTGCGTCCGCATATTTGAAAGAAAGGAAAGAAGGAAGGAAGGGGAAAACTCACCACTCATAAGAGTATCCTTGAAGCTCTCAGTCAGACTCAAATGCGACGACCGCAGCGTATCCTGGAGCTGTGCGAATCGCTCGTGATAATTCTTGCCTTCCAGATCGCGGATGACGCCCTGGAGGAGTTGCTCGATGCGCTGGACTCGGGCGTCTAGGGCGGCGAACTGGTCCTTGCTGGCGACCTTTTGGAGGAGGTCGGCTTGGCGCTGGTCGTTCTTGGAGTTTTGGTTGTTGAGCTCGCGAAGGACGTTGTTGGTTGCGTGGTTGATGAGCTGTAGGCGGGCGCCGAGGTCGACGAATTGCTGTTCGACGTTGGAGCCGGAAGTATCCCCGCGAGGTTGTTGAGCGGTGCCTTGTCCTTGGGCCTGGGCCTGGGCTGCGACGGGCTGCTGCTGTTGTTGTTGCTGCTGCTGCTGCTGCTGCTGGTTGGAAGACGAGCCGCCTGTGCCGACCTGGACGGTTTGAGGGACGAATTTGAAGATCTCAAACGAGTCGGGGTTCTCGGGGGTGGCGGCGGTTATGCCAAAGGTGTTGCCAAAGGGCAGGATGATCTGTTGCTGTTAGAAATGATTGTTGAAGCTGCAAAGGGTCCTACCTTGTCGGTGGAGAAGCACAGCTTGTCATCAACCGTCACTTCAAAGATGGAACGCGTATGCTTGAGGCGCACCACGGACGGACGGCCCAGGTTGCGGTACGAGTAGTCGCAATGTCCAAAAGCCAGGCTGTCCACGCTTCGGTGGCTCTTGTAGTCCGTCGACCCGTCGTTCAAGAACCCGCGAACGCTGCCACCCTAGAACTGGTCAGCTTGAGACATGTTTGTATGTCCGGAGTACGCACTCGTCCACCGTGTGTATCAACCACCAGCGCAAACCCGTCGAACGGCCCCACTGTGTAGATGCTGGACGACCCAATCTTCTGCTGACCATCCTTCGCGTACCACAACTGGAGGTTACCACCACCTCTTTCCATCCCGGACGCCCGGAATTGGAATTCTGCCGTCCACTCCGGTTGAGAGATGCTGTACATGATTAGGCAATTTGTTCCGAACAGACATTGGAGTACTCACGGAGTCTGTGCCCAGGCATATCCTCTTGTGTTGCCCGGGTACGGGGGTGTTAAAATAAGCTTGTTTGAAAGCTGCCTCCAATCAGTAACCACATCATTTCAAGTATCATAACGCCAAAAACATACAATTTGGGGAGCGTGACCCTCTCCGCCCACTTGCCATCCCGGGATGGAATTGCCGTCGGGGGATAAACTATATAGATATCAGCATGCCGTCCCGATAACGCAAAAGAATGCACCTACGTTTGACCATGGCCAAAGCTGGAGGATTCAATCACCGACTGCGCAGTAGCCACTGCGGCCGAGAATAACAAAGCGGGAATCTTCATTGTGCGGTATGTAGTATCGTGTCTCGTTGGATAGATATGTTGTATAGATATGGATCTTGGTTAGATATGGGTCGTGGATAGATAATGGCGTCAATATTCGTGAATTGAACAGAAGCAGCAGACACTATGCAATAAGAAATATGAAACGATCTGAGAGAAGTGAAGATCAATCCGAAGCTCGGTGCTTGAGCAGCGCGGAGACAACGCGCGAAGTAGTCCAGCCAACCACAATAGCAATCACGCAAAGGCGGACTTCTCGAGCAATGGAGGCGACAGCGGGGGACAATTCAACGATATGGTGGATATTGAGGCTAGAGAGAGCGACGGAATGGCGAACTCCCACGTCTGAAGCAAGGTCCATGAGAAGAGATGAAGAACAAACCAGGATGATGCTTGGAGTTGATCCGGTCATGTGGTCGGAGACACACTGGCCTTTTTCCCGCGGCGCACGTGACCCGCGCTCTCCCCCGGATCGGCGCGCCCGCCCGCTGTTCCATGGATGAATTTCCTTCCAGCTCAGCTTCATCATGCCCTGCGATCCCAATGGCTGATCTCTACCCGTCGCTGACCCAGTGTGCCGTTGTCGCCACTGCGTTCAAGATCCTACTGTTTCCTGCATAGTGCGTTGCTCCTCTCTTCCATCGTCGACGTTCCTAACCCCGACCCATTGCAGCAAATCGACCGATTTCGAAGTCCATCGCAATTGGCTCGCCATCACCCATTCGTTACCTGTGCAGGAGTGGTACTACGAGGTAGGTTCAGGACAATCATACGGAGTGAGGAGATAGCTCATAACGGTAGAAAACCTCGGAATGGACGCTCGACTACCCCCCGTTCTTCGCCGCGTTCGAGTGGCTGCTGTCGCGGATAGCACAGTACGTGGATCCGGCCATGTTGGTTGTGCAGAATCTGGGGTATGATTCGTGGCAAACGGTTTACTTCCAGAGGGCGACTGTTATTGTTTCGGAGTTTGTGCTACTTTACGCCCTCAGCCGGTGAGTATCTCGTGCGCTGCAGACTAGATCAGGATGGTACTGACCGGCTGCACTAGATTCGTCAAGTCGGTCTCGCAGGACAATCAACACCTCGCGCACATTGCAAGTCTCTCGATTTTCCTGTCGCCCGGTCTCTTGATCATCGACCACATCCATTTCCAGTACAACGGCTTCATGTATGGGGTTATGATCCTGTCGATGGTTTTGGCGCGCAAACAATCCACGCTCCTATACAGCGGTATCACGTTCGCCGTGTTGCTGTGCATGAAACACATCTATCTATACTTGTCGCTGGCCTGGTTTGTCTACTTGCTCCGGGCCTACTGTCTCGACCCGCGGTCGATGTTGCGCCCTCGGTTTGGCAACATTTTCAAGCTCGGAGTCTGCGTCCTCGGCGTGTTTGGGGCCGCGTTTGGGCCATTCGCTCACTGGGGCCAATTGCTCCAGCTGAAGGATCGGCTTTTCCCGTTCTCCCGGGGCTTGTGTCATGCCTACTGGGCGCCCAACATCTGGGCCATGTACTCGTTCACGGACCGTGTTCTGATTCCTCGTATGTGCTTTTGCTTTCGAGTCTGGTGTTCTTGACTAACGTAAACAGTTGCTCCGCGGTTGGGTCTGCCAGTCAAGGAAGACGCCTTGTCGAGCGTGACTCGTGGTCTGGTCGGAGACACGTCTTTTGCTATTCTGCCCGAAGTGACCAAGGAGCACACGTTCATCCTGACCTTGATCTTCCAACTCGTATGTACAGTCATCCTCTCGTCTGCAGCAGAGTACTGATTCCGGGTAGCTGCCGCTGGTCAAACTCTGGTTCCGCCCCGACTGGGAGACGTTCGTCGGCGCCGTCACTCTCTGCGGCTACGCCGCCTTCCTCTTCGGCTGGCACGTGCACGAAAAGGCCATTCTCCTGATCATCATCCCGTTCAGCTTGATCGCGCTCAAAGACCGCCGGTACTACAGCGCCTTCAAGCCTCTCGCAGTCGCCGGACACGTATCGCTCTTCCCGCTGCTCTTCACCGCCGCCGAGTTCCCCCTCAAGACGGTATACACCATCTTCTGGCTGGTACTGTTCCTTTACGTGTTCGACCACGTGGCGCCGGTACCGGAACGGCCGCGGATCTTCCTCGCCGACCGGTTCTCCCTCCTGTACTTGACGGTGGCCATTCCACTGATCGTGTACTGCTCGCTGCTGCACCAGGTGTTCTTCGGACTGAACCGGTACGAGTTCCTGCCGTTGATGTTCACGAGCAGCTATTCTGCTCTGGGGGTGGTGGGGAGCTGGGTGGGGTTTATGGTCGTGTATTTTACGGCGTAGCCGACCAAAGTAATGTTTATTAAGTACCAATCCTCATAAGTACTTTATCTACCTCCGGTTCCGGGACAGATAGCTGTCTCTTACCTCGTAAGTAGTATCTTACCTAGGTAGGTATATCCATGATGTTGGAGATAGAGGTGTGTTTATACAACAACAATGATGTAATTCGTCAGCGTCACCGTTTGCATTGTTTGGCGAAACCACGTGCCGGGATCCAGACCCACTTGATCAGCCACTAATCTATAACCGGTTAGATTGGTTCTCCCCGATCTATCTGTCACACTGCAGACACTATATGTCGACCTGATTTTTCTCCGTGGATGTTTTTTAGAGAGATTGGTATTTCTATTATATATCATCACTGGTTCATATGATATCTGGATATCTATCTACACGCAAGGTCTTTTGGCTGTGTCGAGGCTAATTGGGCGATTGAAGGATTTTGGATCGATGCAGATTGGGGGGGGGGGGACTTTTTTGCCTCCCTTTGCCGCCATTGCTTTTGGGGTGTTGGTATAGTTGATCGTGTATATTGTGCACCATTTCTCGGGATGGGTAGTATATTATGTATGCTCAATGGATGACATGTAGGGATGTCGATTTGCTGTTGTTCTGATCATATACTTCATGGTAATATTTAACTGAGGTGTACTTGATGGGTTGGTGTTGGAGGTAAGTGTATTCTTCACTGTAGTGATGTTAGCCAATCCAGTCTACTATCTCCTGTCTGAGGATCTACGGTGTCTGTCAATCAGTATGTCAGTGCTTCAACAAGTTCCAGATCTGTCGATTCCACGAAATTGAACCAAGGAGATCGGCTAAACACAGAACCAGTGTTGGTCTGCAAACAACGCTCATATGGGGAATAGATGGTGTAGTATCATGAGCTGAGGCGTTCAGTAAGTCATATTGTAGTCGAAAATGACCAGGTAACGATCTGGGAGTGTCCTTGAGTATGACTTGATCCAGAGTGGACTCAGTCTGCTGGAAGATCGGTCGATAATGATCGTCTTGGCATCTATATAGATAGTAGAATTGCCCATCTGGGTGGAATGATATCTGACGGTAGTATCTACCGGATAGGAAGACTATTCAGATGGTAAAAAGCTTTGAAGCGTGGTGGTTCAGATCCTTTGAGAATACACCTAGATGGTTGTGCTGTCTGTGGTGGTCCGATCCCCTAGCGGGCTTGTCGATCCCTCGGATGCACTGATAATGGGTAATCAGGGATCCGACTGACCGAATAAGGATAGTATGTCCAGTCCATGATAATCTCCACTCAAAGAGGAACAGAATGAATGCAAGAACGTGGAGAATTGAGAGGGAGGGAGGGTGATGGTCAGGCAGAAGACGAGAGCGAGTGCAGAGAGAAGAGTGGAGGAGAAGAAGAGGTCGACATCCACCGAAACGGGTATAGTGACCCGCCAGTCCGCCCGCCGGTCTTTCTCCTCCTCAGGCCCAATCAGAGCAGCCTGGATGCCTCGACTGGAGAGGAGAGTCTTTTCATTATGGAGCCTGAACTTCTGCCCCGACCGCTTCTCCTTTCTCTCTTCTTTCTCTTCTGCTCTTCTTCCCTTCTCTTTCTTCTCTTCTTCTTTCACCTTCCTACCTACCACCCCCCCCTACATATCCACCTGCGCATTTCATTCCTACTCCCCGCACCTCTCCCTTCGTCTCTTTACTTCTTCTTGTCGCCGAGGTCCCGCTCCTTCTTCAACCCCCTCCCGCGTTACTCCGAGTTTTTTTTCCCCCCCGACTCGTCCACCATTGATTCAATCCCGCACTTCGCGACTGCGCGACTGGAGACGCGTTGACTCGGTAAGTCTCTTGTTGGAGATCGCCTCGTGATCAGATTCGCTGTCTTCCCCGGCCGGAAAAAGCAGAGATCGACGGGGGTTTTCGCCGTTGCTCCGTCGCGTCGAACACGCCCACACAGGACCAATTTCCCGGATACCCAACCGCGCGGCGTTTCCCTTTTTTTTTTTACACCGTTTACTGTGCCTATCAGTCGTGGTTTTTTCGCGTTCGCGTGATCTATGACCGACGTGAATACTAACCGTCTACGTGCGTCATAGGGTGGTCGTGTTGCAGAATCCGTCCCAGTGATCTATGATCGATTAGCGCGCGTCTTGCGTCGGAGAAGACCATGGTACGCCACACATCCCGATCGTTGATCGACACGTCCAAACATTGCTCAAGGAGGAATCAACGGCTGACCTCCACAGGTGCTGTTCAAACGGAAGCCCGTCCAGTACCTCCCACGACCCGCGATTGAAGATGACAGCTCCGAGGCATGTGGTTTACACCCGGATGGAGGAGGAATTCTTGCTTATACCGCGCAGGTGTGGGTCATCCCCGAGACCAACGAGGTCTTCACCAACTATGAGCCCTATCTCCAACGCATGGATTTCTACAAGCAGAGGAGGTTCATCTGCGAGATCACCGGTCATTCGGGTCTCAACTTCTTCGAGGCGTTGAGAAGTGAAGTGCGCGACCCGTGACCCCGGACCCCGGACCCCGAATCGTTCACTGACGCGGATCAACAGATGGAGGAGTCCCGCGAAGTCAACAACATCTTTCCCGATGCGCTAAAGGAGCCGATCTTGCGCCGAATCCAGTTTTCCACTGTATCGCGGGTCGATAATCTTGGTACGTGCTGCAGTACGTTCGTGCGCGGGCCTAAGCTAACGTTCGACAGTGGATGAGATCTACGAGGTGAGCACGCGCGCAATTCGCCCCGAGGCCTCTTTACTGACCCCCTCCCACAGGAGTTCAAGCGCGATTTCTACCCCGGTGAACCCGTCCTGATCCTCCTTGACGATAATACCCGCCTCCACGGCATCATCCGCGACAAGGCCAATTTTGCCGAACAACTCCACCCAGACGGATCGGTCAAGACCCCCGCCTATGCCATGTATCTGGTCAAGGTGCTGGATCGTCCGAACGAAGAGGCCCTTCTCGACCACGAACACATCACCCGAGATCGCAAAACCTTCACGAAGCAGATGCTGCGCGCCTTCATCAAGAACAACGTGAACCGGGAGTCCTGGAACGGCGCCCCGTGGTTGGTGAAGTCTTCGATCGCCGAGGAATACCGGATCCCGACGGAGGTGCCGAAACACCTCCAGTACGGCGCCAAGGTGGCGGAGAAGAAGGCGATGAAAAAGGCGGACCAGGATGGCTTTTTCGGGTTTTTCGCATCGCAGCAGTTGCCCGAACTGAAGCCGGCCGCCGTCAAGGGCTCCAAGTCCAAGCCCTCGAATCAGGACCTGAGCCGGTCCAAAGAGGCGCAGTTTCTGGAATACCAGCGTTCGCTCAACGGCAACCCGGGCTTTGTCGTCAACAACAAGACCAACGGCGCCGCGCGTCCGCCCAAGGGCCAAGAGGCCGACAACAAATCCCCCGCCGTCCCCGCGGTTGTCGTCAAGCAGGAGGAACCGAAGCCGTCCCCGCCGCCCATCAAATACCCCATCGAGGACTTGGACATCGCCCCGGATCGCGAAAAGAAACGGCAGCGCCCGCTCCTGAACCTCCTCACCATGGACGAGACCGAGGACTCCGACGACGAAGACATCCTGCATGACGAACTCGAGATGAAGTCGGTCGGCTGGCTGTTGGAGACGTGGAATACCCTCAACGTGTACTGCGAGGTCTTCCAGCTGGATTCCTTCACCTTTGACGATTTCCTCCAGGCCATGCGATTTTCTTCCGCGGACGCCGACTGCGAGCTGTTCGTTGAGGTTCACTGTGCTGTGCTCAAGAAACTGGTCAATGCGGCGGATGACGACAATGGTGCCGTGCAAGTTTCCTTGCCGGATCTTCCAGAGGAGGAATCGGATGATGCCGAGGAGGAGGAGGATGATGAGGAGGAGCCAACCCCCGAGCCGGAACCGGCTGTGACCAGGATGACCACCCGGAGCAGTTTGGCCAAAGCGGAGCTGGAGAATATAAAATCTCGCGGAGACCGCAGCCGCTCGAGTACGGAGGAGATCCAGGTCCACCGCGCCGCGGAGATGTTTGGGGATTACGGTTGGATTGACCGGCTTCGGAAACGCGAGTTCCGGAGCGGCGGGTGGGAGTTGATCATGGTGGGCTTGCTCCATCGGTTGTCCCAGCGTCCACGCATGGAGAAAGCGTGCAATGAGATCTTACAACACCTCGCGCCCCTCGACGCCGAGCCGACTCAGGAAACCGCCCAGGTCCAGTATTCCACGCTCAATGTCAACTTGCGCATCCAGGCGTTGCAGATCATCTGCATGCTGTGTTTGGAGACCAAGGCGATCCGAACTTACCTCGAGGAGTGTGGAAATCAGATGACGGAATTCCGGAAAGAGAAGATTGAGCATCAAAAGGCTCGCAAGGCTGGGTATGTATCCTATCTTTTTTTCTTTTTCTGCTCTAAGCTCACAATCTGTTAGCCTCGAAGAACTTCGCCGACTGCATCAGGAGCGGAAAGCCCTCCAGCCGGAACCTGAAAAATCGCCCACACCGGCTCCCGAGCTGGATGCCTTGGAAGATTCGAAGATGACAGGGATAGACACGGAACAAGATTCCGACGACGAAGACGCACCCAAGCGGGCACTCCGCGGGGGGGTGGATCGCATCCTCGAACGGAAACGCAAGCAAGACGAGGAGCGGGAGCGAAAAGAGCAGCTGGCCAAACAACCCAAGGGCACCAAGCAGTACCAGCGCGTCCTCAAAAAGATCGACGACCAGAAGGCATCGATCGAGAAGCTCGAGGAAAAGATCGAGGTGCTCGACAACGACCTGAGAGAAGCCGACTGCCCGCGCACGAGATGTCTCGGGAAAGACCGCTTCTGCAACCGGTACTGGTGGTTCGAACGCAACGCGATGCCGTACGCAGGAATGCCCAACAGCTCTACGGCGGAAGCCCACTACGCCAACGGTCGGCTGTGGGTGCAGGGGCCGGACGAAATGGAGCGGACGGGATTCATCGACGTGTCAGACGATCACAAGAAGGAGTACCAGAAGGAGTTCCACGTCACGCCTGCGGAACGCAAAATGACAGAAGAAGGCCCGACGCAGCTAACGAACGCGGACGAATGGGGCTACTACGAGAGCCCGGACGCCGTCGAGCGATTAATCGACTGGCTCGACTCGCGCGGGCTCCGCGAGTGCAAACTGCAGAAAGAGCTCCAACTCCACCGCAACAACATCTCCAAGTACATGAACGTGCGGCGAGAGTACCTCGCCGAGACGGCCGAGCGAGCCGAGTCAGAAGACGTGCCCACGAAGCGCGTATCAACGCGGAACAAGACCTACGTCGACGACGGCAAGCACCGCTGTCTCCGGTGGCACAACACGACGGCTCTATCGGAAAACGGGCACCTCCACGTCGACGCGGCCCGCCCAGCCAAACGAACCAAGCGCGCGACCGACGAGCCCAAAGATCTGAAAGCGATGAATAGACAGGGCAAGGCGTTGACTCGCCAAGGGGGTCGTTATAATTTCTAACGCCTCCCTCCACTTTTTTGGAATTCTCACTCTTTACACTTGAAATAAAGGAAGGCGTTTGGTTTGATTTGGTTGGCTTTATTTTTTATTTTTACAAGTTCATTGTGACAGTTGATTTTGACAGCAATGACCTCATTCCATACAGTTTTGGAAGCATGAGCGATGATGTGATCATGAGAACTTGATTTACACCCACACAGAGAGAGAGAATATATAACCAAGGTGCATGGTGCATGTACGAGGAGCATTTGCATTTGTTAGATCTGGCTATAGTATAGTTGGTATATAGTTAGGATAGGACAGGGTCGTCGGATTGATTGGATAGGTAGTGGAATGATAGCGTGTTGTACATAGACCGGATTGTTCTACCACTTGAATACTGGTCGTTTCTGTAATAGCAATACAAAGTAAGTCAACTATTTCAAAAGTTCAGTTGTCATAGTGAATTTTAATATGAGAATCCACCTTCTGGGATAAAATTTAACCTCGGAATAACCCTGAGATACTGTAGAGTCCAAGCCACACCATCAACCCCCCCCCCCCCCCCCCCC